TTCAAATACCTATTTCAGAATCGTATTATATTTACAAAACCATACGGGTATATACTATTTTAATCTTATTTGATAAACATACCATCATATCAAAATAAATTGTTCTCGTTTTCCGCGTATACCGTAGAAATAATATGTAGAAAATGTTAAAAAAAAAAAATAAATAATAACAATAATAATAATACGAATTCTGTTTACAAAATTGGAATTAAAAAATGTGGGTCGCTATTCGAAATCTATAAGTCGACATGTGACGTGTTCGGGGTTGTAAACGGAATATCAAAGCTGAAATTTCGAAAATATTTGTAAAAAATTAATAACCGTACATGTGTATATGATAAACAAAGTGTCACCCTGTACACAATTATGTTTTTGGTATACTATCGCAGCTTTTTTTTCGGAATTATTATATTAGTTCAAGAGACAAAAAAAAGTAAATACCAATTTCAAGCGACACCGTTCTTTTCTTATTTTAAAAACAAAAACTCGAGTAGACATTAAACGAACTTTTCCAAACTGTATAATTCGTCCCCCCCTCCTCCCGGTCATCACGTTGTTTCTAAATTAGTTGCTAAGATTAGTACGCATTATTTATACCGGCGACGAAATTCAAAATATTTATAATATATATTATAATATACTCACTCGGACTGCTGCGAAATAAAAATATAATCTTAAAGTACGCGCGCCCAACTATTTTGATGAGGTTTTATTTTCGTTGCGCCATACCTATTACCGTATACAGTAATTCAAAAAAAGGTAGGCATTTTATGCTTTCGGTGTTTATTAAAAGATTTATTTTTTTCGGGCGTCACTCTGAGTTAATAACTCACGGTAGTGTTATGAAATAATAAAAGCAGCTAAGGTACTTATATATTTTTTATACCGAGCCGTCGGAAAACGCTATTACTGAGCCGCGGTAAATTTCGCAGACAGTATATCGTTATTATTATTATATCTTTGGTTCCGGAGATGAGAGGATTAAGTCAATTTTCCTTTTTTCATCATTTTTTCTTGGGTAATATGTTCCCGCGTTATTTTTCTGCTTAAATGGCATAAGTCGATAAGTTAATAATGCATTAATATTCCAATACGTGTAGGATACACGGAAATTTAAAATATCTCAAGTCACTATGGTTGATGTAATTTTTCGTTTGGAAAAAAAAGGCATATGCTATATTTATCACATAGCGATTTAACCAATTCTCGAAATTTAATTGGTTTGTATTGGAAACTGTACAAAATTAACTTTTCCGGGGCCAAAGATATAATATCCAGTGGCACGACTATAGACACTCGAGACACAGTCGAAAATAAGCTGGTAGCGCTAAACTCAAACTCGTATCGAGGCTCCCTTCCAAAAGTTTAAATTAGAGCTTAAAATGCCGAGAAACCCGTAAAAACCAATAAGTTTGAAATCTAAAAATCAACTTTTATTTTTGAAAAGGTTTCTCGTTACCGTCAACTAATCGAATAATTAAGCAATTATTGACCAAAAACCAGTAACCTTATTTTTCAAGTTACAATGTTGATTACAAAACCGATAATCAGTTCGGAAAAATAAAGTTTTCTTTTTTTGTTTCCTATTCGTCGAATAATAAAATTGAAAATAATGATATTATTTAATTTAATGTTATAGTTTATATTTCAAATTATTATATTATTTTCCATGAATGTAGATCTTTTGTTTTCCTCTGATAAATTGATAATCGTGTATTTTTGTAATTGAATTACTAATTTGTCTAGCTAATGTTTGAAACTTCCGTATGGTTGACATTAGGCAGTTACTACGATAAAACTAATTTCTAACCACTGTATGAAATAAATCAATGATCCCCCCCCCCCAACAAAACGATCTTTAATCGGTCAACCAAAAATGTTTGGTATATTTAAAAAGCCCATTACCCTTAACCATTATATCAAAAATTAACAGTAAGCGGCTATCGGTTCCCAAACATATTTTTTGGATCCTAATTTCGGTAACAATTTCAATCTACTTCCTCCTCCTCCTTAAATCACTTTTTAAGTTTAACGTTGCGCAATTGTCGTTGATAAATTTTATTACGACAACAGTGCGATAAAAGCATTTTAATTTTATTTTTATTGCCTGTCATTCCGGGCGGTCACGTGTTTTTTGAGGGCGTCTGATATCACCTGGAGCTCAAAAGTCTTACTTTCTTACTTTATATCAAATTAAAACCGCTGATCGCGCAACTGAACATTATTAATATATGGGTCTTTTAGTTGATATTAACATTCGTCAATATAAATATAATATACAATGTGTACAAATGCGAAAATTATAATAATTTGTAAAAACACTGAAAGGTTTGTTTAACAATATTATTATACGTATAATACAATAGTATATTTATACGTCAAATTAAAGGGTATTCGTGCAACTTACCCGGTGGTCTTTGTACATTATTCTGCAAGGTCTTTCCGTTTTCAAACACGAAAATTGCCGCAGAGGTCACCTATATAACATTAACAGAAATACGAAAAAAAAAAAAAGTAGATTGAAGTGATATGATTTTGACTGAATTTCAATAGGAATTTCATCATGTTGTTGCATGAGGAGAATATTTTTATTTATAAAAAAATCACTTTTTATTAATAATTTTTGTAGTGTTAAACAATTTGATTTATAAGTTAAATCGGGGAGACTTTTAAACCCATCGATTATTTTTGCTATTTTAAATATTTTCTAAGTACTTTTTCAAAGCTTTTTTTACGTTTACAAGTGCTTTTTTGTTGATTTCAAGAGCATATAAATCCAGTCTCTATTGGTAACACATTTAAACGCGATGGAAGGGATAACAGAGCATAGCCATGGAGAGCACAGTTTCGCTGGTTTTTCGACGGACCTAGAAATCCCCTTTTTATAATACTTTGTACATTAATTAAAATGGAATTCTCGTATTCTCGTATTATATTTTTTAGTTAAATGGTTTATTGTTGTTTAGTTTATTACAGTAGGTTTTGCTACGGCTGCAACGGCATAAACATTAATTTTTTCGTGAAATAAATGTAATTAATATCGAATTCTACGCGTAAACAGGTCATGTTCTTTTATCACGAACCAGCGTTTATCTATACGACGATTTTGGTTAATTCGATTTCGGGGTTTTTTTTTTTTTTTTTTTTTTTTTGTCAATCATTATACCTGAAGAATCGTTGAACGATGATAATCTTGTGTTTACAATATTTTCAAAACTTTCCTTGGTTTCCCTAATCGGTTGTTGGTGTTAAATAAATCAACCGATATAATATTACACATTTACTCGGTATTCCTATTATTTTAATTTATATATGTTATTGTACTTGCGATTTGTGTTACTTTTCGATTTTTTTTATAAACATACCATTTGCATTCACTTTTATTATGTAAAATGCATTAACACGCATTGTTCGGTACACAATTTATTGTTCGCCCGTGAATAATTTCACGGGCTGTATTACGGTTTCCCTGTAAACTTAATATATACAGCAACAATACAGTATATTTCGTTATTAGTATAGGTAGTGAAAAAATAATTTCGAAAAACTAAAAATGCTTTTATGGATTATATATTAGCATTAAATCGACTGAAATTTTTGTTGTGCGTTATTTAACTCAATCTATATAAATAAAAGACCACGTTCGTATGTGTTGTACTATGTATACTCGAAAACAACTGCGTCTAGAAACATGCCGTTTTGAAAAGTAGCTTCTTTTGTCTGTTTGTTAAAGTATTAAAATATTTCTATTCGAATACTTTACAAGACTGATAACATGGAAAAATCCATTAATTGTACTATTTACACGCATTTAATTTGCGCGGTTTTAGATTTTACGTAATAATTTTAATCAATTTACATTGTTTCCAGGCCTCTATTATAGGTACAAGACAATTTGAATATTTGAATATTTAAAATATATAAATAAAATATTGATATTAAATTATGTTATTAAAAACGTCAATTTAGAGGAGCCCATTTTAGAATATATTAAAATACGTATATTGTCACGGACCCTTGATAACCTTTTTGTATACAAATGTTTACGCATCGGTATAGAAGATTAAAACGGGACGCGGGAAGTAGGATTGATGAGTAGGTATCCAATTATTTTCGCTGCTAATGCGTATAATATTTTTTAAGGGTCTCGCTAAAAAGACAATCTAAAATGTCAATATCCGACAGTATTCGATATTAAGGCAAAATGAAACAATTTGTATAAAGTTTTTACTATACCTACTTTTCTTTTTCTTTTCTTTTTGTTTCATTAAAATTATTCAATCAGACGAGCGTACACCCATAGTAAATATTTTGATAAGATTCATCAAATGATATTATAATAATTTAAAACTACGGTTTTCGGAAATAAAATTACTGTGAAATTATATCCACTCGCAATTAAAACAATAATTACTTTTTTTGGTAAAAAACTTTAATTATTTTTACTCTATTGTAATAAACCTTTAAAAAACAAAATGAAGCGAATTTCGAATTCTCAATGGATTAATCATAATTACTTGTCCGTATAATGTTTTAAAATCGTTCTCGTTTTTATGCGATTATTTTATGTGAGTATACGGAGTAAAATCATACGATTTTAAATAAATATCTAACATTTATAATTTATATAATTAATTACTATAATCGAATTATATTTTACTATATTAGGAAAATGGGCGAGTTTATTCAATGTGTTGAATTATTTAAGATTCTGAGCGTAGCTAGAAATGTATAGGTTTTACTATGAAAAGTGTTTTTTTTTCTATCTGTAAACAACTTTTCTATCAGAAATATTGCTCTAATCGAAAAACGATAAGAGACCCTTTTTTTCTTATTTCGGATATTGTTTGTGAGTAAATGTGATTATTTAATGATTTTTTTTTTTTTTTTTTTGTAGCTTCATTAATAATTGAACAAAATCGGAAAAACACGTAAAATAACCGGAAGTTTGCGGAAATAACGGTTTCAATATTTTCAATTTTATTTTGTTTTTAGATTCCGAACGTAGCGATGGAGCTATTGGTATTACTAAGATGCTTATTTTTTTCTTTCTTTCTTTGTTCTAGTCTGTGGACACGTTTTTTCCTAGTAAACTTTCTTCGATTTTTACGTGTAGCAACTTTTCTGAAAGGTCTAGTTGCCTAGATGTTACTTTGCGAAAATGGCAAAAAAAAATTACGGCACTTCAAATTATCTATTATCGAACTGCGCTCGGAATCGTCTTTCGTCAAGCAATGGTTTTTCGTTGCTTACAGATAAAAATGAAATAACGGTATGTATCCTAATTTCCCAACTTCTCACCTACAACAGTGGTTGATCCCATCCCTAGTATGAGTTCTTTTTTTTTTAAATTCTGTTTTCCTGGCATTTTCACAGACTATTCATATTGGGTATTTCTAGACGTGGTAAAACGTCTAAAACGTTCTGGTGAGTAAAGAGAGTAAAGAAGAATTAAATTTTTATTTTCATTTCATAATTATTAAAAAAAAAATTACTTTTTATTTTATCACATTCCAAATTTTCAAAATAACCATTTTGTAAAAGATATTCTAAATATTTTAATGTGGCATGCATTCATATCCGGTCAATAGTTTTTAAGTAATAGCTGTTTTAATTTCTAGAAAATTGGCATGAAAACAATTATTAATTTTCAATACAATAACCACGTTCCGTAATAAGGTATCACAATCATTAATTGTTTTCACGCGTATTTTCTATACATTAAAAAGCCAGTATAAAGACTAAGAAATACTAAGAAATTGTTAATCGAATATGAATTTTTAGAATAATTTACAAAATTACTATTTTGACAATTTTTAAAAATTGGAAAATAAAAATTAATTTTTTTTTNACTAAGAAATTGTTAATCGAATATGAATTTTTAGAATAATTTACAAAATTAATATTTTGACAATTTTTAAAAAGTGGAAAATAAAAATTAATTTTTTTTTTCATTGATTAATTAAGGGACGAAAATAAAAGTTTAATTTTTTTCTACATATATGTCACCCCCGCACAAAATCTAATTGACACAAAAATATAAATAATTAATATTGACAGAGTTATTAACATATAAGAATAATACTGTATAACACTTCAGTGACGTGGTGAACATTTTTCATACTTGAGGCAAAACAAAAAAATTAGGACCCACCCAATCAAAACATGGAGTTTTATATATTTTACACATAATTACAGCAACAACTTTATTTAACTATATTGACTACATAATATAGGCCATGGGTTCTCAAATTTTTGAGGTCCACGCTCCCTCTAAAACTATTTTATGATTTCACGTCACACCCCCTCACTACTATACGATTGATACTATATACAACGCCATTGAAGACCAGTGTAATTAGAAATAACGTTTTCATTTTTCGTGTTTCGTGTTTTTTCTCAATATCTTCACACTTTCTTAGGGGGGCGCGCCCTCCAGTTTGATAACCACTGATATAGACTATCATATTCGTAATTAGTTATATTAATAATATAATACAAAAAACTAAAGACATCTCCGATATCTGAACTAGTCAATATTTAACTAGTCAACATTAAACATATTTGGTCAGCCACCCACCCACCACATTTTCGTCATGTGGCTGTCGTCTTAAAAAAACCTACTTCGGCACGCTACTGGGACACTCTGTATATGGTATCTAAAAGACGTGTATTATGCCTTGTTTCTATTGTGTTCCATAATAATATCTCCATTTATTTCCATCCTCGTATCATTTTATACGACCTTTTCGCGTATATACTTATCGAGACGATGATATTTACGAAAATTCTCTTCGCCGCGAGCGTCTCATAATATAATTTAATTACGCGTATTCGTAATGTGAAGTACGCGTTTTCTCATTATTCTTCATCAGTATGATTGGGTGTTGAATGTTGACGCTGCACATTTCTGTAATATAAATACCTCTGGCAAATGTTTTTGGTTTCGTATAGATATTCATTACTGAAACAATACCGCGGCGTACCCGCCTAAATGTAATAATGCTCTCGAGAATGTCAAAAGCCATTTACTCAAAACGTCGTATGTTTGCTATCTCCCTTTGTTAACGTTTAATTTACCAAACGTCAATAAAGTATACATAATACAATGTCTTTATACGCGTACTCGTTTAAAAAAAAAAAAAAAAAATTGTTTCCTCTTTAATTTTCATTTAATTTCGCACTTGCGTCCGGTTTTGTACGTATAGGTATTTATAAACCGTCAATGACGGAACTCCTGCAAATTCGGTCACCGATAAATTTTACATTTTCAAGAATATGGGACAAATACGCCACACGGTCTGCGCAATAATAATTACGGCGAAGTGAACCGGTACCCGTGATATGGCCGTAATTAGGCCCCTTCGACTTATAAATTGTCCATTAGACTGGCCTATGAGATCCTATTTTTTTATTGTTTATTGGCTTTTTCGGTACGGGCTACAGCCTATGAAGCTTGCGTTTTTATATGGCCCTAACCTGTGTTGTATAATTAAATGGAAATTGAGGGTTTTGAATAACGGTTACGTTCGATTCGAGTTTCACGGGTAATACGAGAGTTGTCCCAAAAGTAATGCACAGCGCGCTCTAGCTGTCTTGAAATGTGATATTGTCAGCTAATTTTAGTATCAGTTTGTAGCTTGAAGTCTAACAAACACGTACATTTTCAGTTTTAGTTGTTTTAGTAAAGTATGATGATGTGTGATAGCGATAACGAAAGTGAGAACAATTCGTCGGCTCACATTTCTGTTNGCATACATTAAAATCGAAACGATTCATGGTAAAACAGTGCCTGAAATTCATGCCGCGTTAAATGAAGTGTGTGGAACGGATACTGTGGATCGTAGTACGGTGCAAAGATGGCATCAGCGATTCCGTGATGGTCGTATAAGTATTGATAACAACCCTCGCTCTGGCCGACCCTCTACGGTTACGGTTGATGATTTTTGCTTACGATAAACTTGGGATAATTGTCACTGATCGAGTTCCAATTGGCAGTAGTGTAACCGAGGATTACTATAAAACATTCCTTGCCAAAAAATTGCGACCAGAAATCCGTAAAAAGCGACCAGGAATGTTACAAAATGGTGTGTCCATATTGCACGATAATGCGCGGCCGCATATCGGAGCACCAGTCGTCGCTCTTTTGGAGAAATATGGATGGGAACGCCTCAAACACCCACCGTATTCGCCGGATTTAAGTCCCCCGGACTTTGATTTATTTCCAAAACTGAAGGAACCACTTAGAGGGATCCGTTTTCCCAACTTAGATATACTAAATGAAGAAGTGATCCGAAGGATCCGTGAACTCAACAAAGATGGCGTCCTATGCGGCATTCAAGCGCTCCCGAAACGATGGCAATTGTGTATAGACAAGCAGGGAGATTATATCGAAGGTCTATAATATTGTATTTAGTTTAAAATAAAAACTTATTTATTCAGAGCAAATTGTGCATTACTTTTGGGACAACCCTCGTATTTTTAAACGAACAGTCCGTTTCCAAAAATTACAATTTTTAAAATGTATACGTGTATCTAAATTCTAAATGAATAATAACTTCGGAAATGTATTCTACAAAACATGATGTCCGAGTCTGACCATCATGATGAGTATTATTCGGTGCTAGTCTAGTGAACCACTTGTCCACGTGACATTTATTCATATTCAACGTCTGGAGAGAAATTTGTTTCTACTAATTTATTCGTATATTCAAAAATTCTATTTTTCTTCTTTTGGCCTTTTTAACTGTCTTCGAGGTTTTGCCATTTAAACAACACCATATACCATTTATTATCTATAATGTCATGGAATACGTATTTCCGATCTTCCACTCTTAAATTTCTTGGATTCTCTTTGATAACATCAGTCCACTTTTTCCACGTCTACCACGAGATCTCTCTCACTAAAACATCAATTCAAGAGTTGATATAATGTTTCTATCGCATATCCTCTCCTCGTTTTATGGTTTAGCCATTATAGTCAATGTTTTTCGATAAAGAGGTCGTCTGTGCCATTTTTACCACGTATAAGTCAATATTTTTTATAATTTTGGTTAACGTCCGATGACTTTTGTTCAATAATTACGGTAACCAGGAGCGGCGAGCACGAACATATAAATTCGAAGTTAAAAACTCGTTATATCTAGAAATGAGTACATGATTTAACTCGTAAAATAGTGTACATGGTGGAAAAATTAAAGAACGCGACTTCATTTATACAGAATGACGCACTTTGTTGAATATAAATTTTAAAAAAATGTACATGTATATCCCTACGAAAATTAGAAAATCAAAAATAAAGATGGCGTTAATTATATTACGCTTGGGAATACGTGTGGTCCAAGAAAACGTTATTCGAGTTTATTTTGAATAAACCTAGGACAGTTTAAATGAGAGTCGACAAAAACAACCGTCGCGTCGTCAGTATAAAAGCATATATTATTATTATAATATTATGTACTGGCAGCGCACAGACGCGAGTCGCTTAAAATTTAAACTTATATATTATACTATAACACGGAGAGGTCAAATTTACTACTACTGTGACCTCATTAACAACCCCATCTACAACAGCGGTTCACCAATCGTGCGAATATGTGTTTTTTTTTTTTTTTTTTAATAAATAGGAAAACTACAAGTAAAATAAATGTCCACGATGTAACAACTAGACAAAAATTACTTTCAGAAAAAATGCTACGCTTGGAAATCGAAGAAATATTTCTAGTAGAAAAGTTGTTTACAGCAGGAAAAAGATATGTTTTGTTTACTACTTTGGGCAATTTTATTTAACCGACCAATATTATTCTTTATAAATACGATGCATGTTGAACGTATAAATATTAGGATATATAAATACACATGACCACGTTTGGGGTTGCACCAACAATGAGGTATATCAACCCCAGTGGCGAACGCAGTGGAGGGCTAAAGGGTTGAAGCCCCCCCCATTAACCGTTTCTATGTATATATATATGTAGCTTGGTGCAAGAAGAACTAATGTCATTTTTTTTTTTTTAAATTAATTAGAAACAAAAAAATAAAATGCACAATTATTTATTTTTTAAATAAAATTTGTTTAAGTTTTTGTAAAAATTTAAAATTACCCAATCATTTACATTAAATGAAATACACAGCCTTATGGGGTAATAAAATTTCAAATCCCATTTCCCAACAATCACAAAATGTGACATTGGCCTTTCTTGCACCAAGCCCCAGTATATATGTATATTATACGCACATATTTTTATATTTTTCAAGTTTTAACTGTAATAATAATTAGTAAATAAGGACTTTTTTTCATAAAAATACTCTAATTTCGTAAGTAAATAATTTAATTTGCAACTGCTATCTATTGATAACCTTACTATATTATCACAGGATAAAATATTATTGGGTTTGTAAGATTATTATTTTTGTCTAACTGAGGTAACACTCGTTATAAACAGTGGTTTTGTTATTGTTACAACTTTGGCGGTTGGTGCTATTGTGCATACGGGAACTGCCACACGCCCACGCAATCGTAAATAACATCTATGATTGCAATATTTAATTACTAAACTGATATTACAAACAATTAACGCATCGTTGAGTTAGCCAACGGATATTGTAGATAACAATAATATAACCTTTAATTAGTGAAAAACAATTATGTAGATAATATTGTTTTCATTTATTTCTCTTCAGTGTAATAATATTTTGTATACTTTGATTGTTCGTCGATGTTTTCATATAAAACGTATACCATAATTTTTCACACTAAAAAAACTATTTAATTATTCATTATGGCAGAAAAAAGAATATTTTTCGATTTTTAGGTTGAAGAAAAAAAAAAGTTAAGTTAAGCAACCTACAATTCATACAATTCTAATTTTGGTTGATCTCTGTCTTTTTTAATACTGTACTAGCTTAAAAATTATATTTTACTGCCCAACATTTTTATAGTTACCTAAATATTAAAGTTTTTTATTTTCATTTTTTTGTGTATATTTTATTTTTATTATCAGTCAGAACTAAGAATACAACTACTTTATTTTTCAAACTTGTAACAAAACAAATGATTAATTATCGATTTTCAAGCTCCCTCCCCTCATTAAAAAATCCTGCGTACGCCACTGCCAACCCCGATCCCAAAAATAATATATACAAAAATTGCACATCATAGAAAACCTAACCTCAAAGAAACTAATATATTTATAAGTTTCTGAGGGTAGTCCTCCATAAATGGTTCCATTTACTCCGATCCAATTCGAATTATTAGTAAACTTTTAGTAAAGTAACTAATTGTAACCAAAATAAAACAATTTGTTGTATGGATACATTTTTAAACTACGCCTATAATGTAGGCGATAGATTGTGCCATCGTTACCCATCCATAAAAACCGTGATAGTAGAACAGAGGCGGATCCAATACATTATCCATGGTAACGGAGAAGCAGGGGAGAGGTTGATTTTTAAAATTAATTTATATCCTACACGTTTATGATGAACATCAAATTGTATCAATATATATAAAATTTTGTTTCTTTTATTGTATATCTATCAAAATAATATTGTTATGAATGATGTATAAATACCATATGAAATAAATAAATAATGATAAGCTCATGAATGAATCAAACTATAGCTATGGCTTATAAAAGTATATCGGAGAGTGAAAGGGAGGGGGGAGTGGGACGATCGCCTGACCCTAACTCTACCCCTAGATCCACCATAGTCGTAGAGAGAATTCCGACAGAAACGTCTGTGAAAATTTTACACGTCAGTAATATATAGTTACTATAACCGTCGCGGTCTCACGATAGCATAATTGTTTCAATATCACACGCACGCATAATAGTGTGATAGTTGCTTTCACGATAGTTTGGTAGTAATTATCGTCCTATTTACACGACGATGGTTCATGATGGTAATTATTATCATGGTTGCGAATTTCGCTACTATCACGATAGTAATGACTGTTATCGTACGGAACAGGCTTTATACATATTATTGGTTTATTTTAAAACGATTATATATGTAAAATATATTTTCGGTCGAGTATATTTACATGGGTCTTAAGACACTTTGAGTATTATACGCGCGAAGGAATAAAATATAAGTCCACGCAACACTCTAAGCCGCGAATCTCGAATATTTTAAATTGATTTTACGCGTGGTACATTATCATCACCGTTGACAATACACTCGAAGATTCGGTACTTTATAGTATAGTAATACCTAAATAAATTTCCAGCGCATTCTCGTTTGAATTTTACAGAGCATTAACATAAGCTCGGTAAAAAAAAAAAAAAAAAAAAATACGGCACTGTTTCTCATAAATATGTAAAAGACTATATTATATACCTGCGTTATATTGTCACTTATTCTCGTATACCTCTATAATGCCGTTTCAAAGAACCAAGAGCTCGGCATACCTGCGGCCCCTCCAACGGGCGAGTTCACAAGCATTAACGTAGGTATACGTGTAATATTTTGCAGTTCGTAAACTATTGAATTCTCGATCGGTTAGGTGAGTTATTGAATTGATTTCGTAAATAAAATTCGAAAACCGTCGTGTACAACAATGTACGATAATCATATTGACATCCGGGCGCGCGCGTTGATATCCCGACCTATAAATATTTCGAAGCATTTCGACTGTTGCGACCGACGCAGTGCGAACCGAAACCGGTGACGATAATTTTCCATCGCGATAATTCTATTGTTCGCGTTCAATTATAACGACACGGCTGTGTAATATTTCATCGCGGTATTAATTAGACTCTCGCAGGCGTTTGAACGTGATGGATTCAACGCCTTGTGAAAAAAAAATAAAAAAAAAAATACGCCTATTTCACGGTCGCGTCGTAACCATTTTAGATTGCCTACGGTGATAACCGTACAACGCTAGTGAAACAATTATTAACTTGGGTAACTGTAATCTGTAACCGCCGAATGTCTGTACAATATCACTAACGTGAGATTTTTTCCGCGACGTGCGACGAGCGGACGAGAAAGAAAAAAAAATCGCCTACGACGGGGGTAGCGTGTAACATTAAAAACAGACAAATATTTAAATCGAATGTCACGGGTCATCGGACTCGTCGATCGAATAACCGTGTACATTTTCAACGCACACGCGTATACGTGTGTATAGATATATGTGTGTGCCTACGAATAAATACACAAAGCCTCGCGGGTACGATCGATTGTGCCCAGGGTGCAGATGTCTATTATTATAACGTTATAGAGAACTTTTTTTTTTTAAAAGCGTTCCGTTTCCCCTGAAACGTTGGCCGCAAGTCAGCCGTTAATATTTTTACACTTTTATGCATAGTATTTTTTTGTCTATAACCGCACCGACTCGATCGCACGGATGCTGTTGTTTTATCATCATTGGCTGTTTTTTGTTTTTTTTTTTTTTTTTGTTTTGTTTTTACCCCATTATAGGCAAAGGCGTTGACGTATCCCTGTCATTGCACATTAACCGAATATCCGGCGTGGACGAGAGCAAAGAGGTAAAATTATATAACGTTATTATTTACTTACGTATAAGGTCAGTTGCAAACGATTCGTTTTTATTTCATATACGTTTAGACCAATAACCTGTAGTAAAATAAATATACTTCCAGTAGTCCAATTTCTGTTTTGAAAAATTATAAACGTATTTTCAATGTTTTGCGTCGAAAATATTAGTTTATTTGAGTTTCATGAGTTCATTTTACGAAAAAAATTTTAACTCATTATGCATAATTTAACTAAATTAACTGAACGAAAAAACGAACAAAATATGTTTTCAACAAATCACAGACGATAAATCGAAAAATTAGTGATAGTGGGTGAATTTTATTTCAGATTATTGGTCAAAAAGGTAATTTTCAAATTTTACCTAAATTTAAGACAATTTGAAAACCCGTTTATAACTACCCTAGCTTAATAATAAAGTAATTTATAACATTGACGTTTTCAAAAGAATATAATATATTATAAAGTTTGTACAATTTTTTAAAAATCTAACATCTTATTTTAAGTTATACCAAATGAAAATAATATTAAGGCTATTTAATATTATTTGGTTTTATAAAATTCAAACACTAGGTTTTCAAGGTTTTATATAACATCTATTACGAAAGGGGAAAAAATGGCACGTGAAAGGGGGATAGCAGCCATTTTATAAATATAATTTTAATATTGTTATGCAGTGCATGTACCATATAATATATACTTGTGCGACGTCAACAGGAAATAGCGTTGGATGTGTTTTTGCACGTATACTGGGAAGACCCACGTATCCGGATTTTGGACAACGACACGGGCCAGGTGGAACTGACGTGGGACAAGGATCCGAACTTTTGGATTCCCGACCTGTACATCCGGCAACTGAGGGAGATGAAGGTGCTCACAGTGTTCCAAGACATAGCGTCGATACGGTTGTACAGCAACAGTACGCTCAGGATTAGCATCGGGTAACGAATATTTTGACGTGAAACGCGAAATGGGCGGACGAATGGTCAATAACTTGAGGCTATAATATTCTGTTATTGTTGTATATTGTTCTGTGCAGCGCAACGATAATAATCAAATGCGACATGGACTTCGTACTGTATCCGTTGGACGTACAGGCTTGTGCCGTCGATTTTGGCAGCTGTAGGCTCATTATTTTTTTTTTAAAATTACTATAATATTATTAAAATACATAAAAAATACGGCCTAAATAGCATAAATACGCATTTTATTTTTCTTATCCCTCCACCCCGACGACGCCATTTTCGATATCGTCTCTATATACGTACCTATATATATCTTATTATACCACTGTAATATGTGTAATTTTTTTCTTTTCTGTTTTTTTTTTTTTTTTATTTTTTTATCCGTTTCATTTTCCTTCGACATCCGTTATACAGACAAATACACGGTGATGGACATGAAATTCCGGTGGAGAGACGATCCACTGAGTTTCCCGAGCGACTTTGGCGATGGGTTCCGATTGCCTCGTTACGTCGTATCGTTTGTCACTGACAACCGTTCGAATGTGATTTATTATGGCGACGGTAAGTTTAAAACTTGTTAACGCACTATTGTTACTTCTTACACATATATATATTGTATATTTTCGTATGACGGACACCGTGTATTCCAATTATTATCGATTCTGTTTTAGACCGTTTCGTTTTTCCGAATTATATCTAAACAAACGTAAACGAAATAATATCCGTGCATTTCCTTTACGAATTTCCTATACGCCAGGTGTCCTACGAAGATATTTTATAGTAACGCCCATTGATGTGATATATTCTGAGATAATGAATACAGGAAGTCAAATTTTGTTTTTTATGTGACTCACAGAGATTAGGAATTTAGAATTACAAATATTCAAGTTTCAATTGAATTTGTACGTTTCGGCAAACATGTTTAAAAAATTCCTAACTTTTTATTTTCAAAAAAAAAAAAAAGCAGACCGTCCAGGTTTCAACTTTCAAGCCTTATTATAATACTAAATCTATTGTAATAGTAAACTATTATGATGATGGTCCGTGATGTAAGCTTCAATGTTTGTTGGCATTAGTTAGAAATCCATTCACGACTATGGCGGAAAAAAAGATGCCGTGTTCAGATGGTATCCTATATATTCAAAATTTCCTATATCCATATTAACTAGAGATAACTGAAATGTTTTTTTTATTTCCTCAAAAATCGTTTATTTCGTCTCTCGTCCCCTTTTTCTGAGCATGGCCGTGAATCGTACAATATGTTTATATCGAATTGAGGAAAAAAATCCCCTGATCAAAAACAATACTAGGAAAAAAAAGGCCCCATTGTAAATTAATACGTACACTTTAATAATAAAAAAAAACACGATAAATATTTATTATATATTTATTAAATGTTTATTATTTTAAGTTAATAAAAAACACAAGCAATTTAAAAACAATTTTTTAAAAGCACGATTTTCATATGTTATTAGTGTTCATACAGAACAAAACAACAAATCGATTAATTAAAAACATGTAATATAGGTAATTTAAAAACATGAAATACTTCTTCGGTTGTTGTTTATTTGCACGCATGTGTGATGTAGGTACAAGTATAGGTATACTTGTATTGGAACTCTACCTATATAATGTTTATCTTATTTCTGATTAATTGCTTCAATAAAAATCCTAAATACGTATACTTCTATTGGGAATCTATTAATCTGTGTATATATTGGACATATTTGATAATTAATATGCACAATAACAACCTAAGAATAGCACCTGACATTCGAAAACTGTGCGTTTAAAAAAATTGTTTTTAAATTGCTTGTGTTTTTAGTAAAATAAAAAATAATAAGTTTGATAAATATTTATATATTTTTTTTTTTTTTTTTTTTTATTATTCTTATTAAAATGTACGTATTGATTAATTCACAACTGGGATTTTTCTCCCTAATACCGTTTATATTACGTACCGCTGTTTGGTATATTATTATACGAGTACCTCATACCGCTCGGCGTGGTTTACGGTCACTCTCGCATAACGATGGAATCATTATGACGACGCGCGCATATTGTTTACCGCCGCGGACTTACCAGCTAATTAATGGATCGATTAGGCACACGCGCGCTCGAATCAAATTAATCTTCCGCATTATATAATAATATAATATGACCATTAAATACAGTAATGGGTTTTAGTTTGATCAACAACGCGGGAAGCGCGATGAAAGCTGCCGCCCGCCCGTGCGTGATTATTGTTCCGATGGATTATTATAACGCGTTTCATTTGAGTGAAGTTTAAAAATCATAAAAAAAAAAAAAAAAGAAGCTGTTCCAGGATAATGGGAACGGGTGCAGCCGCCGTTATAGATGAGAAGTTGGGAAGGTTAAGTGAATGGGGAACGCAATGTATATCCGCAGTAGGTACGCAACGGTTATAATCATTGCTAACGAAAAAACGATTCTGAACGGAGTTCGGTGTTGATAGTGTTGCTTTGTCAACAATATATACGTCATATTATGGTTAAATAATTTTGTATGTAAATTTTCTTTAATAGTATTGTACCGATTTTCCCATTTATCGGAAAAACTCCTGAAAAAATAAAAAATGACCTCCCCAAAGTACCTGCCCAGTCCGATTTCCTTTCAGAAAAATTGCTATCATTGTAAATTTGAGCAAAATTGCTTGTAGAAAAGTTGAAAAAAAAATCATACATAAATAAACATCATTGTAAAACCAATACATTCTTCACTCCACCCAGAACCTGAAAGAACTGATACTGGGGACAGGCGTGGCCACTGTTGTATGTAGGTATAATGGGGAAGGTGGGATACATAAAGTAATATTCAATTTATACCTGTAACCAACGATAAACCATTGTTAAAGAAAAACGATCCGGAGCGAAGTCGGGTTATACATGTTTTGGAAGGGCGTAATATTTACGATTTTCGTCAAAATTCGAAAAAAAAATACTACGTTAAATTGATTTTATTTTTCAAAAAATCCGTTCGTCAATGTCTCGACATTCGTCATAGCTTAACTTTTATCTTTCTTTATGCAAAAAAAACAAAACAAATAATAACAATATTGATAATAACTTAGGTACTGAAATATTATTTAATGTCGATTGTGTATTACATAAGGAACCCATTCCACGGCCAGACTGGTGATCACGCTGAGTCGAGAACTCAGAAGCCATTTGCTGGAGAGCTACTTGCCGAGCACGCTGTTCGTCATCATGTCGTGGGGCAGCTTCGTAGTCATGCCCGAAGTCGTGCCGGGCCGTATGGTTCTACTGGTCACGACCCTTCTGTCGTTGGTCACCATGTTCGATACCGTAAGGTACGATGCACATATATGATTTTCATTTTTTTTTTTTTCACAATATTAAAATGTTTCTTACACAAACAGTAAATGTAAAAGTGCATTAAATTTCAAGTGAAGAGAACAATGATGTGTATCACCAAACGATTTAATTTTACTTACTACTGAAACATGTCGACGGCGAACTCTACAACCTACATTTTATAATTTTAAATATAAATTATTCGTACCATCGTTACTATATTATATTATTATAGTCAAACAAACAAAAACACAAAGGTTTAAAAATTACACAGACGCGTGTCAATATACGCATGCGAGTGATTTGAATACGATCGTGTTTATTTAATAAAGCTAAATCTTGTAAATCGTAAATAGTATTAAATATACATTTAATACTATTACAATATTGGAAACGCGCACTCGAAACAAAAATCACATAAAATTATTGTATTCGAAATTAATCAAATAATTCGAAAATAAGGTTTACGCGTTATATTATATATCGGTATGTGTCGCGTTATGATTTTAGTAAAATTCGAATGCACGCAATTCCTAACGATTATGAATTATCGAATGAATTGTTTCAAATGCTATTATTTTTGTTGGCCGTCGTCGCTGTAATGTAAATCCGATTTCCATATAAAATGTATAGACCAACAAATAAATGTCAAGTAAAGGGACAGAAACAAGACGATCGTTGGTCGAGCGGAATGAAAGAACACAAAAAGCAGGGTTGCGAAAACAACCATTTAAAAATAATAACAAACAAAATCTGTTTTTGTTCGTTTTAAACGTGTTTTTGTGTTTAAAATATGTTTTAAATTATAATCAAATGTGTATACGTTTCAATAGCACGGCTTATGCATGTTTTGTTTTTGTTTTAAACATGATTATTTGTAATTGGTTAATTATAAATACAATTTTTTATATAATTATTTAAGAAAAAAATAACAATCGAAAAAAAATGTTACTTCTTTATCCAAAATTAATAGGAACTGGTTATTTTTATTTATATTTTAAGAATAAATAGGAACAATATAAATATTTTCACTCATAACATATCAGTCATTTTAATTTAATTTTTAAACGTTTAAATATTTATATACAGGATGATTCATTATGAGTGCTCGCCCTGCTCAGGAGTACAATTTGTGTGGCAGCACGGCACGTGGTGTTTTATTAGTGCTCCACTACTCTCCCCCCACCTAAATTTACATAAAGTGAAATATATCGTTAACGGGTTGACGGAAATCAAAATTTTTAGCACCAAAATTTATTTAAAGTAATACTCCGTCTATTTATGGAATTTTTAATATAGGCTCTCATTTGAAAAACCAAAGTTGGCATCACCACAGGATACTCCTTAAATGCTGTGGAAAATCTAAGTATTTGAAAATATCGGCTTTAACTACGCTTAAAAATTTCAAAAATCAGAATTTTAATAGTACGCAAAATTCAACTATAAAAATGAGGTGAACACGCTTAAGAAATCATCCTGTGTAAAACGTTTTAAACACGTATTTAAAACAAGTTTTTAAACACTTTGTACATTTTGAGAGAAGGATTGGATGAAATATTGATTGGGAATAATGCGTGCGTGTTAAAGAGATAGAGACAGGAGGAAAAAAGTTGTGATGATAACTCTTGAAGATTAGTATGTCGTGCTAGAGAAGAACGGCCGCAATTCCTTTGGGAAGTTTTTACACAAAACTTATACATTCAAACTTTTTAATCACAATTTAGTATTATAATTTCAAACAATATATAATATTAGATAACACTATTATACAGGACCAACAGATTTTTGTTTGACTATTGTTTAATGGCATCATTGGGTTACACATTTCATGTTTTATTATAATATACGAGTATATGTTATTTGATGGAGTTTTTTTTTCTCTTTCGTTTTCGTTCGGATATTAAAACGACAAATTAATTTCTCTATTCAAATTAAAATACAATCATTAGCTCGAAATTGCGTATGCTAATATTTAAAACGTATATTTATTTTTCTGAAAAATTATGCTATATGTTCTGCGGGTGTGCGTTTAATAAATTATATTATAATGTTACGTGAATTCAAATTATTAAACCGACCCAGTTTCTGCACTGCAGTAGCTACAAAAGTTACGACTATTACTATAGGAATATTAAAGTCACGAGTTTAAAACTTTAAAACAACCTTGGTAGGTAGCGAAAAAAATAATAATATACAACATGCGATATCTTGATATGTATATTAAATTTTTTTTTTTTTCTAATTTAACGTTTTTCAACTGCGAAATAAAACTTTGCGTAAATTTTATAACTCGCTGAACGTATTATGTTATAGTTTAATTTGTCGAAAAGAAATTATTATTATTGACATTTAACGGTTATACTGTAACTCTTACGATTTAATAAAATTTTTACCTGTTTTACGGAAATTTAAATTACAAATTTATTATTAAAATATACAAGTATATTATGATATCTATGTATGAAAAAAAATCAGTTTCTATATATAGTGTACACTGTCTATGCGAGACGTTATATCGGAATGAGATTTTCATCCGTCTTGAGTCTCGATGTTACCAATTCGTCAGTTTGAAATGTAAATACGTAGAAAAAAAAAAAGAACATATTCACTGGTACCTTTTTCGTATGAGTATGTATATGAATTTAATAAAAAGATAAGTTCGATTTTTCTCAGGTATAAAGGTTGAGTTACAGATTCCGAACGATACGAAAGGTAGAATATATTGGTGTTACTACCCACGTATTTTTCATTTTTTTTTTTCTTTGTCTGTAAACAACTTTTACCACTATACTATTTTACCATACTAGTGTAAACCACTAGAAATCTTACTCCAATCAAAAACTTTGTGGGAAGTTTCTAATAGAATTTTCGATTTAATTGGTGAATTTGATTTTCCTGACAAATTGTATAATTTTTGTAGATTTATTGATTACCTTGACAACAAGAGAAATAAATGCGACTGAATATTGATAATACTCTGGTGAGAATTGGTTTCGTTAGAAATGATTTATCGTTATGTACATATATAAATGACATTAGGTACTCTATAGTCTATACATCCATCTAACTTCCCTCCGAAAACTGTGGTAAACTTATTCGCAGTATCAGATTTTTAGATTTGGAGCGTAGCGAAAGATCTCTTGGATTTACTGTGATGTGTGTTTTTTTTTTAATTTTATTTTTCAGTCTGTAAACAATTTTTTTAAAAAAAAACTTGCACCGATGTATCAAGTGATATTCGATGTTTTAGAAAGGTAATTTTATCTCGTTAGTGCATTTATAACGTCGTTTATTTATTTTCCAAGTAGTTTTCATAATAACGAGGAAAACCGAAAAAATATGTAAAAATAAAAATTTACGATGTTACTATTTCATTATTTTAGATTTTTATGATTTATGTTTTCTATCAGAAATATTTCTCCAATAAAAAAAATACAACAAGAGATATAGTAAGAAAGTCGTTTTTTCTAAATTTTTCCTGAAGTTTCTGATAGTTTTTATTCTCTTTTATAGGTTAGGTTAGATTTTATTCATCTATACTGATAATTTGTCGAATTTTCCTTAATAATCGAGACGATTGCACTATAAATACATTAATTCTGTTATATCTCATAGAGAGGTATGCGTTTATACACTTATAAAGTGGTTTCCTTTGCAGGATCAAATGTGAGCTCAATGAGCTTCATTGAATTTCATATGATAACTGGAACGTTCACCAATCAATGTAGCCTAAAATAACATGTTAGAAATAGATTACCTAACCCTACATATGATGTTTATATCTCTGACTTACATATGGCGTTAATATCTAATCTTCATTTACCGAGATATAATTTTTGATATATCGGTGAAAAATAATAATCGTAGACTTTAAATGTTTAACAACATATTTATATTGGCCCTTTCTATACGTGGTGAAGGTGTACAAACATTAATTGGATTTTCGAGTTACTTCAAAGTATACATACTTCTAAAACCGTCTAAACATTTAAAGGCATTTTTACTTTTATTTGAATAAAATTATTGTATTGGCCAAACAGAAAAGCCAATCATTAAACATAAGGTTCGTCATAATTTTGAAATAGTGTATAGTATACTATTATAATATTAAAATTAAAACTAAGCATTATTGATATTAAAAAACTAAAAACTAAAAAAGGTTCTTTAAGCTTTCTCACTCCTACAAGCCTAAAAAATCTCAATGGAGTTAGGGTCATGAAATTATGAATAATATTTAGTAATGCTTCAATGACAAATAAGTGCCATTTTTAGGAGGATTTATCTCCCAACCCCTGCCCCAGACATTTTTATACTCGTATTTCGTGTTTTTACATACAGAGTACCCGAAATAAGTAACGACAACAAAATAGCTGAGGGAAAAATTGTACTACGACGTAGCTCTGCTCCTTACGGGTTTATGAAGATCTACAATATTTATATGTATACTTAATATGTTTATAACAAAATTATTTTATGACAAATCTCAGGGACAACATCAGCCTTTGTATTATTATTGTTATACATTTAGGATGAAAATAAAAATAATAAAACAGTCTACTCGTATACAGCCTTAAGACGTAGTTGTATACAATTTTTTTACATCCTTTTGAATATTATAATACATAATATATTATACATAAATGAAGATTTTTTTGTTTTTATTTTTTTTAATTTGAATTATTTAAAAAAATACGTTTGAAATGTTTTCGAGATAATAATAAAAACGTGCGGAAGTGTGTTTATATAGACTAATTATACTTACCTATATATATATACACACATTGTTTATTATACCTGCCTTCAATTCATTTCCTCCGATTTTACTCTATTGCAGCTATATACAGACTATTAAAAAGACATTTTTTTTTCAGCTTTCTTACAATATTATATTATAGGTATATACGTTTACAACACTGCGTTCATATTATTTAAGCATATACTGTGAACTCCGGATTATAGCAGTGTTGTAAATATACGTATAAACAAAAAACAGTAAATATTATAATTAATGTACTCAAATCATTGAAAAAAAAAAAAAAACATTACAAATTATATTGTAATATACCTATACTCGTATACATATGTCCAATAATAAAAACACACTTAATCACGAACATAACGCGTGCGATTGAAAAAGTAATCTTAAAAGCATCTTACAACACAAAAACGATTTAATTTATGTAGTCGCGTGTGACTACCGTATAATAAAAAAAATCGTGCGCCGTATGCTTAAAAAAAAAAAAAATTAAAAATTGTACAAACAAACCGATGGACGTATATAATTTATGCATAGGTAATAGGCATAAGCCATTTCGGCCACTGCCCTGCCGCATTAACGGAAAATTTCGCGCTGTTATAGTTATTTTATTACCTCGAATCCTCTCTTGTAGTCGTGTGACACTGTGACCCAGTTTTAGATTAGGTCAAGTTAGGTTATATGAAGTCAAGAAACGCTGGTATATACGCGTTTAAACGTTTAAACGTACTAAGACGCAATAAGATTTTAGGAAATGGGCCGTTTAAGAAATTCGAATTCGAATTGAAAATAACTTAAATAAAATTAATAAAAGTAGATATTGACCATTACGATTCGTATTATAATGTGTATCGGTCAAAACCGGGATTATTTCAGGAAAAACCCTCATATTCCTCGCAGAGTGATTTGATTTCAATCATTTAGTTATTTATTTATTTTTTGTTTTTGTGAAAAAAATTCTTTAAAGACGCATTAGACTAGGATTGTAAAAAAATTGTACTTCCAAACAACATAATACGCGTTTTTAAATACGAACAGTTTCAACTCATTTTGTGCTTCGTGAGTTTTCGATACATTATCAAAGCTTGGAGTCTACAGGAATATAGTTGTCCTCTATTTAACGCAAAACAAATATCTCAACAGGACACTATACGAGTCATAATGGTTGGTTCTTGTAAATCACGTGTTGAGCATGAAAATAGGTCACCTTAACACCTTAACGTAAAAATTAAAACTTATTGTTAAAAACTATATTTTTAGAATAATATTAATTGAAATTATTTGCACAGTTTGTAAAAAAGCCACGAACAAAACCTTAAATAATAATTAAGGTTCAGATTTAAAGGCAATATAATCAATAAAAAAAAAAGCATTTAAAATGTGAAAAAAGGCAAAAAAAAACGCATTTAATTCATATAAAAGCAATTAAAAAGTTAAAAAATTAAATAGATTTCATTTGATTTAACTAGTTTGTTTTAAAACAAACATTCAACACCATTTACATAGATAAACAATCTTCAGTAAAACGTTGACGGTTTGGGCTCAAAATATTTTTGTACAAAAAAAATGGTCTTTCTGAAGTTACGGGACGTATTTCTTACATAAATAATTATCTAAATTAAGATTGCTACTTATTAAATCGTCATCGTTTGTTGTTTCTCCAATGAATACTTGGTTGATTTTTTTTTTATGTTTTCCCATCCTTTGTTCTTCGACATGACTTTGTTGAATTCATCCAAAATCAATTTAGCCTCTTCGCCATTGTATTCTTCAAGTTTAATCTCAATATTATTTACAATATCTATACTTTTCGATTTTAACTTTTATAAACGTTAAATTAACTGGCCATACCAAATAATTGATAAAGCAATTAGCGATGTCGCCGAAATAACATTAACAATGCACCGTCTTCACAAGCTCTTATCTATTTGTCCTGTTAACACGTAATTCGTGTATAAAACTATCAGGTCAAATGAAAATTAAGCACAAAAAAGGCATTTATAAATAAAATAGGTATTTATAAGTAAAAAAGGCAAAATAAATACATCCATCTTCTTCGATATTAAATGAAACACATTTTAATTTCAAAATTATTTTCCTATTATTATTATTATTATTGAGAAAAGGTTTTTGCCTTCAAATCCGAACCCTAATAATAACCATTGTCGTCGACTCGGCAATTTGTAATTTAGTCATTGTATTGTACTATCATTTTACGGGATGCGGTTTTTTTTTTTTTTCATTTTCGGTGCACCGATACCGCTACATCAGGAACAACTCGCCGAGTGCGCTGGAACTAAAATGCATCGAAGTGTGGCTGATATCGTGCACGCTGTTCGTGTTCCTGGCGCTGGTCGAATACTTTGTCGTGCTGTTCGGCATGCGGTACGACAAGCACTGGCGGCACAAGAAACGCGACCTGGACGGCGGCGTCAGTGGCGCGTTCAATTGCATGCCCCTGCCACAGTTGTTCGGGTCCAACAAAGTGCACGCGACATCCGAGAGCAACGTCGCCGCCACAGCGGACAACGTCAATTCGGTTGGTGAACTTCCAAAACTCAAATCCCGTCCGTCCGCCCGTACACCGTAAACTTCAAATTTTCGAGCATTGTTATAGGTTCCTTGAAGATTTGAACACGCGCTAGAAATCGATACATGTTTCGGCTTGCGATAAGCGAGTTCCTTTTAAAAAGGAATTCGTTCCCGTTTCTCGTCCCTGTGTTTAAAAAGGAAGCATCACTCCTATGAAAGGAACGCGTTCCCTTCTACTACTGCAAAAACTACTATAAATACATTCCTCACTAACCTCAACATCTAATAAGAAAATATCACTGTACACTAAATGTTTCGTAAAACATTAATACGGAATTTTCAAATATTCTTAAAATACAACTTAGGTACCTATAATTTAATACTTCCGTATAGTTTCATAATAATCGTAGAGAATGAGAAAGACGAATATATTAGACTACTAATTACTATCGTAAGCGGAAATTTTCCCTAATTTTAGAGGGTGTTAATATTTTGAAACATTTTATATCAAAACCGTTCTCTGCGTTTGCGAAAATCACCTTACCTTAAAACATCATGAAAAACCTAAGTGTAAATTTATTTTAGAGAATATTTGTTTATACATTTTGGTATGCATAACATTATAATATCAGATTTACCGTTTATGAGTTATAACCGTTTAAAGTTTAGACCGAAGGAGCGGGGACGAGTTATCAATTTATCATTTAAAAGTATACATGCAATTTAATACTCTTCACAACTCTTCCAGTCTAAACTTTAAACTGTTATAACTCATTAACGGTATATGTGATATTAACGTTATGCATATTAAAATTTCTAGAAAAATTTTCTCTGCTCAAATCTGCGTTTAAAACAAGAAGTTCCTATTTGAAAATCAAAAACATGTACTAATTTAAAGTATATAAATAGGAGTATATATTAAAAATAATTTTAAAATCAAGCTTAAATGATTCCACAATGATTAAAAAAAAAAAAAAAAACAGAAATCAAATTCACTTAAAACTTTTTTAGATAATTTGTTCATAATAAAAAAAATCACTCTGTATTAAACGCATGTACATTATCTACACATTTATTATTTATTGTAGTGATCATGCGACCACTGACTATTTTAAACTCAGTATATTTAGGGATGGCTAATTTCTCTGTGTATACGTTTTGAGGGGCTTTTTCAACTCAACCCTTTCCCTGACTTCCGACTATGAGCACTATAGAGAATATTATAGGAATATAAAAGTTTTTCGTTATAAACGTCAATTATTTTTTCAAATATTTATAAAAAACGGAATTATCAATCGTTTAACGGGTTTTCTTCTTTCTAATAATAATGTAAAAAAAAAAAAATAGGAAAAACAAAGACTGTTAAATAACAGACAGTAGTTAGTTATACACGTAGTCTTGTCGGGGTACATTCGGGTTTGTTCTATATATTCAGAGAGAAAGAGGGCGAGTGAGAGAGAAAAAAAAGGGTTTACATTAAGTCGGTGTAACTGCGGCGATCGTTATAATTGTGTTTACGAGGTGTCTCCGGCCCGTTGAGTACACACTGCACACAGTTGCGAGCAGCCGAGAAAATACAATTACTCGATGATTCTCTACAGTTGTTTGACGCCATCGAGTTTATACGATTATCGGGGACGGATTTATAGTTGAAGGGCGATTATTGTGTCCCGAAGTGTTAAGATATCGGGTCAGGTGTACTTACATAATAAATTATTTTTATTATTATTGTACGCCGTTGTCGTTCTGTCAAGGATCTGACGGCGCCGAGATAACACTGCAAATCATTAATAATTATTTACAATAATGTTTAAGTATATGGTTATGCAGAATGATCGATATAACGTATAAAAAACATCATTATCTCGGGGAAACATTTACTTTTTTTTAGATTTTTTTTTTTATTTCTTGAAAAATTTAAGAAATAAACAGCGCTACAGATATTTAAGTACCGTTTTTTTTTTTTTGTCACACCAATGTTTGGGCACGGAACCGTCGCTACCTCATTTCGATTTTCAAACGGCTATCTACAGTTATGTATAAAATTCCATAAATAAATTGTAATTCAGTTTAAATACTTTCGTTTTGGCGTTGGCATTAATTTTCGTTAAGCCGTTGATGATATATGTTTCACTGTGAATTTGTATTTATTTTGTGGGTATGGGAATTAATGTTGGAGCTACATGAATAACGCTTACTCTCTTTTGTATATTTCTATTTATTTATTTATTAATTTATCAATAGATACAGGACAAGCTCAAAAAATAAAAGTAAAAAAAAGAAAGCAACAAATAAAAAAGAGTTGCAGATTAAATGAATGGTCTGAGTTGGCTACGCGCATAAGGCGAGAAATATGAGAGCTGAGAGACTAATATTGAAAGAAGACTACGAAATTATGAAAAGCGGTGAAGAGCGGGTATGACGGAGAAAAATTCTAAAAGATAGCTAAAGAGAATAAAGATAAAGAGAACGATAAAGAGAATAGGATAATGCATTTTTCTAGAGATGAGATTAAAGAGAATTAAGAGATTAAAAAAGTGTTTGATATCAACAAGGTTAAATAGGCGTAAATCTTGAAGAACGAATGAGTAATCATGAAAGGATATAGGATATTAAAACGGGAGACGACTAAATGGAACAATTTACGTTTAATACGCTCAAATGCGGTTTTTCTGTCGGACGTGGAAGGTACTGAAGGACGGAACCGTATCGCAAGATAGTGTAAACAAAGTAATTGTTTAGAAAAATTCACCACGTCTAGAAAGTGCTAATATAAGTATGATAATAATATATAAGCAGCAATAATAATGTAAGTATTTTGCGAAAATTTCCTGTCTCTATAGATTATTTTTAACTGAAATACAATTTAAAAAAGAGCTGATACCGCCGTCGAGTGTGTCATTATTTAGGTGGAAAGTTGGAAAGGTGGGACCTACAGTGTTGTTTAATTTATATCTGTGGACAATGATAAACAATTATAAACAAAAAACGATTCTGAGTGAAGTCCGGTTAAACGTATTTTGAAATACCATGATTTTAAACTTAAAATGTTTTTAAAAAAAAAACGGATTGGTGGTCGGTTTTTGCTCAGAATCTATAAAAAGTCAATATTTAATTTATGATATAAATACGTAGAGTAACTTCTTGATTTTCTTATTTCTCTGCAAGTTCTCGCCAATTGCCAAAATTGCAGTGTCTAAAGTTTGTATATGATTACTGTCTGATGAACAACTGCATATATAATAAAAACGACTGAACTAATTGGCGGATTATAGAGTGGGCGTAATCCATAGGACGTGTACATGAGCAGGTATATAAGCCAGTGAATCGAAAAACAGGTATTTAAGGGGTCGTGTATAGGCAATGTTATGCTTTATACATAGTTTTTTATTGTGTAGGTGTTCTGAAATAATTGTGAGAGTATCGTTTCGAACAAACCAGGGAGCATTTTGAAATTACGTGCATGACTTTGGATTGGAATACATGTATGTTGTTTATGTGAACGGTGGCGCGTTTTCCCCAGACAGAGATTGCATACAATAGTATAGATAGATCGGATAATTTGTTTATACAACAATAACGAACAACATTTTCAGCTCAATGAAGTTTTACGATTCATTAGCGGATATAATATTTTTAAGCGTTGATTAAACCCTTTGTATAAATACTATAGGAGTATGGGAACGTGCAGGTCACCCTGCGTGGCAATGACTAGGTAAACATATTTTGTTTTTCGGAACGCTCCTCTTTCATATTATTCATCAACTCCGTCGTCCTACGGTACTATTATTCTTCCGATATAAAGGCTGATAAAGGGTTTAGTGAGCCCGAGGCTAACGAGAAAATGGACTGGATTAAACAGTATATAACAATAACAAAACAATGCAAGCGGACAGGGCCGATAAGCACCTACAGTGTAACCCGTAAATAAAACACATTTTTCGTCGACGAACTACATTATACTTTTGTTTATTTAATTGTATAATAGAATGCGCTCGACAGTACCGTAACAATACTCCGTGGCACAGGCATCTTTGTCGAATTTTACATATTGCATCTTATCAGAATATGGAGTGGATTTACATCCACTTAACCCCAAAAGCGAGGCAATGTAATGTCCGAAAATATTTCAATAGAAACGTATTTTATCCGAAAAGTAATAAATACGAAAGTAAAATATACGAAAAATATTTTAACAGTCAACTCCCCGAATCAATTTCTTAATAAAGAAATACTATAAGCGTACGTAATCAATATAATAGGCGCTTAAGCAACTTTCCCCCCCCCCTTGCCCCAAAAAAAAATATTGGGACTCTTTGAATCTATAAAAGGCGTAAAAGTTCCATTAAATTTTGAAAACAATCTAAAAAAAGACGTACTAGGATAATGGAGACGAGTACAGCCACTGTTATAGATAATTTAATATATATCTGTAAGCAGCGATAAACCATTGCTAACGAAAAAACGATTCTAAGCGCAGTTCAGTTGATAGTGATGCTTTGTCAATAATATATATGTCATATTATGGTAAAATCTTTAATGAGTTAATTTTCTATAATAATATTTGTTTAGTATTGTATCGATTTTCCCGTTTTTCCGGTTTTCCATGTTTTTCCCGGACTATCACATTTTCTAAGAAAACTCTTGAAAAAAATCGAAAAATGACCTCTCTAAAATACCTTCCCAGCCAGATTTACATTCAGAAAAAGTGATATCAATGTAAATCAAAGCAAAATAGCTGGTAGAAAAGTTGTACACAGAAAAAAAAAGGCCATAATATTTTCTTTTTACTAATACTTACATTTCGTACATTTTCCGTTTTCCGACATTTTATCGCGGTTTTTTCCAGTTATTATGAAAACCGATTGAAAAATCACAAAAATGACTTCCCTAAATCATGGAGATGAAATTTCCTTTCAGAAAATAAGTTACACTTAGTACATGGGAGCAAGATTTCTGATAGAAAAGTTTGCACTAGAATGACAATACGTTTTCATGACCATTCAAATACCACAAAACAATATGAAGTTGTTAAACATAACATGTAATATCTCCATAATATCTGAACTTCAAACAGCTATAATTTCGAAACTGAGTCAGTCCGCTTAATTCTGACTTTACCATCCTTCTTAAATCGGCAATATATTCGAAAAAAAAAAAATTAAAAATTAGATTTTTCACATCATTTTTTACTCAAACGATTTTCGTCAAAATGTAGTATCAAAATTCCTTTATAAAAACAAATACTTCATTGAACTCAATATTTTTTTTTTACCGCAAAGTAAGATTTAATGAACCTCCTGTTAAATTTCCAAGCATTTCTGTTAAGTCTAACAATATTTACGATATTTACGTATATATAAGTCTAACCACAGAGCACCTATTGAATACAAATTACGTACAGAACTCGTGAAATTAAAATGTCTATAAATAGCTCAAAAATTGCTTAAATTGTTTGAAAATTGTATTACGTCTAGAAACGGTAAATATAAGTTTTTTGTCCGAATTTCAAGTCTCTGTGAATATTTTCAACTGAAGTACAACAAGTAATAAAATTGATAAGATAATAAAAGCATTAATTGATTTCGTACATTTCTCGTTTTATCTTGGTTTTTCTCAGATATTATGAAAACTGCTTGAAAAATCAAAAAATCACCTCTTAAAAGTACCATCAGAAAAACATTCTCTTTCGGAAATGGTGCCGCGCGTTTATATCTGAGCAAGATTTATGGTCGAATTTTTGTACCAGTATAAAAAAAAATATACATCTTAGTAAAACTAATGCATTCTTCGCTACACTAAGAATCTAAAATATTTTTAACTATTTTAATAAAAAAATCACTCAACAACTTTTTGGATACGGATTGCAGCGAGGGATTTATTGGTCGAACTATGGTGCGTGTTTTTTTTTTGAAATGTTGTTTTCAGTTAGTAAACAACTTTCCGAAAAGAATACTTTATCCAATGTATCAAGTGAGCCACCTTTTCTGAACAAAATTAAAGGTATAACGACAAATATTTACAACGCTCTGAAGAATTACAGATTTTATTGTTTTTATTTTTTGTAAATTTAAATCAAAAATGTATCTAACGTAGAGTCTTTTATTAAAAGAGATTGTATTTCCTTGGTACCTAAGGAATGTCATTTTCTGATTTTCCACGCGAATTTCATAATAATTAGGAAAAAAAGGGAAAATGTACGTACATGTATAAAAGAAACTTTGCTCTAGATCGTTTTTCATTAGCAATGGTTTATCGTTGCGTGCTGATATAAATTGAAATTCCCTCTATATCCCACCTTTCCAACTTCTCACCTACAACAGTGGCCCACCCAACGTGTGAAGTATGTCCGTATATTTTTACTTTATAGCCCAGTGATGTGCAATGATCGTGCACTAGGCACCAAAAATTAAAAAATTGAATAGCATACATATATTTTCCAACAATGTGCAACTAGTTAAAATGGAGAATGTTTGATGATTTTTTTTATTAAGTTATGTGAACTTTGGGGCGCCACCTTCACGTACCCGAAAAGCTGTACAGCGGCATAATTACATGTCATAGTGAAATAAATAGATCTCTTACTACGCTTCGAATCTAAAATATGTACACACACACACACACACAAAAAGTAATTGATTAATATTTATTTGAGGGACGAAAAATACTCCTGCAGTGTTAGGAACGAGGAAATGAACTGTATACTTTTACTGAATCCCGAGCCGAGCCTGATGGAATAAGTTACATTTTACCGGGGCGAAAGTGAACATTTTGTTTTTTCTTATAAAACCTCCCCAAGCATTAGCTGTGGCCAACCAATATTTTTATGCGTTACGCCGATAATATCGCGTCCTCGATTTCTTTCTACCCCGGCATAATGCGCCGTGTGTTTTTCAGTGACTTTTCAGGCGTAAGTACGGCCGCAAACGAGCGGCCCTATAAGCACTGTACACTACTATCCGTTAGCTACTCGTCAGGCGGCTGTATCGGGCGTGCGGATGACGACGGCGGGGCACCCGCCGGATCAAATAACTCGTAATAAATCGTATTATCATGTTTGTCACCAGACGGCGACGAAAGCTCCTGTCCCACTTCCGGCGGCGGCGGTCAACGGGCCGGCGGCCACGTCCGTCGCCGCCGTCGCCGGTAGGTTGCGATTCCGGTTGCTCACCAAACACGTCATACTGTATTGCGGGTCGCAGAGGGGCACCCTGGACCAGGTTTCGTTGGCCCTGTTCCCCGCGTGCTTCGTCGTGTTCACCGTGGCCTACTGGATATCGTACATCACCGAGTCCAACAAGCGCAAATCGCTGACGGACGCCTGAAACACGTACGCCGTGGACGCCGCGCCCCGGCACGTCGCCGGGCGGACGTCGGTCGAACGCGTCCGCCCCGCCGTCGTTGCCGTTGTTTACGTTGCCGTGGCCGTTTTCGTTGCGTGCCACCGCTGCAGGCGCCGCCGTTTCGGGGAGCCGCGACGCGATTGAGCGGTGCAAAAACAGACGCGGCGTTCGTTTCCGCGAAGCAAAACGCGTGCGGATTCGCGGACGCCCGTTTGGCCGGCAGACACCGCGAGTGCGAGAGTTCCGCGGTTCCCGGGAACACATAATCAACGCGTACCGCTGTTTGCGGACCTCGTGGAAATCCCGTTCACCGGTCGGTTCTAATCCCGGCGGGATAACAATTTCATTATCGTTTAGTGAAAAACGCGAAAACAAAGTATTGCGATCTATACGTACAAGACGGATTGTTCTGAGGCCGAAAATAATCACGCGTGTGAATATTGAACGCGCATGCGTACCCCGAATTTCGTAATTTATTTGTTTTTCATCTAATGAGTATTCTTCGTGTTAAAATTGTTTTTATTTAGCATATGGAATATAGGATATTTAATTACGAAACGATATTTTATCGTGAAATAATAATTTGACATTATATTTTATGTGTACCTAACGTGTCTATCTAAAAAAAACTGTTTCTTCCACGCATTTTTTATTTGATCTAGAACGAATGGTATTTTAATAATAAAACAAACAAAACGCTTTTTAAGTTTTACAAACTGAACCGTTTAAAAACCATAACTGATAATGAAATGTTTATCTTGTTGGGATTAGAGCCAATCGGAGAACGGGATTTCCATAGGGTTCTCTAACAATGTACGTTTTGCTCATATGTTTCCCGGGAGGTAGCTGAGTTCGAGTCGGTGGAAAAGTCACCGCGAATTGTTGATCGAACGTAATCGGCCCGGTTACAATATACGATTGAGAACGTTCGACCTTTTTTAGCGTACCGTTGAGAAGTTCGAAATGGAACACAATATCCATTTGGTCCGAAAATTAGACTCTTCACAAACGTGACCAGACGTCAGTCAGTCAATGTGACCCCTGACCGCTCAATGTGATAGCACAACTATTTGCAGGGGCCGTGATTATAATTTACCAACACTCTGAACTTCTATACTATTATTTATAGGTAGTTTGATGTGTAAACGCCTCGCCTGGATTATCATTGTTAATGGATTCAGTAATATGCTATCTCAAACAACAATAGGTAATCTCATTAAACTCGATTACGCTGTGAGAAACACAAGTCAAAATATAAATATTTTTCATTACTGTTAAATTTTCAGATTACTTGTCATATTTGGCAACGGTGCGTAGCATAACATTAAAAAAAACTGAACGTTCTCAAACGTATAGTAGTAAAAATAAGGGGGTCCAAAAATGGTAACGGCGATAATCACCGTTCTCAATCGTATTTCTGCCGTCGGCCGTCACGAGTTTCAAATAATATAATAGTAATTGATTTTTAAATTTGTTTTATTATTTATATTGTGTACCGGATGGTAATACCGCCATTTATAATTTTTGAGACAAATTACGCCTCCAAAACGATAATTGTGATCGTCCTCGCGTGACGATTTCCACACGTGATTTTGTAATAATATTATTTAATTGTTTTATTTTCTGTAAATATTGATAATTCATAGTGATACATAATGTAATTAAAATGTTTAATGTCTTGTACATATGTTTAGTGTTTACTATTAAGTCTATTTTTTCTTTTCTTTTAATGTTAATATAAAAATATCTACTAACTCTACTGTAATATTTATATTGTTGCCTATTTCATATTTATTTCTATTTTTTTTTCTTATAGGTAAGACAAAAAATTAAGGTTATTTAAAAGTCGTTCCATAGAGTTTTGTATTGTTGCTGTTGTTTTTTTGTTATTTTGTTAATTACAGTCTTTTAAATATCGATTGTTGTGATACCTATTTATTACCGATCGAATCCTATCATAAACCGTTCGAATCGTCATATTTTCTGATAATTCGATGTTCAAGTATTCAAAATGTAATCGTGCCTTAATGTTCTTTTCGAGAATTTTGTAAAATTTTAAATGCAAGATTCTCCAGAAAAAAAAAAAGAGAGAGAAAACGTACTTCATATAAGCAGCTCACCTTGGGTTAACTTTTTCAAAGTTATGTTGCCGAATTCTTCAATCTTTATTTGTTTATTGCGTTGATGTAAACAGTTGTTTGACATAAAATCAGTTGGTTATTAAGATAACTACAGTCGCACATTATAGTTTTGAAGAAGAGAAATTACTATAAATATTTTTTTTGAAAAAAACCACCAACCTCAGGAGTTGAAAGGAAACCAATAACAATTCAATACAAATATCATCAGTTTTATTAATTTTCTGATAAATACAATTTCATCTATTGGTATAAGCACAGTATAGGTTAAGCATCTTGGTAGGCAACTAACTGGTAGGCATTAACTTTAGACACACACATTGAGTAGGTATTAATATTATTTTCACGTACTTTAGCGCCATCTATCAGTAATATTGGATGTAATATTTATAGCAACTATTATAAGATATTATATAATATTAATAATTTTAAATTTTTAAATAGTAATTTACAGATACACATAAACGTAAGTTCCTCAATAATTGTATTTGTTATAATATTGTAAATTTATAATATACAGAGTGTCCCACAGTGTTATACATATGCTAATAACTATGTAATAAAAATGAATCATTAATATTTTACGAAAAATACTCATAAACTTTTGAAATAGAAATTTTAATATAATCAAATCAGATCCATAAAAATAAATTATGCCTGTACTCGACATTTTTCCAATAATATAACTTTCAAAACATAGCCGGTATTTAATGTAATTTTTTTAAAAAATTTCTTTTAATGAAAATAAAGTTGCATCGTAAATGACATAAATTAATTTCCTTTATTCATTATTAATATTAATCGTTTCATCATTTTCAGTAAAACGTTTTGGGATTTTTTTATTCTCGATTTTTTTGAATCTTTTAAGTTAAATTCAATAGATTTTATATCTTTATTCCAATTATCATCATCACCCGAATTTGATTTTTCTTGAATAGAGCTCATAACATTGTGAATCTTAAATTGTGTTTATTGAAGAATCAATAACACCGTTTGTAGTTGTTCGTTGAGAATTTCTAGTCTGTTGAAAATTTCAATCATATCGTTTAATAAGAAAAAAAAAAGAGTTGATACTAAAAATGGATGCGTTCATTATTGTAGCAATGTGAAGTTGGAAAAGTAAAAAGTTGAATAAAGTTATTTAATTTATACCTGTGAGCAACGATAAACAATTGCTAACGGAAAACGATTCGGGGTGAAATTCGGTTACACGTGTTTCGAAAGGCCGTAATATTTACGTTTTTAAAATAATCCATTTCGTAAATTTTCCTTTCCCCCCCCCCCGTTTATTACGGAAACTTCCGAGAGAATCAAAAACGACCTCCCTAACGTACCGCGCCACTGAAATTCAGAAAGGTACTTGTACACTTGAAAACCGAAGCGAAATTTCCGGTGGAAAAACTCGATCGCAGCAAAAACAATCAACATTCAGTATACACTGGTGGAAAAACCAATACGACCAGCGGCGGTGCGTGCCACGGTGCACAGGGGCAGTGCACCGCCGCCTACAATTTTGAAAATTGCCTGTACATTGCCGTTTTACAACAATAAAAAAAAATACATTGTTAATAAATAGAATGCATATAAACGCATTCGGATTTATTTTAATGATGAAAATCATTTTATTGAATTGAAAAGGCATTTAGCGCGAAAAGTCGAGAGACACGAATGTCGCGTCGATACCATTACCTATGCCGCCATTGTGCGCGAACGGCCGCGCGGCACACGGACGGGAGCAAATGCAATTTTCGCACCGGACGCGTGCGCGCGCCGCTGCTGAACGGAGAATGCGTCGGGAACCGTTTGTGCCTGTCGAACAATGGTAAATTTTTTTCCGGCGGGCGGCAGTTGTCTCGAAAAACGCCGACCGACCCGGTTCCGGTACGTTCGGTCCGTAAATAATATTGTTTAATAAAACGCAACAAACGTAATTGCCAAACGTACCGTAGACGGCCCATCCGAGAACCTCAAATTGTAAAACAAACACAAACGCATTCATATCTCAATAAAATATTTGTTTTAATTCCCGTGTTCTGAACTGACCGTGTACACTCATTGTGTACAATTTTTTCTCTTTCTCTCAAATGTGCGCCACCAACCATTTCACCCGCGAGCCGCCACTGAATTGAGGTACCTCTCAATTCGCTCGAAATCTGACAAGGTTTTTACGCGAATTTATACCCACAAGTGAAATCCCGCGTAAATGCAATGTATGGTATTAAAACGCGGAGGGGAGGGGGGTTGAACAGACATTACACCGCGTTACGTGCGTAAACCTTCTTTTTATTGTATCAGAATCATCAAAAGCCGTCGAGCCCTGGGTGGAAATGTCCGCTGTCCGACACCACACGGTCATATTCAGTTTATTATTAAATGTAGTGTCCACTCACAGGGATAAGGACTACACAGATTTATATTTCAATTCATTTTTACCGTGTTTTGGTAAAAAAAACTTCAAAACGCAATTTTTATTTAAAAAAAATTTAAAGACAACCGTTGTATTGAGTCTATTATTCCGGAAATGTTTACACGATCAACTTTTTATTTACATTAAATTCTTGATTGTTAATTGCCGAACGGGTTATTCCCTAGGTATCCCGGGGGAATGTTCTCCTCCGTTTCGCATTGACTCCCCGAGCGACTAAGTCGAGTTTTCTGTTCGATTTTCTTTGTTTTCACGCGTTCCGCAACGGAGTACGCTGTATTGTGTATTGGCGCTGTCGTAAATGTACACGGCATTTGTTCGTTCTCATTTACGTGTCGAAAACGTCTCAACGAAAATTCCCGAGAAATCTTATACTCCGCGGGAATTAACGAGTTAAACGGATCGTCGCGTACAGACCGAACGGCCCAGAATCGTCCCATGTATTTTTGTGCAGGCGTTCTGACGCATCCGGTCGTTCCGGGTAAGCTGCCCCCGGGTTATTTACGTTTACCCGTTTGCCCGTCGAAAGCACGCGGGTCTCGCGCGTGACCTCGTTTATTTTACAAAATTGTGAAACAACAATCGTTAAAATAATACACACCGCGTTTCGCGCCGTAAGGGTGCCGCTCGAGTCGAGTGGTTTTGTTGACGGCTGGACGCGTAGTTTTTCATTTTCCTTTTTTTTTTTTTTTTTTCCGGCCAATAACGCCGTGTTGTGGCGACGCGACGTACGGCTAACAGTTCTCGGTCGCGATAACCGCCGAAACGGTTTCGTTCACCGCGCTTACCGCGGCGTTTCGCCGAAAACGGACGGCCCGCAGTAAACGATAGTTGGGCGACCGTTTCGACGCGATACTGCCGCCGAACCGCGAACCGGCTGCGCGAAACCGGCTCGTCGCCGAAACGCGTCCTGGTATTATTAGTTCATCGATACGGCGATGATCAACGCCGACGGGACGGGCCCGGCGGACGCGGCGACGGCGTACGAGCGCGCGCTCACCTATCCGATCGCTTATTTCTGGAAAACGTGCGGCGTGTTTTTGGTGGACATGTCGTACAACCCGTTCGAAAAGTGGTTCTCGGCCGCGGTGTTCGCGTCCGGCCTGCTCAACGTCGTCATCGCGCCCTGGAGCGTGTGCATGCTGGACGGCTGGTGCACCGACACCGCGGCCACCACCACGTACCGGCGGCTGTACACCAGGATGATGGCGTGTACCAGTCTGGTGTCCCGGGCGGCGGTGGTGTACAAGGCTCGCCGGTACCTGGTCGAGTACAAGCGACGCGAGAACGCGTACGACAACGAATGGCCGCCGTCCGAAAAGGACAGGCGTCTGTGCCGGGCGTACGCGTCGACGGTGGTGTCGGTGTGTCTGGCCCTCATGGTGCCCGTTAATCTGATGCGGCTGTTCCTGCTGTACAAGTCCATTGGCGACGAGTCCGGCAGCGACCTAGTCATGCTGCTGTTCTTCTTCAACGTGTACTTGCAAAACTGGAGCATGTGTTGCATGGAGACGCATTTCGCGCTGTTGTGCTTCACGGTTTACACCAAGTTCCGGTCCATAAACAGCCAGCTGTCGGTCATCCGGTGGGACGTGATGGCCGACAACAGGTATCCCGTGGCCCTCAGGTCGCGCGTGCGGCCGACGGCGCCGAACGCCGTCGACCACGTGGCCGAGGCAGGTAGGTCGGCGAACGGTGACCGGAATACACCGCGGACGAGCACCAGCACCGTCGTTCGATCCGTGCTTGAGGATCCGCACGGCCGTCCACTCGAGATCGCTGTCGAAGTGCTCCGGGTTAGGCACGCGTTGGCGCGCGATTCGGTTGGCCAGCTGAACAGCATGTTCGGCGTTCAACTGGTGCTGTCGCTCATCACTCTGTGCGTAATGATCCTGTTCGACATCTACAACGAAGCGTTCCACGTGAGCGGATCGGTGTCCCGATCCAAATTCATCTACTGCTGGTTGCTCCAATACTTGTTCAGGTTCTTCGTGATCGTCATCACGGCGCACAACACGACTCAAGAAGTAAGCGGCACAATAATAACGCGTAGTTATTTAACGTCAAAGTATAGGCGTAACAGGACATGACAGAATTTGTCCAGTTCTTTTACGTGAAAAAAAAAAATAACCAAACGTAAATAGTTTTCTTGGACCGTTCCGGAAAATTAAACTGGAATCTAATACTGTATTCTTGCGTAATAATTAATATAGTCGGGCAATTTTTTTTCAGGGTTATAGAACTAAAATGCTCGTAACGGATATAAACAACCGACATTTGAACAGAAATACGAAATATGAGGTTTGTTGTTTTTTATTTTTTTTTTTTTTTATATATATATTATCAGTTTATCCGCTTAATCGGTTAAAATATATTTGGTTTCGTTCGATTTTTTTTTTCTAGTTACAGTTGTTTTTAAATCAAATGGATCATCAGTCAATCGACATAACTGCGTGCGAATGTTTCACTTTAAACAATCACCTTGTCGCTTCGGTGAGTTTATGATCACGATTCCTTATATTTTTTTATTAGACACCGAATAAAATTATTATTCTTCTTTCTCTCTTTCTTCTTCTTGGTGTGGGTTTCGGCCTTTTAGAAAATATTTGGGAAAATTAATTTGAATAGAGAATGCATTTCCATTTACCGTTCTTTATTAATACACATTCATGTTCAAGACACATATGTAAAATAATTAAATAAATAAACATATCAAATTTAATTTTTATTTTATCATATTTCAAAATGTTCAAAACAGCCATTGTGTAAAAGATATGATTCTTAAAGTTTAAATGTAACAAATATTCGTATTCGATCGATAGTTTTTTTAGTAATAACCGTTTTAATTTCTAGAAAATGGGGGTTGTCAAAAAAAAAAAATGTTTGATTAAATCCATGAATCTTATTGTAATGAACACGGTAAAAATCAGAGATAAAATACATTTTTCATTCCGACTTTGTAATTCTTCACAAATTGAGTTTAAAAATCAATACATTGAAAAGTATTCAACATACCCGGTTTCTGGTTTAGTGGGTTACCACGACTGTGAAATCACGCATCATCATGTATCTTAGATTTATATCGTTATTAACACGACTTTATCAGTATGTTAACCTTAATATACATGAAGTTTGGTAAGACACTGATCTTTTTTTTAAACTGGTTAAATTTTTTAAAAAAAATTCATAAAATAACGGGGGAAAAAAAATCTATTTTTCAACCAGACAAAACTATAGAATTAGGAAAAAAGGCATTTTAAAAGTGTTGTCAACCCCCATTGGCGTGAAAGCGATTAATGTTCAACATTATGCGATCGGGAATCACAATCGGCTACAAAATGGCAATTTTGAAAATCTTAAAAACTTGACAAATACAAAGTTTTGAGACGGACAGACAGCACATACGTGGATAGCGCGTCCTCTTAAGTGTGTATAAATATTATATTGTAAATCGTGCGCTAATATAATAAAATAATATTATTATTTTTGTAGGCTATCGCAGTGGGCATCACGTACCTATTTGTTTTGGTACAATTTCAAGCGGTGATAGTTTAGTTTAAACCTGTTGACACGGACATCACGCGTTGCAGGGAAACCGAAAGAGAAAAGTGAAGACGGATATATTTTACCGAACAAGATGACTTACATAATTCCGCGCGTATAACCGCGTACATCCTGTAGATTTTATACGCATAATGTATATACATACCTATACAGGGTGTCCCGCAGAGTTATCCGAACGCTAATAACTATGTTAATATAATTTTTTTTTTTTTTTTTTTCTGTCAATCGAGTTTTGCGTCAGAAACGTCTTACAAGTTCAAAGGAAAATTACATTTCTGTTTTCGTCTCTTAATAACTAGAAAAAAAAAAAACACTTTAATTTTTCTCTACATGTGTGCCCTCTTGGCACGAAAACCCGATTGAAAAAAAAAAAAAATTAACATTGACAGAGTTATTATGGCACACGAGTAACACTGTGTAAGACACGCTGTATACAGACTTCCGGCTGTTTCAAACTGTATTGAACCTGATTCCGTCTTACTGCTGCTGACCATTGTACCATATTGTCGTGTAAATGTATCTACAATCGCTGTACTTTTTTGGCCAAGCTCGTATTCAATAAATACATAAACATACGTAATAAGATATGCATAAGTGTAATGTAGAACAACGCGTAATTTAATTGTACTACAGCGCCGCGCTATAAAAAAAAAAAAAAAAAAAAACAATAACAATAACAATAAAGTGCACCGAAACTAAACAGCGAGCGTAAACAATGCGTAATACGTTTTGTTGTTATTGTACCTCTGCCGACCAATTATTGTATCTGCTAAAAAAATCACATTGTTAAAAATTGTTTCAACCACGAAACAATATCGTTCGAGCATAAAAGCCCAAGAGTCGCGTTACTAAAAACCTAAAGTCCCGTCGGACGAGCCGTCGATAAACGATAAGGAAAAAAAAAAAAACCAAAACATTGTTGTTTTTTTTTATTATTTTTTTGTATAGTTACAATATCACGTCGTATATTGTACCAAAATAGTTATGAGGTCGGTGAGTGGCCGGAGCACGTTGGTTCCGTTCCGTAAACTGGTGTGTTTGTGCATCTTAGCTGCGCTATTGGTGACGTGCGTGTTCAACTTCATCATGGCGCCGTCCGTCTTGTGCCTGATGGACGGGGGTTGTTTGAAGACGCCGGTCACGTCGGTGCAGGACATGTACCCCAAAGTCGTGGCGTTTTCCTGTTTCGTATCGTTTTCCGTGTTGTCGCGCAAACACCGGAAAACCGTGGCCGTGTACAACCAGAACGTCGAGGCGTGCCGCTCATACTCACGCCGGCGCAATTGCGGCAAGCCGGATCTCCGCGATCGCGCGCTGTTCAGTTGCTGTGCCGTGGTCGCGTGCCTGGCGCTCATACTGTCCACCCATCTGGTGAGACTGACGATATTGTACAAACAACACGCGATCCCGGTGGTCCTGACGTTTTTCGCGTTCATGTACGCGGAAAACATCGGCATGTACTTGACCGAGGCGTACTTCGTGAAACTGTGCTTCGTGTTGGAAAAGGAGTTTTTGTACGTCAACCGGGACCTGGCGAAACTCGGCGAAGAGTTCGCGGCAATCGACCCGATGACCGCCACGATGATCGCGACGACGGCCGGTGTCTTCGGGACCGACTTCGAATCCGCGGCCGGACGTCTGCCAGACCGCCGGACGGTGACATACGACGGGGATTTTTACGGGTCCCGTAGCGGCAGCAGCAGGGAACACTTGCCGCCGTCGGTCGCGAACGTCGTGGAAATAATCCGGATCAGACACCGGTTGATTAGGGACGCGTTTTCCGCCCTGACGGACCTGTACAGCACCCCGATGGCCATGTCGCTGCTCGTGCTGTGCTTCATGCTGTTGTTCGACATCTACTATCAAGTGTACAACGTCATGGGCGCCAATTCGAGGCCGATGATATTAGTTTACTTGTGGCTGGTTCAGTATTCGGTCAGGTTTTACATTATCGTGGTGGCGGCGCACAACACGACCGCAGAGGTACGGATCGCGGGTTTCTTCATTTTAACTTTCGTACTTGAAACGTAACGTAACGTGTTATGACGCTCCGGCAAAAAACGGGACTTTTGATGTCCGCATAATATTTTCATATTTAGCGGTATTTCAGCTCCGGGACGTGGCGAGGGATCTATTGGTTTTATCATATAGGACGCGTGTTTTTATTTCTGTTTGTAAATAACTTTTCGAAATGAAAACTCGCTCCGATACGATTCAAGTGTCACTTGTTCCGAATGGAAATTTTATCTAGTCGACGCGGTAGACGGGGTAATTTTTTTTTTTTTTTTTGATTTTCCAATGGGTTTTAAAAATGAACGCATTGCCGATTTCATTGTTTTTAAATGTTTATTTTAATATTGCTTTAATCGGAAAATTCGTCTGTTCGTTTTTCATTGTATTTTTGATCGAGTTGGTGGGTAAGAAAGTCGTTTATTGATTTCCCTTGTATTTCCCGAGCGAATCCGTAGAAGGAACGGGAAAATGTACGAAAAATATTCATGGACACTTAAAATATGGACCAGACAGATTATATTTGCCTTTTCTAGACGTAGTACAATGTTTAAAATATGTGATTTTCGAGCTATTTCCGAGGATTTTTTTTTAGTTTTACTTTTAGTACTCTATTGACATACGCATACAATTATTTCACCAAACGTGCTTGATGGTTTATCGCAGGGTTCATTACATTACAAGTCGTAATTAGTGGTTGGGCGTAATGCAATATAGTCGTTTTATTTTTTACAATAAAAGGCTTGCGATTGGCCCCGGCAACAACTAATAGTGACGCGAATTTACTAGACTTCAATCTGTACTGAAATAAAATATTGAATATTGTGATGGTCGCCAGTTGGTATTTTATAATGTTACAATATCGTGATTTTAGGTATTTCTATTCTGTAAATTGAATTGTGCACAAACGTTATCTATTGTTATTCTATATATTTATCCTTTATTTTATCTATATTATTTTTTAACGGGAATTTCGTGTGCTGAGCACATTAGTTTCTTCGGTATTGTTTAATACTATCATTATTCAATATGTATTTATTATTTATAGTGTTCGATAAGCGTGCACCGCGAGTTAAGTACTTACACCGGCAATCGTTTTTACGTATTCATAATACAGGGTTATTTTGACAGACAACTATTAAATATTTCATACTCGACCATGTGTAAAACCAAGTACCCTAACTTATTTCGCAACCGTAAAAACGTGTTGCGAATTGTCGCAAATTAATTGCAAAATAATGGTACTTATTTTAAACTGACCGGACAATGTCGGGGTGCCAACCTCACGGACATCATATCGCGTGGTTATTAGAACTCAACGCCGATGCGGTTCGTAACGATCTACCGTGCTAACCACGGTAGGCATTTATCGTCGGATTAAACGATAATAATATTTCGAATTGTCGTACTCTACAACACATAAAATTTCAAAAAAAAAAAAAAATGATTATAACACATTATTATATCGGCTACGGCGTATTTTACTGAAATTGTCCGTACAAGTTTTAATAATATTCGCGTAAGCAATACAATACACGTACCTTGGTTTGTAAGATTACGTTCATTCATCATACTAAAGATAACGTTTATTTTTTCCTTCACGCCGTTTCACAGATCCGACCGCTTTAGTTACACTGTCGGTGTTTGTCGGTAAACTCGACACGTTGACGGCAAACGGACATAAAGTACAGGCCATAAGGTATACAAAAAATTAGGTTCAAAAAGAAATTCAGGTATTTCTTTTATTCATAAATTACGTACCTGCGGATATTTCGGCCGAATATTATTTTTGATTTAAGAAATTCAACAGGAGGTTCATTACACAATAGTTGCACTTATTAGTGGTAAAATAAAAAAAATTAGAGTACAATATATTAATTTCTTTTTTTTTTTATAAGACATTAATTGTCGACTTAGTTGTTCTAAGATCCGATTTTTATGAAAATCGCAGATATTACGGCCTTTCAAATATAACTAACTACGCCCAGAACCGTTTTTCGCAGTATCGGCTAATTTTTTTTTTTTTTTTTGCTCTTTGAGGTGTTCTTAGATTTTTTACATTTCATTAAAAAATAACATTTATCAAATTACAATTGATTTTGAATGAAAAAACGCATAATATAATATTAGAGGGTACGATACGGTAGGAAAGAAACCCACGGGACGTCCTCGGAACTCTTATAATATATGGGGCAAATTAAATGCGACGCAAGAGTCAAAACCTTTAAGAAACACAAAGAAAAGGCGAGCAATCGGTCGGAATGGAGAATTATTGGGGTTATAAACCGACCTTCGGGTCGAAGTAAAATGGTTGTTATTTCGAACAGTCCCGGCAACCGAAATGTCCCCGTCGCAAAACGAATCTCGAAAGCGGGCAAAAATCTCGAGGGCCCGTACACCGGGCAAATAAACCGACCGACCCGGGTGATCGGAATCCGATAATTGTTCGGTTGCGCAGGCGAGCTCATTTCGCCGCACGGCTTTTTGTTACAGGCGCTCAAAACGAAGATTCTCGTAACCGACATGAACAATCGTTATTTGGAAACGCATGCCAAAGAAGAGGTACCAATGACCGCGCATATTCTTATTTAAAAAAAAAAACACGTTTACGTAGTCGCATAATATCTACTCGAGCGTTTCGCGCGTAAACGTTATTGATTTAAATACGGTTTTTTTTTTTTCTCTAACCATTGTCATTGTCATATTTACAGTTGCAATTGTTTTTCAATCAAATTTGCAGCTGTCCGATCGAATTTACCGCTTGCGATTTTTTCACGTTGAACACACATCTGATCACGTCCGTAAGTGTATCCAACGCTATTTTTACGGAATATCCACGACAAAATAATAATAATAATAATATTAATAGTCGTCGGTACGGCAATCAAATTATTTATTTCGAATAAAAAACTGTATACTATTGTTTTGTATCTTTATAGGCGATTGCGGGCGGCACCACGTATCTCGTGATACTGCTACAATTCTCGACAAACTATTGGTAAAAAAAAAAAAAAAAACGAATTTACAAAACATAATTTAAAAAATAATATTGTTTATTAAAAATGTAGTATTAACGAATATATATATGTACCGTTGACGTGACATGATAATTGCGGAATCAAAAAATTATTCAGTTTAGTTTACGCCGTCTGTCTCGCAAGTGACATACATAGCGGCGCATTTACACGATTGCGGCCCTCTGACGGTCCGACGGTCGAGTTTAGCACAAAGAAGAAATTGTATTATATGACTTAAATTTAAAAAAAAAAAAAAAAGAATGGTGATCTAGGGCTCGGGACTTTACGCACTTAACATCCACAAAAAAGCGATCAAAACCGTCAAAAAAGCCTTGAAAACACGCTTAAAAATAAAAAAAATAAAACGATAGTGTGTTGGTAGTACGGGTGAGAATTTTTGAACTATTCTGTCATTTTTGATTTAAAAAAAAAAATAATAATAATTTTAGTGCTCTTTTGACATTTTTAAACTTTTTTGTGGATTTTAAATTTATAAAGTCCCGAGCCCCGTTTATTACTATTATTGTTGTAATTTTTTTTTAAATATTTTTTTTTTTTTTTTTTAATCTTGTTACGCGTGTTTTAATTCAACTAGTTTTTTTTTTAACTCTAACAATTATATGTACATTCATTTTTTAAACGGAAACATCGAAATGCTTTCTATTATTGCCTTTGTACTTATATTGCGTAGCGCGAGAAACGCAGAGAAAACAAACTATGTTATTATTAGTGACCAGGCACCTCAACGCGGTATACTTTCTATTGGACTAACGTGTGTTAAAACGAAGTGACGAATGTAAATTATGTATTAAAAGTCAGAATAAAAGAATATTGATTTGTATTTTTCAAACACGAAACGTTTCAGAAAACCTAACTTATAAAAAATAAAAATGATTATTCTCAACAGACGCAAATTTAAATATTCATTACGAGTCCTGATCGTTATAATGATAGCTGTTAACATTTGTTCAACAACAATCCTAAACGAACAGGTCAAATGGTTTTAACTTTCGCATTAAAACTGGCCTGCGCGTTGTTTTGCTCAAAACAACAATGTATTTTACAGGGAAAACCCTTGGGTCTCACAGACTTGAACGTCAAAATGAGATTAAAAAATATGTAATAATAATAATAAATCGTATCTTGCAAAAGCTCTAAAGTCCAAGGTACCCGCGTGCTTCGTTCCAGGTATAAATTTAGGTCTGTATCGTACAAATTCGAAACTAAGGACATCCCACGAGAGGACATAATTTTACAACGGTAGAAATACCTGCAGCACGGTGAAGTAAGTTTAGAATATTTGAAAATAGTTCGATTAAAAAATCGACCATTTAATTAAAACTGAATGATTTCCATTTATTTTTATTTTTGAAAATTTTAAATATTATGAAAGACTGAAAAAAAATCGACCAATTCATTACAATTATATTTAAAAAATTCTCATTATTTTTATTTATTCGTGTGCACCCAGGCATACGTTATTATATTACAGTCGCGATTAAAATTTAATCGATTTAATATTGATTGTATTTAAAATATTTTCAAATTGTATAAATTATCAATGTCGGTATGAATAATATTAGATTCTGAGCGTAGCGAGAATCGAACACTACAAACATAGTATAGTTTTACGAAATCGCTCTAACAAACCCTACTCGGAGTTGTTAGACAATTGTTAGAATTTGTTAGATAAAAGTTCAGAAATATTTCATTTTATACAACACGTGTAGTGTCAGATATACACACTCGCCACTGTAATAATGTAAAATTAAAAAGACCAATCGAACAAAATTAGTTTAGATTCCAGCGAGTTTCAAAACACGTCTGACAAATCTATTTGAATACATAGCAATGAAATCCGACTGCCCTAACATTGCTTTATTTTAATTTACAACGGTTTTTTAGCCAGCGCTACTAATTTAACCGGCCGTTATCGTTGTACAATCATCTAATAATTGAGCAAATACGTAATCAGTAAAGAATTAATTTTAAACTCCAACGAGGTTTAAAACACATCAATGTTTTCGAGCGATTACGAACAATGTTTAGCTCGCCTAACTCGTATTCGTTAAATTACGAAATATTGCACGTGTATTTCAGTTTGTAGCACAGGAAATTGCGTACGTATTTCTCGGTATATTCTCGTAGTATTAATATTATATTATTCCTATTAGAGTTTTTTTTGTTATGATTATAATTTTAACGAAACGTCTGTTTTTTGTTGTTGTTTACTTAATAAAAAATTATTCGTTTTTTTTTTTCCCGAGCACGTCTCTCATAGAAGTGAGTTGACGTAATATTATGGCGCGCGAACGAGCATTTATACGCCGAAATGATGATTTATTATTAACTGTGAGTACTATGAATAATAGCGGTATGTCTGCAGTATAATAATTACGTACAAACAAACTATTAATATTTTTTTTTTTTTTTTTTACGCCCGTCAGCGTGTCCGTCCGTCTAAATAACGTCAACATGCAGTAACTATAGGCAAATTGTGTGCAATATTGAGTATACGAAATACATCGAGCGGCCTGCACACCGACGTTTTTCTTCTCTGTCTGTCTCGTGCACAACATAATGATAGATATTGCGTGACCTTCAGGCGTCTGTAAAAAGAGAACGATCAATTAAAATACATATTTAATACAAAACATGTCTCTCTGTCCCTGTTCTCTATACGTTCACTCTCCGTTGGGTTTCCGGTTCCAACCGCAGCTTTAATCAAAAGGAATTAAACAAAATCCAGAATTCACAGCTAATAGAAGTACAACATTTTAAATGAAATCGGTTAAGGGATAGCCTGGTAGGCTTTAAACGCGACCATTTTTATGTGACCGGACGCGTTGAAATACGTTGTTGCGGCTCTGTCCTCAACGTGCTTCTTCGCATAGTCTGCTCGGCCTAATCGGCGAAACCGAACCGAAAAGACCGGTTCCGTGACCAGTTATCAAAGAAAAATTGAGAACCAGAACCTGCATTGGAACCCATATTTTTCAGTTCGAGGAACCGGAACCGGGATCGGAGAACCTATTAAATAAAATACAAATATTTTCGGTTCGTTTAGTTTCTGAGAAATAAATGAACGTTTTGTTTAACTGAAGTTTGTTTCGATCAAATAAACGCAAGCTTCTATTTATCAGGGGATTTTTTTTATTTTTTTTTGGGGGGGGGTATTTATATCACCTACCTACGGTATTTTCAACTCGAAATAATCTTATTATACAACCGTCAGCTATTAATTGTATCTACAAAACATACGCATTGCGATTTGATAACGAAGGATCGTAAATGAAAAATCGGCCAAAATTTGCGTACAAATCGCCGTAGAACACCCTAGAAAGTTAAAATATTAATTGTAAAATCACAGGTAATGTTCTTAACTTTTAGTTTGTTAATAGGCACTGTTAATAGATCGATTCGCTCTGATGATAAAAGTACAGACAGCGCAATCTCGGTTCTGCCGAATGTGAATTTTTTGTTGCGTGTAAATCAGAGGAAAAATAAATTGCGTGCTGCCGCACCGACGTACTCTTCAAGCAATATTTTTTTCAATTTTTCACTATGGCAGTATATTACTTTTAACAAATTAGGTTTTAGTATTTCGGATTTTTTACCAATTACACTCCATATTATGAGTACAATATAATGTTTAATTTTTTTGTTATGCGGATAATAGATGGGCCACTGTATATCTGTACGCGACGGTTAATCTTTGCTAACGAAAAACGATTATGAATGCAGTACGGTTGTACGCGTTTTAAAAAGCCGTAATATTTATGATTTAAAAAAAAATACATTTCGTACATTTTCCCGTTTATACTACGTTTTTTTTTACCGGTTTTCCCATTTGTTATGAAAATACACCGGGAAATCAAAAAATGACCTCTCCAAAGTACTACACCGGAAAAAGTCTCTTTCAGAAAAGGTTTTACACTTTATACAAAAAAAAAAAAAAATTAAAAAAAAATTGTAAAACCAATAAATTCCCCACTACGCTCAGACTCCGAAAAATACGTAATAAGCAATCGGTTAATATAAATACGTGTGTTTTAAAGAGCCGGAACCGAAACCTATTTTTTTTTTTAATAATCGAACCGAATAACAATCATTATTCTCCCACTATAGACCATTGCCCACAAATAGGGGCTCCTTCAATCACTCCCTTAACCCGAATATTGAAGTTTACACCAGGCTACTTTAGATCGATATAGTATTTTAATCGAACACGACTATACTGAGTGTCCCACGAAATTATACCGATTATTGTAATATCTCCGAAGATAACGAAGATAATCAAATTCTGTATATTTTTTTTTTTTTTTTTATATTACTCACAGAGATGAGCGCTACAAATATTAACACAGCGATTAATTTTTTGTCTTTTGGTGAAAAATTTAAATATATAAATTTGTTTAATTAAAATTAAAAAATTTGAAATTGTCTATTTTATAGAGTGTATTCTTCGCCTGCTGCATAATAATTGGACGTGCTCTTCTGTGAATTTTAGGAAGTTATTAAATATCACGGGTTTAATGACATTGAAACGTCGATACGTCAACATTTTCATAAAAAAAAAAAACTTTATAAAAAAGCTGTGTTCGAATTGTTCAAAACTAATAAAATAAAAAGTTATTTTCTTACCAAAACACAAAATATTTAATTTGCAACGTAAATATTTTTAGTCCCAACCCCTGTCAATAATGTACAAAAACCGGAATTCCATTATCTCAATTATCTCAGGATAAATAACAATGGGCGTATCTTCGTGGGACACCCTGTATAATAACATTTAACTCCAGTAAAATATAACGGAATATAATTTGTACACCCATTGAGAAATTCGATTCTCTTGGAAATAACGATATACAAGTACTTATACCGCTTTTACGCACACGGACGTCGTGTAAACGGACGGCTGTCCGTCATATTTCGTAAATCGTCGAACACGGTGACCGACCGAACTTTACGGGTTTTTAAACTCCCGGAATTATAGAGGCTTATATTCTATGGGCGTTCTAGTTACTTATTACTCCGTGCGCGTTCCGGAACACAAAAGGCTTTTTTTTTTCTCATAAGTTTTCGCGTTCAAAAAAACCGTACCGTACACACAGGTTACGATGTTCGAGTTGTTCTGGCCGGCGAAATGTTGCGACGACCTCGGCGTGTTGTTTTCCGTGTGGCTGGTCGCGTCGTGCGTTTACAGTTTCGCGCGTGCTTCGAAAATCAAGTGCATCTTGGAGAAATGCGACGACCTGATGTCCATCTTAACCGTGCCCATGTTCCCGCGGACCGTGGCGTGCATGTGCGCGGTGGCCGTGATCGCGTACACGTGCCAACGCGCCAGCAACAGATTCGCCGAGTACGAAGAAAGAATCGAACGGTACGCGGTGTGCTTTCCGATGGGCGTTCGCAAGGCAAACGCGCGGCGTGTTTACACCGCGCTGGTGGCGGCCGTTTACGCGACAGTGACGGTCCCAGCCAACGCGTACAGGATTTATCTGTTCTGCAAGCTGCACGAAGGCTGGGAACTGATCGCGTTTTACGTACTCTTGTACGGGCAGAACTTTGTAACGTGCCTGTCGGAATTACGGTTTTTGCTGTACTGTTTCGAGCTGTTCCAACACTTTCAGCTGATCAACGAGGAAATATCCGCGATCAAGTCGAAAACGATCGTCGCCAACAAATACCCGCTGGTATTGCGGTCCGACGAGTACCGCCGAGCCGGCAACAACGTCATCGGTTCGGCCACCGCCACCAAAGACGATCGCGGCGTTCCGCACCGGTTAAAACAGTACCTGTTGTCCAAGAACATCGAAACGCTCAAGGTGCGACACCAGTTCGTGAGCGACGCGGTCAGAGACCTGAACGAACTCTACGACGTCCAACTGGGAGTGACGCTTTTCGGTCTTTTCCTAATGACGTTGTTCGATATATTCGATGCGATCTCGGCGGCCGCCAACGACAGCGCGCCGCCGAACCGGACGAAAAACTCGTTCCTGGTACACAGTTGGTTAACGCAATACAGTTTCAGATTTTGTGTAATCGTACTGACGGCTCATTTCACCGTCAAACAGGTACATATCTATGCATGTCCATAGCATATGTAAGCAATCGCGTTAATGCGATGCGGGCTTTGAATTTGAAAAATAAGCATTGAAAATCGATAATAATAATCACAAGAATAACAATAACGAGCAATTTAAAAATCATAAATATAGTTAGTATTTTAATAGGAAGCGCAATAATGCTGTTAAAAAACCGTTTAATAATATTAATCAGCATACACGTAATAACCATCAATAATAATAATAATAATCATAAACAAATATCATAATTAGCGTTTTAACATAATAACCGATATTAATCATAATCGTATGTTTAATAAGGGTATTCGTTGATTATTGTTATCATTATTGATTAATATTATTAAAAGTACTGATGATTATAATGATGCTGATTTCATTATCATTATTTAAGTGATAAATATATTTTTTATTTCCTATTTTGATTTTTATCAAAATTATGATAACAATTATGGTTTTCAATGCGTTCATTATTATTGATTTTATTATTATCATCATCATTATGTTAGATTTTGATTAGAGCGAAGCTCATGGTTTTACAGAGATGTTTATTTTTTTATTTTATTTTTATTTTTTATTTTTTTTATCTGTGCACAACTTTTATACCAGCAATTTTACTCCGATTAACAATGAAAGCATTTATTTTCCATAAAAATAAATAAACATCTTTGTAAAACTAATACATACTTCGCTACACTCAGAGTCTAAAATAATAATAATAATAATAATAAGGACTTTAAAAATCATAATCATAACCAGCAATAATCATGATGAGCAATTTAATAATGATAATCAAATCAGCATCATAACAATGATAAATACTTTTAAGAATATAAATCAACAATGATAAACAGAAATCATATAACAATTAACAACCGCCAATCATAAAAGTTATTATTAACAAATATCATTATTAGCATTTAATTTAAATAACCAATAATAATCATAATCATAATTATAAGAAGGGTAATACAAATAAGCGTAAAGATAATAATAATTATTATTTTTATTATAATCAGTATTTTAACAAAATAACCATTAATTATCATAATCATAATTTTAAGAAGGATATTTGTTGATGATTATTATTATAATTGATGGATGTTATAAGTATACTGATTATTATTTTTGTTGATTAATGTAATTTAAGGTCTCATGACTGATATGACGCTGATTTGATTATTATTATTAAAATGTGCATTATTAGTGGTGATTATTACTATTATTTAAGTGATCATTATATTTATTCTTACCTATTATGCATCTTACTAAAATTATGATAATGATTTTTAAAGTGCTCATTATTATTATTGTCATCATAAACTTAGATTCTGAGTGGAGCGAAGAAGCTCATAGTTTTTTCAATGTTTTTCATATTTGTTTACAAAACTCCTGGAAAATCAAAAAATGACCTCTTTAAAGTACCTCTGCAGTCAGATTTCCTTTAAGAGAAATTGCTATCATTGTAAATTGGAACATGATATCTGGTTGAAAATTTGCGAACAGATTAAAAAAAATAAATAATAAAACAAACACCTTTGTAAAACTTTAAGTTCCTTTGCTCCATTTAGAATCTAAAAAACAACAGTGATAAACAGGAAGTCGGAGATTTGATCACCTGTTTTATAATATGACAGAAACAATGTTCTTTGAAAAACCGCGAATAACAAAACATTACTGTACTACAGTTAAACCTTCTTCTAATAATACTTATAAAATAAAAATTGTGAAATTCAAGCACAACAATGGTAAACGCGGAGATGAAAATTTGAAACACTCAAATGACACATGCTTAATACTAAAATTGTCAAGGCCGTATACAGGGGAAGGAGTCTGGGATTCATCCCCCCCCCCCAAGACATTTTTAAAGTAGGTACATATTAAAAATAAACAAACACTCACTGCAAGTTTATTAAACAAGTTTTAAAATATCTCGTTTTTTTTACAGTTTTCGTGAAAACCAAACCTTAAGCTATTATGAAAAAATTATTGCTCTGCGCTAAATTTATTTTTACATCTAAGCACGACTTGTTACGATGTACCTCGTGTAAAATTGCCCAGCATTTTCGACTTCAATTTTTTCCCCGAAAAATTGCTGTAATATTTACTGATATTAATAAATACCTTTGATTTCTTATGTCCTATTATATTTGTATATTATAAAATCAATGATAATACCGATACCGATCAAAGCTCGATGTGTTCAATATTCGATGTTTAAACTATACCTACCTACTATAATATAAATCGTCTGAAAATTATTTAACGTTGAACTTCAATTTGTTTCTGATTTTCACCGTCCTTTTCAGGCGTCAAACTCGAAAACTCTCATAACCGATGTAAATCATCGTTTCATGGACACGCATACGAAAGAGGAGGTAAAAGCGTTTACTCAAAAAACAATATTTACATTCGTTGTGTTTAGAAACGACTTATATTTATTTTTCAACCTTTTCAGTTACGATTGTTTTTGAACGAATTGAATACCCGTTCGGTACAGTTTACGACTTTCGACTTTTTCAATTTGAACGCACGTCTAATAACATCCGTAAGTTGTCGTTTTTAATTCGAATATTTGCTTCTATTTTTCCTTTTTTTTTTATCCGCGAACGACCAAATAATATTATAACTGTAGTTTACACAACATTTAGTCTAATGTAAATGTATTTTTTTAAATTTTTTTTTTTTTCCAGGCCATCGTCGCGGGTACAACTTATCTCGTTATATTGTTACAGTTTAGAATTTAAATGCCGCGGAAAATCTGGTAGTTTAATAGCCAAATGTCATACTTTTATTTGTACGTTTACGTTTAAACGAAATGGTATAAACAATATTATTGTCATCGTACTAATTTTATAATATAGTTGTATACGATTAAATTGGAACGATAAAATAAAATATGAAAATAAATTAAATATTTACCAATGCATTTATTATTTCCGAATCGTATTAATAATAATAATTAAAAACAACATTGATTTGGATAGCGTTTGTGAATAAGAGTACTAGTTAAATTGTATAACTTTTCTGCAGGAGACCGAAAAACTGAATACAGGTTTGTATAGACTATCGTGATTACATACACTTAGTATTTACATGATATTAAAAGAAGGCGGACAAATTTTTGTATACCGCCTAATTCCCTACAAAAATGATGCGTATTGTTAAATTTAGTGAAATGCATCAGACTTGGGAAGGTAGAGGGGAAATTTATCGTATATTTATATGCAACGATTATAATTCTTGCTAACGAAAAAAGCGGAGTTTAGTAAAGAGTTTGGCTTTGCCAACAATATAAAATATGACATACATAATATGTCACTGTAAATCACATATGCATAATATAATATATCTAGTAGCCGTAGTATTACTATGACGTAGTTGGCCTTTTGCCTTTTTTGTGGATTTTAGGAACACATAAATCCGGTCGATAGTAATGAGTCAATATAGTGAAAAAACAAACCAGAATTTGGCATCGTTGATATTTTAAATTTTAATACAATTTCAACTCACCAATATTAACTTAGTTATATGGTTAATATGTAAATTATTTCTACAAATGTATACATAGCAGTTTTGGTGAAAAAAAAACCGTTTACCGTTGTTTTTCGCATTTATTTATTAACGAAAATTACCTATTTGCCCGTAAAACATCATCATCACATAGAGTCTCATAGAGTAATAAAATTAAAGAAAATACTAATAACACTCAAGGAGAGATCCAATTTGAACGGTTTCACGACGCACTGTGTTTCTACTTATAAGTTTGAGTAAGCCCAAACTTTCGAATGACGACGAGACCATATTATGGCTTTTGAATGACGACGGTGTCGATGCATAGTCTCATACGGTGTTCGACCCACCGGGTTGTAATTTTTCGCTTCATTTATGTTACCTCCAACCTCATTGAAGATGAATGAATTCAATTTTTTAATTTTTTTAGAGTTATGTTAATTTTTGTCGAATTTAATAAACGATAAAACTTCACGACTGTGTTTCTATACTGTACAATTATTATGCAACCGTTTCAGATAATTGATACGAATTTTATCTTTGTGAGTCGATGCTATTTTTTAAATAACATATAACATTACTCACACTTTATTGTAGTCGTCTTATACAAAATATTAAACTAATGATGTTATTTATAACAAGCTGAATTATTCAGCTTCTTCTATGTTCGATTTTGAATCAATTTTTTCTATTTACTAAACATAACTAATTTTACGTACGAAGATTTGTATATATATATAATATCTCCGGCGATAATAAGGTTAATCAAACTCTCAGGTTTTTTTTTTTATATTAGTCACAGGGATGAGGACTACAAATATTTATACTGCAATTCATTTTTTATCTTTTGATAAAAATTTAAAAAAAATAAGTTAATTCTGTTATTTTTAAAAAAACTTCATGTTAGCCATTTTATAGAGTGTATTGTTTGCATGGTGAACAATAATTGTAAGTACTTCTCTGTTAACTTTAGCAGGTTATTAAAAATCACGAATTTAATGACATTGAAACGTCAATACGTCAACATTTTCATAAAAACAAACTTTATAAAAAAGCTGTATTCGAATTGTTCAAAACTAATAAAATAAAAAGTTATTTTCTTACCAAAACACAAAATATTTAATTGCAACGTAAATATTTTTAGTCCCAACCCCTGTTAGTATTGTATAAAAACCGGAATTCCATTATCTCTATTATCTCAGGAGATATAACAATGGGCGTATCTTCGTGGGACACCCTGTATCATAACATTTAACTTCGGTACAATATAATAGAATATAATTTGTACACTTATTGAGAAATGCTTTTCTCTTGGAAATAACGATATACAAGTACTTATAAGCACTTAAAAGGTCGTCGTGAAAACGGACGGCTGTCCGTCATATTACGTAAGTCGTCGAACACGGCGACCGACCGAACTTTATGGGTTTTTAAACTCCCGTAATTATAGAGGCTTATATTCTATGGGCGTTCTAGTTACTTATTACTCCGTGCGCGTTCCGGAACACAAACGGCTTTTTTTTTTCTCATAGGTTTTCGCGTTCAAAAAAAAAACCGTACCGTACACATAGGATACGATGTTCGAGTTGTTCTGGCCGGCGAAATGTTGCGACGACCTCGGCGTGTTGTTTTCCGTGTGGCTGGTCGCGTCGTGCGTTTACAGTTTCGCGCGGGCCTCGAAGATCACGTGCATCTTGGAAAAATGCGACGACCTGATGTCCAACATAACCGTGCCCATGTTCCCGCGGACCGTGGCGTGCATGTGCGCGGTGGCCGTGATCGCGTACACGTGCCAACGCGCCAGCAACAGATCCGCCGAGTACGAAGAAAGAATCGAACGGTACGCGGTGTGCTTTCCGATGGGCGTTCGCAAGGCAAACTCGCGGCGTGTTTACACCGCGCTGGTGGCGGCCGTTTACGCGACAGTGACGGTCCCAGCCTACGCGTACAGGATTTATCTGTTCTGCAAGCTGCACGAAGGCCGGGAACTGATCGCGTTTTACGTACTCTTGTACGGGCAGAACTTTGTAACGTGCCTGTCGGAATTACGGTTTTTGCTGTACTGTTTCGAGCTGTTCCAACACTTTCAGCTGATCAACGAGGAAATATCCGCGATCAAGTCGAAAACGATCGTCGCCAACAAATACCCGCTGGTATTGCGGTCCGACGAGTACCGCCGAGCCGGCAACAACGTCATCGGTTCGGCCACCGCCACCAAAGACGATCGCGGCGTTCCGCACCGGTTAAAACAGTACCTGNTTTTTACAGTTTTCGTGAAAACCAAACCTTAAGCTATTATGAAAAAATTATTGTTCTACGCTAAATTTATTTTTACATCTAAGCACGACTTGTTACGATGTACCTCGTGTAAAATTGCCCAGCATTTTCGACTTCAATTTTTTCCCCGAAAAATTGCTGTAATATTTACTGATATTAATAAATACCTTTGATTTCTTATGTCCTATTATATTTGTATATTATAAAATCAATGATAATACCGATACCGATCAAAGCTCGATGTGTTCAATATTCGATGTTTAAACTATACCTACCTACTATAATATAAATCGTCTGAAAATTATTTAACGTTGAACTTCAATTTGTTTCTGATTTTCACCGTCCTTTTCAGGCGTCAAACTCGAAAACTCTCATAACCGATGTAAATCATCGTTTCATGGACACGCATACGAAAGAGGAGGTAAAAGCGTTTACTCAAAAAACAATATTTACATTCGTTGTGTTTAGAAACGACTTATATTTATTTTTCAACCTTTTCAGTTACGATTGTTTTTGAACGAATTGAATACCCGTTCGGTACAGTTTACGACTTTCGACTTTTTCAATTTGAACGCACGTCTAATAACATCCGTAAGTTGTCGTTTTTAATTCGAATATTTGCTTCTATTTTTCCTTTTTTTTTTTATCCGCGAACGACCAAATAATATTATAACTGTAGTTTACACAACATTTAGTCTAATGTAAATGTATTTTTTTAAATTTTTTTTTTTTTCCAGGCCATCGTCGCGGGTACAACTTATCTCGTGATATTGTTACAGTTTAGAATTTAAATGCCGCGGAAAATCTGGTAGTTTAATAGCCAAATGTCATACTTTTATTTGTACGTTTACGTTTAAACGAAATGGTATAAACAATATTATTGTCATCGTACTAATTTTATAATATAGTTGTATACGATTACTTAATTAAGATAAACGAAATTGGAACGATAAAATAAAATATGAAAATAAATTAAATATTTACCAATGCATTTATTATTTCCGAATCGTATAATAACAATAATATAAAACAACATTGATTTGGATAGCATTTGTGAAAAAGGGTACTAGTTAAATTGTATAACTTTTCTGCAAGAGACCGAAAAACTGAATACAGGTTTGTATGGACTATTGTGATTACATACACTTAGTATTTACATGATATTAAAAGAAGGCGGACAAATTTTAGTATACAGCCTAATTCCCTACAAAAATGATGCATATTGTAAAATTTAATGAAATTCATCACAACTTGGGTAGGTAGAGAGGTTATCTATCGTATATTTTTACGCAACGATTGCATAAAGTGAGACCCTTAATGAATCTCCTGTTAAATTGTCATGCATTTCTTTTTAGTCTAAAAATTTTACCACAGAGTACCTACCAAATAAAAATTACGTACAAACTCGCAAAATTAAAATGTCTATTAAAGCTCAATAATAGCTGAACATTTTTATAAATTTTACTCCGCCTAAAAATGGCAAGTATAAATTTCCTGTCCTAATTTCAAGACTCTACGAATATTTTTAACCGAATTACAACAAATAACAAAATTGAAAAATAATATTGAAAAGCAATATTTTTGTGATTTTCTCGTTTTCCTTACGTTTTATCCCGGCTTTTCCCAGATAATATGAAAACCACTTGGAAAATCAAAAAATGACCTCCCAAAGATACTATCTGGATAACATTTCAGAAATTGTGTCGCGCGCAAATACCTGAGCTAGATTTTTATCGATTTCTTCTACACAATAAACATAAAAAAAAAAATAAATAATCATCTTAGTAAAACCAATACATTCTTCGCTCCATTTAGAATCTAAAAACAAAATTGAAAATAATAAAATCTTTATTTTCGTAAATTTTCTCTTTTTTACCGAATTTTCCTAATTATTATGATTGACGACAGTTATATTATATACGTAAAATGGCTAAAAATCGGTTGAAAAATATACTTTTTGTAATCGCTAATATTTCGTTGAAAAAATCAACGTGTCGTGTTACCGGGCTCAGTATTGGAATATATTAAAAAAAAAAAAAAACAAAAATGTATTATTTACGTTTCTGCATAATATATTATTATTTTATGCACTATAATGAGTAAACAAAATGGCGTAGTTGTTGTTGTTGTTTTTTCGTGAGTTTTCAGTACGTACCCATTCCGTTACCGAAAACCGACGACGTCGTCAATTTTCAGCGCGTTTTTACGGGATCGTTCGACCGGCGCATTCGCGGTATTTCGTGACGGCCGCGCGATGATCCCGAAATGGCCAAGGCTGTTTTGGAACGTGTTCAGCGTGATGTCCACCGATCGGAGACACAACAAATGGCAAATCGTCTACTCGGTGTTTTTGATGGTATCGTCCGTGTACAGTTTTTACTCCACGCCCAGACTGGTGTGCACGCTGGAAGGCAGCTGCGACAATTCGCTGTCGACGGTGATCAAAGGGCTGTTCGCCAGAGTGGTGGCTTTCACGTGTTTCATGTCCAGGCTTTTGGTGATGGTCAAGGGCAAGACCCTGTTGGTCCGGTACTCGGCGAACCTGGAGAAATTCCACGCGTTCTCGCCCATGACCCGCGCCGAGACGGTGGCGCTGGGCAGACTCTCGTCGATGCTCGTGCTCGGTTGTCTGCTGCTCACGTTGCCAGTGAACACGTTCAAACTGGCGTTGATTTATATCAAATCGCGGTACGTCGTGATCGATTTCGGGCTGATGTACGTGCAGAACATCAGCATGTTCTGCATCGAGACTCATTTCAGTGTGCTGTGTTTCGCGCTCTATCAGAAGTTCGTAGCGATCAACCGGGACCTGACGGCGCTGAAAATCGACACGGTCGCCCGGAACAAATATCCGTTCGCGTCGCGGACCGGATACGAGTACAGGCGGAAAACGAACGGCGACGGCGCCGCGGTCGCAGATTACAACCGGGACATTTTGCAATCGCTGCGCGCCGGACGTCCGATGGCCGATTTCGCGGAACGGTTGAAAATCAAACACCGGCTGGTGCGCGAGGCGGTCAGAAACCTGAACGACCTGTTCGGCTTCCATCTGGGACTGTCCCTGTGTTCGTTGTGCTTGTACGCCATATTCGATTTGTACTATCACCTGCTGGGCCTGTGGAACATCCAATACCAGACGTTGGTTTACGGTTGGCTATTGCAGTACACCGCCCGGTTCGGGTCCGTCACGATTCTGGCGCACTTGCTGACGAAACAGGTGATTCTAATCTGTTTATACAGAATATACGCATTTTAGATTCTGAGTGGAGCGAAGAAGCTTACGATGGTTTTACAGTGATGTTTATTTTTTTTTTTTTTTATCTTTGAGCAACTTTTCTACCAGCAATTTTGCTCCGGTTTACAATTTAAGAAGTTTTTCAGAAAGGAAATCAAACTGGGCAGGTAACATAGGTGCTTTATTTTTTGATTTTCCAAGAAGTTTTTCCAATACACGGGAAAAACCGAGAAAAAACATGGGAAAATTGGAAGAACAGGAAAATAGGTACAGTGTTAAACAAATATTATTAAAGAAAACGTTCAATGCAGATGTAATTATTTTACCATAATATGACATATTATACATTGTTATATTGTTGACAAAGCAACACTATTAACTAATCTCCGCTCAGATTCGTTTTTTTCATTAACAATGGTTAGTCGTTGCTTATAGATATACAGCTAGTGATTCCCGTCTGTATCGTACTTTCCCAACTTTCCACTTACAACAGTGGCTGCACCCGTCCCAATTATCCTAGAACAGATTTTTTATGTTTGTTGCTTTACAAAACAACATTTATAAGTATTATTGCATATTTGTTTCTTAGACATCATTTTGTTTTAAACTTGAAATGGCCTTTTGGTTTTTTTTGCTACGTTGAGAACGCAATTAATTAATTTGAATAAGTTTAACGATTTGTTTCACCTACAACATGAATTCGTCTTTGTTTTTCAATTTTCTCGTATCCAGCACATTTCTAAAAAATCATTCACATATAAACATAGTTTGATATTTTTTCACTTTTTAGTTTTTACGCTACACAGTAGTTAGTAGGTAACAAAATAAAGTTAATCTTATCGATTGGATATACCGGACAGATTTAAAAGTATATGTACCCTCCCAAAACGTTCGTTAGAGTTCGAGTTAGGTCGTCATTAATTGTCAAAAGTTGCTATTCGATTGATATATCCCATTATTTACACGGCATTTATCCGTATCTTTTTCGTGGCAATTCTTTTTTTTTTTTTTTGTAACTAAAAATATATTTTTTGTTGTAGGCACTCAAATCTAAGGTTCTCTTAACGGATATAAATAATCGTTATTTGGATTGCAATACGAAAGAAGAGGTAAACTATATTGTATAATACTATAATATTTGTTGAAACCGTAATAGTTATAACTAAAAAGTTAAAAACGAAATTATATAATACGTTACTTTTTTCGATGAATAATTTCAACATAACTCGATTATTATTAATTATTAACATTTTTTTTGTAGATATTACAATTTATTATTTACGAATATTTTGTACAAAAAACTATGTAGATACTTGTGATTTTTGTATTTATTTTTTGATAAAAATATATTTACGAGAAATGTGAACTACTATGCATATGACGACCGCATGCGTCCAATGTGATACGAGTACGACTAATGGTTTTATAGCTTTTAACTCAACTCGTTATCATTTTCCTGATAATTCGTTACTATTTTATTTAGTTAAATCAAATTAATTTATATACTTAAAAAAAAATTTAACCTAAAGCTTTTAGTTATTTGTATTTGGTTTAGGAAAACAATTTAAGCTATAGTTAACCGAAATTTAGTTAACCTCGCCCAGTTTTGATAGACCTATAATTAAATCGGATCAAGAAGTAATGATATTAAATTGATTTTAATGCAATTATAAACCATTGGAATACGATTAAAAAAACAATTTTTTTTTAATTATAGTTGCAACTATTCTTCAATCAGATTTGCAGTAGTGCGATCGAATTCACTGCGTGCGATTTTTTTACTTTGAATACGCATCTAATTACATCGGTAAGTTTGCATCGCTAATTTAAAAAAGATCTGTATCAGAAATTCGCGACTAAAATACAATATTCCCCTCTAACTATTTTGTATAGTAGAAATATTCTTTACAATACAATAAATAACCGAAATCTGCTATAATAATACAATACATACTATATATACTAAAAAACTAAAGTACTTCGGAAAAAAAAATTTAAAAGGTACTATTCGATCATAAAAATGGTAGGAGAGAAGGTTAAAACTGACAATAGGCACATCGCCTGGCTGCATACGAATTTTTGAGAAAAACAGATATAACTGCAGTTTCGGTCACCCCATTTATAGTATATTTTCTAGTTGCGATCATGCATTTAAATGTCCGAATTATTCGACAATTTAATAGTTTCAGAGCACAACGTGTCCAAAGTGCGTTGTTAAAATGTTTTTAGAAATAAAACTCGATATTGTAATCGTTGGATAAAACGTCAAGTTAAACTGACAAATAACTATTATTAATATCACTTTTGTGACGATAAAGATATTTTAAGATGGATCTAACCTAATAATTACAGGTATGGACGTTAGTCACTTTCTTTATTTTAGTCACTTAAAGTAATTTTTTTTTTAGATATTCTCATTCAGTTTATACAAATAATAATTATATTAACGTTTATTACGATATATTGGTATCTTACTAGTTCTCAAGGAATGATAACGTTGGTAATAAAAAAAAAAAAAATGGCTAATGTCAGTTATATCTTATTTTGTAGTCGCACTGATTTGAATTCAACAGTTACTGTAAAAGATGCGCTTAGAAATTGAAAGTCTTATTTAATACTGCAGGCATATTTTTAAGCAATCGTTTTTTAGTTATAATTAAAGTTGTTATTTATCTTTAAATTATCACTAAATTATTCTTTATTAAAACTCGATTGTTTACATACCATATCCATGTCATACCAATCCTAGCCTATCATATTATTATAATAATTATTATCTAACTACTACTATTTATGTTAAATAGGTGTATTTTTAGATTCTGTGTGAAACGAAGAATGTATTGGTTTTACTAAGATGTTTATTTATTTTTTATTTTTTTTTTATCCTGTGTACGAAAATTCGACGAGAAATCTTGCTCAAATATATACGCGCAACACCATTCCTGAAAGGGAATGTTATCCAGATAATATTTTTGGGAAGTCATTTTTGATTTTCCAAGCGGTTTTCATAATATCTGGGAAAAACCAGAATAAAACATAAGAAAAACGGGAAATGTACGAAATTAATGTTTTTATTATTTTATCAATTTTGTTATTTGTTGTAATTCAGTTAAAAATATTCATAGAGATTTGAAATTTGGATAAAACTGATACTTGCCTTTTCTAAACGTGGTCAAATTTACAAAAAATTTAAGCCATTTTTGAGCTATTGATAAACGTTTTAATTTAGCGAGTTTTGTACGTAATTTTTATTCGGTAGGTACTCCGTGATTAAACTGTTAGACGTAACAGAAATAATTGACAATTTAACAGGAGGTTCATCAAATCTTACTTAATGCTAAAAAAAATCGCGTGTCGATATCAACATCACGAAACAGTGAATTAAATAAATATAAACCCAATTAGGTAATTTAAGACTTGACGGTTTTTTTACAATTTATTCAAGTCCAAATTTATGTGACTAATAATTATGTCCAAGTCCTATAGAATAACGCGAGTTGTATTGCATCCAGCTTGGAGGTGCTAGCTTAAGAGGACGCGACTCGTACATTTGTTGAGTCCGTCTTTTTAGTGTTCTAAAGCTGTTAAAGTGTTAATATTAAATATCTAAACATTTTTTTTTTCAATCGGTTTGTCTTCCTGAGAGACATCGATTTGCAAAAAAATTAAATTTTTATTTTCATTTCAAAAAAAAATAATTTTTTATTTATTCACTTTATAAAATTTTCAAAATAGCCATTATTATTCTAAACATTTTAATGTATCACACATTCATATCCGGTGAACAGTGCTTTAGTAGCAGCCGTTTTAATTTCTAGAAAAAAAATGTGAAAACAATTATTGATATTCAATAATTAATTACAATCGCCGCACGGTAATTCCCTATCGCAACAGTAATTTATTGAATATTAATTGAAACACCGATTGGAAACGAAAATATTTAATATTAGCAGCTCTAGACAAATCCGTCAAACATGGTGGTCTGCAAAACAACTCTAATCTCAGAGTTTGGTCTTGTTTGGTCCAGTTAAAAATTTCAAAAAGGAGCGGGCTTAAAGATCTATGTAAAAGCATTCACAGATACACACGATACACCGCAATAGTCTCTATTTTCGGCGGAGGGGAGGGGGGGTTTTGGAAATTCGATAAAAATATAAACACAAATGATACAACAATAAACTATTGTTGAATTTTAATTTTTTTGTTTTTTTTTTCTTGTTTTGTTTTTGGTTATAGGCATTTGCTGCAGCTACGACCTATCTCGTTATACTATTCCAATTCAATTCAGCGAAACAAGAACACGAATAATAATAGTAATAATACTGTATTAATTTATTTAATAATTTCCACAAAATATTCATGTTTTATATCAAATAATCGGTACGCACTAATCACGTAATGTGATAAGAATATTTTTGGAATTACATATATATATAAATATTTATATATATACTGGTGTCCCACGATAATCCGCCACTTGAAATAATTTTTGATCTATTCAGTATTTTTAAGACGATATGATACCCAAAGCTGTTCGCGTGCAACGTATGTCCACTGTTGCGAAATAATAATTTTTTATAAATAATTGTTATCGAAATAATTATTTTTCCGTGTAATGTTTTTACACAGTTTTACACAAAACAAAGTCATTTTTTTAATAATTATGATAAATCGACCTTTTTTTTTTTTTTTTGTTTTAATAAGGAAAAATTGTCTATGACGTAACATTTTCCATTTTCCAATAACTTATCTCAATAATTTTATATTCGTAAACAAAATACTTGAAATATTTACAAACTTTAAATATTAATATTTTTAAACTTTTTTGTACCAGCTACAAAATAAAAACGCTACGTCACAGCTAAAGTTCTCCTTATTAAAACAAAAATAAATTGTCGATCTATCACAATTATTAACAAAATGGTTCAGTTACTCGACAACTATGTTTTTACGCTCAAATTACGGGTGTATAACGTCCTCTTAATATATATATTTTTTAATAATTAGTATGCCTCTACGCTACAGTATATAATTTATTTTAGGTGAGAGAACTCAAATAGAAACTTTAAAATTTGACTATAATTTTTAAAAAAAATGTAATAATATAATTGTAATTTTGTATAGTAGATTTTTATAAAAATTTTGATGGTTGAACCTTTTGTTTAAATATTGTCTTTTATTTTTTAAAATTAAAATACTGAAGTTTTTGCAAATGTGAATATTATTGTGGTCTATAATCTATTATAGTATTTAATTAGTACCTAGTCAAAGCACATTAAATGACAATGATTTTCTTTGCTATGAGTTAATAATATACAGTAATACTACTGACTATTTATTAAATATTATAATAAATTATAAACTACAATATTATTCATATTTGCCAAATTTCAAAAAATTGTAGAAAATAAAAGACCATACACCTAAACAAAAATTTTAACCTCCAAATGTTTTCGAAAAATCGATTTTACAAAATGTCTATTATGAATTTTTTTTTTTTAAAACTATAGTAAAATTTAAAATTTTTTATTTTAAGTTTTACCATCACCTAATATTTTGTTTTTAATATATTAACTGTGGCCTATACTAATTATTAAAAAAATATATATATTAAAAATATTGAATAGAACAAAAGTTATTTCAATTGGCAGATCATTGTGAGACACTGTGTGTGTAATGTATATACCAATTATATGATAATAAACTCTCTTTCACCTTGTTAAAATTGACTCAAATATTCTTTAACGTTTTATTTGATAAGTAAATATTCGATGGAATATGAAAGAAAATAAATCGAACAGTGACCCTTTTTAAAACAACGTGCAATACCTAATAATTGGCCGTGCAACAAAGAAATAAAAATGATAACAAAGTGCTAAGGTTTATGTTTACATTAGCTGAATAAACCGTTTAAAACAGTTAAAACTGTTTTAATTTTTTGTAACCAAATTTCTTACCCACCAACTGCAAACGTTTTAGTTTTAAACCGTTCTAACGCCATCATAATATAAACGTACACTATTCTATTTACTCTATTTAATATTATTATAATTGTGGATGCGAAAAATGTGATAATTATATTTATGCATACCGTGTATATTTTATATTGTATTGTATTATATTTTAATTTTATATTTAATTATAAAATTACAACATCAGAGTAAATATTGATTTGTTAAAAAGGCTTTTTTTTTTTTTACATATAAATCCGCATGATAACAAGAGCGTTTACGCGCAAGTGTTGCTCAGGTTTAGTAATTTTATTACCAAAACCGTTATAAACCAAATAGTTCAACGGAAAAATAAATTATTTTCTATATAAACGAGTAAAATTACAAATTAAAATACTGTTGAATTATAATACCAATCACGTGTTTGAAAAATGGTGATCCGGATACCTCCTCTTAAGTCCGTATCGTAGTTTATCTTCTAATTTTATTATCGTTGCCAATAAAAAAAACAATTTTGAGCGGAGATCGATGGATATCCATAGCAATAAAGTAATGGTGTAAATAATGACAAAGCGATTACATTTTTTTTTTTACAACTTATCATGAACGTTTTATTAAATTCGTTAACATTTTTATAGACCTGTAATTGTGTATCTACATGAAACTAGAAAAGATTCAACAATTTAAAATAGCTATAAATAACCTAAAAATACGCCGGGATGTTTTGAAAACCATACCACCTTTAGGAAATGCTAATATCACTAGATATCTGGTTAACAATACAATTCTCTACGATCATTTTCACTTAATCGGATACAACAAATATGCCAAAGTTTACTCTAACAGAAACCGATATTACATTCCTGGTTTTCCGGTGGTTTTAAATAAAACCAAAGTTCTATTTATCTTCCTCATTGACAGAAACCAATCTACTTTCATCATAATTTTCGTGAAATTTCGGCGGGAGGTTGAACACCTAACCCTCCCCCCCTCTTTACACGAACCTGCATACCTTATCAGTGTTTCAAAAGGGACAGGTACGGTTATTCGGTGTTTCATAGTACGAGGCGTTTTATCCGTACAGTGACGATAAACGATAAATCGCCTCGGTTGTCCGCCCCTCCGGGAACATCACCGTCTCACTTACAATAATTATTATGGTTATAAGAGCGGCCTGTCCGTTTCTTTATTGTCTACGGAAACGGCACGATAAACGTGACGGGCGGAAAGTGCACCACACTGACCATATATAACGCTACCCACTCGTGTATTAAATATTTTGCGTATTTTTTTTTTTCGCGTTAGTTCATTAAATATTGAAATGACGAGTGGGTTTCACTGGGACAATTAACGTTTTCGAGTACAAAATACCTTGTATTATTATTATAACATTTCGCATATTATCGCGATATTTACGTTTAAACAATACCCGCGGACCCGTTGCAATATTGCAGCCGGTAAGTGGGGGATTTTTTTTTCCGCCGTCCAACTTTTACTTATCGAATTGGCGTTTTCATTCATCAGACGCGGCAAATTGTTGTTATCGTCGTCGTTGTCGTTATTACAACCGTTGTCATGGAAAAATCGTATTTCGACGTGATGCGAACCGGTCTGGACCTGGCGTATTCCGTAATTCTGGTGACCACGTGCGTGTACAATTACCTGATCGCGCCGGACGTGGTCTGTCTGTTGGTCAAATGTAACGGCTCCGTGACGACCACCGTGAAATCGATGTTCCCGCGGTCGCTGGCCATCGTGTGTTTCGTGTCGAGAATCACGGCCATGTACAAAAACGTCAGCGATCTGCCCAAATACCGGGACAAAATCCACGAGTACGATTTGAATTTCCCGATCGACTTCTCGACGAGAAACGTCCGCCGGCTATTCACCGCCGTCATCGTACTAGCGTACGTCGTCATCATTTTGCCGTTGAACGTGTCCCGCGTATATCTGATCTACGACAATTTCCGCGACATCCGAATGATGTTGTTTTTCGTGATCATGTACGCGCACAATTGGAGCATTTGCCTAACGGAAATACAGTTTGTCATCCGGTGTTTCGGGCTGTACCAGAAGTTCCGGTCGGTCAACAAGGACATGGCCGCCGTCATGTCGGAAATCATAATCGCCAACAAGTATCCCGCGGCGTTGTGCGTCACCGGTTCGGAGCCGCGGCGTCGCGGTCAAACAACGGCCAACGACGGCGACCCTCGTCCGCAGATGCCGATCAACGCGCGACGTGTGACGGTCAACAAAATCGAACTGTTCCGGATGAGATATCAGTTCGTCCGGCGCACCCTGAACACGCTCAATCGTCTTCACGGCATACAGTTGGGACTGTCCATATGCATTCTGTTCACGTTGGCCCTGTTCGATATTTACGGCGAAAAGTACACGATAAACCACAAAACTAGATCGAAAATATTCATTTACGGTTGGCTGTTCCAATACTCGTTTAGATTTTGCGCAATCATACTCACCACGCACATCACCACGAAACAGGTACGACAATAACGTGTCGGTTATTGTTAGATTAGGTTCAGTTATTGGGTTAGGCCACAAACGTATATGCAATAAACTGCAATCTGGTGATTGATAAGAAGTGAACTGTGAACTTTCAGTCCGCCATTTAATTCGAAGCTCACGCCGCCTTATCGACCACTTTCATACTGCAATACTAGGCTATCCATATCTTATCAATGTTCCAAGAGGGACGAGTATGGTTATACCGAGAGTTTCACAAAGTGAGGCGTTTTATCCGTATGGTGATGCATTTATCACCATAAATACAATGATAAATCGCCTCAGTTTTCCGCCCCTTCGAGAACATCGCCTTACTTACAATATTACTTTTCGAATTTATTCAAGATTTAGAGGTGTTTGGATACTCAAAATGGAAAAAGTTAAATATTAGTAGGTACCCATATTTTGATGTATTGAGAACATTTTGTAAATGGATGCAGATTAGTGCAGATTATAGGTTGCTTCTGGATTATTGTAGGTTAGTTTTACTACTGCGTACGGTTTAGGCATGCGTTCAATCAGTAATATCCCTGGTTCAAGTAATATCCGTTGTTATATTGCCAATTTTCCTGTATAGCAAATATCAACTCGGATCACAAAAATCTAAAAGAACACTATTCTGTATTATAATTAAAAAGTGAAATTCTGTCTGTATGTAGATAATATCTGTTTGGTCTGTGCGCTGTACAAATCTAAAGTTTTATTCCGAGCTTGATAAAACTTTGACTGGTTATAATTTGTCGATTTCTTTTATAGTTATTTAAACATTGGGAATAACCAGGAAAATATACCGCAATAACGGTTTCCGTTATTTTCGATTTTGTTTTTTATTTTAGTTCGGTGAAAAGTAATCATAGAAACCAGGAATATTCATACAATACTCACATTAGCCTTTCAAACGGTTCTGTCGATTTTTATGCTGTTTATACCCTTTTAAATGTTTTTTTTTTTATGTGGACACGATTGTTTCGACACGGCGAAACAATTTTACACGAGGCACATCATAAGTCGCGCTTGGCTGTAAAAAATTGAACGTAACGTAATACTTCTTTTTATAAGAGCTTAGAGTTCGATTTTTCATGAAAACCGTAAAAATTACGGCATTTCAAAACTTGTTAACCGAACTTCACTCAGAATCATTTTTCCGTTAGTAACGATTTATCATTGCATACGTATGTATATAAACCCAATTGCTCTATAAACCCTGCTTTCGTAATCTCCCGCCTACAATAACGGCATACACTTCAGCACAATATTAACTCCTACTGTTATATTTGATTTCGAATTTTCCCCAAGATAAAACTTTGACATTCGAATCAAGAAGAAGATCGTTAAATTCTTTTTATCTGCCTTAAAGAGTAGTTGTAACAGGGTTTTGGTATTTTAAGTACTGAAATTGGATTACTGTTGTTGTATTAACCTTCCTTACCGACACTGAGGAAAAAAAAAAGTTGTTGTTTAATTTTCATCGCCAGAGCTAAAGAAGTACCCTTCTAGAGCGGAAACGGAAAGACACATTAAATGTTATTTCTTTTGTTGATTTCTGTTTTGAAAAGATTTAGCCCGGGTAATTCAACTATAGTACAGTATGTATTATAAAATCGTCTATCCGGATAAAGTTGAATACATTAAAATATCCTTTATCGAGTATATTTTGGTTGTACTTAACTACATATGAGAATTTGTATTTTTCCAGGCACACAAAACAAAAAAGTTAATAACAGATATAAACAACCGGCACTTGGACGACAACACAAAGGAAGAGGTAAATTTTAAATTAACGCCTATTATATTGTAACAAGTATGTTTCCCTAACGCCATCGCTTTCGGATTCTCCAGAAAAAATTGTACCTTATTTAATTATTGTACTCTGTAATTTTCTAGAGAAAAACTATTTTCTATAAGTGATGCAAGTAAAACGAAAAAGGTGAAATTCCACTTATTTTAATCAAATCGCACTTGGGTTAAAAAGAATAATAGGTTTAGGGTCAAACTGAAATTAGATTCAAATAAGTCAACCTATTTTAACAGTAATGTCCGGAAAAAAACTTAAAAGTTTTAAAAATATTCTTTTTTCTTGCCACTTACGATTATTAATCATTAGCGTGGTTAAAAATTAGTTTGTTTTATTTTACATCAATACATAATTTTAAAAAAAAATTAGAAATTGTTCAAGAGCTAGTAAAATCAATCCAAAAAATAATATTTTCCCACTCGAGTACACTTACTCGGCGTTACTAGAACTTTTAATACCCGTGGAAACATATCTCACCACATAGAGAGCACTACAGCAGCGCCCAAAACCAAAAACGCCACTTCTGCAAACAACATTGTATGCTGAATTTTAGCTGAAAATATCTTGAAGATTCTTACACGTTTTTACGTTTTTACTCAGACGTTTTTACACGTTGAATTGGTTCCCAAGACGTATAAATTGAGTTGGATCCCTCGGTATTTATTTTATTAATCAATTAGGTATAAAAATTGTTGGAAATAATAATTTGATTATGTATTAAAATAATTTAAAATACAAAATTACATTTTATAGTCCATCAAAATTGTGACCGTTTAATGCGTCAACGGATTAATGATTAGATAATTCGCAGCAGTTATTCGACACTGTGTCGCTAAACTGATTAACGTTTCCATGTTTATATTTATATAGAACCGTTTTATATATTTGAGAACCAATTGTTCAAAATTTTATTGGGAGCCAATTCAATGATCGCCCACTCGGAGATCGTTGCCATCAGTACCAACACTTGTTTGCGAATTATCGAGGTTTTAATATTCAACATTTTTATATTGTATATGCACAGTTACAATTGTTTTTGAGCCAATTATGTAGCCGGTCCGGAGAATTCACTACCTGCGATTTCTTCACTCTAAACACTCGGCTTATCACGTCTGTAAGTTTACTCGTATAATCGTTATACGCTTATTATACACAGGCGCGGACTGGTGAAAAAGCCATGGGAGGCTACATAAGTTTAGGGAAAATATCGTCAATTATTGGGGAAAACTGGGGCCGCTGTTTCAAGTCGGGAATGTAATGGAATATGAACAGGGTAATTTAATTTTTGTCTGTACGCGACGATACAAATCGACGAAAAACGACTCGAGAGCCGAGTACGGTTAAGCGCGTTTTGACAAATTTAATTTGAAGATTAGACAAATTGTACTATTCATACCGATTGGCGGAAAATAATTTTCGGAGCATGGAACGGCCGTAGCACCCCAGCATCATAGCCGGCCCGCGCCTGCGCCTTTACCTAACTGTATAATTTCCATGATATCGTTATACTTACTGTATAAATTGTTTTGTAAATCGTGTGCATTTAATTTTTCAGGCAATCGTCGCGGGTACGAGCTATCTAATTATATTATTGCAATTCGACGGGACCTCGGAGGAAGACAACTGATCACATTATATTATCACATAGTACCTATATCATCCCCTTTTCCGATTTATCTTTCCCTCCGTAATATTTACACTAAACGTGTTGTGTCCCATAACTCAGTTCTTCTTATTTCTATCGTTTCGATAATTTGTCTTGGCTCGTCCACCATATTCATAACACTGATATATGTTATCATCTCGCACAGCACAATATAATTATCATTATTATTTATTTATTATGCATGTTAAGTGTCTGAATATGCCGTTTGACGAGCAATAATGACAATATAATTATTATTAGTTAATACAGACTATACATTCGGAGCAGTGGCGTGTTTTCAAATTGTTTGTACAGGGGGTTTAACATTTTTCAAAAATAGAGCGATTTCTTTTATCATGAGCCAGTAATTTTTTTCGGAAGATTTTAAATAAATATGATTTATATTATTTTTAATCTTTGTACAATTGTTTAGGCTTTATTTTAAAACCATTTTTAATTCATTACCTCTACTCCATAAATTGTATACCTACTTTTAAATGATAGTTGATAACACACTTCACTACTCTTCCGGTCTAAATTTTAAACAGTTATAGCTCATAAACGGTAAATATGATATTAGTGAAATACATATCAAAGTTTCTAGAAAAATATACTCTATTCGAATCTGTGTTCAAAAGGTGGAGGGGCGGGTTACTATTTGAAAAAGAAAAATATATTATAATGTAAGGCGTATATGAAGTTAGGTTAAAAATTTAAAAACGGTTTTAAAATAAAGCTTAAACGATTTCGTAAAAGTTAAAAAAAATATAAATCAAATTCACCTAGAATCTTCCGAGATAATTATTGGTTCACGATAAAAAAAAAAAATCACCCTGTATAAATTAATGTTCTCTTTCTCTATACTTTCGTATCAAGTCGTTTATGACTTTTGAAACATATATTTTCTTCTGGGGGACCCCCCCCCCTAAAAATACGCCACTGATTCGGGGGTTCTTTTTTTTTTAAGTATCGTTTTAACACAATACCTGTAAATTTAATATATTAAATGTAATATCAATAAACATCGTGTAAAAAATAAAAAATAAATTATAAATTATAAAATTAAGCGTATTATATCAATACAGTTTTACAAAATTAACGTAATAAATATTAAAATATAATATCAGGTATTCGAGTTTACGGTTATTTTATTCTATGAGATTTACGCGTACAACACGAAACTTTTTTTTTTTTATCAGGGAGTATACACTTGTAGAAATCGGTCCAAGATTTCCGAATCGAAATGATTGTACGCGTTTCCGATCTTTCGGCGCGTTTGCCGGAGATTCGGCGATGACAAAACCGGCCGCGGTTTATTGCCTTCGTTCCGGGCTTTGGCGACGACGGCGCTGTTCGGGTCGCGCACGGCCTTCGCGTTCGCCGCCTTATCGGTAGTGACGTTACACCGGTCCAAGCACAAACCGTTGTTTATTATTTGTATGATCTGCACGGGTGTCTTTTCCGCTCCATCGCCACCAGCCCGTTGCAGAATATCGTCGACGGTCCCGTGGAGAACCGACGTCGGTCCGTCCGCCACGTCCGTCATCCCGCCGTCGACGTCGCGCCCGTACTGTTCGTTTCCCGAGCGAACCGTCGACGACTGCCGCAGCGTCGAACCCGCGGACGACGGCGAGCCCACGTCGTCGTCTTGCGACAGCTGAAAATCGCCGGCCAACAGCTCCGTGAGCGACACGGCCGTGTGCCGACCGTCGTGTTTTACGATCGGTATGAAAATGTCGGAAACGTGCGCGGAACCGTTGGCGTCGACCGCCGAATGGCTCACTAGCGGTATTTTAAACACACCGTCGGCGACTTTTACGCGGTGCAGCACGTCGAACCGGCTCTGATTGTTCAAAATCCACGGCTTGTGATCGACGGGATTTCTCCGGTTATCGTAATCGGAGACGATGTCGCCGTCGCCGTCGACAACTGTCACCGACGACGCATTTTCACGGTTTGTATTGCCGTCGTCGTTGTATCCTTGCTGCCGTTGCCGTTGCTGTTGCTGCTGCTGCTGTTGTTGTTTCTGCTGCTGCTGCTGCTGCAGTGGTTGACGGTTGTCGCGCGACGCGTTTCTAAACAAAGGCCGTGAACCTCCCGACGGCGATGACGCCCGTTGAACACCGTCCGAACGTCCAGAACCCGTCGAGCTGGACGACTTTCGGCCCGCCGGCGTCTGTCCATCGAATACGATCGGAATTAAATCTCCGGCTTTATAGGGACCGTGTTCCGGGTCGTCGTACTCTTCTTCGTCCGCGGTTCGATAATGCGGTTCGGTTTTCGTCGGTTTAGGTTTCGACAAGACCCGGCCGGAATTAAATTTCGATTTCGGGCCGCCGGTTTCGCGGACGACAGCTGTCGGTTTGTTCGGAATATCGTATTCCGCGGCGACCGATCCTCCGTCAAAAAATAACGCCGCCGGCGCGTTTATCACGGCGTTTCCGCCGTTTGCCGGCGACATTTTCGGTGTCAACTTCGACGCGAGTTCGCCGTTTCCCGTCGGCCGTCTATTGCCGTCCGCAGTTTTCGTTTTCGTTCTTTTCGGCGTCGTCGTTTTACCGCCGCCGTCCGCGTTCCCGTCCAATCCCGTCGGTTTTCCCGTAAGTTTTACGCCGTTCGAATAATAATTATCGCGGTCCCTTTGTCTGTTTTTTCGGCTCACAACGTTTCCCCCGGGTATTTCACCGGCACCAATCGGATATCCCGACGTTTTCCTGTTTGCCGTGACGTAACCATCACCCAGAAATTTTTCCGGGATTTTTTTCGTTTCCGTCGTCGACAATCGCGGCGTACTGCTCTTGCCGGACGAAATTCTTTTAGTCGCCTTACCCGCGTGATTGTATTCGTCACTAATATTACTCGCCGTTTTCGAGTTTACGTGGTCGTCGCGTTCGAATTTAACGTTCTTCGCCGGTTTCTCGCCGAATTTCGCCGCGTGTCCCCGTCCTAAAGTCGCTTTCGGTTCGTTTCGAGCTGAATAATTGTCGACATCGCTATTTTTATTCGATCCGTCGAGTCGGGACGAGGTTTTTCTATTCGCCGCGATGTTGTTTGCGGCAGTATTTTTTTCTCCCAGAACGTTTCCCGCGTCCTTTTTCCCCGGATTAAACGTCGCCGTTGATTTTTCGGCGATTTTTCGTCGAACGGTCAGCCGCAAACCGTCGTCGGACGAGTTCGTCGGTTCGCTTTTGATTTTAATTTTGCCGAGTATACTCCGTCTGTTTTCGTTGCTCATTTTTACCCGCTCCTCGAACTGTAATCGTTTGAGTTTCAGCTCCGCGACGATTTCGTCTCTGGACGGGAATTTCGTTAGGGGCCTTTTCGAGGTCGTACTGCCACCGCCGCCGTTGTCCGCAAAAACGTTTTTCGCCCGCTTTACATTCGCTCGGCCGGCCGGACTTTCGCTCGCCGTTCGCGATTTATTCGAACGTTTGTAACCGTTCGTTTTGTTCGCGAGCGACGTGTCGGCGGGATACGTATCGGTTTTAATTTCCGTGACGTTTTTTATCATTATCGAACTCAAAACGTTCTTTACGATTTTCTTGTTGCACACGCAGTCGGCGCCGTTGCCGTTCGCGGCGTTTCCAAACGGATCGCGTTCGTTTTCGACGGACGAGTCCGAGTCCGCCGCCGCCGTGGCGGTTGCCGGCCCCTCCGAATAATTGGCTGTCGGCGGGTTATCGTTATTTTCGTAAACGTTAGACTCTAAAATTCTGTCCGGACGATTCGCGTCTAATGCGCCGTTCGAATCGGACGTCGGTTGTGCGGTCGGCGGAAAACGATTGGCTACGGACGGTCCGGGCGATGGTGGCGGTGTGTAATCGTCCGAAACGCTGTCTACTTCTTCGTCGTCGTCCGTCGTATCCGCAGTGGTGTATTTCCGTTTATTGTCGTCGTCCACGGTCGTACCGGAATCTATAAATTTCGCCGTGGACGACCAATACAGAGGTCCGGCGGTTTCTCTGGAGGCCAACACGTGTTGCTGATTATCTACTGCCGCGGGCCGTGACGGAGACGTCGAAACTTCTTTGTTCTCCGCGGGCCGTTTACCCGCGTCACCGCCGCCGCTGGCCGTTTGCGAACTGCCGTTCGTTGGGTATTCGTGACCGTCGGTTTCGGCGGTCGCCACTTGTTGATTCTCGGGATTTTTCAAATCGAAAATCAGCCGATTGTCGTTTTTCGGTACGTTCGTCCCGCCCGTAATATAATTCGCATTTGTCGCCGCGGGCCTACCGCCGCCGCAGTCGTCGTTGCCCACGGCCAGTTTGTTTCTCAGCCATTTTCCGTTCACGAACGTTTTTTCCGGACTGGAATTGAGGTGGTCGATTATGCGGTCCCCTTTCGTTTTTTCCAATTTAAATATCCATTCGTCTTCCGCGGAAGTACTGATATTGGCCGCCATTGCTGCAGGATCGCCGTCGGTCGATTCGCTTTTCGGGCCGCTGCTCTTGCGTACCGCGGACAGACGCGTAGAATCGGCCGTTTTGTTTCTGTGCAGTTTTTCGATCAACTGTTTCAAAACTTTTATCAGATAATCGTCGTTGATTCGTCCCGGTCGCGCGTTACCGGTCTGGATTCCCGCCGGGCGCCCGTTCGATTCCAAAAGCCCGTAGCCCCCGAGTCCCGACGGCCGTCCGCCGGCGGAGCCCAAGATGCGCGCGCATCTTTTTCTCTCTTGCGATTCGCTTAACGTACTGGCCACCGGTTCGGAATAATCGTTTTCCGTTTCACCATTCGTGTTCCATAAATCGACCGTCGGGACGTTATTGACGTTTCTTGCTCGGTGATAATCGTCGAAATATTTCCCATCGCCGTAGTGTTCGTCGTCGTAAATATTGTCCTCGTCGGACCGTACGTCTAAAACGACTTTAATATCACGCCGTCCCGCGGAATCGTCCCCGTCGCTTTTTGCGTAATACATTCGGTTCGCTTGCCTCGGGAAACGGGTTTTCCGTAGAAATTCCAGAGACTTCGTGCCATCCGACGGTCGAGAAACAGTAGCTGGTGACACGGTGGTGTAGTCGAGGATATCGAGCGCCTCGGTTCCGTCAAAGCTGTAGGCATTTGAGTCCGTAGGTTTTCTGAAAAAGTCGTTTTCACTTATTTATTCATGTAAACTATCGCAACAAATTTCGTGGTATATACCTACGAATTCCCTTTGGAATATAAACATAAAATAGTGTCTATTAACTTCGTATTTTTTTTTTTTTTTTTTAATATTGTAAATTCGCAATAGCCAATGAAAAAATACGTTAAAAAAATTACTGTTAAATTAGTTGAATAAGAATTTAAAACTGTACCGACTCAGTTCATAGTCAGTCAAATCGAATTATTTGTTTTAAATTATAAAAATCCCATACTTACTCGTTTGAAATTATTGTTTTTGTCTTTATGGCCGAGAGATTCGTTTTCGTCGTCGATACTATTATACTTTGCAGAACATTTTTCGATAATTTGTTCGAATTTTCAGCCGAAATCGAAACAAAAAAAATTAATACTAAAACAGAAAATTGTTGACTCATTGTTGTTTCACCCTATTGAAGAAAAAAAAAACAAAAAAAAAATGTTAAAAATTTAATATAATCGTATTAGGGTAATACGCGTATATGCATTAGTGAGTTCCTTAATTTTCAATTTCAAAATATTTTTGGTATCACCTCATATATATGTGCGTATATAATGTGCACTCGTGTTTAACTTCGGTATCTGTACAGGAACACATTAATAAACTTTTTTTTTTAGATGTACTTATTTTTTTTTTTCAGAGACAATATCGTGTTCTAAAATAATTTGAGACTTCCTAGAGTGAAACTGTAATAAATTACAGTAATCTAATATTTTTAAGTAACTGAACAGTGGACATATTTACTATTTACACTATAATAATTATATTAGTTTCGATTTTATTTCTGTATTTTCTTTGCTCATTAATTATGAAATACATAGATATAATATTTAGCCATTACAATTAAAATGGTTTTTTTTGGGGAAGGGGAGTATTAATTTTAAACTTGGGGTTGCTAAAGACACCCTATCACTCCGCTAGTTAAGTCTATAGTTGCTATTTATAAATCAACAGTATACCTAAGTTTAGGTTATGACGTGTTTATATACTCGTTTTGTTTACAAAATAATGGTAACACTCTTGTTACAACAAACATTGTAAATTAAGATCACTGAACTAAACGGTTCTATCTGAAAAAATCCCCCCCAAAAAAAAAAAAAAACCAGTCCAATGTATACTCGGAATCTCCGTGGTAATAATAATCGCCACTGATCCGTGATAAAATAAAATAATAATCGCTCTGTATTTATTTATTTATTCCACTTTTAAGTTTGGGTCAGAGAAGGGTAGTGGAGCATTACTAAAACGCCGCGCACCACCACACAAATGATGTTCCACTACTCTCCTCTGATCCAAACTTAAAAGTGGAATATCTCGTCCAATACAAACATTTATTCTAACTAATTGTCCATCTTTCTGTATATGGAATTTTTAATATGGGTTGTTATTTTAAAATCAATAGCAAAGCTGCAATTATTGTAGAGCTGCTTATGTCTCAAGTGTACTATAAAACAGATTCCGAAAAAAATCAAGATACTCTCCGAGATAAGTGTCTTGCGATATAGATACACCCATTGTAATACATCTGACGATAATAAAGATAATCAAATTCTGTTTTTTTGTATTACTCACTTGGATAAGGACTACAAATATTTCTATCGCAATTATTTTTTTATGTTTTGGTAAACATTTTTAAAAAATGACTTATTATTTTTTGAAAATTTAAAGATATCCATTTTATAGAGTTTATTCTTCACAGCTTTTTAACGAACTGACTATTTGTTTTCATTAAATTCGTGATTTTTAATAATTATTTAAGGTTCCGAATCAAGAAATGTACAGTCAATTAATCGTAATAATAGAAATAATTATAATAATAATCAATTAGAGAATGCGATTACAGCCTGCTGCATAATTATAGGTATTTTTTTATGAACTTTAAAAAAATATTAAAAATCACGAATTTAATGAGAATAAAAAGTGGGTACGTCAAAATGTTCAGAAGATAATACTCAATAAAATGGCTGACTTCAAATTTTTTCAAAAATAATAAAATAAAACGTATTAATATCTATAAGCTTTTATCAAAGCATAAAAAATGGATTGCAATAAAAATATTTGTAATCCTTATAGTGAGTAATTAAAAAAAAAACATAATTTGATTACCTTTATTGTCTCCGAAGTTATTACAGCGGGTATATCTTCGGGCGGACACCCTGTATATATATTTACTTTTTCGTAAAAAAAAAAAAGGCCATTCGTCCGAGGATGTCGTATTTAAATAATACGGTAAATAGAGGGCATGTAACGATACCATTACGATAATATTATTACTGTCGTGTACCTACAATTTTGAGTCATTAAACTAGCGCGTGACAATACTGCTGCACAATAATAATACAGTCAGACTGCGTAACATAACAATGAACCAAGGAAGCATTTTAATATCAACAACAACATTCGCTCGCTAAACAAACACAGGTACCGGTATAAATATTAAACTCTCCTTGGTGCGCTGTTGACTTTATACCAATTCGGGTCGTTATGAATGTCGAGAAAGAAATGCACGCGTCGCCGGCCGCCTCATTAAGTCTTCGGTCCCGTGCAGGGTTCGACTCATTTTTATACATTTTTTTTTTTTTTTTTTTTTTTGTAAATATAATTTTACCTTTTGCAATATTCGCTCCCGCCGTTCACTTTTCCGTGGAAATTGCGTGAGTGTACGTATTTTCAAAAATTATCGTAGGTACGTAGCGTGATTGGGTTTACGTACACAAGTGCAAGTGCAAGTGCAATATTCATTTACGAACGCGGTAAAACAATTTTGTCCGGGGGTTTCGTGAAAATTATCACCATCAGTGGCGCCGAGGTAGTTACTAGAAATACTCGGACAAACAAGGCAATAATGTACCTAATATATTGGTCTTCTTTGGGTGTAATATATTGCATTACGGATAGTACTATTTGTTGTAGTTATATTTTCCACGAGTACTACTCATACTATGTATATTTCCCACCATTAGCGCCACCAAAAAATTTAGTCGGACGGTCGCCCGACAAGTTTTTTTTTGCCGTAAATCGATGTATTATTTAAAATTTAAACACAAATTAAAAGACAATTTATATTTCTGAGGGGGTTTGAACCTCCTCCTCCTCTTATGTTCACCGCTCGACACCTATTATACCGGGTTCGCTCGGACGTCAGATGCGTTCGAAAATATAATCGGTAAATCTAATATTATTTTATAGTCGATTCGTTTAAAACGTTCTCGAAAAAGAGTTAATCGCCATCGGCAAGAACTTAATATGTTAAGTAGGTATGCAGTTTATTACTTATTATAATGTAATTATTATATGGAATAAACGGTTAGGTTAGGTTTATAATCGATTTTAGACCGTTTTTTTTTTTTATTTTGTTTCTAATTTGTTTAAGCACAATTACTACCCATTAACGAGTACGTCGCGATAATTTATTTGTATAACGTGGGTAAACGGCCATAATTAATATAGTTATGACTTATAATATATTATATTTAATGACGTTTGCCATATCAATCCTTTAATTTTATACAACATAATATTTGTATTGTGATAATATTATAACACAAACAAGAATCCTATACTGATATTCATGTGGTTTTCGAAATGTACCACAATGAAATTTTAAATGTGTCGTTCGAAATTAATAAAATTATACTTTCTTCTTCTCCTTTGCCTTCGTCACAACTTGGGCTCGGTCACCCTCGTTCTAAACTTCCCCTTTAACCGATCTCCCACCCGGTATTCACCAGATTTTTAGCACTATTTTCCGGACGAGAACGGCCGTGTCAAGGCGACTTCATAGTGATTCGAATAGGAGATAAATGGGAGGAGGAAGTTTGTTTTGCAGCCATCGTGGCCTTTAAAAAGCTGATGAAGAAGATGAAGAATAATAAAAAAATGTTAATCTTACCGTATGGCACGCGACGTAGACGATCGACGATGGTACATTTACAGCACTATTTTTGTGCGCGGTTTTTCGACGAGATACGATAAAGAAATCGGTCCGAAAAAAACGTCGTGTACAACCGAACCAAGGAGACTCGACGATTATCGTGTTAAAGAGATGTACACGCGCACGGTAAATGGCGCGAAAAAAAGACGAAGCGACGTCGAGTTATGGATCGTATGTAAACATAATATTTAAAATTTAGCTAACCAGTGGTCTCTGTCCACCGTCTTGTCGAATTCGCCCGGTGTTATGTTTTATAAACACTCGTATTATATTTTGTTAATACGTTCGGACAAAAAAAAAAAAAATCATTCGTTTAATATTATATAATGTACGCTCATATACGAAATCTCGGAATTCGTGTGAATACACATGTGTATTATTTATTATGGCGTTGGTTCTGTTTTTTTTTTTTTCTTATGGTTGGTTTTCGGTTTTTCTTTATTCCGATTCGCGATTATATTGCGACGTTTCTCGTAAAGTGTACACAAATATTTTATTTTCATTGTTATACTTCGTATATGGTATATGTAAACGAGTACATCGCTATACGTATATACGTATATGTATAGTGGAACTGTTGTCATTGTCAAAATAACACTCGTGAGTCGCATCTAATGAGTTTCGTCATTAGAGTAGGATTTTCCCCCAGCCGACTTGTGCCGTTATAATATTTCACTTTTTTTTATAATCAAATTAAAATAATTATGGATGCCGCAGTCGCTTTAGTCCGTATGATAAAACATGGAATTTAAGCCTACCAATTGCTGGGAATGAGGTGGAAAGTCAAAACCCCCAAAAGGCATACACCGTATCTCTTTGACTTCAAAACTTCAAAGTTCAACTAAAAAACGATCTTCTCCAACAATAACATTGTGGAATTCGACCAAAATCTTATCATTTCAATCCACCTGGAAAAATCTCTAATTCCCGAGTTTGAGATTATTTTCTCCAGTGAGTGCCGAAAAGGAGCACGGAAAAAATGTACAAACATATAAACAATTTCTATACTCATGAATTTAAGAAATTACTTAGCCATTTTTTGATAGCACAACTTATCTAACTTGTTTATTTTTTCTTAGCGACGTTATTGCACGTAATTGACGGAAGGTTTTTGTTGGGATATCACTTACTTTTTTATTATAATTTTGAATATAGTTAACCTGTTTCTTTTATCGAGTGAAAAATTATGAGGACAAAATATCTTTGTTGTTATATGGATTGAATAAATTAATATATGATGTATAGCTAATAATGTATAAATATAGCTTAATTCTTATGAATATTACTGGATAATGATATTACAGTAATACAGCGATAAAATAAATAAACGAAATAAACGGCTACCATCGCAAACAGGTGGTAACAACGCGAACAACATATATAAATTATTGAATTGTTGCATATTACTCAGGCTGTAATCATCCGATCAATTTGAAATTTGCCAAAGTATCATTTACTTAACACGCCGATCAATCAACCCGAGTAAATTTCAAAACAATCAGTCTATTAGTTTAAGCTACAGAGAGGTAGGACCATTTGTCGTAAAATTACACAGGATAAATAGGAATTGGCCGTCTCGTATAATATACTACGGTCGACGCGCGAGCTCTTTTCTTTTACTCAGCTGGATATTTTCATTCCAAACTAGGTAAAATGTTGGTAGAATTGACCTTCATAAGTATAGGTTAAGGTATTAGGGTGACCATGAAAATAAAATAAAAATACGGGACACTTAAAAACAAATTAAACATGATAAGTAAACCTAACTATAAACATTTGTATAAAAAACAAAAATAAATTTGCGCTGTACAGCGGTTTTTGAATATAAATAAAATATTTATGCGCAAAAACAATTTTATTTTGATGACGATGACTGATCAATTTCTTCATCTGCGTTTTTGTGTGCTTTTACGATGAACTAATTGCATCGAGTTACATTTATTATAATTAATTTAATAAAATATAGTAAAACTTATTACAAGAATAGTTTTTTTAAAATGTCTTTTCATAGCTTATTATCATATACAGTGTACCTATATAACCCAATAATACCATTATAGAGATTTTATTCAATGTCATAAAGACGACAAATAAATTTTAAAAGTTATATATTAACGGTAAGAAAAAAACGGGTTATTACGAAGCAGGCTTAAAAAAAAAAAAAAATGGGACAAAAAGGGTCCCGTATAACTTTTGTCGGGACAACGGTACACAGAATTGAAATAAGGGACGTATGGCCACGCCAGGTCAAGGTCGTTGTCGTCTACTTTTTATCACTGAATTCAACTACCAAAATGATTTTGAGTCCTTACGATTTTGTTTGTTCGTCTGCGTTACACGGATGCCACATTTCATCAAATTGACAATAGATACTAATGTAATAATATTGCATACGTTAATTTTGATGAAATAAACGAGAACACGAAATATTAACGTTTATGACGAACGTTTTATTTATTTGACTATAGAAATAGAGACACGACGCTGTCTCGGCGGCGGAAATTGTAAATTCAACTCTCAGTAATTTGTAATTGACAATCATTGAATTGTCGTACGAGTATATTGTCGTATGTCGTATCATCATATTATACTCATACTTATATTGATTATATTATCATTGAGAACATTTTTCATAATTCAAATTTTTCTCTACGAGTTCTCACCAAATTATATTTGAACACACAGTAATTTGAAAACATTATAAATTCCGTGGACATCAAATTTATTAACAGTCGACTGATGCAGATACATAAATATAACATTATGTGCAATTTTCCTCACCACCTTAGCTCGAAAAACGACAATATTTGATTATAATGCGTTTGTTTTTTTTTTTCCAAGCATGAGGTATTGCATATGCATGTGCGTTTTTTTTATAATGGTGTCCCCATTTGTAGGCCTAGTCCACAAGCACAGTAGAGAGCGGAAATTTAAATATTTACGAATATTATAAGTTTAAAGTCATAAAGTCGTACTTTTTGTCAAGTAAATAAAATTAAATTCAATAGTTAACCCATTATAGTTAACTTATTTAATTAATACATGAATTAAACATTTCTATTAATTAAAAACATAATTGATGTAATTAATACAATTAATAATAAAATTTAAGCAAACGCTTGAATTAGAAATTATTTAGTAGAAATAGATAATAGATAATTTGATAATTTAAAATTGGTATTTATTACAAATTTATATATTAGAAATCTTATTGAAATTCAGTTTGATGATGAAATGTATACTGTAGTTCTAAAAATGAATATTATTAAAAGGTAATTTTAGTTAAATTTAAATTTATTAGAAATAATTATTTTATTTTATATTTGAAGTATGAGTCTAATAGACTTTATTAGCTTGTTTCTTCTTAATTAATTTTTATACCTAACTGTTATTGCATACAAATTTTTAAAATTTAAGGTTTAGTTTGATTCTAAAAACCTTATAATAAATTTATTTAATAAAATAATAGTTAAATGAATCTAAATGAAATTGTTTAGTTTATTTTATTATTAATATAAAACTGTGTTTTATATTAATTATATTAATAAATTAAGAACTATGTTCTAAATTTTAAAAAAAAAAAATAAATTAATAGTATTCTATATATTTTATTAATAAATAATAGATATCCCTATCTTTATACTCTATAGATAAAACTTATATATTGGTTTAAGAACATTGATTACATTTAATACTTCCTATTAGTTTTAACCTAGCCCGAATTATTGTAATATTTTACATTATGGAAATCTGTTCGTATTCTAGTAAAAATGTTGATACCTAATTAAGTACCAATATTTTTCATTTTTATTTGTGATGTTCATTATCATTGAAAACAAAATAGGTACCAAATTTAGGTCTTATTTTTGGAATATTCACACATTTATGATTAGTAGTTATTATATAGTGGTATTGAATATTATGTATATATAAATAATCTTAAGCTACTGTATAAAAAAAATCTAAAGTAGCACCCTTAAGTTGTTTTAAAAAAATTTAAGTCATATTATATAACCATTACAATGATAGGCACACATTATTCAGTAAAATTAAGACCCCTTGTTATATATTTGTATTTTTAACATTTCTGTAGAACAACCTACAGAAAAGGTTCCGGGGTTCCGACTACCCCGGAAGAAATGGGTGACCCTAAATAGAGTTAGGACTGGCCAAGGAAAAATGGAAAATATGCTTCATAAATGGGGACTTAAGGATACACCACAATGCGACTGCGGATATGAAACTCAGACAGCCAATCACATTGTGAAAGAATGTCCAATACACAGCATACAAGGCGGAATGGAACATCTTCATAAAGCTACAGCAGCAGCAACAAACTGGCTGACCAATCTGGACATTGGAATCTAAGACAATGTAAACAGTATTCCAACTTATATTCTATCTACCTGACTAATTATTACTACATAAGCTCGCGTATCTTATTAATTTACATTTATATTTTTGTTTTTTTATTTATTTTTATATTTATATTATCTATATCATTTATCTGCAGTGTTTGTTGTTATTGTAACAATATTTTTTTATGTTTTTAGTGTTGGATCTAAACCATACGAAATAGATATAATTTTTAACATTAACAGTACCTATTGAATAAATTATGTTATCAAGGTTTTAATGTTCAAATTAAAAATTGTAAGTAGTTTTAATTGCCAAACTTTTTATCTATCAGAATATTATGCTAAACATTTATGTAGCTACTTAAAGTGTTTCATCTTTCATTTAATGCTAACAGTATGTATACAATGCTATACAGGGATATCTATTATTTATTAATAAAATATACAGAATACTATTCATTTATTATTTTTTTTAAAATTTAGAACATAACTCCAGTCCTATATTAATAATAAAATAAACTAAACAATTTCATTTAGATTCATTTAATTATTATTTTATTAAATACATTTATTATAATGTTTTTAGAATCAAACTACTTATAATTAATTAGAGAAGTTAATTACAGCTTGCTGCATAAGTATAGGTAGGTACTTATCTCTGACCATTAAAAAATTATTTAAAAACACAAATTTAATGAAACTAAAAATTTGATATGTCCAAATTTTCAGAAAAATAAACTCTATCCATGGCTATGTTCTAATTTAGCAAAAACAATAAAATAAAAAGTTTTTTTTATCAAAGCATAAAAAAAAGAATTTTAATATAAATATTTGTTATTCATGTATGTGAGTAATATTAAAAAAAAAATAAATACAGAATTTGATTATTTGTATTGTCAGGAGATATACAATGGGTATATCTTCGTAGGACACTTAGTATATGCATACTGTTGGCATCAAATGAAAGATGAAACATTTTAAGTAGCTACATAAATGTTTAACATAATATTCTGATGGATAAAAAATGTTGTAATTAAAACTACTTACAATTTTCAATTTCAACATTACAACCTTGTTAGCTTAGATTTTTAATAATACTACTATATAATAACTACCGATTATAAATTAAACCTAAATTTAGTACCTACTATATTTTCAATGATAATGAACACATAAATTATCATTATTTTTACTAGAATATGACCAGATTTTCACAATGCAAAATGTTGCAATAATTTGGGCGAGGTCAAAACTAATAAAATAAGTATTAAATATTTTTTAAAATCCAACAATCGAAAACAATTAATTAAAACTAAATTAACATTTTAAAAGAAATATGGCATGTTGATTTTTGCGTTTATTATTGTTTTTGGATAGGTACCTACTTAAATTTCCAATTATATACAAGTTGTATAAATAATATTATTATTGAAACACATTATATGTTATCTAAATTATGACATGTGAAATCAATAAAATAACAATTTTTAATATGTCATAACATTCATAAATTAAAACTTTATTAAGTAATGTTATTATTATTTTATTTTTTTAGTTTTAGAGAATAATCAATTTTTTACTTTTAATTTAAACGAAATAAACTTTAGAAATCTTTAACCCTTATTATTATAAATATAATATTTAAGATTACTTATAAATTTACAATGTAAACTGTGTATTTTTTAATACAAATAAATCATTTTTTTAAAACTAAATCATAGTATCAAATAATTTGTTTAAAAATTTATCATTATCATTAGCTACAAGTATAAATTAAATAACTTGAAGAAAATGGAAAAAATTAGCCTAATAAATATAATTTTTTACTCAGTAAACATATAATATTGTTAATTTTATTAATTATAATTAATTCTTAATTAGGAATAAATCAAAATTCTATTTGAAAAATTTAAAGAATTTAATAAATCAACATGAATATTATTTATAATTATAATTAGGTAATCCAAATGTATGGACAAATCATTTACCACCTTTGATGTAAAACACTCTACTATCTATGTATGACTTCCATTGGTTTTCAGCAGTGATGTTGCACTTAATCTCAGTATGCAAGAACTTGGTTAATTAAATTGACTGGGACACATTTCAGTTTATTGGTCATGTGTTTCATGTTCTAAACAAAAAAATAATCATTCTTTAAGATTGTTTTATTAAAAATCGCATTAAATTCCAATTCCATTTGAATTCCAATTAAAACTTTTAAATCATAAAACCTAACTGGTTAATGTAACTAAATCAAGTCAAGAAGGTAAAGATGAAAAAAAAACCCAAACAATTTATTAATTTAATACTCACCAGTTATAACATAGTTATATTTATGCACGGATGGGACTTAACCGATAACGTTTGTTTTATCAAGTGTGTAAAACATGAAGTCTAAGATCCGAAAATGTACACGTTCTGTACAACATATGAAATTTTTTTAATTTTTAGTAACATTTAAATAATTAATTGTCTCCGTAGTTACATTCAAGTTGTTCATAATATTAGCCATTAATGCCGGGCCATTTGATCAAAACATCTGTACAGTCAATAATATATTGTTGGCATTGCCGGTTAATTTTGGATGTTAAAACTGAAAAACAAAATAAATTAAAAATAATAATATACATATTTTAGTTATTTAGGTACGTAGTTACTTAATTGGTTAAATGAACTTCGTGATGACTGAATACTTATGGCGGGTCGCGCCATATACATATACATAACATAGTTCTCGTAGCTCGTTGAACGAATAATTATACGATACGAAACGACAGCTTATCAGTTGATAACAAAACTTTCTCACCGTGTGAGGGGCATATCAATATGCCTCTATGGTCAAAGTAGACTCCATAGAATAAAGATACTAGACTCTTATAGATTATTTTCCATGCTCCCAGTGCTTAACAGTGACGGTGTTTTTTTTCGATATGCTATTATTTCAGTGAAGAGAACCATGGGCAAAATTGTGTTAATATGGTCATAAAGAGACTAATAGTGCAAAAGAATGACGTACAACCGAACAGAAGTTCAAGGGAACGGGCCGGTAGCATCAAAAAGTTTTATGGAAACAATACTTAGGTAAATTTTTGTACTTGAATACTTGTAAATCGTGTGCTTATTTATTTACAATACTCGCAACAAAACGTGTTTAATAAATATCTGTTTTTTTCGGTAAAACTGTGACGATTCAAGAACTGAACGGTATAAAAAAAGTATTGGAACGACACGTGCTTTTTGCATGGTTCAACGCCGGTATACTCCTGGACCACGGTAAGCAGGTACCTAATATTCGGTACCGATAAAAATAATTGATCGCGTTTCGCGTCTCGTTCGTTTAATAATAAAGCATATTTTTTTTACAACGTTTATGGTTTTACAGAGAGCTTCTGTTCGGTTTGTCCAGCGGTTTTAGCCAAACTCATTCCCGACCGGTAACGGGTTTCCAAACACGTTCTGCGATGCCGGCGGCAACGTCATCCGGCTGACCAAAACCTGTTGGAAGGATACGTACCCAGTAACGTATTTTCGGGGGGAGGGTTTCAGGTTTTCGAACCCCCCTAGAAGGAAAAATATGATTCAAAAGTCATAAACGACTTGATACAAAAGTATTGATAAATTAAAAATTCATTTATACAGATTGATTTTTTTTTATCATGAACCAGTAATTATCTCTGAAGATTTTTAGTGAATTTGATTTCTATTTTTTTTGACCTTTGTAGAATCGTTTAAGGTTTATTTTAAAATAATTTTTAATTTTTACCCTTAATTCATATACCCTAAATAAGAATATACTTTTATTTTTCAAATGGGAACCCCCTCCTTTTAAACACAGATTCGATTAAAGTATAATATTTTTCTAGACATTTTTATACGTATACCAATAATATCAAATTTACCGTTTATAAGTTATAACTGTTTAAAGTTTAGACTAGAAGAGTTATCAATTATTATCATTTAAAAGTAGATATACAATTAATGGAGTAGAGATAGAAAAACAAAAATGGTTTTAAAGTAAAGCTTAAACAATTGTTTAAAGATTAAAAAAAAGAATAGAAATCAAATTAACTTAAAAACTTCTGAGATAATTACTGGTTCATAATAAAAGAAATCTCACTTTTTTTAGAAAAACTTTAAATCCCTCCCCCCCACACAAAAAAATTGCAAATATGGCCACTGTACATACTTAATACCTAATACTTATTATACCTACCTATACTTGCATAATATATTATTTTCCAGCCTAACCTAACCTAACTGTTTTTTTTTTTTAAATTTTGATTTTATATCAGACATCGCTATAGAATATGAAGATCTCAACAATGATAAATTGAAATTGACCTGGCCGGTATTTACAGACGTGACAGGAAGTGGGAACATTCTGACAAAATGACTCTTTTAACCATTCTTTATTGACCTTTCACTGATCAGACATATTTAGGCTAGGATTCGTACATCCCGTTGTCAGTTCTGCGTGAGACTTACAGGGAGCAGTGGAAAAATCGTGCCAAGAAAATCAACAAATCAGAAATCGGTATACTGGTGTTTGCCTTAAATAAATTATTTGTACAATATTATTATGATATGATAGTTTGTATTAGTTTTCAGTGTGGAGCAATCTCAAAGATACTCTGTTCTACTTGGATAAAATTTGATAATTATTTTATTAGTGGTCAACGTAATAAATTTAACAGTATTTTTTAGTTATTAATTTTTTTTTATTGGATTTTTAACTGTAATTACTTTAACATTAACTACATCAACTTTAATTACTTATACATTTTTTTATATTTTGAACAATTCTTTTAAACCATTTTTTACAGAAACCCACCTATAACATTATAATACATTAAATTATTTTAAATTTTCTTTTTAAACATTTTTAAAACTCATTATTTCAATGTATCTACAATAGTTTTTTAAAATTATGAATTTTCAACGGTTTTTATTGTGTATCTGCTATTAAAACATTTTAACATTGTCTCTTTGAAACTATTCCAAAATATTTCAAAACATATTTTTATCAAAATGTGTATAAGTATCAATTATATCAGAATCTAACTCAATTTTGATGACATAGGGACATCTCTTTCTAACTTATAAGAGATAGGTAGTTGGTGAGTGAGTTGACTCTTTTAGTTGAACTAAATGAATTGATTCAGGGCTGTTCTCACTAATGTAAAAAAATGCGTTTATCTGATTCTTAAACTGAGTTTATGGCTGAAAATCGACCACAATTGTTTGATTACCTTATAAACTCTGTTTAAAAATCAACATTTGTGCTAGTGAGAACAGGCCTCAGTATATAGTGTTCCGTAACTTAGTAAATAAAAAAAAAATATAAAAGATTGAGATGAGCTATGGGAAAAATGGTAAAATAATATACACATTGGCCAATTCTTTCAAAGGGGGAGGGTTTTAATGGAGGACCAACATTTTTTTATGTACTTTTTCTGGATTTTTATATCTGGTTACCATAATACGTTAAAGCATGTTTGTACCTGTATGGGAATTCACAATAAAAATAATAATTCCAGACAAAATTGATGGAAAATTTGTTTGGTATTGGCAATAATAAATAATAATCACCACAATTCAATTTACCATGTACCTATATATTGGGCAACGTTGCATAGAAATAAAAATAACAGTGCGCGCAGTCGTACGCAATCGTATCATAGCCAAATTTAGTATGTAGTGTTCATGGCCAATGAGGTTCACTTTTTGGAATTTTATTTTGCATCCAACTAACTTTTATTGAAATTAGTATTAATTAAAATTTAAACTTAGCTATCTATAAAAATATTATATCTAATTATAAAATGTGTTATTTGTTTAATAAACATTTATTTATTGTAGTTTATTTTAAGGTATCAAAAGTAGCGTAAAATTCCATTATATAAATGGACAATGGATAATTATAAATATTGTTGCTCACTAATCAGTGAAAGAACATGCAAGGCCCTCCCTATATTTGGAATTTGTCAGCGATGTAATGATGCAAAAAGAATTTGGCCTATGCATTTTTAAGTTAAATGTCTATGGATACTCATGATTTTAAAGTAACTACTTAAATAATAATATATAATTATTAAATTTCATATTTAATACGTTCAAATATTATAGGATTTAATTACATACTTAAAATGACAAAGTAAATTACTCTGATGTCATGACAATGTTTACATTAACAGGCACAGCTAGTAATGTATAAAAATCTGTTATGGGGTGTATATTTTATTTGCCAATAAATTACAACGCATAATATAAATAATTTTATTTTTCGTATAATAATTTTAAACAAAAATTAAATGAGTAAATGACATTTTTTGTCATCTCGCCCTAGTCGCCTTAATCGCATATTATCTGATCTATGCAGCTATCTTTAACGTCTCTACCGCCGTCGTCCCGAATATCGTTATTTTTTTTAAAGGATTTTCATATTTTTAAACGATGACATGCTGATAATTACAACTGACGTGTTGAAATAAAAACTTAAAATATTTTGTGAACATTATAGAATACTTGCATTATAACAATGATATGAGATGTGTATTCTCAAAAAAAAAAATTTTAATATTTAGAAAAAACCAACGTACACGAAAACAAAATCTGAAAATGTCCTTGCCTTTTGTTAAGTTTGATAAAAATAATCACTATTTATTCTAATATCAAAACGTACAGCATAAAGTTAACCGTGCTAAACGTCTGCAGTATTGCACGTTTGTTTAAGGTTTGTTAAGGTTGCACGTTTGTTAAGGCCAGGATTATGCACGAGGGTATTCTCTATCATAACTTTTTTTTTATCCAAGACATAGTTATTTTATATATTAATTTGTATATTCTAATGTTCATCCATTTTGCTGCTTAGTTCGGTGATCTTTCGGATGTGAACATAACAAACGATTTAAAAACAGTAAAAAGAATGTTATCGTCTTTGTGATCTTCCAAGAGATTTAAGAACTCTATATTTGAAATCGAAACGCATCCACGTAAGTTTAAAACAATATTATTTTAATTTGAGGCCTTTAGATAAATTAACTATTTCGGTTTCATCCTCTTTGTGTTTAATTTTTTTTATTATTATTATGTATTTATTTTAATTTTTTTTTTTATTGAATTTTTAATTGTAACTACTTTGACATTAAGTACATCAAATTTAACTACTTTTAAATAATTTAAATAAATGATTTCTGATTTTAACCGCTGTTTTTTAACTTGAATTTTTAACAAACGTATATTTTTTAACTACAAAAACTATAATACTTTTTAACATAATAGTACGTAAGGCATATCTTTTAATGCATTTTTTAAATCGTTTTCAAAAGTATTTTTATCAAACTGTATATACAGGGTGTCCCATGAAGATATACCTATTGCTATATCTCCTCCTAATAAAGATAATCAAATTCTGCTTCTTTTTGCAATACTAACAGGGATAAAGACTACAAATGTTTATATTGCAATTCATTTTTATGCTTTGATAAAAAACTTAAAAAAAAATAATTTTTATTCTATTATTTTTGAAAAAATTGATAATAGCAAATTTATTCTTCTGAAAATGTTGATGTATTAACCTTTTATTTTCATTAAATATATGATTTTTAATCATTTTTTGAAGTTCAAAGAAAATAATATTAATAATAATAATCAATTACTGAATGCGATTACAGTCTGCTGCATAATTATAGCTACTTTTCTCTGAACTATGAAAAATTATTAAAATTCACTAATTTATTGAGAATAAAAAGTTAATACGTCAAAATGTTCAGAAGAATAAATTCTACTAAATGGCTATCATCAATTTTTTTTTAAAATAATAAAATAAACAGTTATTTATTTTATTTTTTACCGAAACATAGGAAATTAATTGCATTATAAATCTTTGTAGGCCTTATCTTAGTGATTAACATAAAAAAAACTCAGAATTTGATTTATTATCTCGTGAGATATTACAATGTGTATATCTTCGTGGAACACCCTGTATATATAAATACCTAATATTTTCGTTATATTCATTGTTTAGAATATAGAATAACTGAAATAAAATATCTACACTTAGAGGACAATAAAAAATTATTATAACCGAAGGGGTCAGGTTAAAAACGTTATAAATAATATTAAAATGTATTTAAAACAAAATCATAATGATTAATCTATACAATACAATTTAAAATTAAAAAAATAACTTATAGAATTATTTAAATAATTACAAAAATAAAAAAATAAAATAAATAATAGGCACGTAATATTATACAAATGTTAATAGTGTCGCAAATATTTGTAGTGTGATTATTACGATTTATGTATAGTTATAGTAATTAATTACAATAGTTAATATTGTATTAAAAAGTTTTCTTTTAAATAAATTACATAAAAAAACCATATATATATATATGTGTGTGTGTGTGTGTGTGTAATAAGCTCACGTTCTGTTCGTAATTACGTAATTATTAATATTACAAATCTAAAAGGCCAAAGTCTTTTTTATGTACTTCCATAGTTTTTGCATATGACCAAACAATTTATTCATCATATTAGAACTTGTCTTGCTGAAATAATCGTCTTCGTCTTCTTCAAACAGAGATTTTCGTTTATATTTAATGTTTATAACGTCGTCGGCTGCGTTGTCCTCCGCTGACGGGCGAATGTCGTTTGGGCTCTTTTGTGGACTAATACCGTTGTCGTCAACGATCTCGTTAGTTTTAAGTTTTATAGGCTTTTTGTTTCTATCCACGTATGTGTTCACTTCGTTTAACTTTACCGTAAAATCAGCCACCGCCCTCGGATACCTCACAATAGTATCGCGTTTCAACACAGGTCCGACGTCTACGTCGAGTTCGTTGGACTCGAATCTCGCAGGATCTAAAATATCGTTAACGTCCGTCATGTCGTCTTCGATCAACTCGTTCATCAGGGATCGCTTCTTGGCCTTGTGAAATTTTAGCTCTAGCTTCCGTTTCATTTCGAGCCGGCGATTTTTCGACCTTTCTTCCAGCGCCCTAATCTTTTCCGCCACCGTTAAACTTTTTTTGTTTTCCAGTGTACTTTCTCCGTTTTTGTCTATCGGACTGACCACTTGTTTGGACTGTAAAGTTTCCCTACCGTTTTCAATATTCTCCACTAATTTTTCCACGATCTTTTCGTTAGTTTTTATTTGATGAGCATTTACGTTCGGGTCAGTTATAACCTTCCCCAAAGAATGTAAATTCGGTTTGATTTTTAATTTTGACACTGACAGTTGTGCAGTTTCACGACTATCTCTCAGCATTGGTTCTTTCCATTGTATCCCAGTCATTATAGGATTAAGTTTAGGTAATCCCAATATTCTTGACTTGTTTTTATTATAATTATTTGGTTTAGTGGTGTCAATTTTAGTAGTTGTACTAGGTTCAACATAAATCGTTTCGAATTCCGATGTACTGGCTAAATTGATATTTTCTTCGATTACAGATTTATCTGACGCTTTGGGTTTCAAATGTAGATGAGGTCGTAGCGATAGTTTAATATCGGCATCTTTAGTACTTGTACTAGATTCAAAATGAGTACCTTCCAATTCTGATGTATTAGCTAAATTGGCATTTTCGTCAATTATAGATTTATCGGACGTTTTTCGTTTCAAATGTAGACGAGGTCGTGGCGATGGTTTAAAATCAGCATCTTCAGTACTTGTACTAGATTCAAAATGAGTATCTTCCAATTCTGATGTATTAGCTAAATTTGCATTTTCGTCAATTATAGATTTATTGGACGTTTTTCGTTTCAAATGTAGACGAGGTCGTGGTGATGGTTTAAAATCGGCATCTTCAGTAGTTGTACTAGGTTCAAAATGAGTCATTTCGGATTCCGATACGCTGGCTAAATTAACATTTTTATCGATTACAGATTTATCGAGCGTATTTAATTTGAAGTGTAGACGAGGTTGTGGTGATGATTTAGAATTGTAATTTTCAGTTACTACATTAGGTTCAGCATGAGTCGTTTTGAATTCCGGTGTATTGAATGATATGACATTTTCGACGCCTAAAAGTTGAATGGACTTTTTCGGTTTTAAATATAGGTGAGGTCGTGGTGATGGTTTAATATTGTAATTTTCAGTAGTTGTAATGCAGTTAATCTGGCGAGTAAGTCTAAACTTTTCGTTAAAATCTCCAATATTTTCATTCTCTATCTGTTTGCTTTTAGTAGTAAAACTTTCCTCTGTACTCGTCATCACTGACTTTTCGGTTGTGGGTACGATTAGGTTTATTGTTCCGATTTTTAATTTCTTTTGTGATCTTCTTCCACCAATTATATGAAAACATGTTTTGTTTATTTTGCTCAAAGCTTGTTCTTTTCTGGTTTTAATTTTCTGAATGTGATATTCTACTATATGGGGTTGCTTAATTACTGTTGTAGTAGACATTTCAGGTGTAGGGGTAACCACAGCTTGTTGTGTTGTTTGTAATGAAGTAACTGATAAATCCTGTACTCGAGGAGCTATCGAATGTGTTTGTGGATTTGTGAAATTCTGAATTTGTGTTGCTTTTTTTTTGCGCCATTCAGGATTTTCTACATTATTATCGTTTGGTTTCCAGTCAGAAGACGTTTCGTTAGTTTTTAATTGTGGATTTATAGGCTGTTTTTCTTTGTTTGTAAACTGTTCAAGCATATCTTGGATTTCACTTGGACTGTAATTATGATTTGTTGATCGTTTTATTAATTTTAACGCTTGTGCTGGTTTGATAGATGCCATAACAGAATCTAAGTTGGAGTATACATCGGATCTAATGTTTTTTTCTGGGTATCTTTTTCCAGCAACTGCTTGCGCTAGTACATGATATTTCTCTCTCCTGCTTTGCGGTACACTCTTTTGCGTTTGCACCTCTATTGTAGTGTCTTCGACCGGAGAATAAGTTGAAGATTCTACAGCATATTGTCGTTGGTTTAATGATTTTGGGAATTTTGAAAGCCAATTATTATTAGAGAACGTTACGTATTTTACAATTGGTTCAGATTGCTGTGGATTATCATTGTCATCATACAAGTCATCATTGTTTGTTCGAGCTATTTCTTCGTGATTTGTCGCCATTTCGTTTTTAGATCCTTCATTATTTTCGTTTCTTATTTGAACTACAGGTTCGCCATTATCTTTAATATATTTAGAACGGAATGCCACATAAGCGTTTTTTTCATTCGATCCCAATTCATCTTCTTGATCTAATACTGATGTATCGTAATCGATTTCATCAAACTCTTCTTGATCGCTAATCCTCATGCCATTCTTATAAAGTTCTTTAGACTCTTCGATTTGAACCGCCGTACAAGCTTTCGATTTACTATCTGGCAGTACAAAGAAAAATACGCATTGACTGGGGATGGTTATCAATTGATGAGATCCTCGTATTTTTGGTGATAAAATTGGAAGTTCGCCATCGGACGATAAAACCAATTTCTGTCCGTTAAGCATAACCGACCTATAAATCGAAAATATTAACATTAGTTTTATAGTATCATACTATCGACATATATATATCTACTACATTAGTTATATTATTAAACACTTACAAAGATTTTGTAGCTCTTTTTCCGATTTGTCTAGTATTGGCGGTCAAGAAATATTGATGTAACGGAGTACTTTGCTTTTGTCCCGTTTTCAATAATATCCTCACGTTTTCCGATCCCACGTTGACACCGAAAACTGTAACCGCTCCCCTTGTATAACGATATTCGGGAGCTAATATTCCTTCATTCGGGTCATGCGGTGACATTTTCGTACAATGCGCCACTGTTTCTAAACGAGTTTTATTTCCCGATGAAATTTTTATATCTAATACTTCCGATCCTATTAACGCTTTATGCAGAATTGACACCCAATATTCCTGTAAATATGTTTATTCGTTTTTGGTTAAATTCTGCATGTATTCAAATTATAATTTTTGGAATTTTTAATTGTAGTTATAAAGCCAATATTTTCGAATACTTAAATTTTTCGCAACATTTAAGGAATATCCTGTGTTTCTCGTTAACGAGTTGACGAAAATCAAAGATTTCAACACCAAAATGTATTTAAAGTAATACTCCATCTATATTTATGGAATTTTCAAAATGGATTCACATTTGATAATTCAAAGTTTGTATCACCAGAGGATACTCCTTAAATGTTATGAAAAATCTAAGTATTCCAGAATATCAGATTAAACTACACTTAAAAATTCCGAAATCAAAATTAAACAAAAAAATAGGGTGAACACTTAGTAAATCACGCTGTATATAATTTATATCATAGAAGTGGTCCAAAAGTAAAATAGATATTATTTCTTACAAATTTATCGCCCAAATTACTTTTTAAAATAGTAAAATAATAAAATGTCTGTGGTAAAAGAGAAATTTCTTACATTTTAAAATAGCACGCGTATTTGTAGCGGATTAAAAATGTTTGTGAAAAGGTATTATTTAATTTTATATAATATTGATTATAACAATTATATTAATATTATAATATTAATAATATCAATCAAATTTAATATTTTCATGGGATTTATATATTTAAATACCAGATATTATATATTTTATTATTAAAAAAAAAAAATCAAAACTTTAGTAGGTACTGTATAAGTACTAAATACTACGTAACTGTGAAAAAAATATTTGAAAATCCTAAATGAGTAGGATTGGTTAATTATACATTTATAATGTCCAACGCGAATACTTGAGATATGTTAGTTTTATTTTAGGCATCCAATGTCCCCTTCATGACTACATTTCTGCCTCAAAGGTTCTTGGCCTAAAATTTTTAGCTGACTGCAATCGAATGTTAGGCAAGTTATTTTAGGTGGTCTGTTGTCCAATACAATCACTTATACATTTTAAAATCCTGCAATTTCATACCCACACATCTATGTCCTTTTATATCCCCGATTAAATACCAATTACTTAAAAAAAAGAGCCGTTGAGACGCTTAATGTCTATCGTCAATAAGGATCCCGCCTTTCATATTCAATTAATTTTTTTTATTTAAACTAACCATAATTTTATATTTTATTTATTGTTGTTATTATTATTGCTTTTTAATGTGGCTTATACTTAAAATTAGTATTTATTTCGTGATCAGAAAGCCCTACCCATTTATTATTAACAAATAAACAAATAAATAATATTACGTCATTTTTAAATTTGACAAAACAATTATTTGAATAATTACCGGAGTAGGTTTGCTTAGGGCGAGCAAAGATGGTTTTCTCATAATTGTATTTATTCCTACTCGCGCGCCTGCACATAACCTCTGCGCCCAAGTGATTCCATCCGTGAAATCGCCTATTGTGTCTTTATTCCCGGACTCCACTATCCATAACGGCTTTTTAAGCACCGTTTTTCCGAGGTATTTGTTGATTAAATTATTTGGCCACACCCGATTTTCCAGTTGGTTTTGTATGTAAGTGAATATTTCGGTAGGATTCTCAACGTTTTTCTCGCTCGCAAACGGTCTAAAATACAATATTATTATCATTAAACATTACTAATTTTAATAATCCATAAGATTGCAACAGTATTTTTTTTTTATTTTTGTTTATTATTAATATAATATCGATCTTAATTTCTAAAAGAAATTACTCACTGTTCTTCTAATATCACAGCCCATATCGCTATTGTACAATGTAAGCAACTACTAAGAAAACATTTTTAAAAACGAACGGGTATACTTAGCACGGCTACAACACGATTGAGCAAAATTTGCGCAATCTTGTATATTTGAATAGCCATCGAAATACATACACGATTGCGCAAATTTCTCATATGTATACACAATTGCACAAGATTTCAAACGCATAGTTGCCATAATGTTATAGTTATACAATCCCAGTGTATGATATAAAAACAGTTAATGAAACAAATTATTATTTTTACATATTTTAAGATGACCACGGTTATGTTACATTAATATTAATTTGTTTTGGCTAAATTGTGGTTTTCACACAGAACGCGGTTTATAATATATGATGTTATAATAATATATTTATTTATACATGGCAACGTTACATTTAAAATCTTGCGCAATTGTGTATATGTATATGTGAGAAATTTGCGCAGTCGTGTATGTATTTAGAATTTCGATGGTTATTAAAATATACACGATTGCGCAAATTTTGCTCAATCAAACTTTAAAAATACAATCACTGAGTACCTATCTAAAATATTTTTAGCTTAAAGAAATATTGCAATCGGTTTTTTCTTATTATTATATTTACGTCCGGCGATTTAATTTTTAAAAGAAATAAATAGCTATATAAAACCAAAAGTTTGTAATTGGTTTTCAATTTATTATTTGTTTATTTATAATAAACTCACACTTGGTATGTCACTGCGGTAAGAGAAGGCCCGGATTCAATGATGAAATTCTTCAAATACCGAACTTCATCTTGTGTATCACAAGATTTAATGTCAGGGCTAATGATCGCCGAATGCGTGTACCTGGGCAACGCTTCCAGTACTTTGCGCAATCTGGTCACCTCTTTGCCGAGTGTTGAACTATCGATACGCGATCTGACTGTTTGAATATCTGAAACAAACATCAATAATTTTAATTTTTTTTTTTTTTCTTCCAATACTATTGGTGACAGTAAAACGCGGCGGAAACAGTATTGAAAGTCAAGTACCGGGTATAGAACAATCGCTCAACGGACCTGATTTTTAGCATCATATTCTGAAGCTAACAATACTAATATTATATGGTGTTTTCGAAAAGAGAGCTATCACACTAGTAGGTTCAACAATCATAATCGATGATTGAGTGATGACCCAATAACGAAATTCATAAAAATAATTGTTTATCTACCTACCTCCAAAAACCTGGGATTTTTTAAAAATATTGATTCATAATAGAATATTTGCGTTAGTTTGAAAATAAATATTCCTCAATATTCCCGGTAAAGTCCTCATGCGCATTGATATGCTACATCATTTTTGCGGATTTTGCAATTAGATATAATGCCGCAAGAATGAAAAAAAGTCATGTAGTACATTTTTAATGTGTATTATATATATATATATTTAAAAACATTTCGTGAAGGAGTATCACAATGTAAGATTTCATTTATCGAAATCTATATATACTCGTAAGTCGTAATATTCGTTCGTTTTGGGAGGTTATTCTGAAACGGTCAGAATGGTGAAACAGAAGAACGAGATAAACGAATAAACTTTTTTTAATGACTTAACAAGTTTAATGTCTTGATGAATTGAATAAGAAGTCAAGGTGTTCTGGAAAATCTTGACGAATTAATAAAATGGATGAGATCAAGTGTTGTTAAAGAAATCTATGAGATTCTTCTACTAAAATTGTGTAAACAAATGCTGTCGAAATATCAAATTTAATGTTGCTTCAGAGATTTATCTAATACGAATCAACAAAGAGGACACATAATTTACTCCATGGTTTATCATCGAAAAATAGATAATTATAATCATCTTCCGAGATTTGATGATGAAATTGAATAGATTTTACAAATGGATTGGATGAAATTTATATAACAGATAATAATCACCATGTTATGAGATAATTTGAATGAAAAGGATAAAACTTGAGAAATCATGTTACTTTATCAAAGAATCTTCTTTGTGATATTTTGCAGGTTTGTTTAAAACGCGCAGTTATGAAAAAAAATGTTGAATGTAAGTTCTTACACGAAACCTGTCGGGTAAAAAAATAAATATGTTAGTTCCTACACGACAGAAAAGGTGTGTTTGACCTAATTTTAAAAAAAAGCATTTTTGGAATAAAATTTAAGATAAGTCATATACTATCAAGTATAGCGGTTGAAACGAGCATGATTATATTATCACACCTTATCCATACTATTATACTATTTTTAAATAATTTTTTGGTTTTCCGCTGAAAATGCAAGCATATTTTTGTATTTGTGTAGGAACAGACGCATACGTAGCATTTTTTATCATGTAGAAACTAACTAAATATGTATTTTTTATAAGAAAAAAAGCATGAGACCTGATAGGTCTCGTGTAGAAACTTACTGTTCCCCAAAAAAATTTACCGTTTCCCAGTTGGAACGCCATGTTGTAGCCGTGCTTGTCCGAATAGGACACGAGGTCTAGGGTGTTGCCCAGGTCCCATTTGCCGTGTTGTCGGTTCATGACGTTCAGTCCGACGATCAGGTCCAGCCCGCTCTTGGCCACGAATTCGTTAAGCTGCGACCAATGCCACCCGGTGATCGTGATATTGTTCCTGCCGTATTTGACGGGATGGAGTGGTGACGATTGTGCCGTATCCTGCGCTCCCCGGAACGTGAAGTAATTGCATTCCGGACCGGAAATCCGTATGTACGCCGGGTTTAGTACTTTGGCCATATTGATTGCAGTCGTCCTATAATATGAATATCGTTGAAAAAAAAAATTATCCATTTAATATAATACTAAATAATATGAATTCCATCGCAAACGACGACAGTGAAAAACGTATAGGTACCCGAGATTATTCTGCAGCAGCGCGGAAAATATCGTCGACGGTTCGACGGTAAAGCTGAGAAAACGATCGCCGATGGTGTGTGTGTATTTTTTTGTGTTTAAGGTCAGAGACAAAACGTTCGATGACGAACTGCCGGGTTGTAGCGCTTGCAAAACGTTCGGATTTTCAGACGATGCCTGCAAACTAGAGCCGAACAAGAGCAGCGCTCCTAACCAAATAACGTTCGACATTTTTAAAACCTGTAAAATAAAAAAATCAAAGAAGAAGCTGTATAGATACTCGTACATTTAAAAAGAATATCTTAAAATAAATTAAAATCTTAAAAAATCAACGATAAGTTTAATTACCTTTAATTTAATCTATTTAACTTATCCTATAATTATTTTATGAAACTACTAATTTTGTATTATTTTTAATAATTTATATACTTATTTAATAGTGACTGTAGCAAATCCGAATTTCAAAAATCTAGATTACACAGATTATCTGACTCGTTTTATTAGTATCATTATTATTTAACCCTAATCCCTATGTTGTACTGTAGTATAAATAATATAGCTCATATTAGTATATTACGTGAACGCAGTGAATTTGTTTTAGAACAAGCAATCTTTAAAGTTTTACAATACAGTCATTTAGAGTTGGTTGAGGAAATTGAGTGATCTAGTCAGATAAAAGAAGCAAATCTGGATAATTCGAAAAATCCTAATAAGAATTTAATTGATTTAATTCAAACGCGGATTTGAATATCCGAATAGTCGGATAATTCGGATATTCGAATTTTATACCCATCCCTATAATACTTAATGCATAATATAATATTTGTACACATTTTGGTAAAAGTAGGTAGGGAAGTTATAAATACTGGAATGCTTTGTAAATTGTATCACGTCTAGAACATTGGCGTCGAATGGACCGTACATTATATTTAACATTTACGTATTTAAAACCCAAAATTAAAGCAATTAAATTTAAATTGTTTGAAAAATAGTTATAGTGACTACCTAGCTTACAAAATGTATTTTAGATTCTGAGCGGGGCGAGAAATGTATTTGGTTTTACAACGATGAGATCTTGCTCTGTAGTATTAAGCACCTAAAGCATCTTTATTGAAAGGAAATATTCCTAGGGTGGTCATTTTTTTTATTTTCCCAATTTTTTTCTCAATTAATAGGAAAACTCGGGAAAAATGTAGAAAAACCAGGAAAATGTACGAAAATAATATGCTTTTATTATTTTCAATTTTTTTCTTTTTGTTGTAATTCAGTGATAAATATCATAGAGACTTGAAATTTTGACAGAAACCTTATACTAGTCTTTAATAGACATTTATAAAATAATTTTTAATTTTTAAAACATTTAAACCATTTTTAAGCTAAATGACATTTTAATTTTCCGAGTTTTTTACGTAATATTTATTCAGTACCGTATTACCGTCCCTACTGTGTAGGTAAAATTGTTAGACCAAACATATATGCTTGACAATTTAACAAAAGATTCATTATATTATATCACTAAGTACAACTTATTATTAATAAGTGGTAATAAGACTTATTGGTCAACAAGAAAAAGTTGAATTTAATGTAATATTTTATTATTTTTTATAAGAATTTTAAAATCAAATTTTGACGAACATTGTAAATATTACACACTTTTAAATATGATGTATAACCAAACTTTACTTAGAATCATTTTTCATTAGCAAAGATTAGTTGGTGCGTACAGATATACATTAAATTCCCCTCTATACCTACCTTCCCAACTTGTCACCTACAACAGTGACCTGCGAATTATGCCCGTCTTTTTAAACTAATATTTTCTTTTCCTTGTGATTTAAAACAAGAAAAAAAAACGGGATTTGGACGTTATGTAGATATTTACAATCTTAATGGTTCAAATGAAAGTTTATTAGATAATTTTTGTATGTTTTATTTTGACAGTTTAATAAATTTGTTGAAAAATGTGTTGATTATTTTATTTCTGTTATGTTGAAAATTATTATATATGCTTATTAAAAAATAAATTTAAATGATGCCACTGGTCTATAAAGTACTAACATAAATATTTTGTGAAAATGTTTATGTTACGATAATTCTGACCGAATTAAAAAAAAAAATCAAAAATAATGAAATCATTGTCGTGAACTTTCATTTCCGTTTTTCCCAATTATTAAGAAAATTACTTAGAAAACAAAAGTAATGGCCTATTAAATTCACCAATAAGATCTAAAACACTACAAAAAAATTATCTTGTCATTATCGAATGGAGCGATATTAGAAAAGTTATTTAAAGACAAAAAAAAATCACACACATAGCAAAATCATTAGTCAATACATTACTCGGAGGTTAAAAGTATTTTGAATATTTTTATCAAGTATTTGTATCTAAATTCAAATACTTGTGAAAAAAGTATTTCGAATAACATTTATACGTGTATTCAAAAACGTGATCCGAATATATTCGAAAAGTATTTTTAACACTAGATATTATATTCAGATCAGGATTAATGCTATTAGTGGCTCAAAGGCCAATCCATCCTTTATTAGATATATTTTGAATTATTGATTAAATTATTTGTGTATTATTATTTATTAATGAAATGATTTTAGGAAATTTACGGTCCCAAAAATTATCTGGGAGCGCACCATTTTGTCGAGGGGCCCTGAGATATAGCCGCCTTAGTCTCAGCTATCCCCCTCCCGTTATTCCGATTCTGAAATCAATATAAAATCAGATCACTTACTAAGAACAGATTGACGACGGTGTCTGTATAACACGTCTAACGAGCGTGTGTTGTAATCACGGGAAAAAAAAAAATTTTTAAACAAAATCACAAAAACACTCGACGGACAACCGTTCAATTATTATTTTCGTTCGACGACATTGTATTCCGAAAACTGGACACTACGGTATTGACGGCGGATTTGGTTCGAGGCGCTTATAAATCGACTGTTTTTTTTTTTTTTTATTTGATGAAAACGTAAACATTAATCGTTTTTGTTGTTACTTTCCACAGCGATATGACGACTGGTGCATACGCGCTATTCGTATTGTCGTGACATTTGTTTAAAATAACAATATATACAGGGTCTTCCAAATTTCGTGTTACAATCAAATTTTCTGTGAAATGCATATTTTTTCAAAAATGGCACACACAAACGTTATGGAACTATATATTCTAAAATGTTATATTATCCTTGGGGTTGAAACATATTTTTGATTTTCAAATAACAACGTTTATAAAAAAAAACAAAAAATCCCATAACTGGACGGAATATTAATTTAAATACATTTCTGGCACAATATTCAAACATCACTCGCTTTGCAGCCGTCGTACAAATAGTGCTCCATTACTCTTCCCCTATTTAAATTTAAAAGTGAAATATCTCGTCAACGGGATGACGGAAATCAAAAATTTCAACGCCAAAATGTATTTAAACTAATAATATGTCTATTTTTTTTTTTTTTTTTTGTAATTTTTAATATAGGTTGTAATAATCCCCAAAAATTAAGGGTAACAACGTAAAATTTTATGATTATAAAATGTTCCTAAACAAGTGATTTATTGACAATAATAAAGAATCCGTGGACAATTTGACTTAAAACGTGAAATTTGAAAGACTCTGTATGTATATATATATATATATATATATAAAATAATACCGACGGAATTCTTTATCACAGCGCGCATGATGTTTTCGAAATCCGCGCGTTTATTGTTGCAAAATCGTTGGGGTTTGTTTTTGTATGTATACCTGCGTTTTCGCTTGTTACTCGAGCGCTGTTAACCGGTGTAATAATATTGTTATCACGTAATAATGAGAATGCGGAACAAAACATATTACTACTGTTATTATTATTATTATTATTATTTTCGTTACCGGAGAATTACAATAACTTACGAATAATATTCAAAACGGACGTTTAGGTACGATGTACGACACTTAATTTGTATTTCGGATTGTGATGCCGGGTCACACGAAAACTGTTCTGTAGACCGTTGGTTCGATAATGTTAATATAACATAATATTCTTTACCTTTCTTGGACAAATTTAATGTGTTCAATATAGGACTGTCATATGCGGGAGTGTGTATTCGTATATAGGGTATGTCAATTGGAAATTGTATCCATATAAATATGTATACAAATCTATCGTGAGCCTCTCATTATCTCCGAAGGTATTAACTTTTAACAATTAAGAAACAAACAGCTCTACAATTTTACTTGTATTTTTTTTTCACCCTTATTTTTTGGGGGTTAAAATTCCATACACAGATGAACTAATAGTTAAAATACATTTTGGTGTTGACATTTTTAATTTCCGCCAATCCGTTGACGAGATATTCCACATTCCACTTTTAAGTTTGGGTCGGATAACAGTAGTGGTGCATTATTAAACAGCCGCGCGCCGTGCTGCTACACAAATAATGTTCCACTACTCTCCCCCGACTCAAACTTAAAAGTGGAATATCTCGTCAACGGATTGACGGAAATTAAAAATGTCAACATCAACATTTATTTTAACTAATACTCCATCTGTTTATGGAATTTTTAATATAGGTTGCCATTTAAAAATCAATAGTAGGTAGTGGTTTTACCCCCAAAAATGAGGGTGATAAAAAATAACATAAAAGTAAAATTGTAGAGCTGTTTGTTTCTTAAATTTTCTATAAACAGATTCCAAAAAAAGTTAATTCTTTCCGAAATGATAGCGTCTTAAACGATAGATTGAGCCTATTATAAAGGGTGTATAATACTATACTACTCTCATATGCGAAAACGCCATAAGTCCAAAAAAGATGGAAAAACAAATAGACATACTTCGCACGATGGGTGGGCCACTATTTTAAATGAGAAGTTGGGAAGATAGAGAGGAAATTTAATTTAAATTCGTACGCAACAATTAATCATTGTTAACGAAAAAGTGGATTTCGGTTACACATGCTTTGAAAGGCCGTAATATTTACGATTTTAAAATACAACATTTCGTAAATTTTCTCGGTTTTCCTACATTTTTTCCCAGCTTTTCCCATTTATTATGAAAACTCCTTTTAAAATCAAAAAATAACCTTCTTTAATATACCGCCCCATGAACATTCACTTTCGGGAAAAGTCTTGAAAATCTGGACAAAATTTCTGGTGGAAAAGTTGTTCACAGAAAAAAAGGAAAATTCACACTTTGTCTGAAATATTGTCCACCAAAAAAACTATTAGATAGCAATATTTGTTATTGACAGAACGCTTGTGTGTGTGTGTGTGTGTGTGTGTTTGTAAAGGATTATAATATTGTTATACATATTATATTTATAGTAGTATATAATATTTGGTTACAACCGATACATATTTTATTGTTTTTCTTTTTTACAAATAATTTGCCAATTCGTTACTATGTATTCAAAATAGGCGGGAGGAAATTTGACTCCGTATATTATGTAGCGATGGAGTGCATCGAAAACCGCTGCTCACGGGTGTTTCGTTTTTTGATTCGGTCATATTTATGTTCATGTTTAAAATTTAGCCATTTCATTGTTCAGAGAAACCCATTTATTTACTTTTTTTTTGTTTTGTTTTGTGTGTGTGTGTGTGTGTGTGTGTGTAGTCACTATTACGCGCGTATAATTTCAATAAAAATCGCGTACAACTAGGTAAACGCAGAAATACGAGTCATAGTTTTATGGAATAATAAAGAAAAAAAGATCTGTTCAATGATTAATAACTACGCTAAACATATACGTCAATTTCATATTATAACTGTAATCGTATAATATTTTGTGTTTACTAAGCATTAATAGTTTCAATTATATAGCGTTTTGCGCGTTTTGTTTATACCGAACCACTGTAATGTGTAATAACACGCGAACGAGTTTCAATAATATAAAATATTATATAGAATATACGTTTAAAAAATAATTTATAAACCCGTAACAAATTATTAATATTAGTGATGTAGTAACTAATACTTACAAAGTACGTGTACGAATGCGCAGTACAAAAATGCAAATATCCGTGTGTTTACGTATTTACGCCGCGTCCCGTAACAAAATGTTATGCAACTCGAGTACCCATTTTAAACAAAACACAATAAACAAAACAAAACCGTTGTACGATAACCCCGCAAACATAAATATTGTTAACGAGGACATCCAACCTTTCCAACTTCTCACCAACAAAAGTGGCCGCTCCCATCCCCAGTATCAGATATTTTTATAATTTTTTTTTTTTTTTTTATAATTCCATATTCATACGTAAACTTAACAAAAATAAAGAAACTATCTATTTTCGATTGTACTAGAGAATCTACTAATTGAGTTTCATATTAACCTGAAATTAAAATCCATATTCAATTAATATACGTATAATTAAAATTAAATACATAATAATGTACATTGTATCGGTAACATTCGGAACATGCAATAAAAAAATACAATATAAATACATATAACTATAACAAAAACATTTGATACAAAAAAAAAACGATAAGAATGTTCATAAAAGTGATTCAATTATTCGGTACTTCGTGATTCTAATAAAATGTTAATTTAACATAATAACATACGATTTGGTTTGGGATTTTCATGTTTGATTCCAATTAACGGTTGATTCTATAAACCCGTAATCATATTAAGCGGAATTCACTGTAATAATTACCCAATGCTATGAATATATGATAAGACTGATAACGTCTTACGAAGCATTTTGGTGCCGTAATCGACTGCGTTTCTAATTCGGGGAGGTCTTATCTTCTCTTTCTAATTGTATCTATGTGTCCAACCTACCCAATTAATAAGCTCGACCTCTGTTCTTTTTTTTTTTTATTGCAATAATTTATCGTTGCTTCTATAATAATATAGTATATAGTATTACAGTGTTTATTTCAGAGGGCGACCGGGTATTACCTCCCCCTCCCGCAAAAAAATGTACACCACCTCCTGAAAATGTATGATATTATTCCGTAAATTAAATTTGACATGGACTGCGAAATTAGTTATGGGCCGATTATAAGTAATCTTGTTGATAATATTACAAAAAAAAAAAAAATCATTATTGAGCGTATTTTCTAAATTTTTTTTCCTGGCGTAAAAATGTCTAGATCCGGCTCTGCCTTTGGCATACCCCCTTGGAAATGTACGATACACCCTCCCCACTCGAGGTTGAAGATCTAAAATAAACGCTGAATTAATATACCAGGTATACTATACCTTATACATAAATATTATACATTTAATTACTTTATGGCCTACTTACTCGTCATCCCACATACAACAGTGACTTAGTGCAAATTGTATCTTGTCTGCTTTTTTAATAGGTACATTATAACAATTAATATTATATTTCAAAATACCCGTAACTCGTTAAAAAATATAATTTTATCACGTTTAAACCCAGTGGATTTGGCCGCGCTAAACACAGCAGTCTGACCGGACGCGGTAGTAGTAAGTTATCAACGTCGTCGAGATTCCATTAGCCGAGCAGTGGTCACACTGTAGCCAGACAATCAACCACGGGTGTGATGGCAAACGCGACCGCGTTCACGGATCAACGTTGTCGTTTGTTGTTGTTTGGGGTTGTGTTTGTGAAATTCATTGATTGTCGCTTTACAAAATTAATCTTTTACAACCAAGTTTTGTTGGTACTTTCTCGGTACTTGTTTCCCGCCGGTAAATTTGTAAATTTCAATTTGCGGCCTCGCCAGCCAAACTGTCATCCCGTACGGTATCCCAGAGACTACACGTTCGCCCCCCGACACGTAAGTGCGAAAGTTTCTAACTCAATACTGTTATATTGCATACGCCACAAGCTCGCAACAGACGGATATCGCGGAAATTATCACTATCGGGACCGTGTCGTGCTGTTGCGACCACCGTCGATACTTTAACCGAACTGAATCGTAATATTTCGCTAATGTCGTTTGATTTTAACAGGACGATGGGCGATTATATACACACAAACATAGCTCAGGACAACGTATCGATGGTGCGTCTCGAGTTGGGGCAAAGCGATCAAATACCGTTGCGGCGACCATTCGACCCGTTAATCCACGACTTGGATCCTCATTTCAAGCTCACCCGGTTCGCCGATCTCAAAGGACGTGGCTGTAAAGTGCCCCAAGAAGTCTTGAACAAGTTGCTGGAGGGTTTTCAACAAGATGAGAACGGCCACAATGAGCAGTCACATTTCCTGCATATGACCATGACCAAGATCGGTATTGGAATGGATGCCGCCGTCGTTCCCATCAGACACGGTGGTCTGTCACTGGTCCAGACCACTGATTATTTTTATCCGCTCGTCGATGATCCATTCATCATGGGCAAAATTGCTTGTTCGAATGTACTGAGCGACCTGTATGCTATGGGCGTGACTGAATGTGACAATATGCTCATGTTGCTATCTGTATCAACCAAAATGACTGAAAAAGAACGAGATGTCGTGATACCGTTAATTATGAAAGGTTTTAAAGAAACTGCATTCGAAGCCGGCACAACAGTTACTGGTGGACAAACAGTAGTGAATCCTTGGTGCACCATTGGTGGTGTCGCAACTACAGTATGTCAGCCTAATGAATTTATTATCCCAGACAATGCGGTAGTTGGTGACGTTCTTGTATTGACCAAACCTCTTGGAACTCAAGTGGCTGTAAACGCACATCAATGGGTGGACCAACAGGACAAGTGGAACCGAATAAAACTAATAGTTTCCGAAGAAGATGTGAGAAAAGCATATCAACGTGCTATGGACTCAATGGCACGTTTAAATAAAGTTGCTGCTAAGTTAATGCACAAATACAATGCTCATGGAGCAACAGATGTAACTGGTTTTGGTCTTTTGGGTCATGCCCAAACATTGGCAAAACATCAAAAAAACGAAGTGTCTTTTGTAATTCACAATCTTCCTGTGATCGCCAAAATGGCGTCTGTGGCCAAAGCGTGTGGCAATATGTTCCAATTGTTACAAGGTCATTCAGCAGAGACATCAGGAGGCCTTTTAATTTGTTTGCCCAGAGAACAAGCTGCTGCTTACTGCAAAGATATTGAGAAAGTAGAAGGTTATCAAGCGTGGATCATAGGCATTGTAGAGAAGGGCAATCGCACTGCCCGGATCATCGATAAACCAAGAGTAATAGAAGTTCCAGCTAAAGAAAAAGATGGAGAACTCTGGTAGGACTGCAATTATTGACTTAGTGCCATTAACTTGAAAAGATATAAAGAGTATGGATTTTGTTTTATTTCTTTTTATTATTTAGTATCTAGCTCTCCATTATTGTTTCAACAATATTTAAGACACAATCATTTTTTTTCTTTTTTTTATACATATAAAATAATATAGATACCTATAATAATTGTATGTATATTGTACTGTATAGGTACTTTATTTCCTCCATAAGTAGTTAAAATTATATTAAATATCATTAAGGAAATGACAAAACTTAAATACTAACAGTTCATTAAAGGTTTTAAAGTTTAAATTGAGTAATTTGTAATTTAAATTAAACTAATTCAACATTGTACACAAATAATGATTAATATTTTAATTTGACTATATTGAAAACAATCTCCTAATAAAATATACGATAATTTTTTTATTTATATATCTATAATATTAACTATTCACTCTTTTAGGTTTTATGTTTTTGATTATTTGACACTAGGACCTGATTTTATGTATGCCTCTATGTAAATCCGATTAATAGTCTATTGCTATTATGGTAAATTTAATATGGTATGTTGGACTGTATGTCGATCCTTCGATTTAAACATTATATTATATTATAAGCAATAAGTAACTAAAGTTGATTCAGTGATAAGCGTATTATTATGTACAATATTATAATATATTACAATATTTATATACATATATATATATATATATTTTTAGTACTTTTTAAAATTTAAAATTATATTATTTTGTACACAAAATAACGTCTCAAGCACACAAAATTATCATAATATTAAATTGTTTCTATTTTAATGATTCTTTACAATAAAGTTTATAAGAAATTATTTTGAACATGATTTATTTAAACTATTAAAATTAATAGTAAACCTACTAAACCATCATGTATATGACATGAAAAATGATTGTACACAATAAATTAAAGTGGCTGATGATGTCCATAACTTTATTGGAACGAAGCTGTAAATGTGACTAAAATAAATTATATTATATATATATATATTAAAAAAAGAACTTGAAACATAAAAATAATGTGTGACCAATTTTTTTTTATGTCTTAATTTTGTAATTGTCATAGGAGCAGTATGTTATTACACAATTATGGTTGTTTCATATAGAAGACAGTAATAATTATTTTTACCTGTTTTTTTTAGGAACATTTATCCATTATAATGATGTCAATTTGAAAATATTAAATTTGGTTAGGCAACTAATAGTTACCTTTTATTACATAAACTAGATAATTGCATTTAATAGTTATTATAGTTTTATAATATTATATATTGACAAAAATACATTTTTCAATATAGGTATAAATATGTAATATTTAACCAGTTTAGAAAGATCAGTTTATTTTCAATTAAGAATTTATTTTATTAGAACAATTTATTAATTATTTATTTGAAAATCTATAGATAGTACCCAATATTATATACATATTTTACAAGTATTTTAGTTAAAAAATGTTACAGAAATAGGTAAATAAAATTTTGGTTTGATTAAGACAATTTGCATAAGTATTAAGAACGTATTTTAATTTTATATTGCTCATTTGCAATATTATTGTCTTAAACTGGGTAATGAAGTATTACATGTATATTAATCTTATAACATAGGTAAGAACACTCCCAAAAATGTATAGATATCTTAGATACATTTTGGATACAATTTGAATATTACATATATTTTACATTATTTAATATATATGATTAAAATAAAATGATTATTACACCTTTCTTCTGATATTTTTTTTGTGTCTATTACAGACATGTACATTTTTTCAGTGTGTAGAGAACTCAATTGTTTTAATCTCTACTGCAAAATATATATCGATAACATTCCAGATACCTATTCTTAAGGCGTTTTCATTATTGTGATATTATGTAGGGGGAAAGAAAAATAACATTAAGCAATAGGCGTTGTAACTGTACAAAACTAAATTTTATTGACAATTCTAACAAAATATAAGCATAATATTTTACTGATATGGGTACTCATGACGTTCTCAACATTTTCGATTCTTTCAGTTCTTGTAACTCTTTTTTTCGTTCTTCCAACACGACACTCCTGTCTTCCAGGAACTGTTGGTATTCGTCCGGGTCTATTTCCTTGACCACTTTAACACCCAGCGAGCGGGCGGTGCCAATCAGCATTTTGCATATATCTTCCAGGCTCCTGAACTCCAGGTTTTCGTCTGTCTGTTTTATCGCCGCTATTTCGTATATGTGCTTGAGCGTGACCATACCGGCCGTCTCCTTCTTTGGGTTTATAGTACCTTTAGATATGCCCGCCGCCTGTTTCAAATAATACATGGACGGCGGTTTAGTGATCATTATTTTATAGCTACGGTCCGGATTCACGTGCACCCTGGTCGGCATAGGTATGCCATCCTTGATGTCTTTGGTCTTCTCGTTGAAATCCTTGCAGAAAGTCGTGATATTTATACCCCTGCATCCCAACATCGGTCCGAGCGGTGGACCCGGCGTGGCCATGCCCGCCGGTATGTTCGTCTTCAACTGGCCGTGTTGGATTTTCTCCACGCCCGTTTTCATTTGCCGCAACTTGCTAGCGTTGTACTTAGACATTTTGATCCTAAATTTTTAAAAAATTGTAATAATTTAATTAATATTGAACAAGATCACCGAAAATCTACTTATTTTGTCGGTTCGTCCTCGTATCTCGTGCGTTAGTGCCCGACTACTATCACACAATTCGTTATCGCATGTTGTTACCAAACGCTCTACTCTTATCTATGACCAGTAACCGGCCTATCACCACTCGGACAGTTTCGCGTACATTTCAGACGAAATAGAATCTATTGTAGTAGACGATTCGACAAGTGTTTTTACCCCTTTGAAACATTATTTAACCAGCCGAGAAATTCTTTGTATATAACTTTCAAAATTGTATTTTCATCTATAATTTTCGTTCGTATTTTTTTATAGTATTCCGAGATTGATTCGTATGTACAATGTACTTATATTATATAGATAGGTATCTAAAGGTTCACTCGCTCGGTCGTTTATGTAGTAAAAAAAAAAAAAATCATATGAAATCTAAAAAAACACGAACATAATATTAGGTAGGTATGCATCTAGTACGTTTCAAATCGTAATAAGATCATATTTATAACGGGCATGGCACTCGGTCTAAAATTAATTTCAATAATAGAGTTCGCGCACTCTGACGACGGTTTCGAAACGGAGGTGGCAATAAATCTATATTGTACACTAGTGGAATTCAATTGGTGAAAAGAATGAGTTAATTGTCTTTTTTCGCCCTTCGCTCGAGTATTATAATAGCCACAGCTAATTTAGACGAAAAGGTTCAGCCGCCAAATTTGTGTACCATAAATTGATGTATTCTTTTGAAGGTAGGGCTTAATAACTCTATTTTTTCAATACCACAAATATCCTGAAAAAATTGGATATGGGATATAATGAGATAGGACTGTACAGTAGGCATGCTCAGTGTTGAATTTAGATTTAGGTCAGGGAGGGGAGGACTAACCCCCCTAGAATTTTGTTTGCCTCCCCCTATTAAATATGGGTAAATTAATAATTTATTTAATAATTTAACAAATTTGATTGATCTTAGTAAGAGACTAGATAAGTAAAAAAAAAGGTCAAGGTTAGTTTACTGAAAAAAGTTTACTATAATTTTAGTAATGTCTCCCTTAGAAAAATTGTCTGGATTCAACACTGGACATGTCTACTCTAATTCCACGAGGAAATTATGTCCTGTACTAACATCCTTTGAACAAAATGATAGTAAAGGTATTGTGCATGTATACTTATTACCTACAATGAACAGGAGCGAATTTAATGTATATTTGTAAGCAACGATAAACAATTTTTAACGAAAAAAACGATTCTGAGTAGAGTTCAGTTGACAGTGATGCGTATAGACTATAACTTGGTCTATAATCTATAGTATTGCTTTTTTAACAACGTGCGTTTCCATGACAACAATCATTGTTTAAAAAAGATTAAAATAATAAAAACCTAATAATAACAAAAAATGAATAATAACGGTAGCCAAATACAACCATATTTCAATCTTTTTTAACCTACAGAACCAGATTTTCCTCATTATCTCGAATTATGTATTAAAGGCTAATTTATTAGTATAATCTAATTTTCTCGTGTTACCACGGTAACAATCAAACAATTTTATAAAAAAAAGTTCCGTACTCTTTTAGTGTTATAAATACTTATAGTAATATGATACCTACACATAATTGCGAAGAATAAATAATCATAATTTTTGTTGTCTTATATTATTTATTAGGTAGACATTCAAAGAAAAACTAATTGTAAAATACAATGGCGAGACCATGGGAGAAGGAGATATATTGGGTGTCTGTACCCCGTTTTCCATCCATGTTTAAGTAATATAAATTTATTAAAATGTGTTAGTGTTTTTTTTTTTCAATATGAGAATGATGTCACAACATAATCTTTAATAAATCCTGGTGAAATATTATTAACACATATTCGTGAACACGAAATATTTGTAGGTATTCTTCTTTTGAAGTCCATTCCAGTTTATAATAGAAACCATTAGCAAGAGATATTTTGAAAATGCACACCTAATAAAACTAATAAAACCAAATATATTCCTTGACTGGGAATCTAAAAAAAAATACAACTAACGAGTTCGTTAAAAGAAAAAACCTCAGGAAGTATTTACATGTATACAGGAACATGTTGACATTTCAATGAAGACAAATTAATTGACAATATTGTTATTAAAATATCGTTTATTTTTTTTTACTTTTACTATTGATACTATAAACGAGAAAAATCCACGACCGGCGGCGTCTATATTTCTTAATCGTATCGATCAATACGTCTTACAAACGCTGAAGGTTATCGCGAGGATGAATATCTGATAAATAAGAAAAAAAAAATCTATAAACGAAACGCGTTTTATTTACAGTTTCGACCTCGGTTTATAGTTCGTAATTCAAAAAGTCTCGAAAATATTGTTAAACTAATTTTTTATGCGATTCTTTATTGTGGTGGTTATTTTAAGGTTAAAATATTTTATTTCGATGGTCATTATAATATTATTGATTCTCTTTCTCACTACTATTATATGACGCGTTATTTCGAAGACTGAAATAGGATCCGCGTTAAAACAATGGGAGGGACGATCAGCGGCCGTTTTCGAACTTTTTTTCAAAGGGAGGTTCTTTGATATTAACTTACTTTAAAATATTTAACATACAAAAAAAATGTACCCAATATTTATTGATTTATTTGAATTAACTTACATACCTACTTGCATGTTTTTACTTATCTACATGAATGTACCTATGTTTTAATCAACATAAAAGTTTGATTTAAAAATTAAAACACAAAATCTATTATTCGTAGTCTAAACTCAGAGTCAGGGGGAATCTAGACCCCTAGATCCCCCCCCCGTAAAATTAATACCGGGTGAGAACATTCTCTTTAAAGAGAAAAATAATAAAAATAAAAAAGTGATATACCAAATTTTGTTCAAAAAAAGAAAATGGTACTTTCTGTATTCCGCAGAACATTTCTTTGGATTATTATTTTGTAATTTTCCTCCAAACTTCAAATAACTAAATCAATTTAGTCAAAAAGAATTGAAATATATATATATATATATATTTTTCAATATCAAAATTCCTAACTAATTTGAATAATATTCAGCTCTCGATACCTATAATACAGAAGTTACGAATTAAAATGTACTTTTATACCTACTTATAAATTTTAATTCGTGATAGAAGTCAAAACGAATTTTGAAAACAATCGCTCTATGTATGCATGTGCATTGTATAATAATTATACAATCTCATTGGTACCCAACACGGATTTCGATACGTTTCGTTACGACAATTTCGCGTACCTACACGAGGAGATAAGAATAACATTATTTTTATAACTCTTTTGCCGTTCGCATCGTTTATCCTAGATTAGACTTATCTCAATCACGCAGTGTGTCGTGAACTTGATATTTAAAATTCTGAGAAAAGTGTATAAGAAAAATTGACCCGAAATAAGGAAAATTGACCATGGGTCAAATTAGACGTTTTTTTTTTTTTTTTCGTAAATCATTTTTATGATTCCCCCGTCATGTCATGGGAACAATCGAGCGAAAAAACAATTTATACGAGACACGGTCCAAAAACAGATAAATACGAGAAGGATTTTTTTCGTCCGCTTAGTTTTTATACAGATTTTTCGGCTCGTTTTGTACCAAAATTTGACACGGCTTTCTTATATGCGTCTTTACGCCGTGCAACAACTAATAAATAATAATTATTGTTTGCGCCATCAAGCGTATGCGGTTTTGAGAAAGTGTAAAACGCTTACTACTGTCCGTTGGGGATTCGTATAAAACCGGGCGTTCCGAGGGAACGTTGCATCGGATAATCACGTGAACAAAATAATACACACCAACTGTAATAATAATATTGTCTTGACGTCTTTACAATAGGTTCCCAGAGCACTGAACGTCATCATAATATTATGGTAGTACTACGGTGTTTTTGTTATGGCGGGTTTCCGGGCGAACAATTTATCTGACAAAACACCGAACGAATGTTAATTAACGAATTTTGTTTTTTTTTTTCTCGAGTTGCACTTTATACACTATATAGGTACCCGCTCGTATCGCGATAACCGGTTCCCCGTCGAGTCGGCGAAAACGGTTATTGTATACGGTATAAGTACCTACATACGCGCATTTACAGTAGATAGGCCTACGCACAGCACGTGACTATTGAACAAATAGTAAATACATTCGAAATTCAAACGATAGTGAACGAAAACCGCTCGAAACGCATCAGACGCGGCCGAAAACGATCGAAAACTATACGGGACTCGGGACGGTAGCCCCGGCCTCCGCGGAAAAAGCTTGTCGGTCCCCGGCATTTTGTCCGTGCCCTGGGCTTTTGTTCGTCACGGCGAAATGTACGACAATATTCGATATTCGCCATAGCGTGTAGTTTATACGACGATGGTAATCGAATTTATTACGATAAAATCAGTACCCTGAAAAACCGTCGATTCCATTGTTTTTTTGTGCATTTTTGAAATCCTGAGTGCGGCGAAAAACGTATTGGTTTTGCAATAATGTTTATTTATTATTATTTTTTTTTATTCTATGACAAAAATTTCTACTAGAAATCTGGCTTCGGTATGCAAGTACGGCACTTTTTCTGAAATTAAATTTTGTCTAGACGGTACTTAAAGGAGGTCGTTGCGGTTTTTATAATATTTGGGAAACCCGAGATAAAACGTAAGAAAAACGGGAAAATAAAATGCTTTTATTATTTTCAATTTCGTTGTTTTTTGTTGTAATTTAGTTTAAAAAAATCGTAGAGACTGGAAATGTGGACGAAAAACTTAAATTTGTTTTTTTTTTTTAGACATGGTAAAACTGTTAAAACATTTTAACCATTTTTAAACTACTTATGAACATTTTAATTTTGCGAGTTTTTATATAGTTTTTAATTAGTAGGCACTATGCAGATAAAATTGTTGGACCAAACAGAAATGCTTGACAATTTAGTTGATAATAAAATAATAAAGTAAAAACAAATTTATTAAAATAGTTAATACTTGTAAATAAATATAATAAATGAAAAATGTAAATATAAAAATTAAAAATTAATTAATTAACGAATGCGTCGCCTGGAGTATTATGATAAGTATTATTATACGACAGTTTTCAAATTAAAAATTTTTCATCAGGTATATCACAGTCAAAATGTAAAACGCGACTGAATATAAAAAAATTAAATAAACGAGTACATAGAAATAATTTATTTTAAATAAAGAAAAAGAATTTTAATAATATTTTAAATGTACAAACAGATTTTAAAAATAATATTGTATATCAATACATTTTAGATAATAAATAATAACCAAATAATTTATATTTATTAACATATCTAATTAAAAATGGATTTGTACAATAATTGCGTTTATTTTAAATAGTAACGTAAACTAACCAAGTAAGGCATTTATTTATGTTTTATTTTATAAAAAACGTTCACAATCTAAACAAATATACACCAATAAGTGTTGGTATTATAAAATCGTACAATGCAATACGGCCAAGTGTATATTTTGTTGTATAAGTTTGTTAGCGTTTATATACGTTTAAAAAATACATGTCTAAACAAATATGTACAGACAAATTTTTTAATAACTGTCGGAGCATAGAAACTAAAAGAACACAATTTTAAAAATTAATATAACGATATAAATTTTAAATATTCAATTCAATTGGTTAAAAAATATTTCTAAAAAACATTTCAAAAGGTTTCGCTTAGAAACTATAAACAAATAAAAGTTGAAAATAATAATTCTTAAAAAATACGAGTTTAATTAAAATTACGAGTAAAGTTAAAATAGTCAGATTAAAAACTAACACGGTGGTCGAATTATGTCTTTTAGCGATAAATTTGTCTTCAAACTTGATTTTTCTGAAGCAAAGTTTTCTCGCTGTGGAAACACACTGAAAACCAAAAGGAGACCGAAAATTAACATCGATATGGGGGAAAAAAAACCAAATAAACAACACATAAGAATAATGACGTGTAAGAACGTGAACCTAACCGACCCCGTTTTTGTCCACGGTCCTCGGCAGATGTAGGGCCAGCCTCGGCGCCACGCCGCCATCGTTTTCTCGCTTTGCGCGCGATGGTTTTGCCGCCCCCGTCGGCCTCGCACATGGCCGAGAGGCTGTACACCTCCCGGCCAAGGTTTTCGGGGCCTCACCACGGGGGCGACGTGACCACTACACCCGCAATTTGGCCCGACGGTTGCCCTTAGGCCAAAACGGGTCGACGGCAATCCCGTCCGAGAATTTACACCGGTCCGCGATGTGTTTGGCCGACATTTCCGGGCATACAGAGTAAAGGCTCTCTGTACAACGATAAACATAAACAATTTATCAAATCAAGTAAAATTAACGAAGACGAATCACGATTACGATTATTACAAACCGCGAACGAATTATGGGTACGTATACCGTGATCCAGAAGTATACCCGAGTCGAAACGTTCGAAAAGCAGTTTTCTCATGGTTCGGTACTTTTTTACGCGATCGAGCTCGTGCGCGGTAGTCTTATCGTGAAAAAAAAAACGATTTTCGTTTAACACGGTCCATAGGAATTACGTGATAATACGCGCGATTTTGTAAAATAATTTGTCAACACGGGATTGAAACGTAAACAACGATAATATAATAATTATCAAAGTCAGATAATACTTTTTTTTATTATTATTTTTATTTTTGATATAGTCATCGTAATGTTTGAATTTCGTAGACATTGCTCTGTAAATATTATATCGGATCAAATATCATATTTCTGTGTTACCTGGGTTTGATCATGGCAAAATGACTACGCGAATACAGCGTAATTGGCCACCTCTTTTCTGTTGTAGGCCTCTTCGCTGGAACAATAGACAACTATTGAAATGGATTGTTACAAAACCTAGTGGCGATTTATTGAAATTATAAAGGTATCGAGGAAAAATGCACAGTCTTGATTGTATACTTAAATTATTATATATTACGAGAATATTGTGTTAAAATCGATGAAAAAACAAAAATCAAAATGAAAAACTCCGAAAATATACCTAATATAATTCATAGTACAGTAACTTCGTATTATAATTAACTACACATTAAGTACATATTACAATATACTATTGTAAAACCACATGTTTTTCCACGTAAAATAATTATACACGTCATTTTACATACCATCGGTTTCTAAATAGTTTTTCGTTGTAGCGATTGTTAAAGGTGAAACGGAATGCTGAAATAATGTACAACGATTTTAAATAATTACTTATACACTGGCTATTGTTAGCTCCCGAACACGATGAATATAGTTTTTCCTTTCGGAAGGAATTCGAACATTGTTTTTTTCAACAATCAAAAGTTTTCGATAATTTTTAACGGACAATAATAATATATAAGAAAATTAGTACGAAAAAATACACACACACACAAAAAAGAACAAAAAATTAATAATAATATCGTGATTTTTAAAGATAATTTAGGTAGAATAATTTAAATACACAAATTTGGTATCCACCTTTTCCTCGCGTATTCTTTTTTAGTCGTCTCTTCGATTACTCTCGACGCCTAAAAATACACATTTAATAATACAATATAGGTAAATAAACAGAAACTTCGGTATTATTTTTTTATCAAACCTGATTTAAGTTTTGGAATTGTAAACGTGTCCCTATACCACGTTTCAATTCTTCCACACAATTTGTAATTCAAACAAACACTTCTCGATTCTGAACTTTTGTTTTCCAAAATACGTACAATTTGTTAGACAGCGGGTTCCCAATAATCCTGATCATTTCTAAAAATAAATTTGATTTATAGTTTTATTATGAAATAAAATAAATCGTTATTTTTTTGTTTTTATGTGATTTTGCTTCGTTAAAGCTAATTAATTCACCCGATAAATGACTCAATGTGTACTGTTACACATATTATAATAATACATTGACAACAAAATGTTGAAAAATTGTATTATTCGTAAATTACAAAATTATGGTCACAACATATAACTGGCCGAGAATATTTAAAAAATACCGATCGTATTATATCGGAGAGTGGGGGAGGAAGATTTTGAGCAGAGCTTAGTTTTAGGTTTCAATTATTAAATTTTTTTTTTTGTAAAAAATAATTATTAAATACAGGTCAAAATTTAAATTTTATTAACAAAATAAAAAAACAATACATTTTATTACAATTTCTATTATGTATACTTACACCCGAAATTCGGTGAATAAATGAAATAAATGCAAACTGTTCGAACGAGATGAGATACAACGAATAACGACGATATTACCTTTCCCATTTGAAGTTTGAAAATCGTGTACATCAAATACTCCAGGGCTTTTCCGACGTCTACAATAATTGCCCGTATTGACAAGTTGTACAAACGATCCTACCACGATTTCGCCTCGGTCGATGTCTTACTACTTTTGTGATTCGCAGTAGCGTTTTCAACACGGCGGTTGGCGGCAAAAGCCCGCTTTCTTACTTCTGCACATTTTGTGGTGCTTGTGAGTGATAACGATACCTGGGGCGAACACCGTCGTCCGGCCACCGGCTCTGAGGTTTCCAAGGCCTCTGACATAGTAACCTTTTTTTTTTTTTTGTGTTTCATGATCGATTTTTACGGTAAACTATAACCTGCATTTTATGCCTACTGCCAGGTGCACTTGTCCACGACCGCTTATTCGCCCGATCCCAGTCCTTGGGTCATGGCTTATTTCGCGGTTGTCCTGAATACCTGCAGGTGCGTGCCTCTATCCACAACCGCGGGGGCGGACGTTCCCGATGGCATATGCAACGCTGCAATGCGCACGGGTTTACAATCGAGTCCTGGAAGCCAGCGTCGCCTTGTTTTTGGACCTCGGATGGCAATCAAGACGCCCGAGTCTTGTTGAAAAACTGCGCTGTCATTACCTGAAACATCAAACACGAACAAATCACTAAACGTACGATATGGTACGATATATGAAACGGTCGTATGATATACTTTTGCGTTTAAACGCACAAGAATACTTCACATACAACATTACAGTTTACGTTGGAAATAATTGTTTGAATAAACTATTAAGGTTTGATAAATAGAGAAAAAAATTATTATTGTTGACAGTCAATGCCGGTCTGTCATCGAATGAGACTATTTTGGAAACGATTTCCGTCGGTCGAATATCGCGTTGACATTTTCATTCCCATGGTAACCGTGACATACCGACTGATATTGTCATTATTACAATAATAATTCGGCTTAATGGCTACTAAAAAAAAATCGATGTTTATTTATTAACTTTTTTCTTTATAACCACGGTATTATTTTTCACCTCGTGTTTTATCTGCAAACTCAACCCCGACGAGACGAAAAATTTTGATTTTTGATTTTCCGTGTGATGGCTATGTTGTTATCTTATATATTATATGGCAATGTTATAAAATATTCAAATTTTTATTCTAAATGTATACATTTTTTTTAGATTCAGAACGAAGCGAGGAATGTATTAGTTTTACAATTTGATGTTTATTATTATTATTGTTTTTATCTGTAAACAACTTTCTGCCAACTATTTTGCTCTGATTTTCAAGTGTACAATTTTTTTTTGGATGTAAATCTGAGTTAGGTGGTACTTTAGAGGTCACTTTTTGATTTTCCCAGCTGGTTTCATAATAAATGGGATAAACTTGGAAAATTTACGAAATTTATTATGTTTTCAATTTTTTGTTTTTGTTTTATTTTGATTCAGTTCAAAATATTTGAAGAGACTTGAAGTTTGGACTGAAAACTTATATTTGCCTTTTCTAGACGTGTCAAATTTTCAAAACATTTTTTGTAGCCTATTAGATTATCATATTGATGTAACATAGGTATAATCTTAAACAAATATTATTTAAGAAAAAATATAACGCATAAGTAATTATTTTACCATATAGCATATATATTGTTGACAAAACATCGCTTTTAATCGACCTCCGCTGAGAATCGTTTTTCGTAAGCAATGATTAATAGTTGCATACAGATAAACATTAAATTACTATCAGTATCCTATCTTCTCGACTTCTCACCTACAATACCCATCATTCGAAGTACCTATGTCCGTCATTTTTTGTCCGTAAACAACTTTTACTCCGATTTTAAGATGAAGCATCTTTTCCGGAAACAAATTTTATCTATATGGTGTAACGAGATGGTAATTTTTTATTTTTCATTGCAGTTTTCATAATAATCGGAAAAAAAACTATATAGGAAACACGAACATATTTATAGCAAACCTAACCTAACCTAACGATTTCATTATTTTAGATATTTTTCTATTTAGTTTTTCTACCCGAAATCTCGCTCGGAATTTCAAATGTAGCATAATTTCTGAATAACAATATTTCCTTGGTTTTATAAATTGCGTGTAAGAACTTGGGTGTTCGGTGAACTGTAAAAAGAATCGTATAATTCAAATAATATTAGAAGATCTTTTTTTCTAACTAATTTTGTCCTATCGCGAACCTAATAGTTATCGAAATTCGGTTCTGCGGCTTGCTCATCAGTGACCCGTACGAATTTCAACTGTCTTTCGAGCATGCGGACACCAGTCCACATTGTACCTAACATACGATTAGTTAACTATTAATTAGGTACAAAGGTGCCTGCTAATCGATACCACCATTCGGATCACCGGGGAGGGTGGATGTGGAGGTTTAACTGTAAGTAATTAGATGGTATTTACTAAATGTTATACTTTTAGTTGGTCCGAAATATTTTTCGAAAGCCTAATAGGGTGTATATAATACTGTGTTATAATTTATAAAATATTCGACGGCACGAACCGTCAGGTCATACATGTTGTACGCAACCTAACCTAGCTATAGGTACCTACTTTATAAATTATTATATCCGGTCTAACGCGGTTTACGACAAATTGCCACGAAAACGTACTGCGCGATATATCGTTTGTATGATAATAATAATTATTATTATTATTGTTACAAAATTATGTTACTAGCGTGTGTGTGTCATCGACACGACGAATGTCACGAGATACGAGAATAATAAATGCATGGGTTTATACCTACACAGTACACATAACATTATGTAGGAGGTTACGGCCGTTCCGGGCCGTTGCGACGAGCCAGTGACCTTTCGTTTCGTTTTTATTTTCCTCTCGTCGTTAGTATTATTATTATTAACGAACGCGTAAAAAAACAAAATAAAAAAAATAATATCACGATGATAATATTATAATATTATAGTGGCATAAAAAATTATCATACACTGCAGATCGGGTAGGGCGTTCGTCGGCCTATTCGTATGCATAGGCAAGTAGGTTTTTTTGTCGTACAACCGTGTAGAGTTGCCCGCATTGTTACGAACAAATTTGAAATTTTTTTTTTGAAATATCAACATTCAAAGACCGTAGAACACATTTCAACGTCTCTTACGTTAATTAGTAAATAATGGAATAGACCGTCGTCTAGAAGAAACAGAGACGCTTTTATTGTAGTTTTGTACTGTACTATACATTCCCCAGCTAATATTATAAAGGTTAAATGTGCTCCAGTAACGGCGTTGATATCAATATAATATTTAATTGTAGCTCTAATAATATTAAAATTACACGTAATCAAAAATACTCGTAACATTAATAATTATTGTACGTTATAATTCGCTTTGTATATATTTTCTTCCATTATGTATTTTACCTACGCTACATATTATTATTATCATCGCGTAATGGTATTGTCAATACCGTATATGTTGTATAAATGGAGTTTTATATTCCGTGCATACAGAACGATTCACTAAGCCGCTCACCTCGCTGTTATGGTTGAATTTCGCATGCATTCAAATACCGATTTTGGAATTTTTAAGCGTGTAGTTGAAGCCGATAGTTTCGAATACTCAGATTTTTCATAACATTCAAGGAGTATCCTGTGGCGATACCAATTTTGGTTTTCCAAATGAGACATATATATTTAAAATTCCATAAATAAACGGAGTGTTTCTTGAAATACATTTTGGTGTTGACGTTTTTGATTTTCCTCAACCGGTTGACGAGAAACACATGTCATTTCTTAAATGTTGTGAACAATCTAATTATTCGAAAATATCGGCTTTAACAACACTTAAAAATTTCAAAAATCAGAATTTGAATAGATACAAAATTTAACCAAAAAAAAAAAAAAAAAAAAATGGAGTGAGCACGCTTAGTGAATCATTCTGTATATATATTATAGGTGAACAGGTACAATAAACCGCACGAACGCAGTGGCGGTCAAGTAATTTTTTCATGTGGCCATGTGGCAGAGGGGATAAGGATAATTATTTACATAATATTATATAATAAGATAAAATATAATAAATATTTAAGGAAAATGAGGAAATCGAGGTTCTATCATTCCGTTTGACGCCCCCCGTATCTCTCGTCGATTCAAGTATACGGATTACATTACACAGGATACTAAAAGTCAATAGGTGCGACCAGTAATCTTTTACGTATATAATTCACCGTTAAAATCGCGGGCATACGGTGACGATAAAAAAAAAATGTATCAGCTAATAAGGCTCGGAAGTTATAGGAGCTAAAAAAAAAAGGGCGAAATATGCACGAACAAATTTTGAAATATGCATGAAAAAATGTTTCTGAATATTTGATTTTTACTATATCCATATCGATAATATTTGTATTCGGGTGTTTTTCGCGAATTCAAAAAAAACGATGTAAATTCGAATTTATGTAGCAGTGCGTTATACCTGAGTATATTATACAACGATAATTTTTTTCGATATACGGAAAAAAAACGCGCGTCCCATTATCTGTTTATCTATAATTTATATGTATGCAATGGGTAATAGGTATTATGAAAGTGAATTTTATATTATATTTGATTGTAAATTACAATACACGCTACCTATTGCTACGCGTATTATAATTATGTAGGTGCCATACGATTATTATATTATGGCGAAACACTCGAAACAAAATGTATTGGTGTCGTAAAAATAATTCGGGAGAAGGACGGTGGGGAAAATATTATTATGTCCTAGGTCCGTGTCAAGTGTGTGTAGGTACACCGGCTGTATGCACACGCGGCTTAGTTCACGAAAAACCGAGAGGAGTATTATAGTTTTTTTTTTTTTTTTTTTTTTTTTTCTGATTGTAATGTCGTGCACAATTAGTGCCGCGTCGACAAATCTTACGGGACCGTGACGTCAGATGTGGCTCCCCATATTGTATTGTTCGCAGTCATTATTTTATTACGCTACAATGTTATAAAACCGTGAACTTAAAAATCACGTATACGCGCTCGTCTTTTTTACACCAGGCACAACCAAACGTCCGTACGGATTTCGACATTTTCGTGACGGCGTGCCGAACTAAACGGGTTCCTGTAGCCATTCATACGGGCGGTGATCGGGGGTATTTGTTGCCACCCGACACCACCCCACGAACAATTTATATTAATTTACATCGAACAATAAATTAATATCCGCACACGCATAATATCGAAATTCTGTTTGTCTGTGTGACACGCACGGCTGTCTGTCCTATTCTGTTTCGGACTTTTATGTTTTTTTTTTCTGCTTAATCTCATACCTATCTATATAAATCTGAAGTCTGTCTGATTGTGTTGTTTGCACAAACCTACAGTTTCGTTCCGATCTCGACGTCGAACACTTGACATTCGCAACGAGTGGAAAACCACGTTTTTTTTATCTCCAAATATATCCCCTAAAGAGTTGCCGGCACTGGGGTAGTTTCGGAACGAAAATCGAATTCTGTTTTTAATTGTTTTGATTTGAAGGACGCTCCTTGACGACACGGATAAAAAAACAATCAGCCATTATAAGGTACCTATATCTATTAAATTCGGTTATTGCAAACATGGAAAAGTGCTCTTTTTAAAAGATAAACTACCGGGCTCAATGGGGATAAACGTGCAGGGAACGGGGAGATACGCGTGAATTGCAGATTTAATTGATTTTGAAAGGATCTTTTGGGTTTTTATTAGATATTAGTGACGGTGCGTTGTCATTGAAAAAAAAAAAAACCAAAACGCTAAAAACAATCCGAAAATCATACGGTTTCGAAAAGAATACCGGAAATCCGGATTTACGATCAATTTTCGGATCCCGGAAATCTCGGAGTTTTCGCACCGCCGGTTAACTAGGTGTACGGCAGGGTAACGGACGATAATTTCGAAAGGGGGAAAAAAATCTCGTCGAAATGTCGGAGAACCGAACGGCGTCGTCGCGGGCGGACGCGCGAGAAACTCCCATCGTCGTCGCAGTGGCGGATTTTATTCATCTTCCAAGGGAGAAAGGGCAATATCCTTTTTGGTTCAAAAATTATATTTTAAACTTATGTGACCACTGACCGCATAATGTGATAGTGCAACCAGACCACGAACTTTGGGGATGCTAAAATTATAGACACATGCCCAAAGGCCCTGTTTTGAAAATGTCAGGGGGGTTCATTATTTTATAAACACATGTACCTACAGATTTTTTTAAATCTTACCATATAAGCGTTTTCTATTTTTATTATCCTTAGATTGCTCGTGATGAATAAATTCTAAAATATAGCTATTTGTTGTTTTGTATGTTATAACATTTCGTATTAGCATCATAAAAAATCATAAAACAATTTACACTGTTTCTCGCCAATATCAATATCAAAAATAAAAAAAACATTTATCTTTCTCAATTACTTTGTTATAAATAAATTTAGTAATTTGGGGATGTACATGCCGAATATTGATTTTTTTTTATAATATAAGAACCGAGGGGGGTTGAACTCCGTTTCATCAAGCTCATGGGGGGCTGCAGCCCGAGAGCCCCCCTGTACACAGCGCCCCTGCCTATGCCTTCAAGGATCTGTGGCAACGCAACGTCTCAAAAATCCTCTTTACACGAGACCTATAATAAGTAACTACACGCCGTTTCATTTATAATTTTTAATGTAAAAATGTATCCTAACTTTGTAACTTTATTTTTATACACACACGCATTGTCTGTAGGTAATCTGTATTTTATTCTGCTTATTAATCATTATGAAATGCACGGATAAAATATTTGGTCGATACTTTAAAAAAGCTTATTGGGTATTTTCAGGGGCGCTAATGACTTCTTTGCACACCCCTAGTTAGTGGCGTATTTTGGGGGAGGGCCGGGTCTCGACCCCCTAGAAGAAAAATATGGTTCAAGTCATAAATTACTTGATACGAAGGTGTAGAGAAAGAGAACATTAACTTATACAGAGTGATTTTTTCATCATGAACCGGTAAATATCCCGGAAGATTTTCAGTGAATTTGATTTCTATTTTTATTTTTTAATCATTGTAGAAGCTTTATTTTAAAAAAAAAAAAAACGTTTATCTTTTTTACTACCCATAAATAACTCTTAGTTTGTATTTATAATAATAGGAATTAGAATAATATAATTATAATCTAATTCAAATCGTATATAGATTTTTGATATTATATTACAAAATTACTTTTTTTTAGACAAATTTTAAACCTCCCTCCCCCCACAATAAATTTGAAAGTTATTGCACTGTCCCGGTGGGTGCCCGTCAAAACGGAAAAAACCCAACGGCCGCAGCAGCAAAGCCATAATACCGGGCCGCGACACGTTTCGTACGCGAAATACTGGCAAATAATTACGGCGGCGAATCGCGTCGTCTTCCCGCCGTCAACGACAATAATATTCATAATCAGTAATCACGATAATTATACAACAATTATTATTGTATCATTTTAATAAGGTAATGAAAACCGTGCCCGGCGTACGATAAATCGTCGCGGTATTAAACTTCAAGGATTTTCTCCGCGTTTGACACCCGGCAGCCTGTCGGTTTGTTCTCTATAACCTAATAATAATAATAATAATAATAATAGTTAATATCATATTAATCTTTTTTTACGGGTCGGGTGGGGGCCGTAAAAAATTAAATCATCGCCGACGACGACGGTGGCGCGACCACGCGGCGGTTCCCACTCTCGTCGTGTGCTCCGGCGACCGCGAGACGCGGTACGCGATAGTATCGTCGGGAATCGTGTTCGTCACGAACTCGGGAATATTTTCGTTGTTTGATAACGTTTTCCTCGAGCCTCCACACGCACCGAACGCGAGCCGCGGACGCACACACACACACACACACACACAGTCGCCAACGAACGCCGAACGCTCGACCGTGCCGCGCGCGTAACCGCTCCGTTTCCCCCGACCGTCCGTCCCGCCGGCCGATCGAGAGTGGTGTTGCCCACTTGTTATTATCATTATTATTATTGTTGTTGTTGTGTCGTTTTTTCGTCACCCGTTCGCCGCGCGCGCGGTCTCTACACATATTATTATTGTTATTATTATTATCATCGTCGTCGTCGTCGTAAACGGAGAGACGGCCGCCGTTCGTTTATAATTGATAATAATTAATAAATCGCCACACGACGACACGACCGCGCTCGGTACCCCGCCGTGGCCCGTCACACCGTCCGTCCGTACGCGTTCGCGTGTCACGTACGTACTATACGAGAGTTACGTCCGCCACGACCACACTGTCCCGCGGGTCTGCGGGTCGCGGGTACTGGCCGAGGCACAACGCGTAACGCACTGATCGCGCGCCGCGCCGCAATACCAGCGCAGAGTTCCAGCGGATAGCGCGGACGCGACGGTTGTTTTGTTTTGGTTTTTTTTTTTTTTTTCCCCCCCGTGTTCGTTTCCGTTTCGCTGTCGCACGGTTCGCGGTCGAGCGGACGGCGCACCGTTTTGGAAATATGTGGAAAGTACGAGAGTTGGCCGACAAAGTGTGAGTAGTGTAACAATAATAATAATAGTATTGTACTTGTTTTGTCAATCGAGTACAAATATTTAATAATAATTACTGTCATTGGCATTGTTTCTGTATTAGGACCAACGTTGTCCTCAACTACACCGAAATCGAAGCCAAAGTCCGGGAAGCCACCAACGATGAGGCTTGGGGACCAACAGGTAAGGCGATTGTGTGACTTTTCATTTTTTTTTTTTTTTCTCTCTCTCTTCATAATCCGTTTTCCACCGGCTTTTGTACTCGGTTCTTCGTCCGACCGCCCATAGGTACCTACAGTGATTCAAATTATTAATTCTTAATAATTCGCCTTTCACTTACCCGCCCACCTAGAAGGTTTTTGTGTCTTGTTCTGACCAAAATATTTGTATTACCTATGCATTCGATTCGATTACACGTTCCGAACCAATTGACATAGATTCCTGTGTAAATTATGAATGGAATGCCTAACGTAAAAAATAATATTCTTGTCTATAAATTGGCCTACTTGACCTCTGATAAGATACACTGAAGTAGGTAGGTACATTATCCAGACACCTGCCCGTTTGATAACAACAAATGTAGTACATATTACAACTGGTTTTGTTGACAGTTATTGGTTACTAATAATGTTTGTGTCTGTCACGGTCATCTAATAAACAGTCGTTAAATAAGAATTCATTATGGATATTTTATATGCATTTATGATAAAAATAGGATTTCGCAATGTAAAAGTTCTAACTTACTTACCTACCTTTTATTAAATGCATGAGTCATTGCAATTTTATAAATTTATGTATACTATTTCATTTGGTATCATAGAAGGTAATGAATTACATTTTAAAATGGGATGACAATGAATAGTTTTGGCTCCGTAAAAATGTATTATAGGTGTTTTTTTTTTATTTTTATTCAATTAGAGTTGAGAACCCGATGTTCTAAATTTACCAAGAAATTGTCCTAAACAAAATTGAATTAATATAAAAAAAAAAAATGTAATTCTCATTAAAAAGTGCATAAAACAGATTTGTAACAAAAAAGCATAGCGTACTCTAAACAAGTGTGTTGAATTTTCAGTCCTAATAATAACTAACATAATACTGCTTGTTTTAATAACTTGATTTATGTCTGGCTGTTGACTGAATTACTGTTATTTTTCAATTAATCACAGAAACTACACTTATCTTATGACCTATGAGATCCACTGGCAATAAAATCATTTTTCTAAGAAAGTAGCATAGTGTGAATTTATAGAAAAAATTAATTGAGCGTATTAATTGAAAATAAATATATTATACTTCATAATATAGGTATTTTACATTTATTTTATTAACAATAATTTCTGTTTTTGTATTTATTATAATTACATAAATGCAGAAGTTTGAATTATTTGTTTCATTGCTCTCTATTTATAATTTTAAACTTTGTTCGTTTTTTTTGTCTTCAATTTTTAATTTATTGTAAACATACATACTTGCTGTTCTGTTAATCGGGTTATCTGCCTGTTAAAATAAATAAATAATATAACTTAAAGCCAGCATCTGATCTATTCCTGTACTACTTTCTTATGTATAATAGTTATTTACAAATTCATTAACAATGAAATTGAAACATTGCCATTTATTGATATTTGTTTAATTTAAAGGTAATTTAATGCAAGAAGTAGCACAGGCGACATTCATGTTTGAGCACTTCCCAGAAGTTATGGGAATGTTGTGGAAACGAATGTTGCACGAAAACAAGAAGAACTGGCGTAGAACATATAAAGTAAGTGTCAGAAATATTTAAGGAAATATTAATGTATATTAGGGGAGACAGAGGAAACTGCAATCACCTAAGCAAAAATTGTTATATTTCCAGTTTTATTTCTCTGAATTGTATGCTACTACAAGCAATAGATAGATAAACTTGTTAGTCATATTTTACCAATGGTCCAAATTTTTAAATAATGTGTTTTATAAAAATAAACCTAAGGTTAAAATAGTTTTTAAAAATATTGATTAAATAATGATTTAAGTTTTCATCATCAATACTGAGGACAAATGCCAATAGAATATGCTGGTTTATTTCAATAGAAATTAACAAATTAGTTATTGACCAGTATCAAATTATAAATTGCCATAAATTACATACATATATTATCTTTTCTTTTATAGAGTTTATTGTTACTAAACTATTTAGTGAAAAACGGATCAGAAAGAGTTGTTACTTCAGCACGAGAACATATTTATGATTTAAGAGGATTAGAGAATTATTCATTTGTCGACGAGTTTGGTAAAGATCAAGGAATCAACATAAGGTATGCAATTTACTTTGTAAAATTATTTTTTTAAAACAAAATTTATTTTTCTAATTCATTTAGGCATAAAGTAAGAGAACTCATTGATTTTGTACAAGATGACGATAAGTTACGAGAAGAAAGAAAAAAAGCAAAGAAAAATAAAGATAAATATATTGGATTGTCTAGCGAAGGCATGGGATACAAAGGAGGAGCAGGTATTGTATATTGCAACCACTGTTATATTGTTGAAAACATTTTTATGATAACTATTGATGTTTTACTTTAATAGGCGAAAAATGGGACGAAGTACCGCGATGGAAAAAGGACAGTAATAACGAATTCAGCGATAAAAAAAATAGTAGTACATTAGGTTTTGAAGAATCGCCCAATAATAGGTAATTATAGTTTTTAAAATTATGTAAAATGTATAGTTGTATAGTGGATAGTTGTTATATTTGATAGTTTGTATTAAAATAGTTGACTAAGTTATAATAACACAATTTGTCGTAGTGATGAAAACGATATTGTGGATTCTGAGCCAGAACTTGATTTACCACGTAAACCCACTGCTGAAGTGTATAAAGATCGTAGTATGTCACCTACCAAAGTTCAAAGTCCAGCCAAACACAGAACGCCCATTAAACGCATCGATTTAGGTGCCGCAGCACACTATGGAAAACCACAAACTGTGATCAATTCCCCTATATCTGTACCCATCAACAATCCTCTAGACACTGAGACTAGCTCTGCCGATTTGTTAAATATAGTAGATAGCAACAATAAGAAGCAATCAAATGACTTTGGTGATTTCAATGCAGCCTTTACTACTGCTTCAAATGTAGATACAACAATAAAAGAAAATAAAAGGTAATTTTAAATTTTAAATGTGTTGTGTTTTAGTCAATTTTGTGATAACTAGTATGATGCACCTCTAAACAACTTTTTTCTTCATTTTAGTAATGATGAGTTTGCAGATTTTAGTTTGGCATTCACTCAGTCCATGTCCTTAAACAGTAATCCAACAAATTTATGTGAGTTTTAATTTTTACAAATTTATTTTAGAGTTAATTGAACCTGTGATTGTTTTTTAGCTAACCAAAATATAATTTCCAATACTGATCTCCTAACATCGTTACCATTGTCATCTACTACTACTACTACCAACGGAACAAGTCGAAACTTGTTAGATTTGAATTTTGATGTTTTAGATAATACAGGTAATATATATTCAATATCTATTATTGTTATTTTTGATTGTAAACTAACTACATATTTGCTATTTGGGTTACATAAACTATAACATTTTATTGAAACAATTTAGTTGCATTTTTATACGATCTTAGTAGTTGGTAGTTGGTTTTTCAAACTATGTTCAATATTTGTACAATAAGGTTAGACAACTGGCATTTTTTTTATTATACATTTTCAGCAATTGGAACAATATTGAAGACACTTGTAGTATCCGTTCAGCAACAACATTCAGAATCAAATTTCAAAAGATTTTTGCAGGAATTTGTTGAATATTTACCTGGCCCAATGACTCCTCAAAAATATACAAAATTAGATGACTATAGTTCAGATTATTTTCAAGTTATCAAAGTGTACAGCCAAGTATTAGAAATCATTTTAGAACATACACGTTTCAATGATTATGTAAATCTAATTTCACCAATATTTGCCCCAGAGGGTGGAACGTTAGAAATGTTAAGTATATCGCTGGATGTTTTATGGAAGTATGTGAATGTAAATGCATTGTGTTTAAAAACCAGTTGTGCCATAGAATTAATTGTGCAAGTTTTAACAAGTGATTTAATAAAGTCTTCGTTGATTCTAGAAACACTAAACTCTGATCATAGCCAGTTTAAAATTATTATGGAATTTTTATTATCACTACCCAATAGACTAGCTAACAAACTTGGAAAAAACATACCCAAATTGTTGACTCCTATAGAGTTTTCGAATAGAATTATGAATCATATATTGTTTGTCATTGATCAGTTGTGCCAATTTTATATTTTTGAAAATCAAACACCTAATACAAAGCCTATTACGATACTGTTGGGCATGACTGTTGCATCTTATCTTCAAAATGATTTTTCTACTACTTTAAATATTTTAGAATGCTGGTGTTTGAATAATAATTATACTTTAATTATTAGAAGTATTCTGTTGGAAGTTAATAGAAGAGCAGTTGATAGACTCAGTTACTTGTTTTGTCGCAAGTTAACGACACCTACTTCACTTTATAACCTGATAGGAAATGCAGTAATTGATATGCCAAACTGGAAACACACTTTGTGCAACAAAATGATATTTTTTTTTTATCACGAAGATCTTAATATTGTTTTAAATCTAATCAATTATTTATACTTGGTTCAGAAAGAATATTATAAGAATGTATTGAGTGATATAATTTTAGAACTTATTGCAATATGGAATGACAAAAGTTCTTTAATTCATATACCTTTTGAACAACATTATTACATATCAAAACTGATTGTTCTTGGTACGATATGTTTATCAAAAATTACCATGAATGATGAGTTTAAGAAAACTCTGGAAGTAAAACTTTTTGAAGGTGTTCCAGTTCATCTGCAGAGCTCAGAACAGAAAGTACGGACTATTGGAATGATAGTGGCAGAGATTGTTATTGCTTTTTTAAAATGTAATGAAAAAGATAGACCAAAGTTAAATTTTGAATATGATGATTTGCAAGAGGAATCAAAACTAATAGTTAAAACACTGAAAGAATTTGAAAATGTTAAAAGTGACAAAAATAAACTACAATTTAATAATGCTTTTATAATGTTAAATAACTTTTTTGAAGATTCGGATATTATTGAATCTAGACATTCCAATGTAATAACCACATCCCAAGATACCATTTTGGCGATAAAAAATATTGATAAATCAATTGAAAATAGTCTAGATAGTGACGATGATGAATTTGAACCATACGACTTATGTAACGATGTTCCAATAGATGTTAAAAATAGACCTAAGTATGTACGTGACCTTATTAATGGTTTGAATGAACAAAAAGATTATAATATTTGGCATGGTAGTTTGGAAGCATCCAAAAGTCTTATTGAATCACAGTTACCCAATGATGATGTTTCATTCGCACTCGAATTATTGACATTATTAGTTGGTATGGAAAAGCAATTTTATTCGGAGAACTTTGAATGTTTAAGATATAAATCTGCTGTAGCTGTTGTAACTGTATATCCGTATGATTGTGCAACACACCTTTGTAGCCTTTTTTACAACTCTATTGGAATATATGCAGTTTCTCATCGTATTTTAATACTAAATATATTGGCTGGATCTGCAAAAGAATTGTCAGGCTTTAAAAAAGTCGAAGAAATACAAAAAGAACCAATGACACAAGTGAATACTAACTACTGGACAGATGTTATAAAAAAAAGAGTCCAACAAAAAACCAGAATAATTTCTAATCCTAAAGCACCTGTTAATTGTCAAACTAATAGATTTGCACCAGTAGCTGATGCCTTTTTCTTTCCTTTAATTCGGGGGAATATAACCGAACCAATTGTGTCTCCGAAAAATGACAAAGTTGATTACATGAACGTGCTTGGTGTACAGTTATTAAACACTTTATCAATCGTACTTCGCTGTGCTGTTAATTCTCACCACGTGACACGTATGGCTACAGAACTTTTAGAATGGACATGGTCATTAAGATATCATAAAGATGTTGAAGTAAGAATGGCCGTAATGAGCTGTGTGGCTGCTGTCCTGGTGTCTGTACCTCCATCAAGATTAAATGACCTAAAGAGCTCATTAATGGAATTTATTATGTGGCTGGAAAATGTTGTTGCATCTGAAGGGGTGATAGATAAAATGGACAACGAAGTGAATAAAGAAGCAAGACAATTTGCTACGCTTGTTCTATTACTTTACAGTGATATTGTGAAACAAATTTTCCAATAATAATATTATAATTTTTTTAAATCTATGTAAACATTCTAATAGAACTGATAAGAAACTGTAACTAAATTAATTATAATTAAAATTGTTAATTTGTTTTGTACGTTATATGTATTGCATTATTTATTTATTTATATTTACATTCCTTTTTTGTATTTGTTTTCTTTATATATAAATAAGACCTTTACAATTTACAGGGTCTTCCTCGCCATTGAATCAAATGATTCAACCGGTATCGTTTGCTCAGAATATTAATGCAGAAAACAAATCCTCTGGAAATTTAAATAAGTTGCAGGTAAGGTAAAATACAGTCTTAATTATCAAGTGTGTACATATAATATTTATATTACAAATACATATATAAATGTATTAAAAGTATTTTTTTTTTTTTTTTTAAAATAAACTAATTTCTTTTTTTTCCTATGGTGTAATGTTTATTTTATAGCTGGGCAGCACTTGGAGTGGAGTGAAGGACCTTAATATAGACTTGGATAATTTATTATCGCCCGGTAGTAAATCACCAAATTCAATTTCGATTCCTATGAACCAAATGGCTAATAACAACAATAGTCTGGGTAAATAAAATAAAATAAATTTTAATTTCAAGTGAAGTTTATGCTTTTTTAATACTCGGTAATAGTTATCAAAATTATAAACTATAATTATTTCAAAATCAATAATACTTCCAGTAGTTATAACATTATTGTGTTTATGCATTTTTATTCTCAATTAACAAATTATATAATTATAAAATACTAATTATTATTTATTACTAATTTTAGGTGGAAAACAGAATACTTTTTTTGATTCCAATGACATATTGATGCCTACTCATCAAGCATTCTCTGCAAGCTTCAAGTGATATAAATATTGTTATGTTATACAATATTAAAATTAATATTATTCTTAATTGTGCAAGAAATTATTTCAAAACTTTCAAGGAAAGTGATGCCTATTTATAATTTTAAAATATTTTTTACAAAGGTTGTGGGACTCTTAATTAACCATACTATGAGCATAAAATAGTGATGTATTATTTTTTTTACATAGCAAAACAATTTATTACCATATTTCATAATGAATGAAAAAAATTATCTTTATTAACCAAATTATCATGGTGGTGCATTTTTACAAGTCTTGTATATTGTGTATTCACATTGAATAATTTATTTCATTAGTATTTTCATTTTTATATTCTAGACCCCTTTATCAGGTATATTGGGTTTCAGTAGTAAAATAATGACAGGTCAATAGTAAATAAATACATTTTTATAGTGAAACATAATCCATTTTCGATTATTTATTGAGTGATCCACAATGTTTCTCGCAAAGTTTAAGGACTTCTACTTTAAAACTTCTTTATAATAGAATATTTTCATTAGCTCAGTTATGATACTTATACACTTTTGAGTTCATTTATATTTCTAAACTCAAATTTACAGTTTTTGGTTTTTAACCATCAAAATGTATAACTAATTAGTATTTTTATTTAATTTGTTAAGATTTCTTATCAATTAAATAATACATTATATTATTATGTTTTCAGTAATCATACTTACGGATTAAATGTAAACGAATGCTCTTAAAAATGAAAACTTGATTATCACGTGGTAACATCCGATTATTTTATAACATATCACATTAATAATAACATATTTGCTAACGTGTCAATAGTCATATCAGCTAGTTATTTCCTTTTTATTTTGTTATTTGATACTGAACCAAATCTGTACCTGATTTAATAATGGAATTTGTATTTGAGTTTGGTGCTTATGTTTTATGTTCAGGTTGACCTAATGAATATTTCTTGCATGGCTCAATGGACCATATCCAACAGTATTTTTTTTTTCTTTACCACAATAATATTTGTTGCAATTTGTTAATTTTTGAATTATTTTTGATTACAATTATTTTTAAATACCTACCTATTATTATTTTACAATTTTATTAAGTTTATTATACCTACTCTAGGATGTTTTATTTTAATTATTTGTTAATTTTAAAGTCAATCTTTTTAATTTTAATTCATTTCAATATTATTTCCTTTCAAATTTTAATTAGAAAATTATTATTTACTTATGATGTTATTGATAATAAAATATTTTGTTGATTAAAATTATGATGACGTGTTTTTAATTTGTCTAGAATATATTCCCTCAAGCCAAATTAGTAAAGTTAAAAACAAATGCCAAGATCATCCCTAGAAGTTGTTAAAAATAAACTTATTTTCTTTGCCGAAATTTGACTTCGACGTGCTAAAATATTCCATTATATTATTTTAAATTTAAAAAAAAAAAAAAACAAATGTTTAAATGAGGTTAGAAAAGCCCACTGTGTAACTGTGCAAGTATCCAGTTTCTAAACTTATTTTAAATAAACTATAATTTCATATACAATTTTCAAAAAACTTGGAAACCTAGTATATTATTCTTGAGAGGACACTACATAATATGTATTTGTTGTTTCTGTCTTACAAACGCACAATATAGTTAGAACATGCTTACGCAGGCTACACAGAACTCGTTTAGTTTTGGTTTGAGAGCATAACCGTCTATTATAAAATTAAAGGAGAACAATATTCCAGAGGACATTACGTTGCTTTTTTTCCATTTTCTCCAAATATACAGTTAATGTACTATTTATAAATAATGACGTTTTTAATATTTTATAATTCACTAAACTTATGAAAAAACACACATTGCCTTCCGAAATAATGTTCTCTATTAATTTTATAATAGGTACTTATATTCTAAAATCGAACCTTAAGCGAGTTCCGCGTAATAATGTTTTTACTATATCGTGTACCTACTTGGAAGACAGAAACAACAAATGCATGTATAATGTCCTCTTGAGTGTAGAAACCTAAATAAATAAAATATCTTAATTAGTAAATAGTTTTCAAGACATTCTCAAAGTACTTATATTTCGATATCCACTTTTTAATATTGGTTATTATAAATTTATATTTTGATACTTATGATTAAGGCAGAGAACTTGTAGCTCTAAAAAAAGCATTAGATATGCAAGCACTTATGCACATAAAAACCCTATAATATGCACCAAAAATATGCTCTTATATATTATTTTTAAAGTGATTTATTTAAAAATGTATACAACATTTTTTTACAAAGTTATTAATAAAATTTGATTTCTTGTTAATTCCTCGTCTAAACCTTAAAAATAAAATTGTTTGTGTTGACTGCATATAAACAAAATGAATCTAATTGTTTCAAGAAAAAATCATATTATATGATTATAAAACAACCATAATACCTATACAATACAAATTTAATTAATTTTAAATTCAACAATATTTTGGTTGTATGTAAGATGAAATTAAAACGTCGACGGAAATATATTGGTAAAATGATAAATTATTTAAAATATGTTTCTAAAAGTATAAAATGGAAGAAATATGCCCTAAAATAGAAAAAATCTCGAAATATGCATTTATATGCAATATAAAATTTCAAAACTAGCTTTGTGAAAGCATGAAACGCATTTGTTTCGTACTCTGTTATTTTTGTTAATGTGCACAAATAAATATTTAAAGGCTAAAAGTCCTCTGCCCTACTCATGATTCAATTAATAATGTTATGTTACGCATAATATTTATCTTCCTGTCAACCATATTAACAACCGAAATTATGTGTTAGTAATGATATGGACGGACGGATGCAACAGGGTTATTAATTGTTCTAAACTTATCTAAACAAATAATTCATTATTTCCCTCTCCCCAACTAAAATTGTGAAAAAATGGTATTTTTCATTCTTAAATTATACATAGGTATATTATTGTACGTAAATGTGTAGGATGTAGGTAAACAGGCGCTGGCAATAATTTAATACGTTGTTTAGTTTGTATTGATATGTTTTTATTTGAATATTTTAATGTTTACACTCTTCTATTTTTGTTTTTACTTTTCTCGCCGTTCCCTCCAACATCATGACAACTGTAGATATATTTACATTACGACATTAATATTATCTACAATGTGAACCTTTTGTAAATATCGTGAATGAATTTAATGTGGGTACCGATGTCCGAAAAAGTACTGATCGAACCGGCGGTGTTCGCGTCCTGGATGCTCTTCACACCGGTTAAATATTGTAAACCGTCATGGTAGAAAGTCAATCCCGCGCCGCTATCTAATTCGTAAATAGCTTTTCCTGGAACACAAATATTGCTGTGTCTAAATTTCTAAACAATTGAAAAACCTAGAACCATAAATAGGTAGGTAGGTTGGTACCTAGTTTATAAGTGTATAAGAGTAGACGGCTGTCTACTCTTTGGGTACAAATTAATTGATGCGGTGGATACTTAAATGAAAAACAATAAATGGATAATTTTAATTTTAATCGTAGGTTTAACCGGGTAGTTGGTTTTTTTGTTACCTTGCAGAGAACCGGCGCAAAATTTATCTCTAGATAGGTATCTGTCGAATTTGTTGGTATTCTCGTACATTTTTCGGCACGTTAAACGGTCGGTGTATGGTAAGGTAACGTTCAAAAAGTCGGTACTTAGAACATTTGTTTTGCCGTTTGGTCTCCAGCCCGCAATCTATAGAACACGACACATGCAATTTAACATATTATGTTTATCAAACAAATCGTATGTAAAAGGATATTTTTGTAGTGTCTAGGTAGTATCATATACGCCGACACTTTCAGCCGGGCTTGAGTTTCATAAATTAGACTGTGATTAAAGCGGGAAAAACTTCGAAGGACAACTAATTTACCGAAATTTGAGAAGCGTTCCCTAGAAGTTATAACTAAACCTAAATAAACTTTCGGGAAACCCATCAATGAGCCAACAGGCTTCGAAATGTTTTTCTCACACACGTATGTTGATAAAAATGGTACCTAATCTATATGTAGGTACTAACAGGGTACAAAAATAAACTGCACCTCCTCCAAATACTTTTCCACGCATATACCTGCTCATTAAAAAATAAAGTAAAACAAGAGTCCGATTACGTATACCCCAATAGCTATTAAAGAATTTATTTGTAATAAATTTAATTCGAGTTTTTAAAATGTCTCAGTGACGATTAGTTAAATCGTTAGTTAGTAAAGGGGTGAAATTTGCAAAATGAATCGTCATTAGAATAATTAGAATATTATAGTTCTCATTGAGCTTTATCTAAAGGTGCAAGATCGGCGATTCGTTAAAAGTCTAAGTTAAAACCCCTGGAGGTAATACATTTAAAAAAATTAGGGATGGGTTAGGTTTTCCACAGGAATAAGATGTTTTTCCGGCATGAAAAACGGCTCAGTCCTACGAATATCTCTATGTGAAAATCACGACAAACGGTCGCTCCTTTACGACGCAACGTAAAGAAAACGAAAAAAAAAAGCTTTTCTTTATAGTTTCTGTAACTAATTAGTAGGTCGGGGCGGGAGAACTTCATTTTACGGTTTTAAATTTGGGAGGTCTCTGGTTGTATTTCTAAGAACGGTGTAGGGCTACAATGGGTCCAGGGGGGTTATGGATTCGGAAATATTGACCAAAATTTTGAAATCGGGGGAAGGGACGGGCTGGGCCTAAAAATATTAGGCCCCTGCACTTTGCAGAGCTCTATAGCAGTTGCAATGAATTATTTACCGTGCCGTCGATTCCGTTTTCAACGTTGTACCGCAAGGACCAATCGATGCAAACCAGGCTAACACCGTAGTATGTATTTCTTACTTCCTTCGATAGCACGAGAACGGCTATATCGTTTACGTAATTCCCGGTTTGCCCCAAATAATCCAATTCGATGAAAATGGTAGAAACCTAGAAAAAGAAAAAAAAATCAATAGTGGGTGCGTAGAGTAGTACGTAGATACTGCAGTCTCTCCGAGTACCTACCGCATAATCTTCATTGAAAAAAAAATTAAAATAATAATTAAAATTTGGTTGCCATCAATAATATTCGGCGTTCATTGTAATACAATTATATCAGGTATCTATATAAATTATACTTTACTGTCAGAATAATTTAGAGACTTGAGAGTTGAGACTTTAACTATTGTTTAATAGCTTGTGGTACGCCTTTGATATTTATTTATAGGTGTATAAATAAACTAGCTAGGTACCTATAATTCCTATTGGTATTAAAGGCAGATCGCGTGATGAACTCGTTCATCCGTTCGAGGTTAAACAAGAATCAAGTTCATAATTTATTTGAATCCACTATTGTTTTAGTTAAAATTCATATTTTCATTAAACTTAATCTTTAATCGGCCCGTTAATTTGATATAAAATTCCGAATTTTAACGGCATTGAGAATTTAGAAAAATAATTTAAGCAGTTTTGTTATCAATCTATAAATTAATATAGGTAGTGACGAAATTTTGTCACATTGCTCATTGGAAATATATATATATATATATTAGAAACATGTTACTGTCCTCTTAAAATTATTTAAAGTTTAAATAGTGGTTAGATACAGTGGAGGCGCAAATAATTTTAATTTGTGGGACAGTAGCATTTTGTACAACCAACCTATCCCTGAAATGGATTATTAGTTTGGCCATCCAAAAGTCATCCAGTATCCGATTGCCACTGAAAAAATTACAACTGTCCAAACACCCACCAATTTTTTGTTTGGAATAGTTGTCCCAAAAAATATCGGTCGCGTCGCTACTTCAGAACATATAATGTGATAAGTATTATAAGTGTTTAAAACCAGTGAGACTAGGTATGTAAAGCTAGTAAAATTCATATTTAATAAACTTAAGTTCATTTGTAAACGAACTTGAACTGAGTAAGTTCATTAAGAATATGTTTTTTTTTAAAACAGGAATTAGTTTATGATCTTACTTCAATTTTGTGCTCACGAACGTGTTTATATTAAAAATGAACATTTCATACAAAGGCCTGTAGTACTTACGTTAATAAACTGAGTATGGTTATTTCGCAATACGAATTCTCTTTTATTTCCAAACGTAATTTTGTGTTGACCGTTACTTAATAACGTGTGATTCTTTGACGCCGATTCCCAAAAACAACGAGCGGCTAACGAAAGGAAATAGCATTTTATTTTTTTTTAAATTGTTCGTCATACCTATTCATTTTTGTTATTATAATAAACGGTCGCTTATACCTGTTCGGTACTTATTATGTATGTGTTTTGTTTAAGCATAAAATCATAATTAGGTACTTAATTAGATAACCTACTAAATAATATTAAAACCACGATGTACCATCATTCGTAGGATAAAATGTATCCTGGTGAAACAAACAGCTTCAACGCTATGCAATTAAATTATTACTGCATGGATGTTAAACGAAAATCTTGCCTAATATTACTTACCGGAAACTACCAAATTCGAAGCAATCAACGTTCCGCCACACAATAACTCGCTAGTATCGTTAGTGCTTTGCATATATATGGCGACGTTCCAAGGCACTGCTAAGGTAGTATCGGAAGAGTTCGTAATGCTGTTGTGTTGTAACGACCGACCACAAGCTACAGAGAAAAAAAAAAAAAAAGGATAAGGATATAGACATACTTCACATAATGGGAGGGCAACTGTTGTAGGCGTTGAAGTTGGAAAGGTAAAAGGGAAATTTAATGTATAACTGTTGCCAACGAAAAACGATTCTGAGCGGAGTTAATAGTGTTGCCTTGTCAACAATATATATGTTATATTATAGTAAAATATGATTTTAAAGCATGCATTATGTGTATATATATATATATATATATATTTTTTAATAATATGTGTTTAATATTGTTCAAATTTTCCCATTTTTCTTACGTTTTTATTCCCAGTTTTTCCCATTTATTGGGAATATTATTGGAAGAAATCAAAAAATGGTTTCATTAAAGTACCACGTTAGTCAGATTTTCTTTCAGAAAAAGCGCTATAATCAAAAGCAAAATAGCTGGTAGAAAAGTATTTCACAAATAAAAAAAAATAAACATCATAGTAAAATCAACTCGTATTCCTCGCCCCGCTCAGGATCTAAAACGAGTCAAAAGTCAACGTTAAAAGTTTACGGACTAAAATAGATAAGTAAGTATTTGATTTGCTGTTGACAAATATCGTTATGTGTAACAAACCGAAGACAAATTGAATTATTATTGTTTCGCTGGAAAATTCAGTAAGATATTTTTAACTTTGTAGAACTATACGCGTAGGTATACACTCGTTTCGATTTGAAAACATGTATACCTATTATTGCCCATTCAAAATTCGGCCTTTTATTATTTATCACCATATTCCCCGCCTATCTTTAAATGGCTATGTCACTCGTTATTCCGGAAATCGTCTCTCATCTCACAACTACCTCTCATGGGTTTTATCATCCCCACTCGTCCGTTTATATAAAAAATTCGCGTCTAATATGCATGTATGCAACGCCGTTCGTTTTCCAATAGCTATCTATACGTTTTATTGGTCGAATTACTTATAAATAAAATGTATATTAAATGAAACGATAAAATATTATTACTCGGTAAACACTCGTATAGTTGACCGTCCCATTCGCCGTTGGAAAGGCAGCGCAATTCGATTTCAGGCTCTTTTATTCCGTTGGGCAAACTATGCAAATAATTACATTTCGGTTTTAGCCGCGTTCCGGGTATTGCTGGAGTCGAACAATCGAAGTTTTCATTATTGAATGTGCAAGTGATATTTAAACTCGCTGACTTCACGGGCGGACATTTTTCTATAAAATCATCGTGGTTAAATATTCAAATTTAATGTATTCAATTAATTGTGCGTCTGAGTATATTATAACGCGGACACTTGTTTTGTTTTTCCGGTTTATATAGGGTATGCCTACTACAGAACCAGTATTCTTTTCGATGAGCAATTCAATCGAAGCTTTACTAAACCCCCTGATTAGAGGAGTAAAATTTGGACCCGGAGAAATAGAATATTCGGCCCGAAATGTTGAATATCAAGACGAAAAACATTACTATATTGGTAATAAAAACGATTATTCGGCGGTTTTAAATTAAATATATTATTTCTATATCTGAATAGTAAACACAAAAACTTTTACGTTTGATCGATTGTAATTCATCGAACCAAATTGATTTAAGCCGCCCGGATTTTCACCGACCCGATATTTCCGCCCTATAGACAGCCCACATCTGTCTTTAAATTATAGTAAATTTACGTAATTCGTATAATATAATAATGGTGATAACCATAATATGTTTCACTTTATTTTAATATACCTGTCTGTTGCCTGTGGGTGTAAAATGATGATACATTTGTCCCTTACAAGAATTTTTGTGATACAATTTCACCCTAATGCTGTCTCGCCTCCCAAATGCCGCCAATGATACCTACGATACGCTATAATATTTGTGTACATGCCTACATAAAACAATTGTACGTAACAAAACACACAAATTCACCGGTCAAACGAATTAAACAATACAAATTCGAATATAATATAATACTAACTCAAACATAGTTTTTGTGAAATTAACGGATTCCACTTCCCAGTTTTATCACATATCATGTGTTTGAACGGCGCGACTTTGTGATACCCTTTTTCGCAGGTTTCGTAAATAACTTCATATTTATCGACTTCGGTTCCAACAAATAATGGTAGCTCGTCGCCCTTTTCGTTTTGGGAATAATACCTTGAACCCTCGTTTGCCGGCACTATGCATTTGACAATCCTTTAAAATAAAAATATATTATACAATGTTACCTACAATACCTGTATATTTTAAAATTATAAACAATTATTAAATGATTATAAAACAGTAAAATTGTAAATTATTCAATGTTTTTGTATTTGGCAACGAGTTCACAACGTACCATTTAACATTATAAATTATTGCGGTTATTTTTCGAACTATAATATTATTTAAAGAAAGTGGTTTACGGTGCAAGCCCATAGTCAGATCAATTCATCAGGGGAGGCAATAGAAAAAACAATATTATATGACTTTACTATCTTATATTATTTTTTCTAATAAAACGATTAATTCGAAAATATCCGTCTTCCGATAAAAATTTTAGGGGAGCGAATAACGGGTCAATGGGGCAATGTAAGAACATTGATATTGATTAATAAAGATATTGCACCAGCTCCCCGTGAATATGGGCCTGATACGATGCACTCGAAACCGGAAAGGTTTCTGTATCGTCTCAGTGTAGATTAAAAGAAAAATGTGTTGTACGAGTTGTTATAAAAAAAAACAAAATATAAATAGAAAATACCCGTGAGCATCTCCGTCGTTAGAGTCATTTTTCTCGAACCTATTTTTATATTACAGAACTTGTGTTTCAAACAAAAATAATCAAATACCATGACATTACACTTATTTGTCAACAATTATATTGCACTGTACCTATCACAATAGTTAATAATTATGTTACTTGGAAAATCATAAAATATGGTAATAATATATCATAAAATTTGGTCATAAAAACGGTAAGGGTGGCAGTTTGAAACCTCAAAAGATAACATCCTCGATACTATGACGAGTATAGCGCTATGCATATTGTACACAAAATCGCATTCACCCAGCTTCATTCGGGAGGGAAGGGTCTGTAGTGGCGTACAAGGCTAAACAAACACAATCTTCCCGCGAAATATGGTTAAACTTATAATGAAATTCATTCCGGCTTTTATCACTTCAATCCACGTCCGTAAAAAACCACTCTATAATTCCCGTTTTTGGGCTCATTCGGTGCAGAGGGAACTGCTAGAAAATAGAAATGTCCAACAGTAGTGGGAGAATAATACAGTACAACAGTTAATGATTTCGGGAAAAATTCGACAATAAATAAGTTTATAAGTACTATAAGTAATATTTATTTATTTATTTATTTTTTTTAATGACTAAAATATTCTTATTCCGGACCTTTGTGTGTTAGTGGTGGTGATGGTGGTCGGAACATATGCATTTTTTCCTGGCGACAGCGGCGTCGTAACGGTGACGGCTGTCTGAAAAACCGATTTCATCGTGGTAGTCGGGTAAAATGGTTTTGTCGTGCTGGTCTGAAAACTCAAACGTTTCGTACTGTTATTGCAACACGACACATTGGTGTTGATCTGTGGCGTGACGACTGAAGAATTTCCGTTGTCGTAATAATACGATTCCGGCGGTGGTTTCGGCGCAGGATACGCATTATGTATTTCCGGGGGTCTCATTGAAACGTTAGTGGCAGTATGTTGCGAGTGTTTGGTAAAATTCTGAAAAACGTTATTGATTTTACGATAATCGAAATAAAGCTAATACATTTTAAAAATACAATTTACGCATGCGAAAAATAACATTTTCGTTTCGTTATTATTAATGAAATAATAATAATAAAAATTAAAAAATGTACGTCCGAGTTATTAAAAACCTGGCCACACTTTGCGCCACTGTTGTATAATATAGGCGGATCGTTGAAAAGGTAGGGTATAATATACGTACCGGGTAATTATGAGACATGAGTTTATATTGGCATTTAATATACTGCGGTACGCAACAAGAAAAATTGTTGTGGACGTAAAACGATTCTGAAGAGTGGAGTGCTATTAGCTAATAGCGGTGTTTTATTCCCTCCCCCCCGGGTATTACCAAGGATATCCAAAAATCTAATAATTTTTAATAATTGTAAAAGTTATTTCCAAGAAAAAATAACACATTTTTGTACAACTAATAATAGCTTTTTCGTTGTACACGGAATCTTATACATTAAATCTATTATCGTTTTGGAACGATTAGTAATTTTTGTTGGTATTAAATGAATAAGTGCAGTGCCAAAAAACGGCGATTGCACGATTTGATTATGTTTTCTTTATCTTTTCGTATTTTTTACTTATTTAACAAAAATATGAAAACAAAACATAATGAGATACGTAACAAGACATATTTATAACATAACAAGACACATAACAAGATAACACAACAAGACACATTTATCTGTTTAAATAAGAAAATTGAAAAGAAAAAAACTAATGTTCAAATTTGTTTTTTATATCACTAAGTATGATTTATAATGTACCTTGTGTTAAATTTCTAAGTATTTCTCTGAAATCATGTAATTTGTATTACAGATACCTATCATCTACAAATATATATATATATTCATTGAATCACGAAAATATCAAATACCTATAAATAACCTAACGACCCACGACCCTCAGGACCCACGGCATACCAAAAAGTTTAAAAAAATAAAATTGATTCATACGTCACTACATAAACTGGGGGCTTCGTCACTTCCGTCATTACAGTCTAGACGACCGTCGCAGGCAACCCTTTTAAGATTATTTGGATGCGAAAACGGTTGGGAGGTATTTCGGTTATCTAGAGAACCGCGGATCGTGCTGATGCATTGTCCATTCGCGCATTTGTGTTCAATCGTCGGCTCACAAACACGTGTCTACAAAAAACAAACGCAAAACATTTTTAAGTTTGATACGGTTTTATTTTATATTACACCGCAGTCGTATTGTCACCGCGAATCGTCATAACCTACTTATTATATTATACAATACCGAGTAAAAGAAACTCTGACTTAATTCGCACTGTGTAGTTATAATTTGGTTTGTATACCGGAAGAGATACAAGAAAAACTTTAAATATTGATAATTATTCGTTTCTTCTACACTATTTGTGTTAGAATTATGTATTATTACCATTATCTATATATTATATTTTAATTGAAAATTAAAAATAACTGTATAAATATCATTTAAATTGCCCAAATGTATGTCCTACCTATTTTATTTAACCTATATATAAATGTATACCTTGTAAATTGGATTTTTTCGACTAAATAGAAAAGAAAAACTATTATTACCTATATAGGTTCTTCACTGTGCTTAAAATCTGAACAAAAAATGGACTTGAATTACGTACGTTAGGTATTGATTATACTTTCAGCACAACATGGCAATATTGTTATGATTTTGATTGGTGTAAAATCAAAAAGGATTAAGAACTTAAAAAAGCGCGATCACGCCAGCAAATATATTAATTAAGATAATCGCCCCTCATTTAGGCACCAGTCGTACCTGACACATGGTGGGATTTTCATCGTATCCGTTGTCACAGTGGGTAAATGTATCGCAAACCTCATACTTTGAAATGCATATGGTGTCTGCGCTATTTGCGCACGCGAACTCATGGGCTTTGCATCGTGCTATTCATATATTAAATACAATTGTAATTATTAATGATTAAATAGATTCAAATTCGTAAATTACGCACGCGCAACACAGGTACGCAATATGCCAGTTATAATTGCACGTAAATGATTGATGACAGTAAACGAAAACACAAAAATGACATATTGTGACGACACGACGCGTTGTGGGTTTTTTCTACACTATATTTACACGTCAGACATATACGAGTGTGCGAGGTGATCGATCTATCGTAAGACATTCATTAGCCCGGAAAGTGTTTTTGAAATTTGTTTTAAAGAACAGTTATGGTACTAGCCGTTCTAAAATTTAACATCACATTAATTTCTGTCAAATTTTTGTCAAATGGCAACCTTCATTAAAATGCCATAAATAGATGGAGTAGTAGTTAAAATAAATTTTGTTGTTTAAATTTCAAATTTCCGTCAATCCATAGACAAGACATTGCATTTTAAGTTTGGGTCGGGGGAGAGTAGTAGAGCATCATTTGTGTGGTGGCACAGAGCGCGGTGTTTTAAGAATGTACCACTACTCTTCTCCGACCCAAATTTAAAAATGGGATATCTCGTATACGGATCGAGGGAAATTACAGATTTAAACACCAAAATTTATTTAACTACTACTCCATCTATTTATGGAATTTTGAATATAGGTTGCTATTTGAAAATCAAAAGTCGATACCATTTTCACCTTCAAAAATTATGGCGACAAAAAAATAACATAAATGTAAAATTGCAGAGCTGTTTGTTTCTAAAATTGTCTATAAAACAAACGTCGAAAAAGTTAATACTTTCCGACATGATAGTGTCTTATGATAGATTGATCACTCTGTATAAATATATATATATTTATAAATTTCCAAAATCCACCTCTGCTTACATCTTATTTATAGAGACCGAGAAGGCAGTGATGCCTCACAGTAGCTGCCTCTACCGCGACAAAATTCTACATTTTCATAAAAGCCAGTGCTTGAATTAGGGGGGGGGGACGCAATGGAACGGAGCGCCTCTACTTTTTACATTTTCTTTTTTAGCATCCCCATATTAATGTTATTTCTATTGAGACGGATGGACGGGTTCGCAAACAATTATATTTAAAAAAAAAAATAAAAATATAATCAACAACATTAATACATCTACTCAGGTATATTCAATGTTGTAAATATTTTATCATAGTTTTATATAATTAACTATAAGTATTAGGTATTATTCAATAATTTATTTTGTTATAATATTAAATTATATAAAAAAAAAATCAATTACATTATCGTTAATTCTCAAACTATAAGCGTAAAACACTACCTTCCGTTACAAACTATTGGGGCCAGTGGTAACTCGAAGTATTTTTACCATGTATCACCGATACAATTTTCCACCCACCCCAATTCAAAAATTCTCCCACCCTACCACAAATGTATTGTAATTTGTTAAATTTCAATAAAATTCGTCAAATTCATCAAATTTCTACAGTCTGAAATTCTTTTAATGGCTTTAAAAAAAAAAAAACAATGATTTTTGTTATATAAAATTACTGAACACCCAGCACCCACGACGCACCCATCCGGTTTTTTGTAAATCACGTGATTTGATTATACTTTCTTCGCGCTGCCACTCATTGGGGCTAGGTAAATAATCACCTGCTTTTATGCTACTGGTGATTAGGTATAAGTACAGTCGATTTCATTTAGTCATTTGAACTTTTTTTTTGAACATTTTTACTGGAAACTTCTGAAAACAATACCTACGTTATATAATTTTTTATTTATTATTGTTATTCTAATTTTTTATTATTTTTTTTTTTTTTTGTCAAATGATTCATTGGAATAATCCAGTGAATACGACGTACAATAATTAAACCCTATACATTCGTCACATATTTTACATTTCGTACGTTTATGAACAGTAACAGTTTAACTTTAAACAGAATTTCAATGAGATTTTAGTTAGTATAAATTAGAAAATTCAAATGAATTCAAACTCGATTTATAAATATATTTTTGCGGAAAACTTTATAACTTATCTATATTATATACCTATATATTTTGCATGCATAGTTTATTTATTTATCAAGAACTTTTATTATACTTACTGTTTGTTTTACCATTAATACCTGCAGTGCTAGTTCTATTATTATAAGTTTGTTGGGCTAAAGTGTTTGTTACTAACAATATAGCGATCATACAGTATAATGTTCCCGTGTTTAATCGGACGTTATTCATGATCGATGGCTGTTTATCTCTATGAAAAACAAAAAATAAAAAAAGTGATTTATGAATACACACAATTATATATTATAGGTATTCATTTTTTATCTACGATGAATATTAGGTTATTTTTAAACTTAAAGAAAATATTATCGTATAACATGTCAATAATAAATCAATAAAGTAAATAAATACTATATTTACTATATTTATTTATTTTATTTATTTACGAGTATTAACCGTTTTAATAATTTTGTTTTTACTTTATTATTTTATTAATAATAAATCAATATGTTTGATTAACTTGTATACTGTTGTATTCGATTGAAAGTGAATATCGTTTTGTTATTTTTTCTGACCAAACTTTTAAATATCTCAAGTTTTTAAGTATCATTTTGCGTTCACGTTAATATAATGTATATTGTTAAATAAAAAAAAAAAAACAAACATAATTATATTAATAAAAAAAAAATATTATTATCGATGGGTAATTTAGAATAAAATAAAATTGCACGTATTTTTTTTAAACATAATAATATTCGAAATGATGTATATTTTAAATGAATTGCAAATAACTGATTTTTGATATTGTTGTAAGCTAACAAACGAGGAAAACAAAATATAAGCAATAGGTACCTACCAAACTGTTCAGTAGGTATATGCGACCGAAGCGATGAGTCGGTGAGTGTAGGTACTAGTATAAGGTCGCGAATACATAAACATATCATTCGTATAAAATATTTAAATACAACAAATACATTTAGTTTTACATTTGTTCTATAATATACTTAAGAGAATACGGCAAAGAAGTAATTTACGGTACATACAACGAATAGGCATAGACACCACAGACATCAGTTGTCTTCTTCTTTTTCGCCTCTTTTCCCGACTATCTATACAGTTGGGGTCGGCCACCTAGGTCCTAAAATCTCTACCCGATAGGATGGCCTCCCTCCACTTTAGCTTCGACGCTTCCGTAACCAGAAATAAGTGTATACAAGAATCGGCATGATGACTAACTTAACACGATGAATACTGTTAGTACTTGCGGTCACCATATAATTGCGTATTTGTATACAGGGTGTCCTAAATTGTTATCCGAATGCTATAATAACTCAGTCAATTTACTTTTTTTTTTTTAATATTTTCCAATCGGATTTTGTGTCAGGGGAACACAAATATACAGCAAAATTAAATTTTTATTTTCGTCTCTCAATCACTGAAAAAAGTAATTTTTTATTTTTGTCACTGTTTAAAATTTTCAAAAAAGCGAATTTGTTAAATATATTATTCAAAACATTTTAATGTACCATACTTACATATTCGATCTATAGTTTCTATTAACGTTAATAATATATGCGTTTTAATTTCTAGAAAATTGGCGTGGAAACAATTAATTTCTAATAGAATAATACGTTACACGATAAGTCATCACAATCAGCACGATAAATCCTTATTTTCTATTGAATATTAATTGTTTTCAAGCTTATTTTCTGTACACTAAAGCCACTATAACTAAGTAACTATTCATCGAATGTATGATACAATGTCTACCATTATATTAATATATTTTACAAATTGGCTATTTTGACAATTTAAAAAATTAAACAAATAAAAAGTCATTTTTTTCAGTGATTAAGAGATGAAAATAAAAAATATATTTTTCTCTACATTTAGGTCCCCTGAATCGAAACTCGATTGTAAAAAAACAACAAAGAATATTGACAGAATTATTAGCATTCGGATAACACTGTAGGACACCCGGTAAAATAATTATTATGACCAATGTAAATGTTTATGCTCCCACCATTTGAACCAATGAGTTGATATTATATTTGCACTTAGTTACATTTTTATTTTTTATTTTTCCCACTAACACCGGTTTCCCTTCATTCGCCGGCATCACAATTCAAGGTTGTTGGCAGTATTGTTTTGTATAATATATTTTATTATTATTGTTATTTAGTCCACCTGCTTAGGTGGGTATATCCATTCTAAATCAAAGATTATCAAATTTATCTTAGTTGTATAAATATATTTTCAATTGTTCAGCTAATTATTTTACATTCTAAACGGAACGAGGAATGTATTAGTTTTACAAAGATGTTTAATTTTTTTATTATATTTTTATGTGAACTCTTTTTCTACCAGAAAGCTTACTTTGATGTATACAACGTAGACACTTTTCTGAAAGAAAATTATCCCGGTTTTTTATTTACTGAGAAAACTCTTGGAAAAATCAAAAAATTACTTCCTTAAAGTACCACCCCAAGAAAATTTCCTTTTAGAAAACGATCTACATTATATACATCGAAATAAGCTTTCTGGTAAAAAAAAAGTTCACACAAAAATATAATACAAAAATAAACATCTTTGTAAAACCAATACATTCTTTGTTCCATTCAGAATCTCAAATTTAAAAAGTATATTTTATAGTTATATTATTTAAGTACTATTTTTTTTTTATTGACCTTTTGTTTAAACTTATTAAAATTATAAGTAAAGTTTCTCGTCAAGTCGTCAACCATTTTTATTCGGATAAAACAATTTGATCCGCATAAAACAAAAGAACTAAAGAAAATTAAAAATATTGAATGCCTATTGGACTATAAATAACTCAAAAGTTGCAAGAATGTATTTAACCTAGTTACAAAAAAAAAAAGTTATGACAATGGATTTGCCATAAACTTTCCGCTTTTCCCACGTTTTTCCAATTTTTTCAAATTATAAGGAAAATAAATGAATCAATTCATCAAACAGATAACACATGCTACAAAAAGCTTTCGTCATTTTTTGATTGGATCAAGATTTATGATAGAAAATGTTAAAGATAGAAAAAAAAAACACACGTTATATTAAAACTAACAATTTCCTCCCTACGTTCAGAATATAAAAATAAAAGTAAAGGGAGAGATACATCATCATCTTCCTCCCTGTGAACACGCCTCTGAAATTTTCAGAAAAATATACAATTTTAAAACATATCAAAATACAATTACCCACTTAACAGTTTATTCTGTAGTTAGTAGTGTTGTAGTAGTAGAGTTGCGTAGTGAACCAAACACCGAGACAATACAGTTTTAACAATAATTATAATAATAATATTTACAATCTAATAATTTATTTTATTTTATGCATAAAAAAACATTGACCGTGTAATAAGAACAAAAGACTGATGGAATACCAAATATTCCAACGACATTTATACTTATGCGTATTATACAAACCTATCGCGGTATTTTTAGCGGTTTGACCCTTTGCTTAACTTAGTTTATATTATTATAGTGCGACGATCAATATCCATAATTTACCTAGACTTTATGTGAATAATAAATATATAATAACAAACATGACCTACGCTGTAACATTACAGCGTTTCCACAGTGGGTGTAAAAGAGGCTATTAAAATGAAATGTTTTTTTTTTGTACGACATTTCGATTTATATATTTGATGAATAAAATTGGACTTTTGCATAAAACCAAAAATGTAATACAGCCCACAAAGTGAGTAGTGAGTACTCACTTAGATTATAAATATTTTTTCTCGGCCTGTTGTGGGTGCAGTTTTGAGGTTTTAACAATATTTAGTATATCTTACGTCTAAAGCGGATCGGGTTTTAAGAAATAGCTTTGTCGACAGAACGTGTTATACTCTGTATGTATGTAAAATCAAAAATGTTGCCTATATGAGATTAAAAAGGATATCCCTATAATGATCAAAATGTTAAAAAAGCCATTTAAACTCCCATCGCTAGCATAGGGTAAAGCCTGGTATAGTGTAGTAATCAAAAATATAGGGGCCAGCCTAATTATATAAAATTGATTCACACGTGTAAGTTAATTATAAATTTGATTACCTTTCTTCTTCAGGCGGCAAATTGATCTGCTGAATTTGATAAAGGTGACCGAAGTAAATAAAAAGATTTTAATGTAACAACTGTTTTTTTTTTTATTAATTTTTTTAAATATAAAACACTGTTCTAGTTTCCCGTGTTTTTGTAAGAATCTCTGCGTAGTCTTTTACACTAGCTTGTGATCATCTGTTCAAAAGCAACGGGAACAATACATACACTGTGTGTGTGATTAGAAGTGGCCGGCCTCCTGATAACTGGAGATCTATGTGTGTGTGCGTGTGTAAATGTGTTATTTTAATCTGGTTAATACTAACAACTTAATCTAATACTTAATGGCTATAAATTATTATAATTATTTTACAATATTGATTATACATTTTATTTTAATTATATATGATAGCTTAAGTATCATATCCTTACGATGAGTAAATATCGCATTAAAATATATGTTATTTGACAAAAAAAAAAAATGGAATTGGATGTATATGTTTAATTTTCGTTCCCGGTATTAATTGTTTGATTTATTTCTTACATTACATAATATTTTATTTTAAATTATGTATGATAGCTTAAATAACCTATCATTACAATAGTTTATAGGCCAAGTGTCGTGCTCCCGAGCAAAACAAAATCAAAATTTTGTTTGTGCAAAATAACGATTTTACGCTAAAACAAATTCAATTCGTTCAAATGTATGCAACACGACAAGAGAGTATGGGAAATAATTAATTTCAATTAAATTGTTTCAATGAATTGTGTATTTTACTTTGTTCATATTATATTAGAAAATTGAACAAATTTATGGCATTTCAAAGTAAAATTCTGGTCTTGTATAAGTTGACAATGAACTTAATACCTTCAAAAGTCTATACATATTCAAACTTACGCATTATTAATATTAATGGAATGTCAATTTAAAAGTTTAATAAAATAGAATCTATTATACGGGATTATCAATCTATCATAAGACACTCATTATCTCGGAAAGTATTAATTTTTTTTCGAAATTTATTTTAAAGAATATTTAAAAAACAAGCCAAAAATAATGTCTTATCGAATCGACAAGAGGACCGATTTTGGTTCGACAAGTAATAAAAACAGTCCCAATAGTCCCATAATTATTTATTGAACTGATAATGCGCTTACATATATATTCCAGCCACCCGGGAGCCGCTATTTGCTTACTTGTCTGTTATTGACTTAATTTATCCTGTGGTTATACATTTTATTAGTCTTTTATTTATTTAATAAAGAAAAAATGATTTAATCGAAAAATCACAGGATACCTTTTTTGTCGTCTCTTTGATTTACTTTCTTACTGTATTATTACCAAAACTTTTACCAGCCACTTTTGAGCTTTTAAGGAATTTTAATTTTTGGTAGTTTTTTGCGGTAAATGGGTTATAAATGCACTTAGATACTTAAAACTTGGTGATAATACTTATATTGGATTTACTCAGACGTGGTGGTAAAATTCCAAAATCATCGGATGACTTATTTTTTTTAATAAACGTTTTGAAATCAAATTTAAACGAAAATTGCAAAAATTATGTTTTATGGAACTGCGCTCAGAAATCGTCTTTCGTCAAGTAATGGTTTATCGTTACTTACAGATATAAATGAATCATTTTATGTATTCTACCTTCCCAACTACTCATCTATAACAGTGGTCATTCCCATCCCCAGTATCAGCTCTTTTTCTTTTTTAGCTGTGAACAACTTATCTACCGGCAATTTCGCTTCGATTTTTTTTTTTGCAAAAAAATCCGACTGGGATGGTATACTTTAGGGAGGTAGGTTTTTGATTTTCCCAGCTGTTTTCATAATCTACTTTTTGAAAAAGTGATAAAGGGTTCTGACTTTGGTCTTAAAAATATTGAGAACCATTGTTTTAGAACGTTTAAACAACAAGCAGCTCTACAATTTTGTGTTCTTTTTTGTCATCCTTATTTTTGGGAGTAAAACCACTATCTACTTTTGATTTTCAAATGGCAACCTATATTAAAAATTCCATAAATAGATGGAGTTATAGTTAAGATAAATTAGAATGTTGCAATTTTTGATTTCTGTCAAACCGTTGACGAGATATTCCACTTTTAGTTTTATGGTTGGAGGAAAGTGGTTGACATTATTAACACGCCGCACGCCGTACCGCCACACAAATTATACTCCATTAATCTTCCCCAACTCAAACTTAAAAGTGAAATATCTCGTCAACGGATTGACGGAAATCAAAAATATTAAAACTTAAATTTGTTTTAAATATTACTCTAATTATTTTATGAACTAATACTCCTTCTATTTATAAAATTTTTGTACAGGTTTCCATTTGAAAATTAAAAGTAATTAGTGGTTGTTTTAACCCCCTAAAATAAGGACAAAAAAATGACATAAATATAAAATTGTAGAACAGCTTGTTTTTTAAATGTTTTAGAAAACAAATTCTGGAAAAAATTAATATTTTCCGAGATAATGAGTTTACCCACTAAAATGGATTATCTGGTAATAATTCAAAATAAACTAATTATTATTTTTAAACGAATGTCAAAATTTACTACTCTTTCCAATCGCAACAAGATAATATAAAGTAATACATTATGAGTTATATTCATAAAATATAATAATATCACGGGATAATAATTGGTATAAATCATACTATAATGCGATAATTAAATAAAACATTAATTTTTTTAATGGTAAGTGTCCACTCGAGCTAAAATACATTTACATGTGTATGTACTATCTTAAAATAAATTTGAAATATCATTTTCAAAAAATTGATGGTGTAAAGTTGTACATTTTTTAAAAACGTAAAAAAAATATTTTCCGTCTTACGTGGATAACTTTTGGGCTGTGTCGTGTTCAATAATTCCGTGATCAGATATTATTCATCTTCATAATCTGATAATGATGTGGTTTTTTGAGGGTTTTGGAATGTTCGAATTGGTAACGGCTGTGTATTTGAAATTCTGAAAAACGTTAGGTATTGATTTTACACATTCATGATATTTAAAATATAGCATTTTATACTTATATATAATATTAACGCTTTATTAATAAAAAACTGGACATATATTACACGGCGATGGAAAATGCTTTTCAAAGTTTTAATTTCAAATCATGCATCATTTGTAGGTTGCATTCAATAAAATTTAAAAATAGATGCACTACGAGAATATTTAAGGTAATAAAATAAATAATTGATAATATTTACTTGCAAACAAAATTTAAATAATTATGAAGATTAAATAGATGTTATCTAACTTACGTGTTATTTATCCCGTTATCCACCGGTTTCTCCAGCCACCTTCTTGTTTGCTGGTTTTTCTTTAACTGTACTTTAAACTTATTTTACAATTCTTTATAGCGAGTAAACTAAAAAAAAAATTTAAATCACAAATAATAATAGGAGTCACCATGACGCGCAGCGGGCAATGAGTTTGTCATTGGAATGGTACAATAATCATAATACCTATGAGTACAGAATACATTATAATTTGCACATTCCAACTATACTATATTTTGTAGTCAAAGATTGAACTAAATATATATGTGGCAAGACTCGAGGCTAGAATTTCGATAGGAGTTATATTTTGTTGGAAAATATTTGCTCGGAAACATATTTTGTCGGAAACGTATTTTATCGAAAATTAATTTGATAACGATGTATGACAATTGAAGTTATGATGGTAGGCATATATTGTGTATATCGCACAATTATTCGGGTCACTGGTATTTTAAAATTATTAATGATAACAACATTTTTATCATTTTTTAATATTTTTTTTTTCGATTAAATACGGTTGATTAAACACGTTTCTGATAAAATACGGATCCGAACAAATATTTTCCAACGTTTTACAACATCTACTGTTTTACCAAATATATTAAATCAGTAGCGCACACATATGGAATAGAGGGGGGTGGGGGGAGGGATAATGCATTTTCAAAAATAAAATATCCGACCAATTATATGTGGACATATCTGCGTGTGTGTATTAAATATTAAACTAATCATCACGGTGTCCCCAAATAGCAATATTCTAACTACTAAGAAATACTAAGGTGTCAATAATAGGTTTTAATCTAGCCCTATTTTCTTGAAATTGTTGATGACACGTAGTATTGAGTTTATTATATTACTTCATGTTGAAGATTATAATAATTATTTAAAAATGTTTGAATGGCGTTCTTATGATAAATATTTTTACTGTTATGTTGAAATGTTGACCACACATACACACACGCTATACATTCGTAGACGTGAGCTTTTCGAACAGCATAACATTTTCTCTATCGGGGTAACCTAAAATAGTTATTACAAAATAAATAATAAATATAAATGCCGATTCGAGTACAAACAATTGTTTTTATATATTTATTGCAATAATAATTTTGCAATGAATTCGCGTATACATTCGAGTACATAACATAAACTGTAAATATTAGTATATTATTGTACGGCGTAGACAAATTATAGCTGATACGTGCAGTTTACTGCCGCGTACACTAATATATATATATAGCTTTGAAATATATCATTATTACTGCAGTTAAAACTGAGTTTACAATTATTTAATTTTTTTTAGAAAAACGATATAAACAAGTAAAAAAAAAAAAAAAAACAAATAACTCACCACCCTTATGACTAGAAATTACATTATATCAAAACAATACGTATACAATGTATTTGATTATACGATAAAAAAAAAAAACAAAAACAAAAAAAAGTTCAAAATACCACGGTTATTTTCTAAAGCTATATATTATAAACTTGAGAACATAAAAAAAAAAACATAATCGATTATCACCGTTGAACTATTGGTTATTGCCTAGCAACCTTATATGAGTAGACCAGAATTAAAACTCACATGTCCCAAAAAATAGGAAAAATTAGTGACACTGTTTTATAGGATTTTGAAGACAAAACCGAATTTGTTATTAGTTTGTTTCAAAATGCACAACAGCAGGTCTTAATTTAACTGAAAAATAATGTGGTTGTGTTAAAACTAACAGGTTTTATTGGGTCATTGGAGTTTGGATATAGAGTCCTACATAACCCGTATCAAAATTAAAAATTACCCGATCCTCGGTATAACCTCACGCATTCTATTTTAACAATTATCAAAAATTAATCGGTCGTATCTTAGTGTCAAAAATTATACGTTCAAAACATCGACCTCAAAAAAAAAATAAAATAATAATTAACAATGAATACAATCTTAACTATTGATGGCAGTTTTTCATTTCTTAGCCTTAAATATACATTGGTAAGAAAAATGTTTTATGAATTCATGTATGTTATGAAGGAAAATCCTTTTCAATTTTTAATTTTCTGAAAAATGTGATTATTAATTCTGGTCTACTTTTTAAATATTGCACATTCATTTACAATTTACAATATTAATTAATAATGTTATTTTTTTTTTCAAAAAATATATAAGATTAAAAAATACACAAAATGTGTTTTAAACAAATTATGTTCTTATACTTTTTTCGTTACAGCTATTATTAGTTAGGCTATGTTTGAAAAACATAGAAAAATATGTTGTTTTCTAAAAAAAAATAGGGATTGCAACTTCAACCCTATTGTGGCACGGGTTAATATTGTCCAATTCCTAAAATTTTTTGTATATCGTTTTTATAAATATTCAAATCAATTTAGGTTGTATAATTAACAAATATTTCAAAGTTCAGTTTTAGAATCACCGTTGTGCATATGTATGTATAAGTATATGTATGTATGAAGCTGTATCTTGACTTAGGTGCTTTGGATTGTGTTATATTCAATACTTTTTAAACATCGATGCATTTCTCATCTGGTTATAATATTATGTGAAAATATATTATGTACCTATGCGTAGTACTGTATTGTTTGTAAATACATTTTGCTCGGTTTTGGTTTAGCATTTAAGATGTGGGATATTATGGGATTTGACTAGGAGTGAACTTGTATGTAATAATTAAATGATTTATTATTAGTAAAGTTCAAGAAAAAGGGGAAAAAAAAATCGAAAATTCTCCACTACGTCTATAATATATATATGATTCTTTGGAAAAAAAAATTGCTTGAAAAAAAAAACTGAATGATTCTTTGAAATTCAATTGTTTTTTCTCTTTACTTTTTGATATAAATTATGTAAATCTATGTATTTTAAAAATTCAATTTGCTCATATTGAAAACTTATCAAAATTAAATTGAGCCGTTCTTCCCTGGGACCGAGATATAAAACATGTATTCGTAACTTGAGTATATTTATCGATAAACATACTTTTGCATATCTGTGGCTTGGTGCAAGAAGAGACAATGTCAATTCTTTGAAAAAATCAGTAGAGATAAAAAAGAAAAAGTGTACCTACAATTTTTATTTTCTAAATGAAAATTGAAAATTAAACATTTAATAAAATACGCATAGCCTTATGGGAAATTAAAATTTCAAAGCCCATTTCCCGACATTCACAAAATGCGTTGACCCTTCTTGCACCAAGCCACAAATATATATATCACTTAAATAAAATCATAATAATACGTTATTATATCGCAAAAATATAGGTACTAAATGTTCGTTTTCGAGCTATAATAGTTTATGGTGGATGGCGGCAGCGCCCACGCGGACGCTTTCAGTTCGATCAGATGCAAAAGGATCTTTTTCGTGGACGTGGAACAATCGCGGGTCAACATTACGTCCCGGATGGCCACGTACAGCTGTTTTACCATGTCCGGGACTTCTTGTTCTAAGTCCCGTCCGACGGCGTTCACTATGTCAAACAAACATTCGGCCTGATGAAAATAAAAATAGAATCAATCGATTATTATCTCCATAACCATTGGTCCCGAGGAAGAACAACTTAAGTCAATTTTTGTATTTTCTTTTATAATTTTATCTTAAATCATTTTCTACCCTTTGAGTTTTAGTCTAAGTGACATAAGTGTATGTATTTTCAAAATCAGTGTACCTATGTAGTGTATTAGTAAGGTTATATGTTATATACTATGATTTTTCAAATTATATTTGCTTGTGTTGAAAACTCTACAAAATTGATTTTGAAAAAGTCTTTCTTCCCTGGTATAAAAGAATTATATTAAAATAGATACAAATCAGTGGTTTGCCCAGGAGATTTTTAATGGTATAGGTGTAAAATCAAATTTTTCTCCATAAATTAATAGCTTTCTTTGTATAACACATCGGCCGAAACATACACACGTCAAGATGAAATTATTAAATAAATACTTATAGTGTATTATTTAGGTATAGAATATAACCCCCTCCCCTCCTGCACACGCCACTGATACGATTGAATAATTCAATTTTCTACTTCTTCTTCTTTAATTGCGTCCTCTTCTTTCGTGGGTGTTAAACAGTGTTCACAAATCTTAAACAATAAAATGAGTAGACTTTGTTTGCGGGAGTACACTTCTTTCTCCATTCTGTTCGACAACACTTTATTCTGTTTCATCTGTAAATTTCATTTTACTTTAATTGAAATAATAATAAATTTAAAATATATTATTTATTCGTTGCTTCACAAATATGAGATGTTCGACTGCATATTTTATTTTCTAACAAAAAATATTAAATAAAATAAAATTATTACTGTTTTTAGAATTTTAGTGTAATTCTACAAACGTAATTGAATATTAAATTATTAATTGAAATATAATGTAAACATTTTTTTTTTTTTTTACAAAAACTTATATTATTATATTATTAGGTTATATTTTGTAAAATAATATTAATTTTTCGTATACTTACCCCTGTATACATTTTCAACACGTACGTCGCGTACGCGCAGAATCTGGGTGGTTGTAAAAGTTTCTCTCGTTTTACAAACCACAGTTGTATGGTATTGATTATCATATTCACGTAAGTTTCTCTTGTATCTCTCTATTATATATTATAATGGTTAAATTCTTAAAATTGATAAGAATATCATTTTACTGTGTGTATCATCAAGATGACGTTAACACAAAAAAAAAATCACCTCAATTATAAACAGGGACAGGTTAACCGAAGGGTTCAAAGCGTCTTCCTTGCTAACCACGTGTTCGATTATTTTCAAAGCTAAGAGCATTAAATCTTTCGTCGGTGAATTGTTTGTATCTGAAATAAAAAAAAAAAAAATAAGATTCTTGTAATTCTATACGCTCAAAATAGATTCAGGACATAATTATTGTACAAAATCTTAACATGGTTAGTTTTTAAAAACAAAAGCCGGACGTTCTAATTACTTCATATAATGGAAGCAACGATAAATCATTGTAATCAGAAACCGATTCCGAGCGGAATAGTATTAGTCGTGTTTTTCAATCGAAGCCCAGAAATTAACAAAATAAAAACTAATGTCGATATTCGTTGTCAGTTTTTTAAATTCTATAGACAAAACTTTTGGGAATCTAGAAATCGTTTTAAATAAAGTACCATCGGGCAAAAAAATCAGTATCTTTAAGAATAAGTTCAAACAATAATTTGGAGCATTTTTACTATACTACTTATTTGTACACATTACCTTTAACTATACGTTTGGCCATATCATTAATGTCTTCGGGAAAACAACTCAAATCTTTGATGCAAAATTCGTTCGTCTGGTGTATTTTATACGACGAATTATTCGTTTCTTCGGAAGTGTTTTGATAGTATTTACTATCGGGTCCGTTATAGCTTTTCGACCTTCTTAATGTATAATCTATTTTCGAGTCCGTCACAGATTTATTCACTTCGTCGCTTAACACTGCGGGTTTTGATTTCCGCTTAGGTTCTTTAAATTGCACTTTTGGACCCTATATATGCGTGAGTACAATATATTTTTATTATTCAATTATAATAGTGATAATAATGTTTTTAAAAAAAAGTAACCTAGAAATCAACAAAAATTATACGAAAAATTGTCAGTTTTTCCCGTTAATTAAGAAAACTACAAGGGAAATTAAAAAATGACCTCCTCGATGCACCAAACACATCAATATATGTTACATGCAAGTTCCTATAAAGTTTTTGATTCGAGTGAGATTTTTAATAGAATAGTTGTTTGCAGATATAAAACAAATATGTAAACATAGTAGAACCAATAGTTTCATCGCTTTGCTCAAATAATAGTTATATAATATAATAATAATTACCTGAACATCTTTTTGCATTTGCATATTTTTATTCGTCTGTTGGAAATTATTTTTGTACCCTTTATACTCGAAACTTTTCTTTTGACTGTTCGGTTTGATTTCACCGTTTGTATAAAACGTTCTCGACCTTGACAACATCGGTGTAGTACTGCCATTATGTTGAGTGGTGCTGCAGAAACAAATAACACACGATATTAATGTATTATATTTTTAGGTTATAGAAATTCAATCCTTAACTGCTATACATCGTATCATCGTTACGTTGGCTACTAAATATGTTTACACGATAAAATAAAATTTAAATGCATATATTTGAGATAAAAATTAACTGTGTTATTCTTGTTCGGTCAATATTGCGACCGATGTCAATTTCGTTCCAAACATGAATATACACATACACATAATAGAAACAAATATGAGGTAATATTAATGTCCATTACGACCGCAGCCACGTATCAGCAAGGGAGAGATGATTCATTTTTTTTTTTTTTATGAATATAGTGCGGTTTTTCTCCATAATCAACTATTATTTACTCTTTAATCGTTTTTTAAACATTTTTTTTTTTCAAATTGTATTTTCCTTAACACCCGAGGCCAATAATAATAAATAATAATAATAAACAAACAGACGATACTGGGAACGGGTGAAGCCATTGTTGTAGATGGAGAATTCGAAAGATAGGGTACAGAAATGTGTTTAATTTTCATCCGTACGCGAAGATTAAACCATTGCTAGCGAAAAACGATTTGAAGTGAAATTCGGTAATTTGGAAATTTGGTATTTTAAAATGCTGTAATTTTTACGATTTTCGTCAAAATTGGGATTTTAAAACGATTATGAAAAAAAAACTAATGAAAATTAAATTTTTTTTTTTTTTTAGATTACTAAGTACAACTTAAAATTCACCTTGTATTAAATTTTCAAGAATTTCTCTGAAAATCATATAATTTATATAACAGATACCTGCCAAATAAAAATAAACATAGAAACACGAAAATATCAAAGACCTAAATATAGTTAGAATGTTTTGAAAATTTCACCACGTCTACAAAAGGCCAATATAAGTATTTTCTTAAAACTGTATGTTTCTACAATAATTTTAATCGAATACCAACAACAAACACAAATCCCGTACACTTGGCCGCGGTTTCTACGTTTTTCCCGGTTTTTCATAACTATTAGAAAAATTATTAGGGAAATCAATCAATAATTTTATTACTCACAGACTAGACAACATTTTCTTATAGAAAATATGCTTTTCTTGAAACTTGTACACAAATTTCCGGTAGAAAAATAAAAACATACAAATTTTAAATAATGAAATCGCTTCGTTGTAATTTGAAAACATCATATTTTTTGTCTTTTTTGGTTTTTTCCAATTATTACAAACTACATAAGATATAAAAAAAAAATGACTTTTTCTGTCAGTGGCTATATATTAAATGGAATAAAATTGATTCTTTGTCATTTTTCGACTGAAGTAATATTTCCGATGGAAAAAATTGTGTATACAAATTTAAAACAATGAAATCGACGCAGCTTGACGTAAATATTTGCTGTTTCCCCTACAATTTACTTTCCCTTTTTTCCCAGTTATTTTGAAAACCCAATGGAAAATTAAACAATAATCCCTCTAATGCGCCAATCAACCAACCAAACAAAATTTCCTTTCAAATATAGTACTATAATCTGTACATCAAATCAATATTTCTGGTAGAAAAGTTGTTACAGATACAAAAAAAAAAAAAATACACTTCTTAGTAAAACCAATAAATGCCTCGTTATGCTCAGAGTCTAAAAGCACACATCACAGTAAAACCAATGGAATCATCGCCACGGTCCGAATCTAAATAAATGATAATGCTAATGGATGTGTCATTGTTAATGAGATATAATTTCGAGAAGGTGGGATGTATAGAGTTATTTGATTTATATCTGTATACGACGATAGACCATTGGCAACGAAAAACGATTCTGAGTTAAGTTCGGCAAAACATGTTTTAATTTCCTGTAGGAAAGTTGTTTACGGACAGAAAAAATATTAAAAAAAAAAAACATTTAGTAAAACAAGTACATTCCTCGCCTCGTTTAGAATCTAAAATACAAATTTTTTTTTCTACTTGAACAAAATAGGTATAATTTCCTTTTTTTAATCACTTTGCGTGTACACTAGTAGAATCTATTTTGAAGGTAATACAAATAATGAATAGAAACTAAAGAAACATTTATATTTTTTCGACTAATAATCGAATTTTACTTTTCAAAACGACACTGCATCGAACGGATGAATACTAATAATTTTGATACGGGTAACAGTTCACCTTGTCCATAAGTATAAACTAGAAGCGACATTGTCATTTAATTAAATGGATATTTATGGAAATTAACAATATAAAATTAATTTAATATAATAAAAACTTAAACTAGTTGTTAACAATACAAATAATTAATTAGGCAGTTTAGTTAAGGTTTGATGCCCACCATTGGCCAAAATTGGAGCAATATATAAATCTATACAAATAATGTTTTGGATAGGTAGTTAAGTGCACACACAAGTACACAACTACGAAATAACATAGAGATTAAGAATAATGTTAAATTGTATGTTTATAATGTGATTCATTTCGTAGACGGCATATAAATGTATAGCACAAACAAAATATGTTCTTATATTTGGAATGTATTAAACTTGTAATTTTGAAGTAAACTTCTGTAACCACTGTGCAGGTAACTTATTCTATTGTATTCAGATTATTATTAAAAAATTAAAACAAACTCACTCCGGTTTCGCACCATTCATTATGGACTGAGGAGCGGTTTTGGAACGTTCCAAGGAAAACTCTTTAGCGTGCACGTTGAGTTTACAGTACGCATCGGCCGACATGTTCGAAGCGACATCTTTGATATTTCTCGATTTCTGTGGTCCGTTGGCTATATATACATTATCACTGTTATTATTTATATCACCTCGAACACCTATACACACCATGCCAAATACACGCCATAAATAAAAGGACTTCGCATGCTGAACACCAAAGCACACATAAAATAATCTAGAGTAAATTAAATCCTGAGATGTATTTAGATGCGTACCTATAGTTTATAAATTATATTATAATTACTATAATATTTATAATTAGTGTCTATTTAAAATATTAACTATTTGGATACTATTTTTTTAAAGTTTTAGTATAATTTTCCCTGACACTATAGAGACTATGCATAGTCTATGACTAAGACTATGCATAATAAATACATAATGTATATTTCTTATACTACTTTTGGACACTTTTTGGTAGCTTTGGACTCGAGAATTAAAGGTTTTTTTTTACAGGAGAATTGATATTATTAAATTTTGGTTGAATTTCAATATGAATTTAACCGTGTTGTTACGGAAATAGGATTGTTTTAGCTATATACACTCCTACCCACTAAATGAAATCTAGAGGATGACATTTTGAATATGCGTGGTGTAAGTACCAATGATGTGTTTTTGGCGGTTTAAAGTTTCAACCCCTCCCTCCAAACATTTTCATATTCAAGCTTTATGTTTTCACAGAAAATACCCTTAGGTCCTACCATCAATTGCTAACAAAAAAAACCATTCTGAGCGGAGTTCGGTTGATAGTGTTCCTTTGTTATTTGCATTAAATAATGCATATTTCATGTAATGAATTTGTAAATAATCGTAAATTGAGACAAAGTTGCTGGCAGAAAAGTTGTCCGCAAAAAAAAAAAGACCGTAATATTTTATTAATACATTTCATGTAATTTCCCCTTTTTCCTCCGTTTTTTTTCTATTTATTGAGAAAACTCCTGGGAAAATCCAAAAGTGAACTTCCTAAAGTACCTCCCCAGTCCGATTTCCTTTCAGAAAAAGTACGATCATTGTAAATCGGAATAAAATTGTTGGTAGAAAAGTGGTTTACAGAAAAAAAAATAAACATAATTGTAAAACCAATGCAATCCTCGTTCCACTCAGAATCTAAAATGTTATAAATTAAAAACTTTTTGTATAAAGAACAAAAAGAGATTTACCATATTAAACTATTATGCTAGTAAATTCAATACAATTTTAAATTACTATAATTCCACGTTTTTATGACTACCTACATATTACGATATACTGGGTTAGGTATTTATATTATATTTATTTTTTTTTTTTTTAAAAACGTGTTAGCAATATTGCACTTGTAATGCATACTTGAATTTATTATTTTATAAATATGCAGGTACAGTGATTAGTGGGTAGGTACTGAGTACACGATACATAACATTATTATTTTATAGTTTTATGCACAAATAAAATAAAAAGTGTGTATAACGATAATATAAAAAAATGTCTACGTGTATATTTATAAAAATAATATGCGATATAAACGGCAAAAAAGGGTTGACGAATTTGCAAAAGCATAATGTTATTATATTATGTATGAAAATTCTGAACTCTGCCGAGTAAGTATAATAATGGTTTTAAAATGTCCACGTTTAAATTTAAAATCAAAGCTGGACAAGTTAACCAATTTTCGTATTTTTTTTAAGTTAAGTTATCATATGATATAAATAAAAACTAAGGATGCTGCATTTTCAAAAAAATGATAATTAGGTAAAGTTAAAAGTTACTTTTTTAAAATTAACCTTTACTTTGTATTAGGGTGACCATACGTCCTTTTTTAAACAGGATTGTCTTGTTTTTCAGATTGATGTCCTGTTTTTCCAATTGGAATTAAACAGGATGCATTTAGTCCTATTTTCCGTGATTGTTCTGTTTTAAAACTGTTTTTCACTATTTTTTCATCAAAAAATTATTTTATCGATTAATTGATAAAACATCGCCTATAATAGATCTGCTATAGATGTTTTACCTATACAAATCTTACCATTTAAAAAATGTGTAGGTATGTTACGACACACAATTTTGTAATAATGTAGCATTCTATATTTTTGATGTAGTATGCCGCGTAATATAAGACTACATATTGTTATAATAAGTGTGTAAGTATTATATATTTTTTCTTGTTTTGACAGTCGATGCTTTTTTTTTTTTACTCATTGCAAAAAAAGTGTCCTGTCTTTTTTTTGTAATATGGCCACCCTACTATACACTATTACACCCTTACTACACCCCACTATACGTAATTTCCCGTAGTCAAATAAATAAAAAAAAAGGTTAAAATTATTAACTTAAAAATATAATCAAGTTTTTTTTTCTGACATATTATTTTTATTTTCAATTATAGTTAAATTAAACAGTTGAAAGTTGTTAAAAAAAATTAACTTACGATTCAACTTTTAAATTATAGTTACTGTCCAGCTTTGTTTATATTTAATATAGATTAATAATACAACGTGTAAATCACTATTCAAGTATATTAAATTCATCGCTCAGTTTTCTCGTATGATTATGATGCAATCGCTTTCGGTGGGCTTTGGAAAGCATTGTGATTTTGTACAAACGGATTAATCTGCAGCGTTGCGTTTCCATTTGTGGCTTCTCGAATCAAAAGCCAATAGAAGAATATATATTTTTTTCGAAACTCTCGTTGGTATAATAATTATATTATGATCATAGGCGCAATTTGAGTTGTTGAAAGTGGGCATTCAAAAGTGGCAGAACTAACGGGGATGATAGTGAGCGCAAATTTTAAAAAACCGAGGTTGTTATTGGTTATTTAATCCAGTTGTAATTCTGTAGTCCCAAATGATTAATCAAATAGATTTCAGTATGATCATACAATGAAAAAAAAAAATAAGTACAATATTTTGGTGAAGTAATTTTATCTTATTATTGATCAATGATCACCAATTATTTTCAATTGAAAATGCGCAATATTGCATTATACATTGGGCTAAAATTATTTGGGTTCTCGTCACTCAAAATGGATTTGACACTGGCCAAAGCGGGTTTATCCTCCTCTACCTCTATCCAAATTGCATCTATGATTATAATACCGCAAACTTGCATTATTTATACGGTTACAAATTTGAACTATTCGAATAATGTTGTATGAAATTCCGTTATAGTGTATGCAACACACATACCTAAGGATTAATAAATCCCTCATTCAAAAAATAATGGAATTTCATAGTAACTATCTAAATATATCACTGCTTCCGGACTCCCAAGGAAGAAAGACTTAAGTCAATTGTTTGTATATTTTTAAATAATTTTCTTATGTAATTTTTTCCATAGTAATATTGTACTATAATTTTACATCATTTTTCCGTGATTTCATAATTTCCGTTATTTGTTTGCAATCTTCAAAATTTCATTTTTGTCCTATGACGTTGGCTAAGTTCTTAAGCCTTTCTTCTTCGGAACCAAAGATATAACTCCAGCAATAGGAAGTACCTATATATTTGAGTACATAGTTATGTTTTCGAAATCAGATATATATTATAATGAGTAAAGTAGAATTTTACTTTGATTAAAAAAAAAGGTAAGTAACTGGACTCAAGTCAAAAAAGTAGTTTCAACAAAAATATCCGAAAAAACCTTAGTTTAAACTAATTTCCCTTCACATTTACAATTTAATTAGACTTAGTTAAAAATGAGTTATTTAGATTATAAAATAATACAATATTATAATTTAATGAAATTTATTTTTTCATAAAAATCTAAAACAGAAACTGGGGAATGGCTTCTTATGTGAAGTATAATACATATTTGGTTTAAATTTAGATTCTGAGCGAACCGAGAAAAATATTGATTTTAAAATGATGTTTATTTTTTTTCTGTAAACAACTTTTTTACCAGAAATCTAGCTTCGATTATAAAATCTAGTACGTTTTCTGAAAGAAACCTTATATTTAGCTGTTCTAGACGTGATACAATTTTCAAAACATTTGAGCCATTTTGAGTTATTTATAGACATTTTAATTTTGAGAGTTTTTTACGTACCTATAATATTTATTCGGTAAGTAATCAGTGTATACAATTGTTATAACAAACAGAAATGCTAGGCGATTTAACAGGAGGTTCTAGTTGTATTATTGGTCAACAAGAAAAAGTTGAGTTTGATGTAGTATTTTTTTTTAATAAGAATTTTAATTAAAATCGTAAATATTACGGGCTTTTAAAATATGTATAACCGAACTCCGATCAGAATCGCTTTCCTCAGCGATGATCAATCGTTGTATATAAAAATACATTAAATTCTCCGATATCCTCTAATTCAATATCTTCCCAATTTCTCACCTAAAATAGTGGCCCATCCATCGTGCGATTTTTTTTAAAATTCAGTTTAAATTGGTGAGACACTATACAGAAGTCTCTTAAGGCTGCAAGTAGGATGGTAAATTAGCTTTTTCAAAACTTTTTAGTTTAACGTTGTTGTTTTTTTTAATTATCACTTTTTTGACCCAAATGCAGTTCGACCGTTACCGTTTTTATCCCGATTCCAACTGAATTTCAATTCAGCTATTCTAATATAAACATGTACGTATACAGCGGGAGGTATAAGACTCCAGGTTCCAGGATAATATATAGTTCAAAACGTTTAGATTTTTTAATTAAAGGGACCTTCCCGAGTTTTTTTCCATGCACGTGCCTGAATTTAGGTAATAAATGCAATCCGGCTATTCCCATTATAAAAATATTGCAACGACACTTAACGAGTGTAAACCGATCGTCACAGACGACGACGCATCGTCTGTGACCCGATCATTGTATACTGTATTATTCGAAGGGTATAGGGCTAGTATAAAGAGTGTAAATATCATCAATATTACACTTTAATTAACGAAATAGCGAATTAATTGACAGTGCGGATGCCGTAGAGCGGAAACACGAGCTTTGAAACAAAATACCATTTAATTACTTATAATTACACGGTGGGGTGGGAAAATACTGTTGGTGTACAAATTTAAAAGACAATAATATACGTAATTGAGATTCTACATTTTTTTTTTTCGGATAGCCTCCCCCATTCGATTAATAGAATTAGTTAAATTATAATGTATAGATGTTTTTATTTATACAATATGTATAACTATATCGTACCAATTCGTTATTGCGATTTATCGACTTTTGAAAAAGACGTGTACCGCTTGTACTTTGTCTGCCTGATACAAAGTCCGATAATTTATTAAAAGTACGAAATTTAGTCAATTTGGACACTAAATATCAAAATTATATGAGACTGTCCAAAAAAAAAATTCTTTCAAACACACGAAAACAATACAAATAATACGTTTGCGTTCAGAAGGGCCAGTTTTGTGCAGTGAGTATTAGTATTTAAGGGATTGGCGACGGCTTTAAATTTTATTAAATTTTATCATCTATTTTTACATTTTAATGACGGAAAATAAGACTTTTTCTCTAATCCACTGCCCAATACCTATTCAAGGGGAAGGATTACAGCTGTTTTTACCGACAAATATGAGCGTTTAGGCCGAATAGCTAAACAAAACCGCAGAAATTGAGTTTGAGGCATTTAAATTTTGAAAACATATTGTAATATAATTCTTTAGGTACTTTACATGTAGGACGCGATGGAATTTTTTTTTTTAATTTTAACTTTTATCACAAATAAAAGGCGAAATCGGAAATTTATAAATTTGTTTACACGATTTTTAGTAAAATAATTTCATTTCTATTACCAAAATACCAAATCCACCCCAAAAACAATTCCTATAGTTTTGTTCAGTTTTTAGGCTTTAACAGTATACTTAATCTGACACTAATTCCCTTAAAATTGAAATCATCAAATATTGTAAAACTCAAAAGTAAAAATATTATCTGTGTTTGCACATCGGTTTCTTTTGGATATTTCAATTATATGAAATATTACTTTTTTTAAATAAAAGCTTATAACTCGCTCGAAAATAGAAATAACCAAAAAAAAAACAACTGACGTACAAACACAGATAATGTTCTTAACCTTGAGTTTGTAGGTAATGCATCAATTCGTTAAAATACTAAAGCGAACAGCACTAAATTGATTCTGCTGAACGCGAATTTGCTATGTCGTGCGTTTAGAAGGTCGGGGGGGGGGACATCACGCAATTCGGATATCGCGTTTTCTTGAATTGTTAAATTGTCGCCCCCCAATTTAGCTACTTGTATTATCAAATAAAAACTGTATTAGAAACCAAATTCAATTGTTCGTTTACAGGAGCAGTAATATTGGATTTAATTTTGTATTTATTATTGATCCGAAATAATTCCGTTGGAACGTGTTAAACGGCGAGGTCTGCTGCAGTGGTCGGCGTGACTACCTTTTCGGACTATCTATTCCGACAAGAGTCGCGCGTTTTTGATATTAATAACATTGAAATTGATTCTTTAACAAGATGTAAGGTATAAACCGAAAAAAAAAAAAAAAAATTCTCGAAAAAACGTTCATCAAACTCGGTTTTGCGGGTTACGTATCGACCGCTGCAGCAGGGCATTAAGTCGGGGAACGGCATACGAACTGCAGGCGGATGATGTTAACCATATTATGAAACAAATATTGCAAAATGTAATACATACTCGGCGGACGATAAATCGCCAACGTGGGTTTCTTTTGTCCTATTGTTACACCACCGCAGTTACTATTACTACTATTCCTGTTCGAATAGTCTCCCTGCATGTTCGAGACAGAGAAAACAATACAAATATAATAATATAATACATAAAATACAACGGTGAAGCGTCACCCTCACCTATAGATCTAAACGACGCGGAAAGGATCTAGTTGACAGTGGAACTAATTGACCCGCGGGGATCTAGCTAAACTAGCTGTCAAAGGGATCTAAATGACCTATAGATCCACGGTTAACTAGATCCCCGTAACGATCTCGATCCAGTGGCGGATCCCGGGGAGAATCGGGAATGAGACGATAACTTCTCCATTTCATTCGCTACCTAGTATACTAATATATACAATTAATATACCTATATCCAAATGTACATAAGTGTTTTGCCTTTTATGAATTTTCAAAATAAATTCCTCCCCCCCCCCCCCCGTTATTTTGTCCTGAATCCTGTCTCGCCGATCAATTATTTCCCCCGTTGACTAGATCTTTCGCACGTCGTTTAGATCTTGGTGATTTCGATGACCGTTCACATAGATCTAGATGACCCGAGGGGATTCAGTGAAACTAATCGACTCGCGGGGATCTAGTCGACCGGGGGATCGAGACAATTATTATATCCCGTTGACGGGAGGCGTTAAAAATCCCCACAGTAAAAATCCCGACAGTTTCGACAGGATCAAAACCCCGACAAAGTTAAAATTCCAATAGACAATATCCCACAGAATTTCGCAGACATGATTATCGGCATCCACTAAGATTGTGTAGGTGATGGCCCAATTACGTCCCTTAAAATTATACTGGTTATCAACTTGTAAACGAAAATATAAGTAAAACTTTTTTTAAACGTATAACCAATAAAATAAAATCAATACATTCAGTAACTCGTCACATTTTGATAGAGTAAATAGAGTACGAATTTACAAATGTACAAATTTTACATGTAAGAAAAAAAACAAATTATACAAACGCTGCGAAGAAAAATCCCCTTCAATAGTTCACGGTATGTGACTGTCGGGATTTCGATCGGGACCACCGAGTTGACAACACTAGTCCCTCCCCCCCCCGCCGATCGACTATAATTCCCCGTGTAGTCGTCATCGTGATCATCTCCTGTCAACTAGATCTATACGATCGACTAGGCTGCCGTTCACCGATTGAAGAAAAAAAAAAAAAAAAAAAAAAAAAAAAAAAACGTTAAGTCCGGCGAGAACGAGTGCGGGTTTCGCACGAACGTTTAGTCGTCGCCGCGACGTTCGATTATACAGCGGACCTGCAACTACGGTAATGTTTGGTTCAGAGGTACCTGCGTGTTGTTGCCATCTTGTGCGACGCGATGGTGGTGATGGTTTTGCGGACCGGCGGCGGCGGTGGCGGCAGTGGCGGCCGACGGCACGTAAAAGCTCCGCTGCCGGTTCAGTTCGTTTTCCAACTGTTTTTTGGTCTTCGGGTTCGCCGGCGGGCCGTTGCCGCGTTTGTATTTCCGGTAATTGTTGTTGTTATAGCCGCCGCCGTTGGAGTCCATTTTCGCGACTGCTGTATCACGGGAAACTTTTGAAATTGCGGCCAGAGACGTAGCCCTCTACCTGGGTGACGTACGAGCGGAATACGAACAGTATTAATAATTATTGTCGTTTAGACGTCGTCGGGCGATCGTAGTTTTTTTTATTTTTTCTCAGTATTTACCCGTATTTATCCGCGTACGATTCGTGTTATTGTGTTATTGTGTACCGGCCAACGGGTGCACTCGCAAAAACCTCGTGTACACCGTACACGGGTGAAATGCCGTATTTCGATTCGGCCGCAAACGGCGGCGGCGAAAAAGGCGAGCGCGCGACGGACTGCCGCGATAATACGACGCGTCGCGTATACTGCAGCGGTTTTCTACACGGTTGTAATTCAGTTGTCGTGAAACATGAAAAAAAAAAAAAAAATTTCCTCGGCGCGTCTATAAATAACGCGATAGCCGTTCGGCACTCGACTGTATGTACGCGTTATTATATACGTAAAAATGCGTATTTCGTTTTTTTTTTTTTTTCTCTCTCTCTCTCTGTCGTTTTCCAAACGCTTTCGTGGACCGCCGTCGTCAGTCGCGCGGCGCGTTGTCGAACGTTTCGCGCGCGCGAGACCGTTGGCGGCGCACGGGACGGCGGGCCCGGCAGCGTTCGTACGATCGCGCGGAAGGCGGCGAAAAGGCTGCGGTCGGACGGGTCGCGGCGACGGTTATACTATTATCATACGCGAACCCAGGGGCGGCCGAATCTTTTTCCCGTAGGGATCTATTGAGAATACGGTTTTCCATTGAGAATCGACTATTATAGAAAAAAAAAAAGTGTAATTACCTAATGGACGTATAGAACAAGTGGCAAAAAATACGACTAAAACGAATAGTTAAATAATGTTTCAAACCAAGACTCTAAATATACATAATATTATAAATTAAATAGGCAGGAACGATAGATTCCAACAAAGGGTGTTCGACAATGAAACCGTCTGCGGTCTACGGATCTAGTGTACACACTGTATACTTAAACCTACAGGACGTTCCGCAAAAACAATGATAGACCGTTGCGATATTTCGGAAAGTATTAAATTAGTACGCGATAATAATTTTTTGGTTTTTTTTACGTTACATTGTCGGTTTTTTTTTTTCATCACCCTCATTTTCGGCGGTGAACCCACAGTCAAAAGAATCAAGGAAAAAAAGAGTGAATCAAAAAGTTACCCCTCCCCCCCCCCCCCCCCCGATGATTAAAAGTATAATATTTTAAAATTTTCGGTTGGACTCACTGAGATTTCTGGTGGAAAACTGTAAAGTTGTTTATAGACAACACAATATACCTACACCATAGCACCATAGTAAGACCAATTTACAACTAAATAATCTTCGGCCAGAATCTGCAAAAAATAATTAAATATAATAATTAATATTATGTACGTTTACGAAGAAACAAGACTTGCAGTGTTGAACGGAAAATACTTAGGAGAATTTACGGGCCTTGCATTAACGTCAACACGGGGAAATGGAAAAAACGCCACAATGAAGAACTATAATGAACATGATTCAACGACCAAATAAAACAAAAGAAACTAGAAAGTGGAATAACTAACGCGTTGGATAAAAAGAAAATTCGTAACATACAAAATATGCTCATTGAGGAAAACCCGGTCGTGAAATTACCGTTAGATGGACCGCGCTAATGACGGGAAGACAGAATTAAAAAGGGAGTAGAAGCAGTAGAACCGAACAGACTACGGAGAGAATTAGCAATGGATAAACAGAGATAGCGGCAAATTTGTTCGGAGGGCGGCTGGTCTCAAAGGCCGAAACCGCCATTAGAAAAAGAAGAAGAAGATTATGTATCAGGGTCCAAAATACATCTGCGACACAAAAAGTTTGGACTGGAAATTATCAACCCAAAATAAATACAAGTAAATGTTAAACAAATTATATTAAGATGAAAACATTCGAAACGTATAACGTTTATCGTTTTTTTTTTTTATCAGCTTTTGTTTGTGGAACTACTGAAACCCATTATTGTTACCACACTTGGGCGACAGCTTTCTCGCGTAGCTTACCGTGACGTGGTTTTTCATTCACCGTGTCAATGCTGCTGACCGCGGATTGTATTCCGATACCGGTGGCATATTTATTTTTATATTTAAAAAATCTTGAATTGTGCTAGTAGGAACGACCAATGTGTTAAATGTGTTAAATGTATCTATCGTTAACCGGACCGTGGTTGAGGTTTTCGATATTTGTATAACATCGATAGCTCACAAGTTATTGTCGATTTAGATAAAGATAAAAAAAAAAAAAAAAAAGTATTAAAATACACTTTTGTCAAAGTTCCAAATTACGGTTATTACTACAATTAAAACTAACATAGGTACACGTTATAAGACTCGGTGCACACGTTTGTAATTCAGGGGACACGCTGCGTTTTAAACCTTGTCACGTCTTATTAGCTGAATTATCGCCGCTCCCGGGCTCTCCCATATATTACTCTATATCGCAGTTCAGTATTAATTGTCGTTGTCCGCGGTAATTTATTTTTAAAGAAAAGGTAGGTTAGGTTAGGTTACGTTAGGTACTTCATAATCTTTCTCTGCGACAACCGAATTGAACAATAATAATAACTATTTTTTTAGTTCTGAGCGCTGCAAACATTTCTGCCGAAAATCTTGCTTCGATATTCAAGCGTAACATCTATAGTTGATGACTATCGCATCGGTCGGTTTTTGTAGCTTTCTTAATAACCGGATGGGCTTACAGTAATTCATAATTCATTATATTTTTGAATGGAATTCCGTTAAAGATAATAGAAATCTGACATTTTCTACGCAGTTATTCTGGGGCTCGGGTCAAAAAGAGCCAATGTCACTTTTTGGTGAAAATGAGTTATACGGCCGATCATATAAAATTTGACATGATTTTTCTAGCGGTAAAAGGGCATACATATTCATTGTGAAATTTGAGAAGACCAATGTTGTTAGACAAATTACTATTGCTGTATCAAAAAGACCAAAAAATATATTTTATTCATAATTTCCCAAAATTGATTAAAAGTGAACCTTTTTCGACCCAAGCACCATAATTACATTAGCCTTTTCTAGGCGTAACAATGTTAGGTTAGGTAAAATTAAAGTAAATTGTCGAGCTATTTATAGTTATTTGACATTTTCAACTCTTTTTAGTTTTTATTTGGTTTTATGTATAGATAAAATTGTTTTAGCACGAGCAGAAATTCTTGACAATTGTACACGAGGTTCGTCGTAACTTTTAGTGGTCGAATTTTTCAGAATGAAATGTACGTAGTCGTAAAACTTATGTTATATTGTTATGCATCATTCACCTAATTTTAAATTAAAACTCGTATGGTGTAGGGGTGGTTCAGCAACAATGTCACTTAAAAATAATACGGTAGTAGAAGCAAAATGTGCTAAATAAGTGGCCTAAAAATGGACAAACGACGAAAAATACAAAACAAAAGTCTCGAACGGTTTTAAAAGTGTCGAAAACGTAAAGCGAAATCAACCTAGATATGAATTGTTTTTCCCCTCCGATGCGTTTGCTCGGAACATCAGCGTAATGATAATATTTTACACTGTATCCTATATACAGAGTGATTCCTTTGTCGTAATCTATTTACAACTATTAGTCGTAAAAAAATACCAAAGGATGATATACGTATGTATACTATAAGTATTATAGCCAGAAGCCAGGGCAGAAGACTTGTAGCTCTAAAAAGTTTCCAAATACCTACGCACATAAATACTCAAAATATGTGTTACAAATATGCAATTTAAAATTAAAACAAGATTTTTTTTCTTTTAATATTATTTTTCTTAGTTAGGTAATAGTTACAACTTGCAGATACTCCTTTTTTCCAATTAAAAAAAAAAAAATATTTCAGCTTTTAAAATGTTTAAAATTGACACATACCTATTATTTTAACACTTCAGGACCGAATTCAGACTTAGAATTTTTTTTAATTCTAAACGGGGAGAGGAATGTATTGGTTTTACGATGATGTTTATTATTATTTTTTTTGGATAACTCTTTTACTAGCAATTTTGCTCCGATTTTCAATGATAGCACTTTTTTTGAAAATAAATCGAACTGGGGAGGTAATTTAGGGAATTTTTTTTTTGATTTCCCCAAAAGTTTTCCTAACAAAATGGGGAAAAAAAGAAAAATGTACGAAATGTATTATTATAATATTACGGTCTATTTTTGTCTGTGACAATTTTTCTATCAACAATTTTGCTCTGATTTACAATTTTTCTAACAGGAAATCTGACTGGAGAGGTACTTAGGGGAGGTCACTTTTTGATTTTCCAAGGAGTTTTTCCAATAAATGGCGAAAACGGTAAAATAGGTACAATATTAAACAAGTATTAATTAAAAAAATACATAATGCATATGTAATTATTTTACCATAATATGACATATGTTATATTGTTGACAAAGCGCCACTATCAACCGAACTCCGCTCAGAAACGTTTTTTTCGTTAGTAACGGTTAATCGTTGCTTACAGATACACGTTCAATCTTCTATAACAGTGGCTGCACCCATCTCCATTATTCTAGAACAGATTTTTTTTTATTTACGAAGACAATAAGGATTTAACGTTAGGCATTTTACGCATAAAAATGAATAACATTGAAAATAAATTGGATCGCCAACATAACGCGTGTGTAGTAAACCGTTTATAGAAACACAGCTGAACGCTGGAATGTAAATACGGAGTAGACGGAGGTATCCATAACGGGAGGAAACACCTCCGCAAACATGTCAACAACCGTATTCGTATTATGATGAAAATTAAAAATAAATTTAAATCTAACAACAATTTTGGCCGCATTGTCGAATGGAATGAAAACGTCGTCGGGGGAAAATTATGAATTACATTAAAATACGTTTTAAACGTTTTTTTTTTTTTTTTTTTCTGTAACAGTGGAAAACGAGTATATGCAAACGCTACAATAATTATTATACTACAGGTACACACAATTACATTTAATTTAGGCACACAATACACTACGACTATAACGCACGTCACACTGCGACCAGATTACACACGGCGTTCGTTCGAAATGATCAGCGGGTAGGTATACCCTACACTACAGCCGGCGTTATACGTGTACGAAAAATGTTTGAAACCAGTGGCGCGCAGGACATTTTTCGTACTTGAGGTGAAAAAAAAAAAAAAATGTTCTTACCTACCCAGTAAAAAGATGAATTTGTATGGATGTCCTACGAATAATTACAGCAACAAAGTTATGTAGCTATATTGACTTCATAATATAGGCTATCATATGAGAGGATATATCAATAAAATAATACACGGAACCAAGGCATTCCAGATCGCTGAACTAGTCAATCTCAATTCAAAATGTTCGGTAACCCAACCGCCCGGCAGTCGCCTCAAAAAAAAAAAAAAAAACATACTTCGGCACGCCACTGTTTGGAAAAATGTACTCTTCGTTCATATATTTATTATGTTAAAAATAGAGCGGGGGGAGGGTTTGTCCCGTTTGTAGAAATGTCCAGTTAGCTGATTTTCGTTTATTTTTTTTAAGTTTTAGCATTAGGCAGGTAGCAGGCAATAGCAGGGCGTTTTATTGCGTTCGGACTCCGTAATTGATCGGGGGGGAAAAAAAAAAAACGAAAAAAATAACACAAATCGAATTCACTCGAGATACTCCCGAGAAAACGGCAAAAGAATCGCTCTGTATGCATAGTAAACGATAAAAACGGATATGTACGAGGAATTCGCGTGGCGTACGCGCAAACGGGTGGTAATCGAGTAAACACTGAGCGCGCGCGCGTAACGAGACGCAAATTGGGCAGCGCACCGAGAACGAGCCGCAGTCCGTAATACGGTAAAAGATGACGAATAACATCGTAATTTTTTATTAATCATTTCATATTAGAAGGTACGCCGTGGGCGAGATAACTGTGCGGTACGCGCAACGTGAGCGCGGTGATCGGCACGTCCGGGCATCCGGAGACGCGATGGCGGTCGCACACGGTATCGTCGTCGATATCGCATTATTGTCACAGTATTGTCGTGTCGCGACGTTAATTATATTTGTTATTATTATTCGAATTTACTCGATTGTATTTGATTCGGTTATTAGATTATCGCACTTTTCCGATACGCGCAATCGGGTGTGACCTGCATGCCGTTAATCAGACAGGTACGCGCAAAGGCGGTCGAGGAGGATTTTTTTTTTTTTTGGGGGGGGGGGGGGGGTGTATTTTGCCTGTTAAATTGTAACTTCGTAACTTTATTGTGCGAATATGGCACATAACACCCATATTCAATACACTAAATCTATGCGTAACACAACACGTCATATTTGCTTGAAATGTGATGCACAATAAAGTAAAAATTATTTTTTGGCGTAAATATGATCAATAGGAGATGTTTGAACACCAAAACACCCCCTCGCTCCGCCACTGGGTACGTACAAAGGTGAGCGAGTACACATAGTTAAATCGTTAAACATTTTACATTTAAAGTGTAAAATGCAAAATGTTGACTAAATTTTGTTAAAAGAAGTTTTTATAGGTTGACGTTAAAATTTACTAAATCACACTAACGCGCAATAAAATGATATAATACTATAATATGACAGTACAATTAAATTTGAATGTACATTCTGATTTTGAAAAGGAGAAAAAACTCAATCATCATCTTCGATCTGTTAAGGTATTTGATGACTGGATGTTCATGAATATTTTCAATGTATAAAATCGAGCAGAAAAAGAAAAGTTAACAATATAACAATAAATTCTATATAAAAATATATATTTAATTATTTACTTGTCTGGGAGTCCATTTATTTCTATTTTTAATGATTACAATAAACACTAGTTTTGATTCATCACTATAAATTATGTGAATAATAATAAAATAACTGATCATATTTGTGAAAAAAACAAATTTTAACTTTTGAAATTATTAAATAATAAAATTACAATATTTTTAAAATGTTTTTAAAGTAAACTATATAAATTCAACAATTTTGTTAAACATTTACTGCATACTTCCCATCTCTGTTTGATTCTATTGGTAAATGGTATCTAGGAACTTCAGTTTTTTTATTGTTAAATTCTTCTACTTTTTTATCAATACAACAAAATTGCCACGGCCACATGACATTGTACAAAAATGGACGATGATCAAACCGGTTATCATCAGGACCGTACGCTTCGGCATGATAACTGGGAGTCAAAATTGTCATTTTGTGTCTGTTAATGGCATAACATCTAAAAAAGTGTTTCACTTTTTCGGCTATTTGCTCAGCTGTGTACTGTTCACCCCATAACAACAACAACTTACAAAACATACTATATGGTCCACAATAGTTTTGCTTTCTTAACTTTCCAAAAACACTTAGTTCATCGTAAGTCATACCCATATCTGCTTCATCGGACTGTGTTATCTGCCCATCAATCAAAGGTTCTAGTTCTGCTGTAGGTGTGGCATTTATAATGTTATCAATCGCAGATAAGGAATACTTTTTTCTAAAATATTTTAAAAACATTTTAAGGTCAGACTTTGAAATGCCACCAATTGGATTAACATCGGCACTTGAACAGTCATATTTTGTCATATATCCTCTAAGAGCTTCATCAACATTTCCAGAGCCTAAAACTAATAGCCCGCCTTGCCGGCCTCGGACCCAAAGCATTAATTGAGCAAACAAGTATGTTAAAACCATTCTTAGTCGAGCTTGTACATTTTGTAAAGCAAGTGATTCACGAGGAGATCCACCGTAAATGGAAAATTGTGGTGTTTTACCAGTGAGACTAACAAAAATAGAGATTATGGCAGATACCGCTTTATCAATGACAACACTCAAATGATAACTAGATATTTGAGAAGACAATTCTTCAGCTCGCTGTTTTGTTTGAGAAGATGAATTTTCAGTAGCCATGTAACAAGTAGTAAATAATATGTTGCACAGTTCATTTGCACCAGTGGGAAAATAATTATCTTGACCGACAATACAACGTACTTCTGTCAGTACCTGTTTGTCACCGTCTTTGCACGCTTGATAAATTAAATTGCACATGGAATACACTATACACGCAGTACTCGATGAATCAACACCACCACTTAATGGTAAAAAGTATCCACCTTGCTTAGAACGTCTTAAATAATCCCAAAGCCAACATGCTGGCCCTAAACTGATTTGTTCCTCAGCAGACAAGCATTCAAAGTTTGTTAATATAGGATCAGGTATTTTACGAGTTTCTCGAGATAAACTGAAATCTAGTACATTTATTCTGTGATAAGATTCTGAACTTGAGTTACTTCTAGATCTTAAGGAATTCCGGTAACTATGAATATCTTCTAAATCAATTGTAGCACAAATGACTTCTACTTCTTTTAAATTAAATTGAGTTCCGACTTTTATCAGAGATCCATTCATCACAATATTTGAACAACCATTAAAGTAAACACGTTGGCCATCACAACCTCGGAGATTACTGTATAAATAACATCCACCGTTTTTAAAAGTAGTTGATTTAATCAGATCTAAAATAATTGAATTTTTACGTAGTTCCATGTAAGAACCTGAGCTATTAACAATAATTTCTACACCATCCATACATAACGGAATATGGGTACTGTACGGTGTCCACAGTTCTTCACATATTTCATACCCAATGCACGTATCAGCAGTGGCAATAACAGCATCTCCAAAAGGTACAATAGTTTGGTTAGTACATTCCTGCACAATTCTAGGTAAATAAAAATCTTCGACTGTACGCAATTTTCTCCATGGTGAAAACCAACGAGATTCTCTATAGTTTCCCGAGTCACACAGGACTAATTTGGGTCTTATCAGCAAAATACGTTTATTAAGAAATACCACACGACAATTATATGTTGAATTCTTATGCATCACTGGCATGCCAACGTCAATCTAAATAATGCAATATTTGATATTATTAATGTGTCAATAATTGTATAAATTGTATAAACAAACCAAAATGTCTGACGCAGAATGATGTATCATTAGTTCAACTAGGACTTGCCAAGAATGTAACAGAGTGTCGTTTTCAAAAAAATGGTCTTCACAACTATAGCCACATATTTCAAGTTCAGGTCCACTACGATATGTTGCATTGTTTTGCTTTGCTATTTCAATACTTTCCAATATACGACGTTTATTCCCACCAAAATCTAGAGCCCATTGATTCAAACAACTGACCGCTACAGTAGCCAAGCGACCCATTATTCTTAAAACTATAATAAACACAAATTGTACACCTTAACAATAAACAAAGTGTAGACAGTAAATATGGTACAAGAAGAACATTATACGAATGAAGATTGACAGGGACAAAAAATCTTCATGAAGTGCAAAACTATTATAATAAGTAATCACATATCAAAAATGGTTAAACTTATTTTTATTTTAACAGAATTATTTACCACTAAATAAATTAGTATTTTCATTTACTTAAATAGTAAAATAATCAATTTACACTTAATGACTGCTGATTATATATATTATTATGCTTGCTCATTACTATTTAGGAAATGAACATACAATAATTTGTATTTTGCTGAAGGGTCTTACTAATCTGTTTAATATAAATAAATAAATTATTCAATTTATAAAAATTGTACAGGATTTTTAATACAGTAAGAAATTATAATTTTACTTATTATTTTTTAGACTATGTATTATATTCTTATTTATTGTAAGGGATTATTATCTTATGAGGAACATTGAAATAAATGTGATGGGTTAGGTTAGTAATAAACAACTTGAATATTATATTTAATTTAGTTGTGATCTAATGAAGTAGGGAAGCAGTTGGTGTATCATTAGAGTTTTAGACAATTATTCATCAAAATTAGGTAGAAACATAATATCAAATAAATATACAAATATATTTAGTAATCAGTTGAGTGATATTTTTCTATGTTCAAATTTTATATTAAATTACATTAGTTTTATCATATTATGAAAAAAATCTTTATATTTTTTTATAAGTTACTCAGGGTTTCGTAGCTATTAATTTGCAACCCCTATAAAAAAGGTCTGGTAGCAGTTGCTATCCCTTTGCTGCTACATAGTGATGCATATTATTTTGTTGTTAGAAAGGTGTATAAAGAATAAAAATACTTAAACTCTTAAAATTAAAATAATACTTACCAGGAATACAATTTTATACACACTAAATATAACAAAGATGAAAAAATGTATGATATTACAACGCAATTATTGACAGAAAAAAAAATACAGATTACAGACTAGGTTCTTCACAAATCATATTATAAAATATTATTCTCATTTGTCTCAGAAGGTTTGATCAATTTCTTCGACAAAACGTTACAAAACGCGCATGCCCTTAGTAATAATCATGGAATATAAGCAAAGTCACAAAATTTTTAATCACAAATACATTAATAAAGAGTATCAACGATTATAAACAATTGTAGAGTACTTTATAATTGTGAGAGTATCAAGTTTTAATTGATAACAGAGCTGAAGGTTTATAGATATCATTATACAAACACACAATCTCTAAACATTCTAGAAGTCACATACTCAAGAAATTCGTGTTATATAAGCGATGAAAATTTCTTCTTAAAATCGTAACCATATCATTAGTATGAGTCTCACCCATAGACCTGATATGTTTATTCGCTATTGAAAGAGTCGCTACCTGGTGGAATTGATTAAAACTGCTCTAACGTGGAAGATGTAAGTTTGATACGATGATTACATTATATTGAGTATGGAGTAGGTACTGAATTCTGAATTTCTTTGTGGTAATCATAAATATGACTTTATTTGTTGATATTATGGATGACCATAATTATTATTCTAGCTAAATGGATAATAAAAAAATGCACAAATTAAATACAAACTTGTATTGAACCTACATAGGATATAATGTGTACTATTATACAATAGGTATTGTGTTTAAAATGTACCTACCAACTTTGTGAGGTTTACGTTAAGGTCAATAGTTTGTAAGCATAGTTTTAAAATCTTAATAAACATAATATTACTTTAGATTCTAAGTGGAGTAAAGAAGCTTATAATTTTCCAATTATTTTAGATTATAAAGATGTTTATTTTTTATTTTTTTTTATCTGTGTGCAGATAAAGATATCTTTTCTAACAGAAATATTGCAGATATTTTTAAATGTAACATCTTTTCTGAAAGAAAATCGATATGGGGAGGTACTTTAAAGAGGTCATTTTTCGATTTTCCCAGCAAATGTGAAAAACTGGAAAAAAACTGTAAAATCGGTATGATATTAAACAAATACTATTAAATTATTATTAAATGGTTGCCATCTACCTAATTACAATATTTGTTTACGCAATCTAAATTGTTATTATTCTACAAAACAATTTTTACATAGTTACATGTTTAATTATTAATATTTGTGCCCCGGTCGAGATGAATTTGACTTTTTTGAGCAATAGATTCAAATTATAGTTTAATTAAAACGAATATTCTCGTCAAACTAAATTTATATTTATAGTTGACAAAATAATCTTATCTACGGTAATACAATGTTCACTGAAATAATAAATACATAAAAAAAGGCAGAAGATATTTTTATGAGTTAGCACTCATACTTTGAAGTACCTATGAGCCAAAATAATTAAAATTATTTGCATCATATAATCTAAAACTAAATTTTCTTACATACAAGGCCATATCTGAGAGAGTTTTGAGAGTTCAAACCCTCCCTTTTGAAAGTTTTTAAAAAGTATTCTTTATTATTTTTAAGATAAACGCTAAAAATATTTGAACTAAAATAAAAAATGTTTTAATTTAAACCACACACAAAATTTTGGTCCTGTTCTGTTTGTTTTCTATTTTCAATCGTATAAAATAGAAATGTCTACTTTCTGTGAATATTTTTCATGTTTTTCAATGTTGTTGTAGTTAGATTTTCGACTACAAAGTAATAGAAAAAATGAACACAAACTGATGTTATTTTTATTTTTCAAATTTTTTGCGTCAACAATATTGAATACAGTGGTAATTGTAAAAATTTTAACCTATACTGAAAACTTACTCTGTACTTTTTTTTTTTAAGAATTATTAAAAATTAACAAAAATTGTTTGAAATTAAAAAAAATTACAAAATATGTCATATCTGTTTTACATCCGTCCGCTAGTTTTGTATATTTAAAAGGAATTATATTTATTAAAATTTTATCTGAAAAAATAATTAAATAAATTTATTGTTGTGTTATAATTCACTGTAGTCCAAGAAATCAGATTGGGCAGAATTTCACAATTTAATTGACTTACCAAATTATATTTTTTCAAGATATTCAACTTTTTATACTACAGGAAATTTAGATACCTGGAGTTTCTGGATATAACGAAAAAAGAAGCATACATTGTGTTTGAAGAAACATTTGTGTATTGGTTAATACATTCTTGCTGCTTATGACGTCTTGTGTTATTTTCTAAAATCATAGGTCTTTCAATAAAAATATTTTTGTAGATTCAAAGATTCTAACTGTTAACACATATATTTTCTATTTATTATACAATTTCCTGAATAATAAATTTAAAACAATAATTAATTTCCACTTCTCCAATTATTTAATTTTGGGTACAGACAAAAAAAAATATTAATAATTTTTAATTTGTTTTAGAAAACACATGATACAATGGTTATTTAAATATGACATTAAAAATTGATTTAATATAGTAAATAGGAAATTGAATGATATAATAAAATGCATGTAACTAAGAAATAATTTATTTTTTATCATTGATAACATTTAAGAAATATCTGTTACATATAATTACTCAGTTTCAAGTTGAAAACAAGTTTACTTACCAATACAATTCAATACAAATACTTAACGATCGATTTCACCAAATACAACATCCAATGTTCCTAAAACCATAATAATTCAGTAAGTATAACATAACTTATTAAGTATAATTCATGATGTTTTATCTTATTATGTTCAGTATAAAATACCTATAATAGCTACAATATCTGCAAGGAAATGTTTTTTGCCCAACTTCTCTAATGCAGCAAGATGCGCGAAACCCGGAGCTTTGATTTTGCATCTGTATGGTTTAGATGAACCATCAGACACTAAATAGACTCCAAATTCACCTGAAATAGATATTCATTAGTTAGAAACTAATAAAATGTACACAAATTTTAATTTTACCTTTTGGTGCTTCAATTGCAGTATATGTAGCCCCCGGAGGTACTTGGTAACCTTGGGTAAACAATTTAAAATGATGAATGAGGGCTTCCATGGAATTCTAAAAGTATAAAGATAATTAAGTAAATATTCGAGTAAACATGATAAAAGGTAGTATAAACAGTTTGGATTTTAATTCAGTACTTTCATTTCTGATCTAGATGGTGTTGAAACTTTCATGTCATCAGTTTTAATTTCACCAGCTGGCATTTGATTTAGGCACTGTTCAATAATTCTGAGCGACTGCCTCATTTCTTGAACTCTGCATAAATACCTGGAAATGTAAATATACAAATTATTAAACGTATAAAAAAAAATTTAATTAATTTGTATTATCTTAAATATTATTACTATACTAGCCTTCTTATTCTTTTTCATTACAACTATTTGGGACCAGCCTCTTCCTACTTCTATCTCACGTAATATATTTTCTCTCATTTTTCTACTACCAAAGCCACATCTTCATGTACTCGTTCATTAACCTACACTCTCTTATTACTCCACGCATTCACCTACACATCTCTGATACACTCATTTTCTATTATATTTTTCTTTCTATTGCTCAATACTATAAACAATATAACATGGTGAGTTTCACCATACTTATATGGAAATGACCTCATTAAAATTTTTTTTCACATAAAAAACCTAAAGTTTGTCTTCATTATATCCAACCAAATCTAATTCTATGTTACACATTATCTTCTTTTTTAATGTTTTCGCATACATATAACATATGACAATTTGACAAAAATTTGTTTAAGACTTCTCAAACTATTTTATACTGGTCATCAACCTGACAAAAACCCATTATCATCTCTTACAACAGATAGAGGTAATGTGAGAGTATTTTGATTCCTTCTCGCAGGGATATCTAAAATAGTAGAGTAGAAAATTAAAATTGTCATCATTTAGACATTCGTTTAATTCTTTTAAGACATTATATTTTTTATTAAAAAATATTTGTATTTGAGTAATTTTATTATCATAAACTTTTTTCTAATGAAAAATATATTTGAATTTAAAAAAGTTTCAAAAAAAATACACTTCAAACATATTATAAACATCTTTCTTCTTCTTTTTTTTTGCAAAAATTCCTCCAAATAATTATTTTTATGATATAAAACAAAATATTATTTACTGATCATAGCAAAGCTAAGAGTAAATATACATTTTATAATAATTTATAAAAATGTATTTAACTCATAAATGGAAAATATTTAATAACTATTAAGTCTGTAGTAGGACCTGGATTTTGATGGAAAATGCATTTGGAGAGTGGGAGTCTTGATTACCAATCTAAGGTAATGTTTTCCAGGTACATAATTTGATTCATGCAACAAATATTTCAAAAGTGACTTTTTTTATTTGGCAATATTTGCTATTTTTGGAGGACAATATTTCACTAATAGGCATTTTTAGTATCTTTTAGAGCATTTTTCAATTGTTTTTAAACATTTAAATCTAGACCCTACTTATTACTAACCGGTCGTAACAATCACCACGTGTTCCAATAGGTACATCAAAATCAACAAGATGGTATGCATCATAAGGTTGTGTTTTACGTAAATCCCACTTAATTCCAGAACCACGCAACATAACACCACTGAAAAAATAATTATCTTTCATTAAACTTTTATTTAATTAATCATCATGACACACTCACCTAAATCCTAAATTTAGAGCATCTTCTGCACTGACAATACCTATATCTTGCGTCCTAGAGATCCAAATACCATTGTTAGTAAGCATATCTTCACATTCATCGATACGTTCACCAAATTTTGTACAAAATTGATATATATCATCCATCAAGCCAAGTGGGATGTCCTAAATTTGTTTGAAAAATAAAATTAGCACACTATATGAAATTCAATAAATGTATACCTAAATAATGTAAAGTGTATACCTGAGATACACCACCAGGGCGAATATAGGCAGCGTGCATTCTTGCTCCAGATACTCGTTCATAAAATTCCATCATTTTTTCTCGTTCTTCAAATAACCAAAAGAATGGTGTCATAGCACCAATATCTAAAGCGTGTGTGCCAACAGCCATAATATGATTTAACAAACGAGTGATTTCACCAAATAATGCTAAGAAAAAAAAAAGATCACATTAAATTATAATAAAGTTCTATAAATAAACCTAAATATTTAATAACTATTTATTCTTACTTCGAATATATTTTGCTCTTATTGGGATATCAATGTTTAGTAATTTTTCTACAGCCAATGAGTAGCACTGCTCATTACACATCATAGAAACATAATCAAGACGATCAAAGTATGGTAATGCTTGAGTATATGTCTTGTACTCGATTAATTTTTCAGTGCCTCTATGTAAAAGTCCGATATGAGGATCAGCTCGTACAACAACCTTAAGACAAGCAATAATATTTTATTAGATAATTTTGCTTTGCATTATATTGGTAAATCTTGACTGATAGGTTTACCTCTCCAGCTAGTTCTAATACTAATCTAAGTACACCGTGAGCAGCTGGATGTTGTGGCCCAAAATTTATAGTCATATTTTTAACTTCACGTTCAATAGGTTGAGGAGAAGAATTCCATGCTTCCACTTTCCAATCGCCTGCTTCTTCAGGTACAAACATAACAGGTCGTTCAAATTGCTTCATATCTTCCACACCGGGATACCATTTTGATGCATGTCTAGTTGTTCTGTAAATAATTAATTGTTTGAAGGATTAAAGTTACCCATACATTATAATATTTATCCTATGTTTACGTACTGGTATATTCGCTCGTTAGAAGCCAAATATTTGGATAACACACCCAAGTTGTTTCTTTTAATTAAACTGATGAATGAAGCCATTTTTCATTCACCTAATTTAAGAGTCGAAGTAACAAGAATCGAACGATTTGTGGAAAATCAGGAAATTTGTATCGCAATTTTCTCATATGTTATCATTTATGTTTGTAGGTCTTCCATGGAAGGAAAAACTATAACTATATAGATAATAACATTTTTATAGGCCGTTATCACTAGGGTAATCAGTATAATCTTTGATAGTCAGCTGAAATTTATTTTGAAATCATGTTCACGGATAATGTTATCTATAGTCGTGATCGTGATACAAATTATTGCATTTAAAAATTAAAATTGTTTTTTTTGTTATGTACATTGAGAATAATTTTATTTAAAACTTTTTTATTCTAATTTTGTTTTTATAATGTTAAATAATTTATCATTTACTAATGTCGGAGCATTATTGCGTAAGTAATAGGTACCAATTAATTTTATGAAAAATGTATAAATTGTGTGTAATTAAATACTTGTTCAAATTATTTGTTTACATAATATACACTATGTATTATGTAAACAACTACTATACTGCCTAATTAATTATTATTATTATATTTAGTCCGGAACAGTGTTCGATATGCATCTAAAAAATCGGGTACAAGTACTTCCAATACTGGTGGTCTAGTCCGTCCTAAACATAGAGGTATCAGGTACAATGAGGGCTGTGAAGTTACAGCTGGTACTATGTTGGTATTACAGAGAGAATTGAATTTTCATCCTGGTTTACACGTTAGTGGGCATAATAATATGTTATTTATCAAATATTTTAAAGGCCTTTTATTGTGTGTATAGGTTGGATTTGGGCGAAATGGCACATTATTCGCTTTGGAAGCCGGTAAAGTTATTGTTTCATGTGAGAAAATGGATCCAAATTGGGATCACACTTGGATACAAAGAATTTACAATGGCCGCAAAGGACAAACAATCTACAAAAAATATTTTAATATTATACCCAAGCCACAGCACAATCGCTTTAAACTTGTTGATGCTATCGAGACTGTTAAAAGTAACATTGCTTAATATTATGAAAACTAATAATAATTATTAATAAACTGTAGATATATTAAATAAATATAAATTGTTACAAATTGGTTTTTTATTTAAATAGCGTCATAAAAATAAATGAATTAAACCAAAAAATAAACTTACATTGTGTTGTTTGAATTATAACTATAACTATAGTTTTGTATAAAGTGTTTCTACTTTTTCTTCTATTTTTGATAACTTTTTTAATTATAAGCCCCATTTCTTTTATGTCATATATTACACACACAATTGAACACCATGGAAATCAAAGTATGTCTGGTGTAGTTTTTCAGGATCATTTTTTTCTGATATGACTAAATAAAATTGTTTTTATAATTCAGATTTGAATATTTTATGTAAACAAATCTCGCGAAAGGTAAGACAATTTTTTAGGTGACAAGTTGGAGACAGGATATTATATAATATGGTGGTAATATTGTTTACATACTGTCACGTAAGGGTATGGGTAGTGGCGCAGTAAGCTAATATACCTTGGAGGCCTTCAGCCTCACTATATTAACTAAATATAATTGATGAGGCTCTCTACCTTTACATTAGGGAAGATACGGAGGGTTTACCCCCTAGCCACTTCATGATTGCTCCACTGAGTTTGGGGAAGAGGAGAAATAATTAAATGGATAATAAAATGAATTATTTGCGTACCAAGAATGAAACATAATATAAGTAGGTGCGCATCTTATGAAAAAAAAAGGTCACTGCCAAAACTTAGGTGCCTTGATAATAATAATAACTACTTAATAGGTAATTTATATTATTTCTGAATCTAGATTAATTTATTTGGTTCATCAGATAATAATAATATTATACCGAAATGAATTTGAAATTTTTATCAATGTTACAATTGAAATCATTTAGGTACTCATACTTCCACGCGTTTAACATTGTTAATCATTTCATTTTTCAATTTTTCCAAATTATAGTTTTTAAAATCTGAACATTCTGGTACTTCATAGGTACTAGAATATAGGTACATATGGTTGATTCCTTAAAATATCTTGGTTATAGTGTTTGATTTGTAGGGGAGGGACACAATAGGTAGGTAATTATTTTTTCAGACATTTTAGCATACCTCTATTACTGATTTGCTTTATGTTGTAGGTACCTATATATTTCTGCATTTTTATTGAAATGCATATTTTCATTAGTTTGAAATTTAAACACATATAAAAAAAAATTGACTATATTACGCCCAATTTTTTGTTTTAACTTCTTATTGCAACTCATAAACTTTGAATTAAATTATTGAGAATTTTCTCTGCACCGAAAAATATTATCCATATAAAACCTTAAAAAAACTCAAAAACTTCAATTGACTATAAATAACTCAAATGTTTTTTGATTATTTTGAAAGATGTATTTTTGAAAAGGACACGTACCTTTTTGGTGAAATGTTAGGTATCTACGATTATTCTATAAAATATTATATCTAACAAAAAAAAAAAAAAAATCAAGTATAATAGAAACTGTTGTTTCAATTTATCATGACAATTCTTTCCTCTCATTGTTATGAAAAGGACACGGATTTATCTCACTGCGCCAAACAAAATTTTCACCAGAGACCACTGAAATTGATCATTGGAGCAATGTTTAGAAAAGTAGTTTACAGACAGATGGCGTAAAGGAAGTATAGGGAAACAGCTTCCACTGGCAAGGATGTCATTTTCGAAAATCCCGGAGGAGAACACTGTATTTTTTCAATAATATTTACGTTCCTGCTAACTGCTACCTATATGTAAGTTTACGTAGTATATTACTAATAAATAAATGTATAACAGATACGAAAAATCCAAGGGGGACATGTCCCCTGCTTGCACCCCCAATAAAAAACTCTAAGATAAATCAAAATATGACCTGCCCAAAGTACCTTTCTAGTCAGATTTCTTTTCAGAAAATGTGCTATCATTGTAAATCCGAGAAAAATGGCTGGTAGAAAAGTTGTTCGCAGGAAAAAAAAAGCCTATAACCTAACACTTCACTACACTCAGAATCTAAAAAGAAGGTAGATACATTAATGCACAAAAAAGATAAATTTCATATTATCGTCCCTCTGTATATTATTAAAGAAAAAAAGAGTCGGTGGTCGATTGTTTTTTTTTTTTTGTTTACGAAAGTCAATAATAATAAAATATTGTTCTCTTGGTGGTAATGAGGTTTAATACTAGGCGTTTTATACGTTTTCATAATCGGGTCATATTTATCGTTGTTACAGGTTGGTATTGGCCCCTTTCTTTGATCATGGAAAAATGATATTATATTAACTTATGTTCCTCGAGGAAAAACTACAAGTACCTACTTACAATTACAAACAATCGATTTATGTTTGTGTATCGTTGAATTGTTTGGTTTATCAAGCAATGCGAAAAATTCTCCAAAAATCTTAGTTACCTATCTGCTCTTCTTGGACACATATTATAACTATTTCAATGTTCATACGTTTTAAAACTACGCGCTAGGCAGATCTTTTTTTAGCGAACACCGACTCGTAGTGTGTTGTACGGTTTTGAGAATCGTTTACTAATTAATACCTAATCTTAAGAAATTAGACTAGTACCAATATTATAACAATACAAAATTATTGAAATTTTTTAACAAGATAAAAATATGTGAACAATTTTAATCAACCACATTTTACCAAGTTGATCTCTTTTTTGTGAAGTAGATTCCTATGCCATTTGGTTGAAATGTTATCAATGAATTATTGGCGCTAAAAATGCAATTTTTATCGAATATTTGGTAAGTGTCTAATTTTGTTGACCTCATAGGTTAAGTAAGTTAACTCGCCACTGTTAAATACGTAGGTACCTATTAATGATGGGAAACATCCGGATTTTGAAAATCTGAATTTTAGATTTTGAAACTTTGATTTTGTATTCTTTAAGACATTTTTTATTAAATTAAAAAACTTATCATAGTTATACATTTATTTAATATAAATATAATATAATATGAATTACCTATCTCAGTGATCTCAAACTCAAATTATCTACGGACTATATATATTTTCAAAAAAAGTTCGCGGGCCAAATTTTAAGTGTCCTCTTTTTTATTTATACACTAAAAATTGAAGGTAGAGATACATACAAAATTAATTTATTTAAATTCTAAATGACTTGATATATTATGAAATTACTTTTCTTATAATTACTATTACCAAAATTATCATTCAAAAAATATGATGAACATTAATTAAAAAAAAAAAATTAGAATTAAAATCTAAAAACATCTTGATTATTTGTTTATTTTTATTTTTGAGCTGCAATCGAAACTCGACATTTTTTCTTTGGTACCAAACTGTCTATATTTGCACCAGAATTTCTTGATGTTAAATGTAAAACAGTTGGCATTAAATGTTGTCTAATTGACATTTGAAATTTGATTGCAACTTTTCGATTTGTTTAATTTCATGAAAGAAAATAATTGTTCACATACATAAGAGCTACCGAACATGGATGAAATGTTAGAAACGTGTTTCTTTAGTTTTGGTTAATTGTTTCCAAGAAATTTAAAATTTTCTGAAACTCCAAAAGTTTCAAATTTTGATTTTAAAACAGAATTACATTGCAAATTAATTAACTCGAGTTGTAAATCTTCCTTCACATGTTCTACATTTATAGAAAATAGCTCACCAAAAAGTAGAAAATCATCTTTATATTTTTGAAAATCTGCAAATCTGTTCATAAATTCATTTTTTAATAATAAAATGTGTGAAATGTATTTTTTACTATCATAACTATCTGTTGATAACTGTTTTAATGTAAGAAAGTATACCAAGTTATTTAATGAAAGTTGAGTTTTTCATAATCGAAGTTTCATCGTAAATGAATGAATTGAGTCGTACATATTTGTGATAACTTTGTGTTTTCCTTATAATTTTAAGTTGAGAATATTTAAATGTGTATTAATATCAACAAGAAAAGCTAAATCTTTAATTCAATCATTATTAGTTAATTCTGAAACAATCTTGTTTTTAGATTTTATAAAACGGTCTATTTCTTTAGATAAATTGAAAAATCTTTGTAAAACTGCTCCACGACTTAACCATCTTACTTTACTGTAATATACTAAACAACCATACTATCCATTTCATCGAGTAGTGTATTAAATTGTCTACGATTCAATGTACAGGATCTAAACCAATTCACTGTTTTAATAACTATACCCATAACATGTAACATTTTAATTTTTTTCGAACATAAAGATTCTTGATGGATTATACAATGGAGACTTTTCAAATCTACACCATAAGCCATAGCTTTTGATTTTAATCGAGAAATCAATCCTGTTTATACACCTAACATTGCGGGAGCTCCATCAGTAGTAATAGTCAAAAAATTATTCCAATTTACTTTTAATTCATTAAGACACTTTTCAACACAGTCATATAAATCACTACCGGTTGTTGTGTTAATCATAGGAATCAAGTCCAAGAGTTCTTCAGTTACATCAAAATTATCGAAAACTCCGCGAATAAAAATAGCCAACTGGGTGGTATTGGTAATATCAGTACTTTCGTCAATAACAATAGAAACATTTAAAAATCGTTTTTTTCTAAAGTGAATAAATAAGGTTTTTTCGTTTTTAGAGGATAAAAATAAAAAGGTAATTTTTCTCCAAATTGATGTTCCCTTCGAAAACTAACTGATTGAAAAAAAAAATAAAATCAAAAAAATTTAATATTAACAGCGCTAGAAAAATCTGTCGAACTATATTATGATTTACTTTTCACATTATACATCCAAAGAACCTTTGGATGAAATGAATTGTAACATCTCTTCTACTAATATATTATAATTCCATTTGACAGATAAATTAGTTTTTTAAATCTGGCCCATACTCGCTGTCTGTATTTATAAAGAATACATTTTAATCAACAGTACAGATAAAAAAAAAGACAGACATACTTCGCACGATGGGTGGGCCATTATTGAAGGTCACAAGTTGGGAAGGTAGGATATAGAGAGAAAATTAATGTATATCTGTACGCAATAATTAATAATTGCTAAAGAAAAACGATTCTGAGTGGTTTTAAACTTTGTTTGGTTATAGTGTTATACATGTTTTACAAGGTCATAATATTTTTGATTTTCATCAAAATTTGATATTAAAATTCTTATTAAAAAAAAACACTACATTAAACTCAACTTTTTCTTGTTGAACACTAAGAATAACTTACAATAAACCTCTTGTTAAATTTTCACACATTTCTGTTTGGTTTAACAATTTTATCCACAGAGAACTTATTGAATATAAATGATGTAAAAAAAATTTCAAAATTAAAATGTCTATAAATAGTTTAAAATTGACTAAAAAATTTTGAAAATTGTACTATGTCTAGAAAAAGTAAATATATATTTTCTGTTTTAATTCCAAGTTTCTATGAATATTTAAAATTGATAACCAACAAAAAAACTTTAAAAAATTAAGTAAATTTCCCAATTTTTTTCAAATTAATATGAAAATCGCTTGGGAAATTACAAAATACCATATAGATAAGATTTCATTTTTGTAAAGGTGCTACATTTGATACATTGAAGCAAAATTTCCGGTAGAAATTTTGTACACAGTATAAATAAATATTGTTGTAAAACCAATACATTCCTCATTTCACTCAGAATCTAAAATATTATACTTAACTTCTTTTCGATTCTAAAATGAATGCATCCCAAAGATTTAACTTTTATTACACTTTGAAATATAAATGTTTTTCATTCTCGAAAAGATAATTCCCTATGTTTGGAAAACCCATATAATATATATTATATATTTTTTTAAAGCAAATAAATTTCCCATTTATATCAATGCTCTTAAAATATGAGGGAATTCTGATTTTAAAGTTTCCATTGTCGTCCCATTGGGACTATATATTATACAAGTTGACATGTGAACACAATCATTCCATGCATCATTACTTATGTGGCGTTTTTCCTCATTTGTATAAAATGTTTAACTTTACACTAAAGGACAATATATTGGAATATTTATAATATTTAACATTGTCGACGAGAAGCAAAAGAAAAAAAATCCTGCATTTTAATTTTTCAAGTGCAATCATAAAAATATGATCAGTTTGTACCCATATATAGTAAATATAATATATCATATGAAAAACAAAGTAATAAAATTATGTTTTTTTTTTTAATTCTTACAATACAAATACATTTTTTCCAAAATAGTTATTAAAGAAAAGAATGTAGCAAATGAATTATTAATTTTACATTAAAAACTATATTATAACTATAGATAATAATATATTATGATTTGTTATTATTACAATGTACATCAATGTTAGTAATATAAGTTTTTTTTGTTATAATTTGTATATAATATATAATAATATGTATGGTTTGTTATTTCATTTGTGATTTAATTATATATACATTTCACCATATATAAAATGCTGAACATTTAGGCAACATATAAAACGACATTAATCTACCTAATTATTAATTCAGCTCCATATTTATCTAATCAAATGTTTGTTATTAAAATTTAATACTTGGTAAAAATAAACAAAAATACCATGTTTCTAATTATGCAGTTTGTACAATAGATTCAGAACCCTATTTCTGAAAATTAAATGTAAATTAACTGTAATAATATTTATGTTTCTTAAAGTTAGATTAGTGCAATCAAATTTGCATATTACAAACGCTTTCAAAAATAGGGCTCTGGGTTCAGACAATAGATGTTTCACATAGTCTGTCTTAACGGCCACAGTCTATGTGGCTATTTTTGAGCAACTGTAAAAGAACAGGAGTAGGAATGATTTAGATGAAAACAAATTAACCAAGGCGTTTCTGTACACTGTTATTTAAGTCCAAAAAAAAAGCTTCAATAGAAGCTACAATATGAGTCACTAACAAAATGAGTAACTATGTATAATTCATATTTAATAATAAAGAAAGTGCTCTTACGAGCAATACAATTATAACAACAAAATAGCGACTAAATAAGTCAACAATTATTATAATGTTAAAAATAATAATATTTTGATTTTTGGGAACGACTTATTAGGTACCAAAATAAATCATTTTATTGTTGCTTACATAATAATATAAGGTTAAAATAATAAATTTTAATAAGTTCTCAATATATTACTAAATAGTAATTATAACAAATGATTAGATTAGGGGAATGTTGGTGTTAGGCGCTTGTGTATTAGTTGTATTAACATAATATAATTATTGGACCCAAAACATAGACCTAACAATTTGGAGAAAATAAATTAATATTTTATTAAACACTCGCCTTCCCTTTCTAATAAAAACAATATTAATATAAATTAATGAGATCTGTGATTAGTTACCACTTAACACTAATATTACAAAAGAAAAACAAATCAATTTAATAAATTATATTAGGTATACCAAAATTTGCAGATCTATGTGTTAAGTATGAGTCAGATTTTTTCAATATATAAAATGTTGAACCTATTTTGTGTTGGTGGTACTCAAGATCATAAGTCAGTTTGTTACTGGTAGCCTGAAAACAAAATAAAACATATATGTAATGTATAAAAACTTTGTGTTAAACTATTAATCATTAATTTACACCAGTGTAGTGATGTAATACAATATGGTACTATACTACAGAATACAAGTTCAAACACAGTGGTACACAAATGGAAGACACAACCTAGTCTCCTACTCTAAAAAAACAATAGAAAGTACAAAAATATAATTTATTTAAAATATAGTTAAAAGTTTTTTAAAGTTGTGTTTCATTGACATTTGTATTAAATATTTATCATTTTTATTACCTATAAAGAATTTCATAAAAATACCACAATTATAAAAATATAAACACACAAATACCAATATTCCAATTCTCAAGTGTCTAGACATATTCAAATAATTAGCCCTATAACAAAATATTTATTCCTAATTGTGATTAGTACACACACAAAACTACATTCAAACAGAAATAAGTTATAAATGTAACTATCAATCATATTATTATAATTTGTTACAACTAGTTGGGTTACATAAAATAATTGGGATCTATACAACGAAAGGGTTATACAAACAATGCGATACGGAATTTGGTATACTGTCAGTAGCAAACCATCCATTACAAACATGTGATCGATGTTTAATGGGATTACTTTTGTACCAAGGTAAATAGAGGTGTATTGACCTGAGAACCATGAGTATTTTAACGTCTAGTTGGCTCACAGTAATTTACTTTGTTATTAAAAACTCAGAGTTAACTGAAAACACCCAATCACTTAATCTCTTCTTATCCCCCTTTATCTTGATTCCATGCAAGTGGGGTCAGCTATTCTTATACTCACTCTCAATACCCTTTATATTATATTTCCCTCAATAGCTCTAGCCACTTTTCTTTGGAATTTTACCCCGGGTTTTGTCAATAAACTTAACTCTCATACATTATTTGATACAATTAATATTATACACTAGGATTTAATCAGTAGATATTTATCACCAAATTTATAGAATATTTATGTGCAGTTTTGTAAAACGATTTAAGTAAACAAAAGTTTGTCCAAGTAAACTAGGTAACTATAAAGTAGTATTTTGAATGATAAAACCAATAAAATTAATCAAAGGTAAAATTTTATACTCACATTTAAAATTTAATATACCCATGCTACAGGTACCCATTGTGGTGTTGTGTGTACTCGTTCCATTACCCTTTCTAATTCATCAATGGTTTCTTCTATGTCTTCGTTGACAATAGTTATATCAAATAGATGTTCATAGGCGCGCTGAAGCAGTTCGGATTCATTGGCCAATTTTTCCAGACTTCCGTCAAACTAAAAGACAAAAAACACCTTTCAAATATAATAATATAGGTATTGAATTCGAACACCTACCTATTCAAAATAGAAAAATTAGTTGGCAAAATATGGTATTATAAATAAGGGTAATGGATGTAATATTAGGGAACTTTGGAAAAAAGAAATTGCTTCATCGAAACTTACGTCTGAAAGTGACCTGTGAGGAGGTGCAGCAATGAATACGACCAGTGGCGCAAACTCAGCCGTCCTTAATATTTTGAGTGCTTGCGGTTCAACGTCCAATATAGCAATCTTGCCTTCTTGGTGGATCTTTCTTATAGTGTCCAGTTTTGTACCGTACATGGCGTCATCGTGGGTGCCTACTTAACAATTCATGTCATCAACTCGTAGGAAAAAACCATCAAAAAAAAAAAATAACTCTGGACAACTGTGAGTAGTCTATTGTCCGAAAGCCAACATGATAAAATAGCGCGACCATTACTTACCATATTCTAAGTATTCGTGTGCATTTATGTCAGTCATCATTTCGTCGTAAGTAACGAAATGGTAAGCGATGCCGTTTTCTTCGCCCTGTTTCAACGGTCTCGTTGTATCTAATAAAAATGTAGAAAGAAAGTTACATACATTTTTAACATATTTTATTTGTTTTCTTTTATTGTACACTCACGAGCCATCGGATAAGCATATTTATCTGGATGTTTTTGAATAAGTGTGTTTTTTATATGCCTCCGACCCACCCCATGAGCACCGAGAAGAACCAACGTTTTCCTTTGGAACGCTTAAATAAAGAAATCGTACATATTAAGTAGGCACATAATAATATGTACATTATAATATTATAATACAGGGTGATTTTTCTATCATGAACCATCAATTATCCCGGAGAATTTTAAGTGAATGCGATATCTGTTTTTTCCAATCATTATGAAATTGTTTAAGTTTTATTTTGAAGCCATTTTTAATTTTTAAATAGGAACCTCCTTTTGAACACATATTTAAATAGAGAATATTTTTCTAGACATTTTGATATGCATAACACTAATATCAGACTTACCGTTTAAGAGTTATAATAGTTTAAAGTTTAGACCGGAGGAGTAGGGAAGGGTTAACTTAAAATCTTCTGAGATAATTGCTGATTCATGATAAAAAAAATCACACTGTATACTTACATGGTAGTTTAACTACTTCTTCATAAGTGGCCAAGTCAATGTGATCGAATACAGCGTTGTGCTTGGCCAGATATTTTTCTTTTAATTTTTTCTTACGGCCGAATATTGAGCAATTAACTACAACAAAAATCCGATTATTTTTAAAGATTGTTATGAATTGAAATGAAATCCATAAAAAAAAAATAATAAAAAAAATCCCCAATAAAACCGTAGGTTTAATAATTATGGACGCCTTGCCTAAAAAATAATCACAATAATATTTTCATATCTAAAAAAAAAACCATCATAAGCTCTAATGTAAATGTCAGACTTCATCATGACATTGTATATGTTTGTATAATGTATATCTAAAAAGCGAAAATTGTTTATAAAGCAAAAACCTTACCGGTGGTACCGTCACACCCTTCGTGCGACGAGCAACTGGATTCTTTTGATACGGCAAGGTTATAAAATTGAAACACACATAAGCATCAACACATATTTTAGGAATGCACAAATAATAAAACCAAGTCATCACACGAAAAACCGTATAAAAACAACAAACGAGTTACGAAATATTTCTATACGTGTATTTACCTTGTTCGTGTTTGGAATTTTCTAGAGCTTTACAGGTTATGCGCCATTCTTGGAGTTCCGGCGACGGTATTAGGCCGGCCGAACCGGCCGAGTTGTCTTTGCGGGCTTGCCACCAATGGTGATCGTCTTTACTAATTATCTGCATATCAATAACAACAATAAATATATTTTAGTTGATTAATTTCGATGCATCGATAGTTTGGAATTACCGACCTGCAGTATATCTCCAATATTGAACGTAATGCCAGCTTGTGCGCACGGTATTAGGTCGTCTTGAAGTGGATCGTAGCTGAACTGAGCACGGACAAATATCTGTTGAACACATCGACACACGGATAGGGCGGTTGGATAAATTAATAGATAATAAATTTATTTTAGATTTTATAGAAATATAAAAATAAAATGCAATAGGCTTTATTGTTATAAAGAATATATAAATAGGTATAATATGAAATAAAATTATTATTAATTAATCAATACATTAGTTAATATAGGTTTATGTTAAACTTAAGATAGGTAAATCTTAAAAAAAAAAAAAATATTTAAATATGGCGTGTATGAAATATTTGTGATTATATTGGAAATTGAATTATAATACTTAAATGGTAAATTGGCAGTGTCGACTTAAGGATTTTCTTGAAAGTGACTAGGTATAATAAAAAACATGCCGAATTTATTAAAATTTGAAGTAATTATTATTCAGTTTTATCACGTATTTAGTTCTAAGTTGTAAAAGTAATAAAATATCTGTAGTTAAATAATAAAGCACAATGTAAATAATATTTTTAGGGCTTTATGTAAATGAACTAGTTAGTAAGTAGTTAGGTAGACAACCCTTAAGACGGCCCTTAAATTAAGCATCACTATATTATTTATTTAATGTTTATATATAAGTAATGATAAAAATAATACGTTTTAAATAAAGATCAGCTATAAAAAAAAACGGACATATTTCATACGATAGGTAGGCCGCTGTTAGAAGTGAGAAGTTAGGAAGGTAGAGGGGAAATTTAATGTATATCTGAATGCAACGATTATAATCATTGCTAGAGAAAAACGATTCTGAGCGGAGTTCGGTTTATATATTTTGAAAGCCGTAATATTTGAGATTTGAAAATAATACATTTCGTACATTTTTTTGTTTTTTCCATTTATTATAAAAACTCTCAAGGAAATCAAAAAATTACCTTCCTAAAGTATTACCCCAGATAGATTTCTTTTTAGAAAATGTGCCATACTTGAAAATCGGAGCCAAATTTCAGATAAAAAAGTTGCCACAGAAAAAAATAAATAAAAACAAACATTGTAAAACCAATATATTCCTTTGCTCCGCTTAGAATCTAAAATTGTGTATTGTACCTAGTGGTGCTGTTTAAATGAATAGAAAAAAAAAAAAATTAAATAAATAAGCAAAACTCAACTACAGCGCATCCATATAGAAATCGTAACAAGCTGATCAAAAGTGAGTAGGTATATTATTATGTACTTACAATAACCGGTAACGGCTTTATCCTGAACAACTATATTATGTACGAGCAATGCGGTTAAAAAAAAAAAAAAAAAACATACAAATAGATCAAATATAGGTAAGAAAACACGGTTAATCTCAATAGTAAGCTATACAAACTGTAAACATATAATATAGGTAGTAAAAATTCTATTTCTGACGTAGGCCAAATTTTAAAAAGAAAATAACTAATAACGTTAACAATTATTATTAATTTACTTTTGAACAGTTAATAATAAAACAAAATTTTTGATTCAAGCACTATAATAAAATTATGTTATAATAATGATAACAATAATAATAATAATAATAATAATAATAATAATTATAATTATAAAAAAAAAAAAAAAACTCTGAATGCCTTCCGTATTAACTAGACGACATTAATCTATAGACGGGTGATTTTTTAATTTGGCCAACACCGGATAGAGTACACTTGGGCTTACTTGTACCTCACACGGTGGCGGTGCACTCCTGTACGATGGCACTATCTTAAAAGTAACGGATCCTCTCGCTTCTCTCTGGAAAAAAACATAAAAAAAAAAGACCATAAATTAAACAAAATTATTTAAATAATGAGAAATAAATGTTTGGCGCGAAAAATTGTTTTCGAATAAAGTTTACATACTCAATATAAGCGTATATATTTGTAATTAATACTTTAATATTTTGCAAAATAAAATTTTGTAACTGTAGTATAATGTATAATAATATAATCCCGATTTTTGGGTGTTTAGGTATAATATGACGTCTAAATAATTTAATTCGTAATAATTTAATTTAGCTCAACCCGGTACGTACAGTGGCGTATTGTGCCACCGAGAGGCCGGGAAGTTTCCCTGAGGGCTGAATCCCGGTCATGACTCTATGACCGGCTCTATCATCATAAAACTGATTTTATACTTCAAATTGTTCTTTTTTTATTTAAAAAACTATTTTTTAGTACCTATGACGTATTGTGTATACACCTTTGATAATGAGGAGAAAAATGATCACGATTTTAAGATAATTTGATTGCCCAACGAACTGTATGATAAGGTGGTTAAAAGTGTTGTGTCCACAGATATATAAAACCAATAATTGCAACGGAATTCTCTCGGGCCGGTTAAAATTCAGAATCCGCTGCTATGTATGGGGGACTTAATAATAAATATTCTGTATAAGTTTACCAAGAGTTTCTGAAGCGCTCCGACGGACTGGTTGGCCACCGATATACCGTTGATCTCTCGGATTTCGTCCCCAACGTGCAGAGTGGCCTGACGGTGGATCATTCCTCCGTGCATTATTCGAGCCACCACACATTTCCCGTCCTCGTTCATTTTCAATGTTATGCCCTGTGTGTCCGATCAAAATGCGTATTCAATTTTTTTTTTTTTTTAATGCATAAATATCTCGTTTTATTTTTTAAGGTCCGACGCGACGAAATCATCGAATAAAAAAAAAACACATGGCTTACCATAGGTTCGTCGGTGTTTTTCTGGAACTGAACCAGCCGTACGCGCGTTACGTTCTCGGGTTCGATGTCGTCGTCCAGACCGTTTTCGCCGTCGTCCAGACCGTTTCCGTTCAGATACGGCAACACCAACGGCGGCGTCACCCGTACGGCTTCCTCCCCGAATATCTCGTGGGCCGCTACGTCGTGCGCTTGCATCAACGACTGAAAAAAAACAAACAAAGAATATATAATTTAACGAAAATTAAGAAATGTTTTCATCGAAAAAGACAGTTTTAATATTATAGTAGACATAGAATTATTATATGCCCTAAAAACCGATTCAATATATTCGGCTGTTGCTATTTATGTCCTCGTTGTCCCGTTTAATATCTAAGTAAAAAAAATTGCAATATTTTATTTTAACCTCCCCGTACAGTTATATTTGTCTACAATCTCTAACGAACTGCGACATAAATTATTACGCCCATTTGAGTGAAACGGATATGTACAGGGCCGTATTTAAGCGTGAGCCTCATAGGCTGTAACCTAACGGCACGCACAAAAACAAAATTCAAGGTCAATCGGGATTGAAAATAATATGCCCTTGTACTCCCGCGGTAAGACCTGCACCATAGGCTAGCCTACGTGCTAATTTCTTAGGGCTGCAGGGCTCTCCCTGTATAGTGGATATGTAATAATTTTTATATCTAAAACTCGGGTACGGGAAAAAAAAACGAACATGGACCACAGTAAAACCAATACGTCATTATTTTCGTTTCGCCCAGAAGCTATATATAAAAAAATAAAACCCGAAATAACGACAACAATAACGGTTTAATGTGATTACATTATAATATTATTATTGTTGAACGTGTCATCATATTATTATCAGATTATATACACGCGCTGTAAAAAGACCACAACAGTACTATAAGCAGACGGTATAATGGTATAGTGTAGGCCGTTTATATTAGCGCGTATTTGTATACAGGGGTAAATTAACGATTGTTTAATTGGACTCGAGCCACCGCGTTACACAAACGACGACACCTATATTTACACGACGAGCGACAGAACAGTTTCGAAAAGCGAAAAACAAAAATTTTCCCCGACGATATAATAATAATAATAATAATAATAATATTATGATATTCCGTCGCGTCTTACGAGGGGGCCTCTATCGGACATTTATAATACGCGTATACACATTGAAGACAACACACATAATCAATGCCCCGGGGAGTGTTTTAAAACGACCCCCTCGAACCTCGTTTCCGGTTATATCGCGCGCTAAATATAAATTGCCCGAGTTTCGCCAAGAGCCGGGCATAAATTATTAACGTAGGCGTCTAGTTATAATTCGATTTCGTATATTATATTATGTACCAAATACGGTAAAGATTTCGTTCCGCACGTTGACGTTCTAATCATAAATAACGACACGTGAAATATTGCGCGGCGCATGTATAAAAGTTTTTTCCTCGCAGCATGTCTCGAGACGTGTATTTGCGCTACACATAGTGGGTAAACAGCGGTGAAAACGAACTACTAAACCGGTGGCATGGCCGGTATCGTAAAAAAATTCGACTCGAAAAGTCACCCCGACAGCAGACGAGAGTACACTATACTTAGCGTGGCGCTAATCTTGTTTCGATCTCGAAACGGTCTTTTTGAATTCGATTTTCGCTCTGTTTGGAACACGATTATTATGTGTTCGGTAAGCCGAATGATTACTCCGTCAAAAACTTGAATTCGACTTTTGCTTTTTAATTTTTTTATATCCAGCACGTTTCTAATACGCTTTTTCGTTTCACGCCTTTTCGCGTATAAGTATACAAATCGTTCATATTATACAAACGTATTTTGGTCTCTCATATTCACTCTTTTTACGTACAGAAGATTGCCAGAGAAAAAAAACATGAAAAACTGAACACAATAACACGCACTGCAATTACTGATCTAATCTAATCGACCGGCCCCCTTCTATATAATAGTTTCCGTATAATTTTCAATCATTTTGTAGATACTGAGTCGTTCGATTGTGATTTATGCGTTCGATAGTGTTTGATAAACAGTCAACAAATTATTTTCGATGAACTGACATGTACCCGACGACGTGGAGTCGAGCTATGATATTTGATTTGTGGGTAAAAATCGAATTATCTAGTATGCTTACCCCATAGACATATAAATATATCTCTGTGGCCCACCTTCTCAAAAAACATTATTCATTGACCCGCAGAAATCTGACTATAATATTCGTGCAAATTTTGAATAATCCCGTGCAATTTCAATACTATATAAATACAATATAAATAACTTTCGTCGAATTATTGTTCAGTACGTTTAGGTATGTTATTAATTCAGGTTCCGTTTCCAAAAGCGCGTTCAAAATTATTGGCCCGAATTTAACCGCGGACAATATTACTGTCCATTTTAATCTGCTTTATGACTCGCCGCGCCGTCGATTTAAACACAGTGATCACTGAGAGTATACTCCAACGGTATCAATCTTGAAAATCGATTTACGAAATTGACGACAACAGCATATACATAGTATACTACAATCCGAGTTTTGAAAATATAATATTTTAATTGAAAATAATTATTTTTCACACACGGCGAGTACTGATGATAATCCATATCCGACGGGGTCGTAGTAAAACGCACCAGATAATAACGATGGGGACCTATACAATATACACAATATACATACAATACGTAATTAATCCTAACTTTGCATATTTCGGAAACAATCGAGTTTTTTTAATCAATTTACAATTATTATTGGATTACGGTGTTTATTTAATTTGAAAATCGAATTGGTTCACAAATTATAAACAAATGATATCGCGGGTATAAAATATTCCGCTATATCATTATCTTACGATTATACTAGCGTATATGTTTTTTTTCCATACATTTATAAACAAATTATTTTACACCTAAATTATTTACCGAAAAAAAAAAAATTGGCACATATACATATTATATTTTCATTTTTTAAATTACACAATATTTTACATCGAAAATTCGCACTACCCACACTGTATACACACCTACCGTTTATTAATTAGACACTTTCCGACTCGTTAACAGTAATTTACTTTTCGATTTACAAACACGATTATCGGTTGGCTAATAATTATATTTTATTATAAAAGAGTAAAACAAATATTTGTGTGGGAACACTGATATAAAATAATATATAGATATTCGTATACGCTATTCTGTTAACCGTGTATAACTCTTATACCTAACAAAACTGCACGAGGTTTATCTACGTTTAAACAATCTGCGATACCTACACCTGTAGTTTGAATATTTGTATAGGATGATTCAGTAAGTTTTTTCACACCAAAAATGTAACCAAAAAAAAATGAGGTGAGTACGCTTAGTGAATCACCCTGTATATGGGTAGAAGTGTTTGGGAAGGGAGGGGGGTAACCATAGTGAAAAGGTTGAGAAATGCTGGGTCAGATACTAAATATAGAAGTTAGATTATAATTATTGACACCTAAAATATCTATAACTATAAAATCGAATATTTTTTCCTATTGCTTATGCAATATTTTCTGATCTCCTTGTTTTCATTACGTTAGTAATCCGACCAGAACTTGTATAATAATACACATGAAATTATAACAAAAAAGTGTATACTATAAAATACGAATCACTCAATGCTGAAAGAGCACAATATGTTTAAATTTTTAATTTTTAAAAAAATTCTAGAGCACCTAGAGTAATACAATATTTAATTTCATAAAATTACTATATAAACTTATTGATGTTATCTAATACTAAAACGTTAGTTATTATTTTATTAACATGCAATTTCTTTTAACATATTTTTCAGTTACGTCAAGTATTTTTAAAGTCTTTTAAAATGTTTGAAATTTAAAGGAAATTTAGTACATGAGCCCTTTCTGTAATTAGCGATTCGTATTTTTATTTTTCCGTTGTTTATAGTGCCAAAGACAGCGCCTATTCACTTGATTCGCATACTTGTTTCTCTTAATTACAATTACAATTAAGTTAGAGGCATTTAGGTACCTATAACTAAAGTAAAATATTTGAATTTATACATTTGGAAAAATCCGAGGGTACCTATATAGTATATATACATCTTTAGTAAAACAACTAATAATCCTCGCAAAGGATTATAATACTCGTAGTATAAGTGTATCCGACTAATTTTCATACTGAATAATTTTCTCGTATACTATAAACACATTATATTATAAATATGCAAATAAAGCCGTTTGTGTATAGAACTAGCTGTTTTTTTGCATATTAATATATTATGAAGTATATAATATACTATTAACGCCACTTGTATAAGTCATTCTTTTATTTTATTTTTTTGAGGATGTAAGAATAAGCCTATGAACACAAAAGAATAATATTATTTATAGAGGTTTTAGGGTTTTACAAGGACTTTTATTCCGAACGCACGTCCCGAACTTATGTTTATTAACTTTATTTCCGCCATTTCTATATATTTCTTATGTTTTTTTTTTTTTTTACTTTTCAATGTAATAGTTAAATTTTTATTTTCCATAAAAAACATATTTTACTATAAGTACATATATATAAACAATCTCACTATAATATATAGTAATCTATAGTGAGCTACAGTTATAAATTCGTTTTTTTTTTTTAATGCGCAATAACTTAAATCCTTCTATCTGGATTAAAAATAAATTTAATTAAAATAATTTAAATTAAGTTTGCCCTCTGTATTTTCAGCGATGTCATAAAGTCGTTTTTTTTTTTTTTTGTTTTAAATAATAATAATATAAAACGTCCTAATGTACATAAGTTGTTTGCATTATTTAATAATAATAATAACAATAATTGGATAATAGTTATAGTATATGCAGAAAAACAATCCTCATTCATCTTAATAGAAAAATAGATAACGCGCACACATAGAACAAGTAAAATACTCCAATTACATTTCAGGAAGTAAAATAACAGAAGATGGCCGAAGCAAAGGAGACACAGCAGAATAACATAAGCAAAATAGGGCTTTTCAGGATAGTATATAAACCATCTACTGACCACTAATATATTGTGTAGTAAGACTTTATGGGTAAGAAAAAAGTTCCTAAAAGTGTATGTGTTGAGAGTGGTTCTATACGACTGCGAAACTTGGACAATCGGTACAGAAGAGAAAAGAAAACTAGAGGTTTTTGAAATGTGCATGTGTTATCGAAAAGTTCTTAAGATTAAATGGACAGAAATAATGACAAACGAAGAAGTACTTAACGAAATAAAGGAAAACCGTGAACTTTGGCATAGTACAAAAGTTAGAAGAGACAAAATTATAGGACGTCTATATTACGTCACGAAATACATCGTAAAAGATCATATCGGAAAAAGAAGACCAAGGATGGGCTGTACATGAAATAAATCATGAAAGACAGGAATTAAAGGAATTAATATCGATTTCCATCTGTAGATAATGTACTCGTGCATACCTTTTGTCTATCATCATCTGCCGTCATCAATGCAGCGATAACGCAAATTACATATGACGGTGTAATGTGATATTATCCACATTAGCGTAAAAAAATGACACCGTCAATTTTGCCGGTGTGGATTATCTTTGATAAGTATTTTATATAATGTAATGTGTACTTTAATTTAATAACAGTTATTAAATTAAAGATATAAAATGATAATGAGACAATTATGTTCTACTTCATATTAAAATACCGAATACACTCGTTGAGTGTGATATCACTGATCGCGTGTAGTGTACACGAGTGTAGTCAGATGGAAAACTATAAGTTCCAAGAGGGAAGTGTGTGGAAAACTGCATCAAACGCAATCAAACGGTCGAAGACGAGAAAAAGAACAATCATACAAATATAATATACGTACACGCGATAATTTAACGAATGTGGGATGCGAAAATAGACTTTTCGAAAAAAGAAAAAAAAAACCCAACCCGACTCGACTCGACCTGACATACGTATCGGTATATATAATGTTTTCCCGATAGACAGGTAGGTATAATATACAAGGAGAAGTCCTTAACGTCCCGAAAAAAAAATGTCTACACGAAATCTATTTCTTCAGATCTTAAAAAGAAAAAAAGTTTGGTTGTAAACGCAATGGGGGAAAAAAAAAAAAAAACTATCAAAAGTGAACTGAAAAAAGTGGGTCAAGCATCTTTGTAGTATATATATATATATATATATATTGCATTGTATATTATGTATAATGGGTAAATCGTTCCGATCATATATATATATATATATATATGTATATGTATATACGCACATAAAACTATATGTATAGAAGAGGGAACACCACTCCTGCGCACTGCACCTTTGAGCCGAACAAATCGTACCTATACCCATTTTCTTCGGGGGAAAAAAAAGAAAGAAAAAACTTTGTTCCTTTACATCACTTTGAGAAAAATATAGAGAGAATATAGCTCAGCGGCGAGCGAAGAAAATTTTATATATATATATATAATATAAAGTTTGCTTCACCGCGCATATAATACTAACACGGCCGTACAATAGCGGAGGCGGCGGCGGCGGCGGCGGCGATTCAATTAGATTTTCTCTGTGCCGGAGACCTGACGCCGCCACGACCACCGCGAACACACCATCAATCACATGGTTTTTATTTTCACCGTGTGAATATAATATGTAAGAAGTATATAGGTAGGTACTAGGTACATATTATATATATATATATCATAATATATACGTACGTAGTGGCACCCGAAAGCGTTTTTCGGTTCGATACGTATTGCATATTACGACGAAAAGAACATAAGGAGAAAATCACTGGGAATTATTTTGGTTAAAAAATAAAAGTCGAAAAACAACATGATAATAATAATATCGTGTAAAAGGCTCATACTGTAGTTGAGCGTTTTAGGAGGGTACAGTTGTAAGTAAGTATACATGGAGTAATTTAATTTAAATTTGAACGCAACGATAAACCATTACTAACGAAAAACTATTCTGAGCAGAGTAATTTTTTCCTTCTTTCTGAGGTAACATAAAATTCAAGGAAAAAACTATACAAAAAATTACCAGTTTTATTAAAAAAAAAAACTACAACGGAAATAAAAAATTGTATATCAAATCCACCCCTAGATCAAAAACACTACAAAAGTTTCTAAACAGCTGTTGATTAATTTTTGGTAAGCTGTTAAAAAAAAAAAAAAAATCACATCGTCGTAAAATCAATACATTGTACACTTTCGCTTAGAATCCAATAATAGCTAGAAGGTTTGGACTTTATCGATTTTAATTTTCAATTTTTTTGGTAGAGAGGAAGGGAATTAATTTGATGAAATTTACATTTAGACAAATTCTTACTAATAGAAATATTATTATACAACACATTTTACAAAATTATATAGATTTTAACCTCAACGTGTTTTATTAAAAATAAATAGTAAGCCGGCCGCAAAAGTTATACAGAAAAAAGAATAAAAAAAGCTAAGGCGGAAGTTTGGAAAGTTTAAAAGTCAGAAAATATAGGCGAAAACAAAGTATACACCTATAATAGGCAGTCCGAAAACTAAAATATATTTTAAAACAAAAATAACGGATATGATTTTTAGATCCTGAGTAAAACAAGGAATGTATTGGTTTTACTACATGTGTTTTTTGTGTGTGTGTTTATAAACTACTTTTCTAACAGAAGCCTTTCTCCAAACAAAAACTTTATAGGAACTTTCTTATTAGTATTTTCTTAGTGTAATGAAGAAGTCAATTTTCTAATAATTTTCTTATTAAACGGGAAAAACTGACAATTTTTTGTATAAGTTTTGTTGATTTCTAAATTACCTAGGCAACAACAGTGAAAATACGACTAACAGTAAGAAAACAGTAACTCCATTCCGAATCGTTCTTCATTAGTAATAGTTTACCGTTGCGTATACAGTATATACTGTATAAATTGAATTGCTCTACATATTCTTCCTTCCAATTTTCCTAATAAAACAGTGGCACACCCATCAGCCTTAAAAAAATTTAAAAAATGCTATATTTCGTCGAATGGGATTCGAAAGTCGTTCGAAACCCATTGGTAGATCTCGCGTCAAATAAGTTTGCCGTGTATTTTTCAAATTTACGCACACCAATTTTCAGTCGTTTTTTATAGTATACGATAATAAAATTCAGGCCCTATATACTAATAAAAAACACTCATATAGGCACGAATATAATATATACGTATTACAATATAATATTATAGCGAGAGAAAAAACACTTGTAGTCGAACGTTAAAAAAAAAAAAACACCTAAAATTCAAACAGTGGACTAACGCCGTAACATATACCGTACAGGCGTGTAGGTATATACCGGGGATTTTAAATTAACTTTATCTAGAATGATATAATTTAAAAAAAAAAAAACATTTTCCCCCTACAATAACAATCATATTATTTTTTCTCTTTTATTATTTTTTATTACTATACAGCTGCAGGCTCGCTATATTTTATTATATTATTATGATTTTATTATATTATTATGTTTCCACAGTCACCCCGTCTACTACAACTGTATAGTAGAATTTCGCAATTCGCGTCAACGCCACTACATCTCGCACATCTCTTAAACATCGCGTTTAACTAAAATGAAATTAATTTTTCCCCTAAGTTCTCCGTAATATAATATAAAAGGAGCCCATTATTTTAACAAGGGTAATTGTTTACATTTTTTTTCACCCGTCCCTTATTTTATTTCGTTTTATAAATTACTCTCTTATACTGTTACAAAAAACGAAGCAAATGTTTCTCTTCCAAAATGTCTTATATTTGGTTGTTTGTTTAAAAACTTTTGCTCATTTTTTTTTTATTTTTACTTTTTTGTCTGTGTGTAGGTACAAATTGAAATTTTGTTCTCGTGATTCAACGAGAAAATATATTTTTAAAAAAGAAATAAAATAATGAAGAATAGTATAATTATTGCCGCATTGATCAATAAACTTATTATTGTATGTATGTTTATATTTGTTGACGATTAAAAACTTAAGGTATCAGTACTATAATAACACCAATGTTTATTGAGTTTGCTCAATAAACAATAAATACAAAATCACGACTGTGTGAAAAATAAAAACGCTATAAAAAATGATATTTATTTTATCGAAACGTTGATTCGAGGAAGAAAAAAAAATATATTTAACGATTATTTGATCAATAAAATCACGGAAGTTTACAACGCGTAAAATAATACGTACCCACTTTCAAAATCAATATACTAATATAATATATATTCATGCATTTCTGTATATTAATAGCTATTGAAAAATGTATAGGAGGTATCTAGTAACATTATAGGTCAAGTTGGGAAGATCATTTTTAGATTTTCTATCGTATTCTTTTTAATGAGAAAACGAGATATTTATTATTGATTTCATAAGTTACCTCGATAACAAGGAAAAACACGACTAATGCTACTTCACTCAAAATCGTTTTTTATTTGCAATGATTAATTGGTACATAAAAAATACAAACAATAGCCTACCTTTCCATCACCAGTATACAACAGTGGTCTATCCGCAGTGGCGCTGAGCCATGTTTTAAGAAAGTTGGCAGGTAAAAAATTGTATAAACTGCCACCCTCGTTTACAAAACAAATTCCCACAAAATAACCATTTTAATTAATATTCCATATCGTACTTATTCGATAAAAAATATGACTTAGGTACTCATCAAAGATCCACCACCACCCATTCATTAAAATAAAAGAAGCAATCGCCACCCTTGGCTGCTGGTGTCAGCGCCACTGTCTATCCATGAGCAGGATTATATTATTTTTGTTTTTAAATGAAATTTGTATATATTTACTAGAATAAACCTAGGGCCTATGCTGTAAATATATTGATAATGAGAGTTATAGTACAATCGAAATGACGATTAATCAATTGTTTTAAAGTGCTAAAAATAATCGATTGAATCGATTAATCGAGCCGAATTTCGATTAATCAAACAGCCCCACATACACCTATAATATAAAAACACGAGCGCATCGAGACATCAGATTTAATCATATAATATAAATTATACCATAGAAGAAAACGTTATTTTTCCACGGGCGCGAGAGTAAAACAATGTATAGACGGGAAACGTACCCGAGATTTTAATCGAATTAAACGTGTAGATGGTATTTTTTGATAATAATATAAGACTACGCAACACAACGCACCGGGTCAAAACTCATTAATGAAAACATTAACGGAAAAGTTATTAAATGATAAAATGACGCGCATATAAAATATTTTATGCGAACGCTGCTGGTGATAAAATGGATACAGCGTGGAACTCACTAAATAAATATAAAAAATATATATATACTAAGTACATTTTATACGGTAACCTACGTAAGTGTTAATCAAACAACACTAAACTGACTATCCGGTATAATATTATGAAAATCATTTTTTTTTTCTGTATCTTTGTATAATGTACTTAAAATATTTTAACAGAGTTTGGGTAAACAAATAATGAGCAATATTTTTGTCGATTAATAAACAAACAATTTTTATATAATATACATATTTTATTTAAGCTCTGAAAAATAATGTCAAATAAAAAAAAGGCTCATATTGATGATGGGTATGTCATTGTTTTAGGAAGGCTATTGAAATGGAGGATTAATGAAATATTAGAGAAATTTTAATTATATTTGTACGATATTCCAACGATAAACCATAGAAAAAGAAAATTGATTCTGAGCAGTATAATATTAGTCGTATTTCTTCTTTTTTGTCAGAAATAAACAAAAAACACAAAATTATGCCCACAATGCACCAATAGATCAAAGATGCAATAGTTACCAAAACAATTTTTGATGGAAGCGAAATTTCTGGGGGTAAAGTTGTTTTTAGACAGAAAAAAAGTACACATCACAACAAAACTATACTTACTAATATTTTCTTTGCTTTGTTCTGGACTTAAATGTAACACTAAACATAAAATATGTGATAATTTTATACAATGACGTCGTATAAATAAATGTTGTGGGATTCACAAACCCCCCTCCCCACTCAATAGGCATACATGAAACCGTTGTATGAAAAACAATTATTCACCTATGTAAATGATAGTAATATAACTAATATATTGTAGATAATAATAATAGAAATATATTATGTTTTTGTATAATTGCCAATACGCGTGTCAAATATAAGAAATCGAATGAAATCTGAGGCCCGACAGTTTGAGAAGAGAAATTTAATTAACGTTCGTTGCACTGAAGTGGATAGTATAGCTGTAGTTTTCGAGCGTTGTATAAAAAAAAACCGGCATTCATTCTATACCCACACAATTGACGAGAATTCGACACTTTACGCGTTTAACAAATAGCCGAATAAAATAAAATGGGAGACCAAAAGAAAAAAAAACGAGAGTAGGTGCCAAGGCATTTTTTAAGTAGGTTTTTTATGTCCAAATGGACATCCACTAGAGTAATAGCAATTTTAACCTGACTTGCGCTCGTGAACACTTTTTATCTACTATTATCTACCACCACCAGTGCAGTAGATAATGTATATTCCATATGTTAGTATAAATAAAATTTTAAACCAACAAAATCTATTATAGTATTAAGAGTATTTTATATTAGAAATACTCTTATCACAAATAGGGGAAGGGATAACTGGAAAATGTCCAGTGGTGTTAAGGGGAATGTTTGGCATATCTGCCCGTGAAGGGTTTTTTAGGAAGATGGGGGCATGTACACGCTTTGGTGGATATTCACTAAAAAAAATGGTTCGGTAGGCGCGGTAAATAGACCGCGTTTATAAGGTATAGATTCTACTATATTACTATATATATATATATATATATATATATAGTATAGGGTAGGACGAGACAAGTGCGCGACATTTAATCCGAAGGATATAAATTATTATACATCGGATCGGTAGGTACCTAGGTATATAATATATTAGTGGACTGTCGGGGATAGTATACGCGGTGTATTATGGAATTGAAAGAGACGCGGTGAGAGAGTTTGCGCTGGTGGAAAGAGAGATACGCAGAGTGATTATATACGGCGACGGAGGGATAATATGTGTGTGGATATAGTGTTGGGACAGTATAGTGTGTAACCGGCCGTATAAATCGGCAAGAGGAAATTAGTCCCACAAACGGATATTATGTATATATAATATATACAGGGTGACACACGGAGAACTGGCAAATGCAATAACTTTAGTTCCGTTCGATATTTTAAAGTTTTTCTTTTTTTTTTTTTGTAATAATTACAACTGTAGAGCATTGCGTTACGATTCATTAATTTTTTTTCAAAAAAACTAAAACATTTCTTTTTTAATGATGGCTATTTTATGCATTTATTTTGAAATTAAATTTCGGCGAAAAAAATGTTTATCAATGACGAGTCGTAAATGTATAAAAAAAAATTTAAGTTTACGATGATTTGAACAGTTTTCACTATCGCTATTGGCAATAGTAAAGAATATATTATTCGATTCATCATTTTTTTTCATGAAAAATAATTTTCAAATGATTTATGCAAATGTCAACAAATTGTAAATAAATGTATATGCATTTTTAAAATTTAAATTTTAGATTCTAAGCGAAGCAAAGAATTTAATATTTTAAGTATGCATTTCATCGTTTATGAAAAAAAAAAAAGTTTTAACAGAAATCGTGCTTCCGTTATAAACTTTATAGGAATCATCTGATAGTTGGTGCATTTAGAAGGTCGTTGTTTAATTTTTCAAGTAGTTTTTTTATCAAATTGAAAAAACTGGTAATCAAAAAATAAAAATGACCAAACACAACAAAACTTATTGCGTTTGTTCGTGGGACACCCTGTATATACCTATTACTCTATATTATTATGTGTAGTATACTGTCGTCGTCGTGTATACATTGTACGCGCCACTGACGTATATTGTAATGTCGGCAATCGTTTCGGGGGTTAGGTGTGCGTGTGTATAGCTGTTGATGCGGGTGGACGTTAAACGGACGACAGCGACGGCGTCGAAAACCTTATATATCTCACCCCACGGTCACGCCGTCGTCGTCGGTCCTATCGTAAAACGATTTTCGTTTGATTATTATACAATTTGATGGTTTTACGAGAGAACAAAAGAAGAAAATGAAAAAAAAAAAGTCGATACCGCTCACAGGTAGCACACTGCGGTTCTTGGCGGGTAGTCGAAAAGGTATTATATTGGATGTGCATGATAATTTAGGTTTAACCAAAAGAACGATTCTGAGTGGAGTAGTATTTGTCATGTTTTTTTTGTTCCGTAGCCAACATTGCTAAATAACCCAGAAATCAACCTTCATATAATAGGTACTACTTATTAATAGGTAATAATAATAAGTATTACCAGGAGAAAAATTAGGGTCTATTATGATATGACTAGAACAAAATCTGAGCATCTTTTTTAGTCAAAAAACGGCGTTTTCCGAAAAAAAAAACAAACACATCATTGTAAAACGAATATTTTTTTCGTTATACTAAGGATCTAAAAAGCTATACCACAACCCTATATTTTTTTATTTTTTAACCAGTATTAGGAATAATAATCATCATGATATTCGCATTTTGTGTATCGAAATTTTGCAGCCAAAAAATCGTATTAAGGGACTCGGCGTCAGCGAGATTTTTGACTCAAAAACATGTCGTCTTACGGGAAACTCACATGCCCCTGAAAGTATAATCCGATTTCGATTTTTTTTGTTGAAGAAATTAAGAATACCTACAAACCATTTTTCAATATTTTCATCCCAAACTTTATAATGGGTTATTTTTTTTTTTTATATATTATTTGAAATCAAGCAAAAAAATCGGAGGTCAATGTAGTTAGTAGAATTTCGCTGTTTAAAAATTTAAAAAAAATTTGTAGGAAAATATTATAAACCATACAACATCTGTAACGTACAAATTCTATTCAATACACATTTCCGGTCTCTTTAGTCTATACCATTATATTTCGTTATTTTTATAAAGGCTGCCCGTGCATAAGTGAAAGAGAAAATCAAAGACAAATCAGTGCACTTTCACATTATAGCCAATTGAAGTCAGTATATAAATTATTATATATACACTTAAATGAAACGCAATTAAAACTAATAGATAATTAAAATGGGACGACCGATTAAAGGACGAAATTATTTACGCGTGATAACAATCGCCGAAACGTCACAAGTTGACACTACTGCCGGTAACGTTTTATCTCATCTTAAAATAATATTAAAGAAAAGTACCGTATACCCACCAAAGAAAAAAAAAAACTAGACTTTTTAATATATATATAAATATAATATATTTGAAATACACCAATCGATTGCTTTTTAACGGTGTGTGGCGCGACAATAAGCTATTATTTTTTTTTGCATTACACTAAACATTTTCTCATTGTGTTTAGTTATAAGCTCGTTTATGACGTTAATAAACTATTTATACGTTTATCTACTGTAGATATTATCGGGAAAACATTTTACATCATCTATATACATAGAAATCGGAAACGAAATATAAATCGCTTGTGTGACATAACAGATCGAATACAATGTCGATATTATTTATATAAATAAAATAAATGTATTTATATATTTTCACCGCATATGTTTGACGGTGAGAAAAATAAAAATATGGCAAATCGTAAGGGGAATACAAATAACCGTGAGCAGCAGAGCTCTGTCGCTAGAGATTCGAATTTCCTCCTACCTATTTAGTATTACAGAAATAATATATTTTTCGAAAAACAAAAAATAACAGAATACTATAATAATACAAATATATTGTATAAATATACAATATGATACTATACATTTCCAAAAAAAAAATAATAATAATAATGATGATAGGAATTAGAGTTGAAAGTTGAAACCCCTAAATGGCACATCATTGATATATACGTATGACGTATATAGATTGCATCCCTTTGGATTCATTTCGGAAGTCTGTAGTGGTGAACAAAGTTAAAAGAAATATAATCAAAAATATTGTTAAATTTATATTTAAATCCAACCAAACTTTAAACACTTCAATCTGCTTACAAAACAACTCTAATTCCCGAGTTTAAACTCGTTTAATCCGGAGGGAGATGCTAGAAAAATGTATACATGTATAGCAGCAGTCTTGTATGAAGAATCCATTTATTTTGTGTTCAGAATACGTATTCTAATAATTCAAAACAAATTATTAAGAATGTATATTCGAATACTCACTTTTAAAAGGATTCGAATATTTTTTGAACTCTACACTATATGTGCAATAAAAAATAAATTTCAAAAAAATGATTGAACTTTTTTTGGTTTAAATCGAGTTGACATTTATTAGATATAACAAGCTATTAGAAATTGACACTTGACTTTCTATTTCATTTTGGATCTTTAACTGTAAATACTACAGAAGCAAACAAGAGAGTACGACGAAAAAGAAAAGAATATTATACGAGAGCATAATATAAAAATATATTTTTATTTCGTGAAAAATGTGTGCGTTTATTTTTTCGAGTATGAGATATTATTTTATTATTATTATTATTATTGTGTAGTGTCAATATAAGCATTATCGATTTTTTTCTTCTTGTAAGAACACTGTACAGCTAAACCTATATATAGGTACAATAATAATATTGTTATGCATAATAAATATGTTTAAAAAAAATGTATAATATACGGAAACCTATTACTGTCGAAACAACGTATTGCAAACTATACGTATATATATAGTTGTCGTCGTATTTATATAATACTGCAAAATCATTCACGGCGAACAATAAATTAATTTTTAACATAGTTGTTTACATTTGAAAAAAAAAAAAATTAAAAAAAAAAGAAAGAACGTACGGAAAAAAACTAGCAATCGAACTCAGATTTTTATTGTCCCGCGGGAAAAATCGATTTTATAACCGTCGTTGATGTAAAACTTTTGTGTATTGTTGTATATAGTCACGTGTATATACATATAAATATATATTGCGGCGCTTTAGGGTAAATGCGCGCGACTCGGCAAAAAGGACTATTATAAGCGAACCGGGGGACGACGAGCCGGGGTAGGATAAAGGATATTATATGTGTCTATACTTTTTGCCAACAATCTGTAAATTATGGTTTAAATCGAAAAACGGATAAACGGGGGGGGGGGGGCTGAAAGGGGGCGACAACGACGACGGTTTGGAATCATCATCATAATAATCGATGAAATTCGTATTATGCGTCGTATAGTCTGTTTCGTCTCGTTTCTTATACGTATACAATAATATGTACTATCGTATATGCAGCTAGTATTATTCCACGACGAAGAAGAAATCCATTATATCGTGAAATTAAATTTAAAAAAAAAAATAATAATAATAACCATCGTATAAACGAGTCCTACTTATACATGTACTCATACTCTTTGATATATACTCATGTATACGAATAATATACAAGAGGGGAAATAATAATCGGGGAATTATTATTCAAATATCGTTTGTGACGGTATATAATATAATAATACGTAGCAACAAACATATTATTATAATTATAACAATATTACTATTCGAATTGAATAATCGTTCCGAAATAACCGACACGAAAATAATATGATGTACGTGCGTGTATATAATATTATGTTAAAAACGAATAAGATATAAAAGAACCTCATAATGTCCTGCAGGACGCGCGGTGTGGTAAAAACATATTACCATCCAATTTCATGGTATACCTACTCGTAAAACGAATCGAGTAAATTCGCGTTAAGTTCACTGCGGAACAAATCGCGAGAACAACTCAACGAAATAAACATTATATAAATATACAACACTGAGACGAGACTACGAGTGAGAGAGAGAGAAAAAGAGACGAAACGAAGATATTATAAAAAGCTCGCTATATTTTATTGTAACTGCAATGGGCGTATAGGTAACCGCGGAGTTGAGATGTCATTGGAAAGAAGGATACGATAAAAAAAAATAAATTAATAAAGCTTTAACAAAAAAAAAAAATTTTAATCGGTCTGCAATCGATAACATATATTATTAAATGGCCTGTGTATATATATATATATATGTGTATATGTAATTATAGAGCAGAGATTGAACGAGTATCCTTCTCTGGGATATTATCGTTAAAGTGGCGAATAAAAAAAAAAAAAATTTTAAAAAAAACTGTTCTCTTGTATTTAAAAAAAATCACTATCAGCAGTGCAATTGCAGTATTCAATTAAGGGAAATGTTAAATATATATATAATGATAATGATGATTAAAAAAAAATCTAAGTTTTCTCTTTATAGTCTGTGGTCACACAAATCGTTAAAAGCCAAAATTCCGGAAAGATACGAGGGATAAGAGAAAGAGAGGGCTAGAGTAGATATTATAAGGAGACGGAATGGAACGGAGAAAAATATAAAAACGGCGAAGGCGACGGGTATTTCGGCCCATTAACTTTTCAAGTAATAATGTCAAGGTCTTTTTTTCTTTTTGAGAAGACTCTACATTTCGACACGGTACAACAATAATCTTCAAACTGCCTTATACTACCTCCCGCACACCTCGTCCTACCTACCTCTCATCTGTATTATAGACTCTATAATATAAACTTCTTTTAACCATATCGTCTACCTATATATGCGAGTGTATATAGAATGTACCTTTAGACATTTTTTGACGGCCAACTAACAATATGTCTTCCGGCGAGCTCCAATCGACATAACGATAAGTCGAATTGATGGAAATATCCAAGTCGTTAAAATTGCGTATTTCATTACTTACATTATTTAATTCAAAACAACGCATTATAATAGTCGACAAATACATATTGAATATATTTGCTTAAATTATATAATATAATATTCTCACACGTATTAAAGAAAAAGAAAAAAAGCTGACATTGCTGATGGGCATGCCAATATTTTTACTGAGTTAACAAGATTTTGTACGGAGAGAGAGACTAAGAACGTTTTTGTTTGAACCATATAGGTGTAGGTAATGGGAGTTTGGAGAGACTAAAAACAATTTTGACAAAATGATTTTTATCAAAATACATTTCAATGTAATAGCTAAAAAAAAAAAAAAAAACTAAAAAAAAGACAAATGAAATGAGAATATAATGTTATGTATAAAGTCTTGAAAATAAATATCTTACGGTAACTATATTATATTATATTATATTATATTATATTATATGCACTCCTCTGACAGGTGTATCCTTTTAGAAAAATGTTGAGCAATGACAGTAATTATATTATTTTCATTAATGTGTTTTTTAACTATATTAGCCATAAATAACCCATTGAGTCTGTTTTACAGAACAAAGTAACTACTCCTTAAATAATACGTTTTCATTCTTTTTATTAAAAGTGGAAGAAATAAATTAGAAACGTATTTAATACTCAAATCGTAAAATGGTATGCATACATAAGCATGACAAAATAGCTGTGCTACTGACCATTATTGTAGGCCTCAATTCAGAAAAGTAGGATCCGTATTTAAAATGTTTTTAATTAATATATATGAAATAATGAATAATCATTGGTAACTATGAAAAACGGTTCTGAGTAAAGTTCGGTTAAACAAGTTCTGAAATGTTGTGTATTTGAGATTTTGGTTAAATTTGAACTTAAAACGGTCATAAAAAAATACTTCTACATTACGCTCAACTTTCTTTTATTTTTTGAACCATAATATTACTTTAAGTACAATGAACCTCAGGTAAAAATGTTAAGCATTTCTGTTTGGTCGAAATAATTTTACTCACATAAAACTAAAAATAAAATACATTGACAATTTTATACGTTGATAATAATAGTTTAAAAAGTTTCCCACGTCTAGAAAGGGCTAATAACATAGGTAGTCTGTGAAAATGTTAGGTCCCTACTATTATTTTTAATTTAATTGCAACATAATAATAAAAAAAATAAACACAAAATAATGGAAACTATATTTGCTTACATTTTCCAAATAATACTTTTTTTTTTTTTAAATATATTGTATTATTATAAGCATACTATTGTATTTTATATAGGTAGGTATTTTTAACACGATACTACGTTTAGAAAAAGTAATAAAAAAATGTACTAACATTTTTAAATTAATGTGCTTAAAAGTACAGTATATTATTATGTCAAAAAACAAACTTTTTATATAACTTTAAACCATTAATTCAATACATTTATAACTGTCGGAAATGAATAAAAAAAAAAAAAAAATGAGAATTTAAAAAAAATAATTCTATACCTACCTACCTCCTATATTTTAATTTAAAGAAAAAAGTAGCTTTTATTATTACTGTATGTTGGTTTTATATATTATACGATGACGGTTTTCTTAATTAACGCATTTTGAACAATAATCTTTATATATATATATTATATATGTATATTATATACATATAGAAAAAAAGAGATTGTTGATCACGAAATATAAATTATTATAAAAATAGACTGATACTGCTGACGATTGTGCAACAGTTTTAAGATGGGAGTTAAATCGAAGGGTAATTATAATACTAATTTAATTTATATTTGTACGCAATGATTGATTATTTTTAACGAAAAACGATTTTGAAGAGAGTATTATTAATCGTGTTCTTCATTTGTAGTTAAAGTAACCCAGAAATCTACAAATATTCGGATTATACCAATAATTTCCATAATAATACAAGAAAAATCAATGATTGACCTCTCCAAAGCATTAATTTGATCAAAAATACTATAAGACCCTATATAGTTTTTATTGGAGTAAGATTTCTGGTAGAAAAGTTATTTACAGACGCAAAAAAAAAAAACACATGTAACAAAAATACATCCTTTGCTTCACTCAGAATGCAATAGAATTCAGTCGACAAATGAAAATTAGTTTCAACTACATATAGAGCATTTCGAAATGGATAGTCTTTGGCTGGTTAGTCTCGAGTCTGTTGGTTCTGCAATAATGTTTCATCATAAATATATATATATATATATATATATAAATTGTTTTAAATGAAAACTTTTTTGTTGTCGGATATTAAAAAAGTCTTGATGTGATAGAGAAGGGGAAAAACTCGGAGCGGATTCTACTCGTTTATATGCTTATATAATATTATATAGTAACAACGGTACCGCACAAGCGTTTTTTTTTCATCGAAAGCACATGCAGTTATCTTAAGTTCTATCCATTCGCCGACCGTTATTTACAGGCCTATAAAATAAATACGATAATCACACAAAACGAACCACAAATATCATATATATCGAGTATATTGCCTATAATTAAAATAAAGATATTTTTCGAATAGTTCCGCAAAAACTTTAGAATATCATACAAAAAAAAAAAATTGTATTATTTTTAATCATTCAAGTATAAATGATATTTAAACATAAATTGAAAAAAAGGTTTTACAGACTGAAATGCATATCTTCGACTTGGACTTCTTTTAACCTGGAAAAACTCGTTTACCGAACGGTATTGATTTTATTTACTCAATAGATTATTAAATGAGAAATCTATAATGGTTTTAAGTATACCACCACATTATAAGTTATGCCATAGATTATTGTCCGATAATATAATACAAGTACCTCACGAAGGTACTCGATATAGTTTGTTGTATTATAAAAATCATGTATAAAATTTCAACTTCTAAAAATTTTACCAACATTTTCCTAAATGCCAAAAATGTGTTATCTATTTTACGATACTCATATTTAAAAAAAAAGTATATTGCATAGAAAAACAATGCAATTTGAATAGAAATTTAAGCCCGAAGATATAGCTTAACTATAAACTTGATCACTTAAAACATACATTCCGTTGAATTCATCCGGCTTTTACGAAAGCTCATCGAGTCACACACATGACTCAACTATTGGTGTATACAGTTAAATTAATAATGTATCACTTACACATAATATATTCTTTAAACTTTGAACCGAGGGAAGAGTTGAAAAAAAAAATATAAATTACAAAACAAATATATATATATACATACATTTATGCATATATACACGACATATATCAAATTACAATATGGTTGCATATTATATAAAGAACCGTTGCTTATATTTTCCGGCTTTCGGTGCACTTGCCTAAACGCGCATGAACGCACAAACATAGAAACGTCATAAATATATGCTTACTTTGGTATGGTATACCTTTTATTATATACAGTTTCAAAGCAAAATGTTATGCAAATCGTTTTTTTCCCTCTTAAAAATGATGTTTTATATTAAGTTTCGGCATTTCCCTATATACCTACGCGTACAGAGTGCAAGCGTATATACCCGTTCAACGAGACTCCTGCAAAGGCGAACGCGATCAATTTTTTTCTTCGTCATTTTCACAGAGATTATACTTTTGTCAACTACACTTGTTGTATATAAATATATATACATATAGTTTATAGTATATACACGGTCTACTACATTTTTTTTTTTTTTTTTTGTATTTTTATAACGAGTCGACTAAGAGACGGGTGGATGGAAGCGGGACTGTCGCTGCACTATTATATAGGATTTGCCAAAAACAACACGAACAATAGGATAAACCTGATGAAACCAGCAGCCGCATGTAGCTGCTGCTGTAGAAATACGAAAATAATTATCTTTTCTTATGTTTTTCATCCCCCCTATAGTATATATAGTATAATATATAGAAAGGAAAACATTTTCTGAAATTACTTTACGGCTGCGGCGCTGAAGTTTATGTATGTATATAGGTACTCTAAATCTATACAGAGCTTCACTCTCGAGTGTAATGCAATTTTCCGCATATAATTACAACAAAATATTATATTTTTGAATAATCTAAAAAAAAAACACTTGAGTCAAATTTCTTCCCACCTATTTCGAAATATTATATTACTACCAAAAAAAAAAAAAAATAAAAAACAAAAATAATTATAATAATAATAAATAAATAAATAAATAAATAAATAAATAAAACAAAAAATATGTAAGTAGCTGAACTCTGTTCATTCATCCCAGAAAGAACCGCTAAAGTAGTCCGCAAGTAGCAGGAAAAAGATTCCAAACGTGATGCACTAAAATAGAAAATTAAATTATTTCACGCTGATAAATACGATGTGTATAATAAACATATTGTAATAATAACGACTTTCGTTTCAGTTTAATGTTTAATTTTTAACAAAATCTGAGGGGGAGGTGAAATATACTCGTATGTACGTGAGTATTCAAATCTTGTCAGACTGAAAACTAGTATATATACAAGTACATTCGAAATTTATGATCTGATAACATTTTCGAGTCTAATTTGCGGGTTCGTCCATCAGGGAAATAAATAATATAATCGTTCGCGTTGCTGGCCACGGCGTCAAGTGTGACATCGGACCATAAAAATGAGCGAATATTGTAAAACGAATCCTATACATCCGCCAGTCGTAGATTTTCTATATAACACAATAATATACGAATATCACTCTGCCTCCCGAAATGAATATAAACTATTCATCTGTTGAAAAGTTTTAGGATACTAAAACATTTATATTACGTTGGATAACGTGACATAGCAATCGTATGGTTGAAAAACGTTTCCCATATACGAGTATTATCAAGTGTATAATAAGCACTTTTCCACGACAGAAATTAAAATCACGACAAATAAAAACCGATAAAAATGATATTAATCGGAAACAAATGGTGAATGCTGGATTCAATGGCAATTTATTTAGCAACACGACTAAGCAAACATATGGTAAAAAAAAAAGTGTTTTCCATATAACTGCACAAATGCACCAGTCTTGGAAGAAACTGCACAATAACAATTTGTCTTCCATTACTCGCCTACCATGCCATGTCAAGTACATATATATATTTTTATAGTTCGTGATTCTGGTCAACAACTGTGATAAAAACAAATCAATTCTAATCATATCATTTCTTTTTCCAGGGTTTTATCGTTTATTCCAAGTATAGGACATGTTCGTGCAGAATAATTTTGCTAACATGATTATTGTTGTCTTATTTATTGCATAACACTGTTTATATTTTATAGTCATGATTTGAAACGCTGAATCTCAGAACAAAATCCAACAATAAAACATTATCAAACTGTTGAATTTTGAAATATATATCTGATCGTTTTCATTGAACATCGCTGCTGAATTTTGTAAGACATCTTATATCTACATTTCATTATAGTATTTTGTTTTTCCATATTCGATTTTTTTCTTTATCCTTCTATTATATTATCGTCACATCATTTGTACCGTCTCTTTCGGTCGTCTTGTTTTTATTGAAACAGGCGCACGATTATAGCGGCGGCGACTGTGATGGATTTCACAAGCTGATTATGACACTACAACAACAAGAATGAAGCGATTTCTGGATTTTTTTCAACGTACACGAACAGCAACCCAATCGCTCAAGTGTCATTCGCACGGTGACAGAAAGGATCATGAGTATAGATGTATTGTGAATCGACAACAAACACCATCTGTTGGTGTGTATAGTGTAGTATTTTGGTGTCATTTTGCCAGTAGTGCTCGCCGATAGCGATATTTGCTTTTATTCGTTCGGCATATTATATATAATATAAAGAACCCGCCTTTACCCTGCCTTTATATTATATTATTGCGTATAGTTATACATTATAAACGACATAAATGACGCGCGTAGAAAAAATAAAACTTTTTATACGAGAACAAAAAAAAAAATAAAACCTGACAGGGCTATACACGAAACATATACTGAATGCGACGATAAATCATTGCAAACAAAAACCGATTCTCGGCAGAGCTCGTTTGACCGAGTATCTGTTTAAATTACAGATTTAACTGAAAATACTAGTATAGCAAGTTTTTTGTTTAAACTGTTGAGAATCTAGACAAATATTTTGATTAAAAATTACCATCGAACAGAAAATTCGAAAGTCAGGAAAATTTTGTAGGATTATTTTTACTAATCTACACGAAAAGGCTACATATTGACGTATATTTGTATTTTTATAGATATAGTGCATCGATTATCGTATTACGATAAAAACAGCATTTTACAGTGTACAATGGTTTTAGTCATAAAAATGAACCGGACGTTTACGATAAATCATTATATTAATACATACTTATATTATTATTCGTATCAACGAACTATTTGGATTAAATATTAAGTCTTTAAAAAATGTTAAGTTTATAAAAAAGACATTAAGAATAATCTATTTTTTGATTACATTAAATGTAACCATAAAAGAGTTCAAATATTTGAGCATTTTAATCTAAAAAAAAAAATTAAAATGTAGGATACACTGCAGTATTTTTAAATGATTATTCCAATACATATAAATATACATGTGTACATACATAAATACATACATACATACATACTTACATACATATATATATATATGTTTTACCTAAACTTTCACCGGTTATTTTTAAAAATACAGAGAAACATTACTGCTAAATTTATCTCTTCAGAGTGTGCTATAAAAAATAAACAATATATACGACAAATGCGAATATATACTGAATAATTCATATTTGTATAAACTTTATATATTATTCTTGAATCAAATAAATAAGCAATAGTAGTAGTGTATCTGAACACTAGACTCCAGTAACTCACGAACAATTATAATAGTATAAATATACTAAAACATATTATATAATATATGTTTATAGATTATTTACTGAACAAAAAGCAATACAGTGATTCACTCAACTGGAAACATTCATTTCGAAAAGTAGGTATTAACATAAAAAATACAACATACCATGAGCAAAATTAAAATTAAAAATTAAACGCTCAAATCATAATATAAATATATAAAATAATTTTTAAACATAAATACAACATAAACTTTCTTAAACACAGGAACAAAACGAATAATTGTTTGTTTGGTAAAAGTATTATTATAATAAAAAATAATAATACGACTGTATAAGATTAAACATAGGAAATATTTACATACGCGTCCGAGGTGTTTGGACACATTTTTACATGTGTCCACATTTCACACGGGGGTAATAATTTTATACTTGTTTGCGTTAATAAAATATTTATTCTTCCTCTTATTCTCTCATTTACACAGTAAATTTAATATTAATATGGATTTTAAAGAGTATATATAACCTAAATATATTTTATTTTAATTCTGAGCGAAGTGAGTGATTTTTTTTTTTAGTTGTAATATAAAATATTCACTTGTTGGTTTTTGAGTTTTACTCACTACAAAAAAAATCATTATACACAATTAAAAAAAAAAGAAAATCCCGATATATAAGGTGTAAATTTTCCGAAAAATAATACAAATATAACCTATTCGTAATATTAAAATTTGAATTTTGTATTAAATTGACTAACTGTTCAAAATTTAAATATAAATTAAAGGGCGTAGTTCAAATATTTCGAAGATAGTTTTCATGAAAATTACCACTATTAAAAATGTCGATCAGAAATAAAATATACTATAAAACTGACTAATTTACTATTACTTAGATATAAAGCTACTAACAAAAGTATATTGTATCATTGAGTTCAACGTGATTAAAAATCAATAATAACATTTTACGAGTAAAAAAAAAAATAATAATAATAAAAATATTATTACGAAAAACATAAGTGAAATATATTGTTTTTTAAAAAAATGGGCAATGTTCTATTAAAACAAGGTAAAATAAATTACCGGATTAACTATATATATATATATATATATATATATATATATATACTATATAGGGTTCAGTTGTTACGATTTTAAAGACCTCCCGTGAAGTACGATATTTATGCTTAAAAACATTAATATTGTATAATATAGCTTTCAGAATTCCGACCGCGAAACAAATTATATACATTTTTCAAAAAGTCCTATACATTTTATATTTTATGTATACATAATGTCTTTTTAGTTTCAAAATAGTGAAACCTTTTCAAATAAATATCCTACGATTATATCATAATAATAATAATAAAACCTATTACCAATTGACATAGTTTAGCTTTCTTTAAACGATCTATAATACCCGATATAAATTATTGTGCTGGGTTCAACAAAATTATCGAATTTTAATTGTAGAGAATATTATTTGTTCGTAAAATTTCACAGTAAATATCACCAATATATAAATGTACTTTATAATGTTATAATATTATATTCCGTTTTGTAATACGAATTTCAACAATCATTATTAAACTAAATAACATGGGAAATTGCACTATATTTAAATTTTTTTTAAATACATGTTTATAAAAAACAAAAAAATCAATACGTTCCCCGCTAGACTAAGAATCTAAATAATAATAAATAATATAGTACCTATACAATAAATTTATTGTGGAGGCTTGAACAAACAAAAAAAAAATTAAATAAATAAATAAAACTAAAACTTATTGAATAAGTAATACTTTTTTTTATTTATTTATTTATTTTTTTTTTTTTTTGTTAACTTGCAAGAAACTGTACGAAATTACGACGCTCATTAGTATCTATACGAGAATAACGAACGAATCAATCAATTCGTAAGTTGGCGAGTTTGGAAATAGATTAATCTTTTCCGCGCGCGCATTTAAAATAAGTTTGTCACGTCGATTATTTCTTGTTAGGAATGTTTTTTTTCCCCGCAAGCCTTTCGCGCCATGCAGTCTAAAAGCTTTTATTCGTATAAAGACCAGGGGTAAAAAAAATAATAAAAAAATGCGATTTGAATACAACAATGAGGACATTATTTTCCACGCACCATCACTCAAAATCCTTTTATGAAGCTAATTTTTTATTTTTTTTTTCCCTCGAGTTTAAAGAGGAGCGGCGTTAGTTTGGAGAATAATATGTTTTAAACGAAAAATAATAAAGGGGCTAAATATACTGGGCTGCTAACACGCACGCGAGAATGCAGTGAAATTGCCTATACTAAAACGCCTATTTTCGAAATAATAATAGTCCATCTCACCGCCACGGACCGCCATTATTTTTTTTCTTCTCTCTCCCCACGGCGATAGGTTTATCATAAAGCTAGTCTTATTAATATATACGTACGTGTATAATGCGTATAAAATAATAATTTTAGGTCGTTAAAGAGGTGGAAATTGTTTGCAGGTCAAAAGGTGCAACTTTCATAATTCATACGGTGTATGAGCTCGGGCGTGTTTACCCAAGTCCTTAACCTACATGGCAAGAGGTTGATAAGAAAAGGCCGTCTAATGGGCAACGATTAAGTACAAAGGTTTCGCGTCCCTCACGCGCGCATATAACAAACGGGTAGAGACTACAGAAGAAGAAGATAGTGCATGACATCGGCGTCGTCACAAAAGCCAAAATAAATAATAAGATATCGTTTGTTTTCCACGCTGTCTCTCTCTACGTACGCTTTTAACGTACATTTCGTAAAATATTATACTGACGTCTTAAACGCCCCAAAAATATAAGCGCAACGACTCTACCGCCACCACGAGTTCCTGGATCATACACCAGCAAGTATGTCGATATGGAAATTATAAGTGAAATAATTGCGGCGATATTACGACCACATTAAAATGGCGTGTGTCGTACTTACTTGACGAAATTGATGAAAGATTATCGATAAGACGATAGACGACGATGGAGCGGTAACGAAAGTAATAAGAATATATCAAAAGGAGAACTTCCGTTACTGTATCTATATACGTATATATCGAGTATAAGAAATTATAATAAGGACGCTGAAGCCTCAGATTTATAACTTTGAAGTATACAAGTACATATATATATAAGAGGATCATGGAATATTCAAATTTTTAAATTACTCTGAAATTTTAGTATTCAAATATTACTTAATATTTAAGCTGCTGGCGTATTTAAGGTTGTGTTGTCCGTGATGAATTTTTAATGGTCTGTTCATCAACTGCAGTATATAATATACTATTTTAAGTTACTGTAATTTTCAGTGATTATCTTAAAAACAAAACAGAACAAAAAAATTTAAAAAAAAAACACAACCCATGGTTGTAAAAATATCTGGACCAAAGTGATTTATATTTTTATAACGGCAAACTGACGTTTTCTGTTGTAATTTTTTTACAATTAGTTTTTTTCTCTCTCTCGCCTAGTTTTTATTGTTATTATATTTTATCAACAAGACACAAAAAAAAAAAAAATATACATATAATAAATAGTGTAGTAAGGGAAATATAATAAAATGAGAGTGTACAGTACGATTGTAGAAATAATGTAAAAAAATGAAAAAAAAACAATTTAATGGTTTTTTTTTAACCTTCAATTTTAAACAATTAACAAAGAGTTTTGCGGTAGACATTCAAAAATAAAATGTATTATAACTTATAGTATTTTATTTTAGGCATCTGTATTATTTATGTACTAAAATGTTCTTTTTGCCCTATATTGGAAATTGATATTTGAAGATTTTCGATCAGACATCATATATATTATATTGTATATAATACCCGGATGGTCGGAAATGAAAATTGTATATCTAAAACCACTCTTCGGCGGTATGCCGGTTAGGTCTGTAGTTTACATAATATAAAAAGTACAAAAGCTTACTGCTGCAGTATAAAGGTATACAAAAACCGGTATATTGCGGACAAATCGGAATTCAAAAGTCGTGTTCAACGGTTAACTAATCGAATATATTATACTCAATATTAAAATAAAAAAAAGACTTTCAAAATGTATACTCCCGTTTGGGTCAGCGACGTTGTTTTGAATACTAATTGAATTAAAAATAACACATGAAATAATAAATGTATAATATTGTACCGCAGTATGATAGTAAAACAAACACTTTTCTTATTGGACGACAACGATTTTTTTTAGATTCCGAGCGAAACCCGGAATGTATTAGTTTTACAGCAATGTTTATATTATTTTTTTTATACCGTTTACAAAATTTCTATCAGAAATCTTGCTTTAATATTCAAGTATAGTAACTTTGAATTGAAAAGAAATTTTATCTTATTAATTCTTTAAAGAATTCAATTTTTAATTTTCCAAATAGATTTTATAATAATTGGGAAAACCGGGATAAAACGTCGGAAAACAGAAAATTTACAAAATAATGCCTTTCTCATCTTCAATTTTTTTTTTTTTTTTTTTTTTTTGTTAAAAAGGTACGTAGAGGCTTGGAATTTAGACAAAAACTTAAATTTGCCAATTTTTAGACGTAAAATTTTCAAAATAATGTAACTTTTTTGAGTAATTTATAAACATTTTAATTTTGCGAGTTTTTAACGTAATTTTTATTCGGTAAGTACCCCCGTAGATCAAATCGTTAGACTAAACAAAAACGTTTGAAAATTTAATAGGAGATTCATTAAATGTTGTACTTAATCGTTAACAAGAAAAAGTTGAGTAAGTTGCAGTATTTTTTTTTTTTTATAAGAATTTGAATGAAATATTTTTTTTAATAAAAATAAATTAGAATTTAAGACTAATAGGCAAATTATAACATTATTATTAATAATTTAACCTGAGGTAAAATGTTAACGAACATCTATTAAACTAATGTATTTTTTGAATTTCAGATACAGAATAATGAGCGTAAATATAGTAAATTTAAAGAAAATAATTTCCATTTGTTGAATTTCCGGTTTTATTCAGACAGTATTTTATACTAAGATATTTTTTATGGCAGCAAAGCAGCCCACTTGGGTGTTTATAACCGTGATGATTTTTCGTGAACTCGCGAGTTTCTATTAAGCATATGCTTTGCGCACCGTGTGTTCATATTTGGACACACGACAAATGCTGCGAGACGCTGGGCAGGTGGTTTTTAAAAATCACAACAGGAAGTCAAAATGTGCAGTAGCAGCGAGATGACAAGAGCAGCGCGTGGCGAAATAATCGATGCGACCCCGGGGGATGGCACGACCGATATACCGTGTTCTAACTAAAGTGTACCGATGCGCTCGTTTTTTGTGTATCGCAGGGGTGCAAGTATACTAGAAAACGAATACGACGTCTTTGGTGTGTAATATGTCACACAGTCCGCGTGTGGGCGACGGTTAAAAACTTCCAATGAGAATTCCACGACGCGTTTAAAACGCGAAAAACACGCACTTCATATAACTACATTATATGAGAATAAAAGGCGGACAAGTTTAAAGTTTTAGTGAAAAATCCGTATCGTTAAGGTTGACATTGAAGGTAAACAATATAAATTTTAAAATTTTATAAAATTAGAAAAAAATTGGGAATACCGCTTCCAATCCTCTTAACGGTCTTGGACAATGGCACGCGATCAAGTGTCGCTATGATAAGATTATTAGCATTTCACTCAGTGGCGCGCACGTCGACCGACAATCTTTTCGTTTTGATAAATCGACAGCTCTGTATCAAAAACCGACAACCGAAAAAATGAGGATCTTATTGTTGTGGATTTTCGTATTATAAATGGATATAATAATAACGATAGAAATCAGTCCCGACAACCGAAAGCACGCGTTCCGAATGACTACAAAAATGCCAGCTGATCGAAATAAAAATGACTGCTAACATATGTAATGTAAATTCAACCAATCGCGAAAGGACAGACAGCTATTTTAAGCATTTCACGTTTAAAAAAAAAATTTAACATCAAAATTCTATTGCAACAAAAATTTAAAAAAAAAAAATCTCTAGTGATTACTGTAAAAATTGTATTTTTTAAATATTGAATATAATCAAAGCTATTACATTTGTTTCAGATCTCCGAGGGACAGACTATATGATTCATCGTTTGACGTTTTCTAAAAATGTATTATAGTTTATTCGTTTATGAGTAACAAAATTAATTCGTATTTGAAAATTCTTAAGCATTTAGACGATTTTACGACAAGCAAACGTTCCAAATATATCTGTGTTAATATTTTATTATATATTTATATAATAAATAATAGTCAAACAATTAAATAATATCGAATTAAATAGTTTTAGTTTTTCGCTATTTAATTTTAACTTTATAAACAAAACGCTAAGTTTTCATAAAAATATATGATAATAAATAAATTAACTTTTTATTAAAGTACCGCCGCTGCCACCGCTTAGAGAACTTTTTTGTTTCTGATTTAATAAAAAGACATATTTTATTCTCGTATACCAAAAAAAACATTTTCGTTTAAAATTACGATTTTTTAAACAATTTTTTGACATAAATGTAAAGTATTTACGGAATTTATCGCACAACGAATAATAATATTTCATTTCACATTAATTATTCGTATCTAACGCAATATTATAATGCACGATACGTTAGAATAATAGTTTCAGATATATTATAATCACATCATACCGTATTTAATTTTGAAATTATATTTTATTAACCAATTCCGTTGGGAAAACCAAATCACTATTATAGCTACAACGATAATAAATATATTGATCCTGCGACACCAGCGAATGCTACCATAACAATTGTGTGCCACTAGTATATTATAAATATAAATAGTAAAATAAAAATTCGTAAATTAGAAGATTTTCTATGCCTAGACATTACAATATAATGAACGATAACACAAATCGAGCATCGAAATTCTCAAAATTCGTTTAGGGCATATAAATACAAGATGGGTAGGTATTATCGAGGTTAAGTGGATACATTATTTTTTCGAAATAGATATTAGGTATACGATTGCATTATGAATAATTCGAAATATTCTAAAAAATTACCATCATTAGCGAAGAAAATATCGATTTATTTAAGATAAAATATACGACTGAAGCTTTATTTTAAAAATTTAAATGAACTTCGAAATGTTTTACACTACTTAAACTGGAATACATACACTGGTGAGAGGTACGGGTGCATAAATCATAATACGTAAAAATATCAAATTAAAACTGGTCGTTATTTAATTGCCTCACCTCGTAATACTCTTATAAATGACGCATGTTCAAACTCGAACAGAAGGGAGTTATTAGTTTAAAATTAAGTGTTTGTATTGTACAGTTTACACGCTTTATTTAGGGCGCAGCAGGTAATAGCTTGTTAAAAAAAGTTTTACGCAGTAACTTTGTAATTAGTTGATTGAACGCAGACGGTGTATTTTTGAGAGGTCATTTTTCGAATTTCCCCGTAGTGCACTCGAAAATAACGAACGACTTGGAAAAAACAACGATAAAAGAGAGTCTCATACGTAGTGCGTTTATTTAAATTTAAATTTCGAGTTTGTTTCAAATCGTTTTTTGTTAAGTTCTATGTAATAATTTACATACTCGTAAAATAGTAATCACTAATAAATTTAGGATGTTGTAACATGCTGCAAATTTTTTTGTTAAGATAAAATTATCGCTAAATGTGATAGAAATCAATTTTATTTAGGTACTGGAGATTAAATATATACTATTTTTATTAAGTAGATTTTAAAGATTATCTACTGCTGATTTTAATAATTCGACAATTTTAGTTTATATTACTGAGTTAATATGTACAATTTTCTAATTCACCATTTCATTTTTCGTTTTTAGTATTATACAATTGTTTAGAGTATTTTTTTGAACATATAATGACATTTTTGCAGCATATTAGTATATTTTTAATGGTGAATTTCATAGTATTTTAAAGCAAATAAATCCTAACCCTGGTTATAAATCATATTATATATAAGCTCGCGTATAAGCAAAACAACACGCACTGTACATCAATCTTTTCGATTAATATAATAATCATAATTATAAAATTAAATTTTAAACGGTTTTTAAAAACTGGTAACGATAGTATTAGTCGACTAATAATATAAATTAAAGCCAAAATCCTGAAGATATAATAACGAATATATGCATAATGTACATATACATTGTATACAAATGCTAAAAGAACCCAATATCAATGTTTTATAATAGAAAGTCTGAATTTTTCTTACCACTAATTTATACATCTCTAGAAATTAAAACACTCACTAGGAAATAATATATTGGATATGTATACATTGTGGATTCAAATTTTGATAAAATTATCTATTACAAAGTGACTGTTTTAAAAATATTGAATAATGAATAAATACAAATTATTTTTTCCTAATGATTAACAAGTGAAAATAAATATGTTAATTTTTTCTACGTGAGTCTTAACACAAAGCCCAATTGGATAAAATAAATATTAATACTGATTAAACACAGTGGGACACTCTGTATATATATATAACTGGAGTGAAAAATAAAGCTAAATGTTGTTTTGAAATTCTTAATGTGTATATATATACATAAAGCAGAGGTTGGAATGTTGGAAGTTTGCATAGCCGTGTACTTAGTGCAGGCAAATGCAATAACAATCCTTTAACGGAATGTATATTGTACAGTCAAACTTTAAACTTATATTACTATCAATGTTATAAATATGGTGCAATATGTTATAATTTGTATTATTAATACATTTTATATAGAATGTTCTAAAAACGCAATGCAGCTAATAGTATATGTTATACAGTACAAGCACAAGAAAATTGCATTATTTTTATGGCATTTCAGTCGATATGACTAGAGCCTATATAATATTATAAGTTATTATTTATACAAGTCGTATACGTATACGTATAAGCAACCGCATCCTGATTGGTTGACCTGCTATTTATATCAATGGACCGCCATTTTTTATACGCGTACAATTAGGGCAAATATTTAAATATTTTTAGTCATTTTTATAAACTAATTAGATAGTTTATGTCATATAGTATCTTATGATCATATTATTCAATTTTAAATATTTTGGCAGTTTTTAATTTTTAAGACATATTTTAAAAATTGTGTACATTTTTTAGAGTTAATTTATGGCTACCGTACTTTTTTAAGACATTTTAAACTTAACAAATCGAGAATCACAAGGCCATATTTCAAGATGTATAAATATAAGCAAGCGAGTTGATAGTATAGTTATTAAGTACGAAGGAAGAAACTTTTAATCAGAATTTTTATCTTATATCAAAATATTACGCCATATTATTAGAATATACATTTGTGTATTCGTCCAAAGGAATGTTTAATAGGTGGAAATTGCAAAAAACTCCCAGAATAGTAAAAATAAACTTTAATCATGCTAAAAAAAAAAAAAATTAAAGAAAAAAATATGCGTATAATAGATACGCTGGAAAGAAGAGATTTGTAGTTTGGATAGTTTTAATCAACATCTACTACTTTCTTAAAAGTATAGAAATGAGAGCGGCGGGGTTAGCAGATTCACTCTCTTCCTAACTTTGGCTTCAACGGGTTTTTTTACATATACATATATATTATGTATTTACACGTAGTGTATATTTCGACAACGCATAAACATATATATATACATAAATAATATAATTTAAGTAGAATTTCGTTAGTCGTTTTAATTAAAAAAAAAAAAAAATACACCCGACGATGAAAATTATAAATACGACGACATTGTAAAACCTAAACCTAAATTAGGGATATTGATAGTTGATTGCTTTTAAAAACACTATGTATACATAAAATACTTATATATAACAGGATGAAGTAGAAAATTGGACCAGATAGGAGGGGAGGGGGAAGTGAAAGAATTTCACCACGAGAAAATGATTAATTATATACTCGTTTACTCTCATATACGAAACGCGCGCGATATCCGATAGTAAGATGTCGATTATTAATAAAACACGGAATTGCTGAAAAGCGTATGTAAATATTATAAAGGATTATAACAATGTTAATTATTATGGTTTTTTGAAATTGAGTCAAGTCGAGTTCAGTCCGAATCTAGTTCAAGAGTCAGGTATTTAAAATTGTACGGGTTAACTAGAAGCAAACTCGGACATTAGTCACACTGATGGTGGATTAACTAGTGAGTATTTCTGATGCTATCGATAGGTTATCGTAATATTAAAAACAAAACATTAACAATCCATTTGTGTTAATTCAATCAATTAATACGGTACTCTTATCGGAAATATTTGGGTTTAAAGATATATTTTATACCTAGATTTTAAATTTATTTTCGTTTTAAATAAAACAGACGAGTACTAGTCTGGTCCAACTCTATGATATTTTTGATTAACATAATAACATTACGGTATTTTTCAATATTCACATTACATTGTGAATATTGAGAAAATATAACCTATTATATAACACGAATTCGTACAAATACCACAATTAAAAATTATGATTATATAATTAAAATTCTCAATTTTTCGCAATCTACTATAAACTAAATTATCCTAATGAATTATTTATCTAAATTTTGTTTTCACTTTTTCTTTTTAACGAAGCGAATAGGGGGAGGGAGAACTACTCAGGTTAAAATATCTATACAATATAAAAAATTATTCAATAATATATCTCGAACAAGTATATTGTTTCTAATGTTTTTATTTTATATAATAAAACGATGAACATGATATTTATATTAGATATCTTATAGTAGATATCTTTTATACAGTAAAGTTTCGCGATTAGTTTTAAACACAGCGTACCCACGACGACGACGACGACAACGACGTAGTAGTATAATATAATTGTCTTATTGTTTAGTAATTATTACTACGGGATCCATGCGCCTTATTCTGTTATCATTATAATGATGTTTGTAAACTTTAATTTAAATACAAATGAAGAACCACTGCCGTCGCGTCCTTCGACGAAAACACGATAAGCGCAAATGTTTAAAGTAACTTTGGCAGGAGTTCAAAATTTAAAAGCAGGACTATTATACGTAGTTCTCTAAATCTAATACAATAACAATGTGACATTTCTGTAGAGAATTGTCGATTATACCCGTAGTAACAAAAATGAGAAAATTATATTATACTTCGATAATATGTATAATAAGACTATGGTTTAACATTAATATAAATACGATACTTGGTTCTAATTTTAGACTCTGAGAGTGGTGTGTTATAATGCGGTTTCTCCTCATCACCCTTCGAAAAACGCTTTTACAGTTCCTAAAAATGTCCCGGTGTTCCACGCACATCATTAAAAGATGCAGAATTTTTGCGTGGCGGTACTTTATGTGTCGACATTTTCTACGGTTCACCTACCAGGTTTTTTGTTATTGGTTTCTTTTATCTTTTATACATTTTTGGGCTTTGATTTTTGCATGTTATACTTTAAAAGACACCGATTTTTCGTCTGGTGGTATATTTTTTTTATAAAAAAAAAAAAAATGAATAAATTCTCAATGGTTTTTCTATTAAATTAAAAAAACAAATAACATATGCCTAGGTATACATTAATTTTATTTAAGCCTATTTTTGGGTTATTACAAAAGCTATGAGGAAAGAAATATTCTGCTCAGATTTGTCATTTTAGTGTGCAACAATACTAAACGATGATTTAGTATTGTGTTGGTATATAAACTAAATTACACTATGCATATTCCGTCTTTCCAACTACTCGCCAACAACAGTTGCCAACCTGCGAGCAGTATCAACTTTTGCTAATATTATAATACCCATACACAAACACATTCGCAAACCCGGTGATAAAACTAAGCTGCAGTTGTAATCGAAACGATTCGAAAAGCCAGCACGTATATTATTACTGTATAGATATAGGCGGTGTTGTTGCTCCCATCGGATTCGCCACAGCAGCTGCTGTGCGATGATGTTATACGACACGATGACAAATGGTGTGTGATAATTTTTAAAACGTATTATACTTTGTACGACACGAATTCTGCGGGACTAGGGTTAATACTTTATATCCGGCAATATCCGCTGCGCCAAAAAGAGGAAATTCAGCTCGGTATGTGGTATATTTGGAGGCCGCGACGTGTATTATAACCGTGCGAGAGGCGGAGACAAACTGCGTGCACGTATATTATATAGTGATAAGTTAAAGTCGCTTATTATTTTTAAGTATCGATATTTTCTCCACGCGGTATACCCTATGCATTCTTGTTGGTATTTTCATTTTTTCGGGACACCGAACAGATAATATTTCTGTGGACGCGACCTACATTTACACAATGCCTAGCAACGGCAATTTTATTATTACACACATCAAATGAGATACGAATAATGATAGCCTGGCCGTGGCCACTAATCCACAAACGCGGCCGGGTCTCTCAGTCATATTTTTACCCCTTAAAACAAATGCCGAACTTGAACACTAAATTTGGAAAGCCACATTTTTGACGGGTTAAAACTTAACCATCAAAAGGCACATACTTGATACTTACACAACAACAGGCGTATATACAAAATTGAATTCTTTCAAGTAATTCACAAATTATTTGACAATATTTGCACAGTAAATTTAACGTGTACTGTCAAGTTATATACGAGTATACTATAACATGGTCAATGTCAGCTGCGTATATCGACAGGAAATCGATGTAGTTTTCAAACGAAAATTAGCATCGGAAATTCGGCGTAAAGGGTCACGGTTTCATATTGCGGCAGCAGTGTACGTATCTATATACAATATAAATAAATAATACGGCTTTGTAATAATTCCTGCAGGGAATATAATACCCGTACCTATATAATGCTGAAATGAAAAATTGTTTTTTGACATCGCAATCTTTCCACGAGTTCAGCCAATATCTGATCATATCCATTCCCTCGTCCGTATTATGTATATATATATATACAAAATGACACGGGGCAGGGGATATCAAGGTAAAACATCGACGCGTTTTGAGAATTACTGATAGTAATAGTAATAATAATAATAATAATAATAATAATAATAATAATACGCCCTCAGTAATATTACCTATATATTATAAATATTTTTAGTAATTTTTATTTTATGTTATTTAGTTTATGAAACGGTTTGACCTAAGGGCACTAAATAATATATTACATAGAATATGCGGAGAACGACCGCACACGCTGAAAATAACCTTAAAATAAGGTAAGGGAGAGGATAAAGGAGAAAGGGGCGCAAAAGGGATGAAGAAAAAAAAGTACCTCCTGGGAATTTACGAATTTGCAGTGTTCGGTAGTTAATTGGTATAGAAAATACAACGAAACTGTCCTAAACTTACACTTAGACCGCACCACCGCCACTGTAATTATTAATTTTAGTTGGTAGAAGTCGATTACAAATTGTTATACTGCAGTAGTCGTGTTATTATTCTACCACCGAGTGTATACTGCGAATAATATAATATGTTTATAGGTGTATTGTATAATAATAAATATGGAAATTAAATACCGTCATATTTTTAAGTAAGCACTATAACATCATAGAATGGCTAATTTAAAATATAAAAATAAAGTCAAAAAATATCAATTATGCGACTGCGGTTTATACATTCCCATGAAACGACAAAAAAAAATCCCTCGGAAAATATCAAATATCTATAAATAGAACATGAATCGTCAGAATGTGTCTAGAAAGACGTATTTAGTGAAAATTTCAGGTCCTGCGATGATTTACTAACCGAGTTGCTATAAAAAAATAAAACAAAATCGAAAATAAACAAACCGTTTTTTCGGTTATTCCTAATTAATAAAAAAAATTCAATAAATAAAAAAATGACCTTTTAAAACACCTACTAGACAAAATTTTCTTTCAGAAAAGATGTTATATTTGAAAATTGGAGCGAGAATTACGGATGAAAAATTGTTTATAAACAGAAAATATAAAAACATCATAGTATAACAAACATATACAAACTCACACATTTCTCATCATTGATTTCAGAATCTAAAACTTCTTACCTATACATAACATTTTTAATAACAAAACGTTATTATACGAAACAAATACGAACAGGAAAGAAAACTAAAATTTTAAATTTCACCAAAACTATAAATAATCGGTAAACAAATATGGTACTGGATTTTAAACGGTTTACCTGAATATAAATAATAGTGTCTAACCGTTCTATATTTTTAAAAGTGTTCAGTATAAACAGGAACTCTAAATTAAAATTTAACATTCCTGTTTGTCAAAAGTTAGTATGAATAGCCAAAATGTAAATATAATAGTTCTGATTTTTACGAAGAAAAGTTAAATTATTAATTTAATATTAATTATAATTATAGGGTAATTAAGTAAGAATTTTTAAATTTTAATAAAAATGACCAATCACTTTATTATAATCTATTGACCGGTGAAATGTGTTTGAAAATATCGAGAAAACTTAATTTTGAGAAAAATTATTAATGTAATTTACCGGGTTTACACACAAATTGCAGTGAGGCCGTCTTAATACATCGCCGTGTATCACAATAAAAGAGCACACATCATTCGGATATCGTCTACGGTTTATTTTATGTTTTATGATAACACAAACTTCTGTTAAATATACACGAACAGAAATGTTAATATTATGTTTTATTTATATTTACGACGACGAAACGAGAAAATGTAGAATAAATAAACGCGTTTAAACGAACCCCACTGGAGTACATTATATTAATAATGTACGTATGTTATAATTATTAGAAGCTTGTTTTCGTCAATATTTATTTCTGCATATACAATCAAACATAATTTAATGTATAGTGCATATCACGGATTTGCTTAACAGTACTTTCGCGTTATTAGGTACCGATTATTTCTTTATTTGCCAAACATATAAAGGTGTAAGCATCAGCGTAGCAATTTAGACAGTTTTCCTTTCAGTCGGTTCCATCGATGTATCGAACAAACAATAAGAATTCTGAAAACAGATTTGAGTTCAACACGTGGTGAATATGATATTGGCCAGGCGATTTTTTCGAATTCAATGCTTGATTTCTAAATATTTGATTTGAAAATATACAAAAAATACACCCCAGTAAACTAAAATTAAATAAAGGAATTTATCGAATACGTAACGTAAATGAGCGTAATCATTTTACGCTGAATTCAAATTTGTCTTTGGAATTCACTACAATCACTCCATGGCACACAATCGATCGGACTGATTAAAGGGAAATTGGTCAAAATTATGTTATTATATTATGATACTTGTTTTTTATTTTTAAATATTTAGTCGTAAATGACGTAAAACATAATTTGTTCACCTCATTTGGAGAACGGAAAATTTGAAAACAAAAATATTTATAGTAAACGATATACGAAGTTGTATGTAACATTTATTGGTATTTTTTTCTTCCAAAATCCATAAAGGGTGAAAACAACATTTCCGCCATATTTAAAGACAGAAAATCTGGTTGTTGTATTATATATGAGCGCATGCAAAATTTTAAGTTAAACGGACCCCGGTGGGTGAGCCGAAATTCGATTACAAGTTTGAAACTTCACCTTCATATAGCGAGTTAATCTTGATGACAAAATACGCGTTGCATTATTTTAGAAAAATTTTCTTATGAGAAATTACAAAAATAAAAACTTTTCGATATTCATAAAAAAAGAAATATGACATTCCTAAATATATTTTATTCAAATTTAAAAAAGTTCTGCTCATCAAAAGAATAATAACGTAGACACGAATACAAATGAAAAAAAAAACACATTTTACATGATTATTTTAGTAGGATTTATGTTGTTAATATAATCATCGCTCGTATATAAAACAATACAAATAATAAAATCGATAATACGAATTATGTTCATTGACAATTGTTACGTCAAGCTAGTTTTTAATTTTAATGAGAATTTAAATTAATGTATTTACATAACCATAACGGACAGCAAATTATATTCGTATTTTAAATGAAACTGCAATTATTTATTTAGACGACAAAATAATGATTGATTATATAATAATTGTCCGGAAAAATATCAAATAAAACGGTCCATTTCCATCAAGTATACAAACACGAGTACTGCGCGGCAGAGCTTTATATTCTGACGGGCAATAGGACGCAAGTTGGGCGTAGGTGTAGTAGAAAATGTCACGAGTGTCATTGCCCCCGCGAATTTGGGCGTCTGTATACACGTAAACTGTTCGAAAAATTAAGAAAATAAGTGTATACAATTCTGTTCTGTTGTAATATGTGTAAAAACTATTCCTGCGCAAATATAAAAAATTTAAAAAAATGAAAATCCTCGAGTCTCATCGTATTGTTTTAGAATTTTTGAAATCTGAGATGTTTTTTATACGACTTTTGACTTTTGAGCAATAGGGGGAAATCCATAGAATAAACAGTACTACGTATAGGTCGACAGTCATACAACATGAAACAAAACAACGTCAATAGATTACACAATCGCAACTTTTAGACGGATTTCAGTGATGTCGTCGACCGGAATGGTGGTAGAAGAGACCAGTGAAAAAGAGGTGGGTTTTTCGTTGTTGTTGTTCGTTTTGGCACGAACAACAGAAACAATATCGATAGAGATAGTTTTATACAATAATAACGCGAGGACAGCTGCTGTAGTGGCAGTAGTAACGCGCGGGAAAATCGATAGGTACCTATATAAGAAAACAGAGGACTTAAACACGCGTATAAAAAATAAAACCTATACCTACGTCAAAGGGTCAAAACGTTAAAAATCGCTCTTATATAGAACGGGTCTTTTGAGAACAAATTATCGGCAATCTATAAAAGGTCGTACCTAGTATTTCATCCCTTTCGTCTCCCTGCAGTGTTCACGTTAAATTTCACCATCATCATTTCTAAACGTATTTATTTAATCAAAATTGTAAAAAAAAAAAAATCTCTGGATATAGCGTTAGAAGCATTTCATACCAATTTATTTTTTTTTCGACAGGGGATATTTTACAATGTTCACTAACGATTTTCGATGTCGTTAAAATTTCATAATATTCAAAAAACGAATGAACTTAGACCCCCTAATTAATGTATACATATTATATATTTGTTTATACAAAATTTTTATAAATTCTGTTTTTTTTTTTTTTCATTCGTGCCATTGAAATTCGTCAAACGTGCCTGCACCTTGGTACGTGTGCTATTATAAGCTCGCCGCCCGCGTGACCTCGTTCGTTTCATTACCGAAATCGTAGCAACCGAATATTGCGCCCAGTTCGAAACTTTAAAACGCGCCCTTATAAACTCGAAATTTATTATGAAAACTCAAAGCCGAACGATTATTAATTACCATCGTATCTATCTCAGTGTTGGATGTCCTAAATTTCTAATGCGTCATTTATCCAACTATATTAGATTCTGAGTGGAGCAATACCAGTATTGGTTTTGCAACGAAATTTATTTTTTTTCTTGTGAACAACTTTTCCACGAGATTTTCACTCCGATTTACAATTATAGCACTTTTTATTAAAGAAAATCTGATTGGAATGGCACTTTAAAGAGGTGATTTTTTTGATTTTCCCCAATAAACGGGAAAATAAATACAACATTAAATGAATATCATTAAAGAAAATATAAAAAACATGTGTAATTAGTTTACCATAATGTGACATATTATATATTGTTAACAAAGCAACACTATTAACCGAACCCCGCTCAGAATCGTTTATCGTAACGTACAAATATATACATTAAATTTTCTTTTTATCTTCCCATTTTCTCACCAACAACAATGGCCCACCCACGTGCGAATTATGTCCGTAGGTATTATTATATTTACTGTAGTTTTTTAGGGTGTGTTCGCGACCTCCCGGGTACTGCGCCCGGAGCGTAGGCACCGCCACCCGTATCTCATTCTACGGTCCTTCCCATCGCATACACCCGGTATATAATGTACAATATCGTACGGGCTACACGCGTATACATATAAAACAAACGTTTATGCAAATATATATATATATTATATTAAGTGCTAATATAATATATAATATTATGTACGCGTCTATAATGATATTAATAATATTACTAATAATAATAATACATTATAATATGTACATAAGGGAATTATTGTTGACGTCAATTGATCCCGTCAGTTGTCGTCGTCGTCGATGGTAACATAATATTATAATGTTAGGAATAACGTTCCACCGTAAATCGTGTTAAACGCACGCAACTCCGCGCGCGTTTATTAATTCGCCGATTTCTGATCCGTCTAAACGCGTAGATATTAAATTTCGGTAACATATTATTATTATTATTATTATATTTTGTATACATACAAACGCAAACACATTAAACAGGTATGCGGGCCTCCAAAAACCATAGGTCAATGGCAAAAGCAGAGGGGCCTATATTATTATTGTTATTATATACGAATGTGTGTATATATATATAGGGTGAGACGGGCTGATGGTTACCCAGTTACAAGCCGCCATTCACTAAATATATACCTAGTCTCGTTTCACATACACGTATACATAATATATAATGAGTTATGTGCGAAATGAGAGGACGGTGTGTATGTGTGTGTGTGTGTGTGTGTGTGTGTGTATGAGGGGTTGTGGTTTTTATTGTGTGTGTGTGTGTGTATATACATATACATATATGTGCAAAATGACTGCTACGAGTGTACGGGGAAAAGCCGAGCGAGAAGGCGATACAGTCGCGCGACCCAAAACGATGCGCCGCCGTCGCCGAGTATTAATAGTGGTGGCGAACAAAATTATTTCGAATGACAAATTATTTCTTTTCGGGAAACTCATAAATAACATCGCCGCGCGGCTATAACGCGCTATTATTGTTGTTGTTGTTGTTGTTATTATTATTATTATATACGAGTACGCGAACATTATAATATACGCCGCGGGGAACTCGACGGCCGAAATCGCGAGCGAAATACACCGCACCGGGCCGTTATCGGTGTTGAAATGCTGCGGCGGTGCAACGCAATATCGCGTGTAAATGGTAAACGGTTACAAAATGACATAAATATTTTTCTTCGCCTCGCCGCCGTCACGACCGTCGTCGAGCCCGAACGAACTATACCGGACGTCGGATCGTTTAAAATTATTGTTATTATTATTATTATTATTATTATTATTATTATTATTATCATCATCATTATCATTATTATACGCGCGAGTGTAACCTAATCCGTGAAGAAGAAAATAAAATTATGCTGCTGCTGTGCGGAGGGGGGGGGGGATGTAAGCGGGAAAATTTACGGGTACAGGTAAATAATAAAAAAAAAAAAGCAAAATACCGTCAGCCCTGAAAAATTAACCGCAACAACAGGTTACTGCTATTTTTATATTATAAAAATGATCAACCGTTATGAACATAATATATTATATATTTAAAAAACAAAACTTTATTTTTTTTTTTCTAATATTTAAAAATCAATACCCCGAGCCAACTATTCTCGTTATTGTATTTCCGCGACGACCCTCGTCGTTTCGGTAATGCGGTTAACGATACTGTAACTACAATATAATCGATACTATTGTACGTGTATCGTATAATTTACTATATTATAAGATGACTTCAAAGACAAAGACACACGTACAAGTATTATAACATACAGGGCGGAAGGAAAATCACTGCCGCCAATAATAATTCGCAGGAGTGTTATATTAAGCATAATTTTGCTCTTACCAAGTACTTCGTAAATCAGACCTATAGTCATATTCTCAAGAAAACCCAAAGTTCATCTTTACATTAGTGGTTGTTACACCTACCCTAACATTATATACGAAAAAACCGATGCCATTTGAGTACAAAATACTGAGGTCCGTTAAGATACACGTATGAAACGGGGAATTGGGATGCCAACGATAGCGTATAAGTTGCGAAAAACAGAGATATGGGAGAATACAGGAGTGCCGAAAGTAAAAACATTTTATGAAGACACAGAAAATCAAACGGTTCGAACACGTGATAAAGAGACCGGAATTACAGATACAGATCGGTCGCTACAGATATTCGATTTTAAAATTTCATGATTTTCCAGGACATTTTCTATCAAATACTACATAGTATATTTATATTGTAAAAATCATTTTTTTTTTTTTACATGAATTATCTATAGTAATCTATCCTTGCGTTAGTAATAAATATAATTTTTTTTTATGTTATATATAACTTTAATTAATTTTACTGTACCTCTCCTTTTACCTTTAGTCTGTATCGCACGGTACTCATCGAAACCGTGTGATGTAAAACGATAAATTAAAGTTCTAAATAAGCGAATTTATTATCTATTATTATTATTTATGATAAGACGATTTTTTTTTCAATTAATAAAGTTTGATACAACACTACATACAGGGTTACATAAACATCTACAACCGTAATTTGATGTTATAAATATTTTTCTAGAATTTTCTTATTCCACCGAGTTTCCTGAATTTTAATGACAAATTCAAAAATCCCTGATATTTACAGGTTTTACAGATAACGTAGCAACCTTGCGAACCTCAAAAAGACGGTGGTTGAGTGATGAAGACTGACTAGAAAGTGAACTGTTTTTAACTGGAAGGACGTACTAGAAATATTATACTAAATTATAACGACAGCTTTGAGAAAAAAAAACGAATAGTTTTAATTGACGCACCAAGCACCTAAGTATAATATAATAATTTCGAGACCGTGATTTTCATTCCGCATAATTATGTATACGCATTACTATATTATTATATTTATAAGACGAAACGTATACGCACTTATATTGATTCAAAAAAAGTATAGAATTGAAACAATACTAAAAAGGTCATAGGTATATTAATAATTTAATTTTTTATAGGAAAATATAATTGATATTTTGATAAATTCGAAATTCGAGGTTGAAATTTTTTTAACATTTTTTTTTTCCAAACGAAAATCTTACGACGCGTTTAACATTACGACGCGTTTAACATTACAATATTTTATCACAATAACGTTCAATATCGTGATTTATATGGTGACCTATAACATTAACGTTGAACGAAAATCAATACTATACTGTATTATTATTAATATATTCAGAGTCTCAGTATAATATTACTAATATAGGTAAGTATATTACTCGGTATACTCGCTACAAAATATGACGCGATATTTCTAATAAATTATATTATAACCTTGCCTTCCGAAATTTAACTAAACTATGGATCTATTCCATGTTGTGTTGTTAGATACCCCAAAATTTAGTTGCGCGGAGTAATGGAACATAATGACTATACGGTTGCAACATTTTTTCTGGTATTATGTATAATATTATAAATTAGTTCAAACGTATAAATATAAGTTTGATACATCAGGTGTTAATATTGACCTCATAAAGAATAAATTACTGACATCAAAAAATATGAACAAAATATTAAAAAAATACTAATAAAAGCGTATTTATGGATTATGGCTTTATTTGGATGCGAGACTTTGAGACATGGGTAATAAAAAAAAAGTATATGGTTTGAAACTCTATAAATGAAGCACTAGATAAAGGAAATAGAGAATGAGTTAGACTGAAAAATAACAAATAAGAACGTCTCAAAGATAATAAAACAGAAACGAACATACGAACATTGATATAATAAATACTAAAAAAAAAAAGAAAAAAAGAAGATAGGATGGAGGGATCACGATCCAGAGGAAGACCAAGAACGAGGTAGATTAACTAATGAACGAAGGATATAGAAATCATTTCTCACAGTTACGGAAATATAGTAATAAAAAGAATTGGTGAACGAATCTGTTATAAATATTTATTAATATTTGTTATAAAACAATCTTTGGATTAAAAACAAAGAAAAATCGAGTTTTTGAAATTTAATTTAATTATTTTTATCGTCCCTATGCAAAAAATATATGAAATTCAATAAATAAAATATGTTACTCATGTATTATTATATTTTTATATTTTCTTACCTATAACAATAAATTCTATGAAATGAAATTTAAAAAAAAATTGTATTCATAATATATGAATACGTTTTTTTATGCGAGATAAAACCAAATGGAATGAAGGTAAAAACTTATACTCGTTTAAATTAATGGATTAATTAAATTAAAAAAAATATATCAAAAAAGCTAAACTTAATCTACATAAAAAATATTTATACGGGTGTGTATACACGAGGTGATTCACTATATTATATATTATGCGTGTATGTTTACTGTTACATTACTACTATATATACTCGGCGAGGGCGGAAAGGAGTTTCATTATCCCACCGTAAAAAAAAAAATGAATAAATAAAAAAATCCCACACTTATAATAAATAACGTAGTCGTACACATATAGTATACAAACATCGTTAGTGAACGTTTAACTTATAATAAATAATTCAAATTTTATTAAATATTTGCTCGGAAAATATACGTACTTAGGTAAAAAAATAAAAACATAAAAAAAAAAAAACTCTTATTTCGAAATGTGTAGTCAATATAATTTTGTAGCTTTTACAAACTATTAAAAGGAGCTTGTGCGCGACCTGTTTTTTTTTCTCGAAAAAAACACTTTACAGGAAATACTATCGGGTCGAGAGTATAGGGTGATTCGATTTCGTTCACTTTCCTTTTTTTAATCGTGATAGTGAAACTTACATTCTCGCAGTGGGTTCGTATTTTAAAAATTAATCTTGTAAACGCTACACTTAATGAGTATGACCCCCCATTTTTGTCATTAAAAAAAAAAATTGTTTGGTTTTTTTGTTAAATAATCAAAAATCGATTTCCAATACGGCCTGTGGACAATTTTCCTCTTTCCTAACAAGAGAAAAAGCGGGTAATGCGTAAGCGTTTTTGGAAAAAATTAAAACTTATTGAACTATTATTGTAAAAACGTATTTATTGTATAAATATTGAAAATGTGTAAAAAGCCACGAGTAAAAGGACTTAATACTATTAAATATTATTCTATATATTTTTATGATTCCATAATATTAAGATTGATTTTTTTTTAAATCTTTATCTCAGAAGCGTATGTAATATGTATATTGTTTGTTAGAGGAGGGAAGGGAGTCCTGAAATCAGTTATTTGTAATAGGAGTTGATCATTAAGAGCTGAACAATTAATTGAACTTCTGTATAGTAATTTCGAAATGGAGGACGAGTAAACTCCCTCCGCTCATTTCCTATGTCCCTACATTATATCATATAATTATTGTAAAACAATGCGTATACGTGGTAACTTTTATATATTCAAACAGCGCTAATATTTTAATATTTAATAATATTCATATAATATTCTTAGACTATTTTGTTTTAAAACGGCAAAAATTAATGCAATATAATAATAGTTCAAATACACAAATTAGAAAAATAAAACTGAACAATTATTGTATAAACGCGAATTTCCCCGTTAAACAGTTTTAGTTTCTTAATTAAAAATTCATAAAAAAAAATAAAATACGTTTCAGTATAGAGAGTCGAATGAAAATATATCGTATTTAAGTTTCGAAAATCAATTTTACAAGTTTTAATCGAGCGTAATAAATTATACTAGTTTGTTGTGTTTGTATTTAATTTTCGGTCCAAAATATAAAGGTCACAAAATTAAATATTAATTCGTGTATACGATGCAGTGTTTTAAGCTTAACGGTGTATAAGTGTTCGTTTATAAAATAAACGCGTGCGAACTTTAAAATTAACAAATTAAAAAAAAAAAAAAACTGTGCTATACGAAAATTCCATTTTAGATTCAACAAAAAATAAATACAATGTTCACAGAATATAATATGTGTGTACTCGATATTACAATATTAAAAAAAAAAAATTAATTTAGGTAATTCTGAGCAAAATTCGGTTAAACTCGGTAAACATAAATACGTAAAAAAAAACTAGAAAATATCAAATTCCTAGAATTTTACAGCGCTCAAAAGAAGCTAATATAAATATTCTGTAAATATGTCAGGTATCTGCAATTATGTTTAACCGAGTTGTAAAACTTTAAACGAAAATAATGAATCTATACATCCAAAAAATGTAATCTTTGTTCCAGGTTCTTTTCCTGTTATTGAGAAAACTTCAATGTAAATCAAAAATATCCTACTCAATGTACAAAATATACAAAATTTGGTTTAAAAAAAAAAATGCTATACCAGAAAATCGGAGCAAGATTTCCGGTAAAAGTTAAAAGTTATTTACACACACAAACATCATTCTAGTTAAACCAACACATTCTTTTAGCTGTACTTAGAATCTTAAATACGAAAACCTGACAGGATATATTATCCCGAGTAATTATACAACAGGGGAATTCCCAGACATCGTGATATTTTAAATATGCAGTGTAGAATTCAGATACAAAAAAAGAAATTTAGTATCGAAAAGCACGGCAAAGCGACGGCTCGAGATTTTTTTCTCTTTTTAACTAGCATATTTTCAATTGTCTTTAGGAGTATATAGGGTGTAAAAAAGTGCGATTTATATATATATATATATATATATATATATATATAATATTAAATTAAACGAAAACTCAAAAGCGTTATATTACGTTTGAAGGTATAGGTGCAGTATAGATAATGTAAATTTACCAAACTATTGTATACCACGTAATATTAATATAATATAACAGCACAGCACTTCATCCGGTTCTAAAACGTACACACAGAGGTGCTGCTGTTCAAAACAGTACCGTGCAACGATAAAGCAATATACTGAAAACGGACTGAGAACAATGCACATTATAATATTATTTAGTCGGCACCACGAGTGCTGCAGTAGTCGTGTAATTTACAAGGAGAGTCGCGTGACAACCGTCGTAGTGCAGACTCCCACCCGCCACCACTGATATTATATTTTACGCGAGACATTATCATTGAATTTTCTTATTTTTCCTCGACAGACTAAGATAATAGTAATAATAATGATAATAATGATAATAATAATAATAATAATAATAATAATAATAATAATAATAATAATAAACTCGGAAAAACTGAAGCGCGTTAACATAATAATAATACAAGTATGTATATGTGTAATACTATCGGTATAGTAACATACGAGTAAACAGCGCCGATGCGCATATTAAGTAAGAATATGATTATAAAGACGAAAAAAGAGAAAAAAGAAAAAAAGAAAAGAGCTACCTAATATATCTCGAATTAGACGAGAAGTCGGGAAGGTTTAATTTAAATCTATATCTAAAATTGTTGAACAACGATTATGCGTGGTTGAAAATGCAATATTGTTTTTATTTATCTATTTATTTTTTTTTTTTTTACGATTTTCGTCAAAATGTAAACTTAAAACACTGTGTCCAAGTATTTCTGTTATGTCAAACGATTTCAAAACGTGACGTCTAGTAAATGCTACGAAATTAATTAAGTAAAAATTGCAGGTCTCTACGATTATTTTAAACCGAAAACTGGAATAAACCGTGAAAAAAACATAGAAAAGTTTACGACAAAAACGACGGTTTCAATATTTTAAGTTGGATTTTTTTGTTTTAATTCGATTAAAAATAACGACGGGCAATTTTTAGAGAATACCAATTTTTGATTGTTTTTTTTATCAATTTTGAAGATTATAGCAATATGACAACATGAGCAATACGACGATTTTATGAAACAATAATAATATCCGGTATTAATAGTATTATATATGTATATTATATATATGTATATTAAGTATACATTTTATAGTTAATGTTATAAAATCGGATTATGTCATTGTATTTATACTTTTTGAATATGAAAACTGATTTTGTGACGTTAGTTTTAACAATGAATTATGTTACTTACAAATTACAATGACAATTTTGAATTGTCTATAAAACGTTATTTTAATAAAAAAAAATTATGATCAAGAGTGCATGATGTTATCTATCGGCAGCAATGTAAAAAATGATTTTTACCTAAATAGGATTTAAAAAAAAAAATGTTTTCCTGTAAATAAGTGCTCAACGGGCAAAAAAAAAATTAATGCATGGTAGGGTTAAAGTGTATTAGCCCATTATCAAACTTAAGACCAATTATCTATTATTGTACGTTAGTTATTTTTGATTTTTATAAATGTTCAAGCGAGTTACGAACGTGTGAAATATTACAATTTAAAAACCCCCAAATCTGGCTTAAAAATTAAAATATGGAAAAAAACATCAACTGACAAGCACAGACCGTGTTCTTACCATTAAGTTTGATAACAGGTATTAAATATAACAGTACGAAATCGGTTTAAGTATAAATATAACGGCATTACCCGATTTTACAACATTTAACGTAACATACACACCCGTAAAATACACCAAAATAAATTTGAGTAGTTTTAAGTCGTCGCAGTTTAACTCCCTGCAGCTGCAGTGTTAACGATTTTCGCACGCGCTCATTTAATATTTATTTTAAACATACAATTTCTTGGACTGGACACACTACCCAAACAAAACAGTATTAGACCAGCGATTTTGATTCAATTAGTAAATATATCATTACTCCCTCTATAAATATATAACCGTGCCGCCGGTCGCGGTTGTTTCATCAATTGAGAACTATAAATAATCGATTTTGTATAAACCATGAATCATAATATCTATACAAAATAATGATTAGCGAATGGGTCCGTTTAATTTTTAAAGTGTAACATTACCTACCTATCTAATAAGTTAGATCGCAATATTATTGTTACCGGCCATAACGATAAACTCGAAAAAAAACTAATAGTAATTTCTTCTTCTTTTTTTCGAGTTCTTTTAAGTAATATAATATTGGGAAAGCATATTTGTTTTTATTTAGAAGACTTAACAACTATCCGTATAAATATATATACTTATAGAAAATTAATACAATACGAAACGGAAAAAATAAAATCCCAAAATTAAAAAGATTCCAAATTAGTTGATAGATCTTGAGTGGTCTTACAATTTCGACTAAGTTGTGTAGTAAGACTGTATATAAACATTTGAAACAACGCGGGTTCAGGGTAATAAACCAATATAAGGGTAGTTAATAAAAATGTATTCATCAGTGACGTGCACAGAAGGGGAAAGTTAGCGATTATAACTCCAACCATTATTGGCTTCAAAATACGACTATGAATGTTTATTTAATAATATCTTAAATATTTTAAATTGTTGGGATAGAGGTGTATTATACAAAAAAAAATTATACAATTTATTCAGGAATCATCATAATATAATGGTAGTTAAGTATAAAAAACTGATGAACTTTACATATTAAAAATGTTTTATACGACACGTCACGTTCGAATATATGGGTACGAAAACATCAAAATATAATAACACAATATCTCTAATGACGTATTAATACTATAATATTATAGGTTTTTTTTTTCATACAAACGACAACCTTGAACGATATTCAGATCACGTAAACTTCAAATAGGGTAATTTTACTTTTTTTGCTGACAGCATAGTCATGTACATAATAATTGCATTTAAATAGTCCAAACGAAGAATGATTTTATTTTTCTTGGCACGTTTAAAAAAAAATTATAATAATGAATAAAAAAATAAAAAAAGACACCACAGTATTATTTATGCTATACATTGTACAAAGAACATATAGAATAAAATTATTTATCACCAAGGTTAATTATTCAAAAAAAAAAAAAAAAAAACGTGTACGTATTTTATAGTCTTCAAATTATATTTAAATATATATATATATATATTTTTTTTATTATATATACAATCTGTAATGATATTTACAATGAGCATATGAGAGTTCAGATATATTAAAAATCATATGAAGGAATCATGAGAGAAACTACCCAGCAGTAATACTCATAATATTCAAATATAACTTTATATACAAGTAGGTATGGAACATATAATTGTTAAATAATTAACCAAGTATAATACGTATTTATGGTAGTTTTCGAACAAATTTCGATGCGACATTGAAACACGAAAAAACTTTTATACACTTATTGTATTTGAAAAATAATAGACAAATCGTTTAAAAAACGAACTAAATAAAACGAATATAAAAAATACTATAGAGGAAACGGTTTTTTTTTTTATTATTACATTGTCGTCTAATGTCAAAACAGTTTTGTTTTTTTTTTTTTTTAATTTATTATTTATTCGTCTTGTTTGTTTTGTTCGGAATACAACTATTATTGTTAAAATTCTATACACCAACATTTCACATCATTATTGTGTTATTTATTTATTATTCTACTTCGGATTTTACACTGCGCATTTCCATATACCAATACCTATTTTTACATATTTTTTTCCTGTTCATTTTTCGTTTTTGTTGAATACTCTCGGCGAAAATAAAAAGACTATTATAGGTATTGTATCTGAAATATAATACAAATTGAAAAATAAGAACCACCTAAATTTCTATTTTCTTTTAAATCAAATAATGAGCTAAAACTCGGGAATTATATAGAATTGCAGTTTTATAGGTGGATTAAATTGATCAAAATTGAGTTAAATTTCAATATACTATTGCAGAAAAGATCGTTATTCTAGCTTTGGACACCCATACAGACTTCCTGAATGAAGCCATAGGAGGTAGGCATTTTGTTTATGCACTGCGTAAGTGACAATAGGATTACGTGACTTTTTGTAATCTCAACTACCAACACCCGCTTCCGACCCATTTGTAAGCTAAAATCTCACATTTTTATTGTTTTATAGTATATAATACATATGTACTTATAGTATAGTATATTTTAATATTCCGTAATAGTGTTCGGGTATTAATAATCGGTTTACATAGAATATTTCTATAATACAAATTAAGCGGGAGAAATTAGACTCTATGATATAGTGACGAAACTCTGCCGATGAGTGTGGTGTTGTTTTTTTTACTATTTTGCTATCATCGGCGCAGTATTTTTTTTTTCAAATTTAATTACACAATTACACTCTTCGATATTTATGTTAAAAATTAACAGTCGCAGTTACACACGCGAATTCATAATGTGCTATTTTCTACATTATATACCTATAATACAAGAGGAAATAAACATTGTAATATTATTATGATGTGTTTTTATCGTACGACGGCACTCTGGTTATGCAAAACCGATACATGAACGACGACGACGTTCAATAGAAAACGAAATAATAATAATATAAAAAAAAAAAAAAATCAATTTTGTTTCACCGTAGAATATATATATACGAAAATAAAATAAAAAGTTATCGAGCAACCGTTATTCGGAGGATAGCGAAGAGAGGCGGGTTATATTCTATACGTGAAATACAGTCCCCCGAAGAAGAAGTTTCCTAGAAAATACAAATTTAGTTTAAAAAGTTTTGAAGCCCACGTAGTTACGGTGCGGTATAGCGTATTATATACGAACTCCTTACTCAAAAGAAGAAAGTTTCTCGCGACATACATACAAATGATTTTTTAGGTCTTGCGAGGTCTAATAAATTATTATTATTATAATTGTACAGAGGACGAGTAATTAAAAGGCGACAAGACGAAAACGAGTTTATTATTATTTATTTTATAATTTTTTTTTTTTAAAGTAAAGATAGATACTTTACATTTATAATACGCTGGTATGTTCACAATTTAGACTCGATTAACGTATACCTATATTTTGACGTTATTTTAATTTTAATCATACATTTAAGCTCATCTCGTTTTACTCAAATCGATTTTAGTCAAACAACACTATATACCGCACACTATCAACCGTCACTCTATCAAGAAGGCTTGGAAAAAGAAAACTCGCCTAGAGACCTAAATCTTTAATTTTATCAATCGGATTAAGTGTACTTGAATTAACGCCAATTAGTTGTTCTATAATAAACTCGCTGCAATAGTTATCTCACTTATTTAATAATTGTAAATGGAAAAAAAAACTTTAAGCCAAGCAACCGAGCTCGGTCATTAGAGTTGAATTTCTCTGCGCCATTATGTGTTGTGTTATAATCCATAGCAAATATTCTTTATAAATAATCAAACACTGTACAATCAATATATTACGGTACTTCCGAAAAATAAATAAATGTTGACATTTTCTCATAAAAATAATTGAGACGTGGATTGAAAGTCAAAACTCCCGAGTCTTTTTCTTTAGACACTGACGCGCTACTACATACACAAAATCGAAATTCCCTATAGCGATAACCTCATTCGAGGTATTTAAAGTCAAAAAAAAATACCGACTTCCTCTCCGATGCTGAATATTGGAATTCAATCAAACTTTTATCACTTCATTCGACCAATAAAACGATAATTAAACAACTATACAATTCTCAAGTTTGAACCTACTTGGATCTGACAATAGGGACAGGCTAGAGATGTTTAAAAGTAGCGGAGGAAATTCGACGAAACTAATTAATCTCACAGACGGCGAGAATTGTAATCTTGAACGAGCTGACAGTAGTTTGACATCTATGACATCTACCGATAGCTGATAAGCTCGCCTCCTAAGTATCATTTAACTAACAATATTTGTAAAGAATAACATTACAATTAGAGTGTTGCCACGAAATTATATCAACAATTTTAACACGGAAAAAATATAGCACTACGCAACTTTTTTTTCGAATGGGCCTTGTATATGCTTATATCGGTACCCGTTATTGTAGGCGAAGGGTTGGTGGTTATATAGGCGCCCGATGACTTAGTCAATCACTCCTGTATACACAGAAAGTCGATTAAATACCGATTTTAACGGAACGATCGAGAACCGATATTATTATTTAATGATATTATAGAGGCGGCGCGGCGACACGATAGCGGGAAAACAGTCGTAATCTAGCCCGTGGTTTTGTGTACAGTCACTGTAATAAATAATAATGACTACCTATAGAAAGTATACACGATTAAAATGGCGATCTGCAACGAATTGCAGTTGGGCATATACAAATCAAACTGGAAATTCGCAACATCGAATCGCAGATCTATTGATTTTTCGAAAACTCGTGGCTTAATAACAGATCGTTATACGAACATAAATATCGTACAGAGAAAAATTTCATATTTTTAAGATAATTAAAATGTGTCTATCTTAATTTGCAATCGAGTTTGCCCTTTTAAAGTGGATTATTATTTAAAAGAAAAGGTTCTATCTAATGATATTCGCATATTTTGGAAATTCAAAAGTTATACTTACTGTTACTAATTGTAACAAAAAAACTTTGTGAAAAATCTCTGCACAAAAGTTGTACCTCGAAATGATTCTCCCAGGAGAACCTTTTTAAAGTACAAAATTATTTTCTTCGACACTTTTATTTTATTTATCGATACAAAATTATTGATTTGATCCATTATATATCAAACCAATAATAGTCGAAGTCTATTTGAATTAAAGATCAAAATATCAATAAAATCATTCGGTGGCATAATTTGAATTTTGAAATGCTTCTCCTTTAAATGTATTTTTTTTTTTTAATTTTAAACATTTTCGAAATGTACTTCTTAATGGATTATTTAATTACTTTTATTGTTTGTAATTATAAAACAATATGAAAGTGGTTTTAAGTGAAGATAAGGATCATCTCAATGCACAAGAAGAAAAAAAAAAATTCGAATTGTTTCAAATAGAAGAAGCAAAGGAAATCCGGCCATATGGAATACGGTTGTAATAATAATAATAATAATAATAATTTATATTCGATGGCAAGCTCGTTGTGTAAAAATAAAAATTAAATATACTAACATGGTAGGACCGATGATGAAAGGGAGCGGAGTTATACCCGGCGGTGTTTCTTTGGTAGACGGAGGGCGGCAAGGGCGGCACGACCGTGTCCCAATACGGGTTCCGGTGTACCGAATTCGGTGGCGGCGGCGTGGTTGTACGATGCCGGACCGACGGCGGTGGCGGTTCATAATTGTGACTATAACTGGGTTGGTACCGGTGGTGGTGAAAGTGGTGTTGGTGGTGTTGATGGTGCTGCTGCAGTGGATGGTCATAACTGTAGTAGGCCGAACCACTGGCCACAGACCCGTTACCGGAGCCGGACGCCATGACGTCCACCGCGGACGCCGACAACGGCGGTGGCACCCGGCTGTACGGGCTGTGCACCGGGCACAGCGGACGCGGCCAGTGTTGGGGTGGCGTGCGTTGCCGTGTCGTGGCAGTGGCGGCGGCGGTGGCGGCAGCGCGCCACGGCTCGTCGTCAATGTACTCGTCGAACTCCACGATTGCGGCGCGCGCTCAACTGACTAACCGCCGCCGTCGTCGTCGGTGGTGGTAGTGCTGGCGCTGCTGCTGCTGCTGATGATGATTCTGCTGATGCTGGCTGCCGCTGCCGACGCTCTCTCTCGTCGCGCGACCGGCCCGCTACCACCGCCGTCAGCCCTGACGACGACGGCGTACACGCGCGCGCGGCGCAAACGCATCGGAAAAGTGTTGTTTTTTTCCTCCGACCCGCCACGCCCCGCTCCGCCCCCCCCTACCCCCGTCGACCGGCCTTCACCGATCGCCGTCATCCCACCGCCGCACCGCCGCCATCTCTATACCCCGTCATCATCAACACCCCAAACCTTTTTCTTCAACAGCCCGTCGCCGTCCGCCACCGCCGAATCATTCGCGGAGCGCGACTCGTCGAGTCAAGGTTGTATAATATATATGTATAATAAATAAAAGACACGATGACGACGGCGGCGGCGGCCGCCGCGACGACAACGAGTTGAATAATTGCCGGTCTTAAGTATTAAACGAAGTAAATACGGAAACGAAAATTCGTATACACACGCGGTATTATCATAATAATAATATAAACGACAGGTCGAAGACAAATCACTTGTTTTCGGTCCGCGGGGAGGGGGAGGTGGAGGGAGGGTTGGTAATGAAACGAAAAAAGAAAAGGAGACGTTTCCGAACCGTACGCAATAGTATTATTATATAAATGTACGTACGGCAGTGAACGTTTCCTCGTCCCCGTCCCGCGGCCGCCGCCATTCATCGTGAGCTTTAACGTGCACGTTATGCGACGGCGACGACTAGGCGGCGGCGACGTTATGCGACGGCGACGACGACGCACATACCGCACACCATGTCGTCGTCCCTGTCGACAGAGCGACGGGGTTTTGCCGCAATACTACCGCAATTACACACACACACACACACACACAACCACCCCGCCCGATTAAAATATTATTATACACGCCCTCTCCTCTCCTCTCCTCGTCCTCCTCCTCCTCCCCCCTCCCTCGATATTTAAATGAGTTGTTATTGTGTACTTTTATAACTCGCTCGCAAAAGTGCTATTTAATAATATTGTGTGAGTGCGGACGACACTACACGTCAGGAATACCTATACAATATTTTGCACGCGATTTATTAATATAAACGACCGGTCGAGTTTATTTCTGTATACGGAGTGATCGACAGTCACGTTCGAATTATCTCGGAAAGTATAGCGATTCTTTGTCGGAATTTTTTTTTCTTTTTCGTCGGACGATCCAAGAAACAATTAAGCGGCCTTAAAATTATGTTACATGTTTGTCGTATGCATTTAACGATAATCCGCGCACATACAAAGTGCACGTGGAGAGAAAATCACGTTGTCGAATGTTATATAATCTTTTATCGGGGCTGTGCTAAGGAGGAGAGAGGACAATGAGGGAATTGGCCCCGGGACTTCAGAACTTTTTAAAACTACGGGGAAGCCGAATATATAGTCGTATACACGAGTAATATTCGTAAAACTCGAAATAAAATGAACAATAAAAATACATCACTTGTTAGCAGTTTTATTTTCAAACGCTTTAATAGTGTAATAATTAATATTGTTAGGTAATTAGAAGAGTGTAAGGACAACCTAGTAACACGTTAGTATGTGTATCTAAAAAAAAAAATTCAGAATCTTGTAGAGTAAAATATTTTGATTTTTATATAAACTTAATAAAATTCTAAAAAACAAATAAATAAACCTAGGGGGAAGAATTTATCCCTAGGTAAAGCCTGGATAAATGGCGTTTAGAATTAATGCCGCAGGAAGCTAAATGGCTTAACACGGCTCTGAATATTATACTCAGGTGCTCAACGAATCAAAACTCTTTGTTTTTTTTTTTTTTTTTAATAAAACTGTCACTATACAGAGTGAACATCATTACGCAATAACAGTCTCTTTCGTTATTTGATTCTTACATTTAAAAAATAAGTAACTATAAAATAATTTACATTATTTTTTTTAATTTTTTTTTTTTTTTGTGACCTTTATTTTAGGGCGAGAAACTACTACCTGCATTTGATTTTCAAATGACAAACTGTACTACAAATTTCATAAATAAATACATTTTTAGTTTAAATCCATTTTAGTGTTGAAATTTTGAATTTCCGTCAACCCACTGACGAGATATTCCACATATAAGTTTGAGTAGGGATAGCAAAGTTAAGCATTATTTGTGTGGCGGCGTTTTAACAATTCTCCACTACAATAATAATGTAGTTGAATATCTCGTCAGCGGGTTGACGGAAATTAAAAATGTCATCATCAAAATATATTTTAATTAAAACTTCGACTGTTTATGGGATTTAATTTAATATAGGTTGCTATTTGAAAATCAAAAGTGGATAGCGGTTCCAACTCCAAAAATAAGGGTAACAAAGAATAACATCAATTGTTTAGAGTTGCTTGTTACGTTAATTTTCTAAAAGAAAAAGTCAATAATGTCTTATAGCAAATGTCTTATCAGGATTGATTACTCAGTATATATACAAAATATATAAAATTAAATTAAAATTCTTTTCATTTAATTTTTTTTGTAATCAAATACCCTATTTCGGAATGTTAATTTACTTAATGCTGATTGGCTAATACAATCAAATGACCAGCGTCAGCCCGACATTTAAAGACTGCATGCTAATAAACGATGGCCTGTAGTAATTTTTTTTTTTTTATTAGACCCTAATTTGTTTTGAATCTACAAGTAAAAATTTGTAGAGCGTGATAATTATAATAATTGTTGACTGCGTTTGTACAGTCAAAGTAAATCCGTGTTCAGATTTTTATAATGATCCATCAGAAAAACTATATATACGGTCCCGAGGAACGAGACACGCAAAGGATACAAATCGAAAAAACCGTATAGTTAATATTAAAATACTGCAATATATGTTTTATTGATAATTATTTAAAAAATAAAAAACCAAATGAAATAAATAAAATAAAACGACTGTTAAAACTATTCAAATACGAATACATAATTAAATTTTAAGTTAAACGCTAGAGAATCAATTTTAGTTTTCGTCTCCTTGATTTAACTGTTTTAGATTTAAATTTTAAACGGTTAAAAATAGGTTTCCCACAAGTATGTACCTTAAAACTTTTCGTATTACATTTTTGATTAGTGATTTTACTATGATGTATTGTTTTTTTTCTGTCTTTAAACAACTTTTCTACCAAAAATCTTGCTCCGAAATATCAAGTGTAGCAACTTTTCTGAAAGGTAATTTTCTCTAATTGATGTATTAGAAGGTAATTTTTTGATTTTCTAAGGGACTTTAAAAATAATTGGAAAAAATCCGAAGGAAAATTATAAGTAAAACACCATATCTTTACGGCACGCCACGACGTTACCGATTGCACTATTTTTAATTTTTGCAACTTATGTTTTCTACCAGAAATATTACTCCAATTGAAAAATCACAATAAATCGATATTGTTGTATTGTAATATAATATATAGTCACTGATAAAGAAAGTGTTTAATATCCAAAGTAGTTTTCATAATAATTGGAAAAAATTAAAGAAGACGAAAAATACGATTTTTTTTTCAAATTATTTTTAATATATTTGTTGGTTTTTGCCAACTTTTGTGCAGTGAATTAATAATATTATAATATATAATAAATTCCCGATTATAACTGTCGTTTAAATGACTAGCGCTAAATTCAAATGATGTAAATAGTTATGGCAAAAACTTTTTTACATACAAATTTTAACGAAACAAAATATATTAACCAATGTGTTTTCATTATAACCATTGAAAGAGTCATAATCACGTACAAAAACTGCGTACTGATTTATAGATAATAGATACATAATATTAAATGGTTGAAGATCAAAATGACAATAATTTATTGTACGCCAATCGCATTCATCTAATAAAAGTTGACCGCAATGACCAACTATTGCACTATTGATGTACGTTCACTATTTACAAACTAATGACACAAGAGTTACGTTGCAGTCGTAATTATTACAAACAAATAAATTACAAATATGTAAGACATTAAGAATTCACATTTGAGTATCGTTTTACATTTTGACTGCGATATACCTGATGATGATTTTTAATTAAAACCTGTAGTATAATACACATATCCTAATACTCCAGGCGATACATTCATTCATTTATTTCTTTTTTTTATTTCTATTTATACATTTTTTTATTTATATATTTATTTACTATGTTTAGAATTTGTTGGAGAACGGTATACTCACAAGTTTATACCCGAATGTGTCTCCGTTTAATTAACGCGAGACATAGTAAAATTGCATTACTTAGAAGACAGTGTTGACCAACTACGGCCGACGGTCCAAATCCGGCCCACAATCATTCATTAATCAGCCCAACAAAGTTTTAAATCAAATTGAAAAAAAAAATAACTTCAAATTAAAAAAAATTAAAACACATTAAAAAAAGACATGTTTATACTTTACATGTTTTTATCCTTAATAACAATCAGTTTAAATTCCTGGCCCACCAAGAATTATTATTATTTTTTTTTATGGCCTACTGCAAAAAAGGTTAGTCACCATTGACACAGAACATACATTTCGACGTTAAGTTTTAAATTGTAGTTAAATCACAAATACCAAAACTTAAAAAATGAAAGCTGACTATTTGAAAAAATTAAAATACTAACAAGCTATAACTTTGTTGTAAGGCAATTTGTTTATATAAAAGATCCTTGCAGCCTTCGAAAATATTATACTCTTAGCATCCTTATCCTCTAATGCATATTATTATCATTTGTCTTCATACCAAATGGTTTGCAATTAGGCTTTTTAAAAACTTGAAAAAGGTAAGTATTGATAATTAAGGGTACTGATTATAGTTTTTAAGAATTATTATTATAACAATAGCGTTTTAAAAATAATAAAACTACTAAATATTGTATTTTTCTTTTTATGTATACAAAATAGCTAAAACGGTACCTAGGAGAATATTAAATACAATTTATTGACCGAGCATGGTACAATAACAGTCCATAATTCAAAATAATTCAGATATGATTGAAATTTATAATTGCTTTTTTTGTTTTTTAATCTTTTATAAGTGCTGAAAGTGCTTATTAAGCTTTTTAAACGATTATAATGAAGTTTTTTAATCGCTTTCTTGTTAGTTTTAAATGCTATAAGTCCCGAACCCTGCTTATAATTAGTTTTCATTAAAAATTATACTATTAAAACGAGTTACTGCGTTTAAAAGTGGGGTCGTATTGATATTATCCATTAGTTGTGCTTTTAACACTTTCGAAAATTGATTACCCACACTGATAACCCACACCGGAAAAGTATTTATCATACTTTTGTTTTAATCTAGTTCAATTCTCTTATATCATTAGACGTTTTCAGGTCACTAGGTTAACGCATCTTTTTTTTTTTCAAGTTTTAGAAAATAATATATATTTCTGCAAAAGTCCTCTTGTGACACGACCTTTCGTTAAAATAAATTGTACTTATCCATTATGATATACTCTTTAAGTAGTTTCCTTTTCGAATAAAGGAGTTAGTAAAGTACGTATAGAATATTATTTCGTTATGATTAAACGCCGTAAAATGGTAGTTGATTTTTTTTTTATCCGAAGATTTAACAAATATTAAGTGTTTCTTGTAAAATTGTTAAACATTAACGTAGTTTTAATGGGATTTTTATATTTAGCCAATTTATATGGACTCAGCCCATTCCAAGCGCGTCGTGTTATATTTCCATCTAAAATATTTTTAAATTTATTGTACTATTTTTCAACTGCCCGATTATATTTGTATATATCCACAATTATAATTTGTTGATAAAATTGTATTATATACATAATATAATGTACATAAACGTAACTAATTATAGGTTTCATCCCCTAATTATGTTTCAAGCCCCCCTCCCGCTCAACAAAATATTTAAAATTAAATATTACCGATTTGCTTTATCCATTTAAAAATAAAAGAAATAAATAAATAATTAACAAAAAGAAATTTTTTTTTTTTCTGAAGTTCAGTTTGAACGTTTGTCTATTATACCTTACTGCCACGATAAAATACGCATGATTGTATGATAATAAATTAACAGATATTATATTTTTGTTCATGCTAACAATGCTTTTGTAATTTCCATGGATATACCTTAAACCGTGGTAGCATTTACCTGCAGAAACGTATTTTATGTAATAACACTGACATCTGATAAAAAATGTTAATGTTCATAGTTTGTAATAATGTTTTGAATTAACTGTAATAACTAATATCCGATATGCGAAATGGTATGGGTAAAAATAAAGGAAACAATTAGTATGATATTAGACAATTTTCGTAAAAGGGACTCTCCTTCTAAATTTAAGCTCCTAGTTACACCTATAACTAGAATAGGTACATTCCCTAAGTTTTCTTTTCTATTTTTTTTTCTTTTTTTTGCAGTTTTCTTTCGAGATTACCGCCGGCACATACACGTGCGACCCATTACTTTTGAAATTCCAACCACGGGCTGTCCCGCGTGTTAATGGTGCGTATTCGGCGTTAAGTGGCCGCTATTTTCTCCTTCTTTGTAAATTACACGGAAACACTTGGCACGTGTGGGTCATATGAGGGTTGGTCCAGCCAAGAATATTTTAACCGAAAAGATTTTTAAAGATATCTTATATTTTCTATTCTTTAAATGGATAGCTATACTTTACTGTCTATACAGAATGTTGATGAATTTCCATTAGATACCTATATATATATATATGTATATTATATACGTATATAGTGCTAACTAGTTTAGTAACAGTCTACACAAGATAATGAACATTCCATAGGTAACTAATTATTCGCCTTATAACTTTGTAATTTTAGTTTTGCTCATAATTTTACGTCGAAAATTGACTTTCGATAACCTGAAATAATCTACAGGATAATACTACATATTTAGTATATATAATATAAATAAGTTAGTTCTATACAACTAAAAATTTCAAGGAACTAATTTATAATTTAACTATGGATACTATATATTATTATATATTAGGTTTAATTTACCAGAGTAGTCGCATTACATCAAATAATTGTTTATATAATAATTATAATCAACGATTATAATATATAGGTAAGTACAGCTGTGTTAAAACATAACAGAATTAATTAACTAATTAAGATTGATCGATTCCTTTTACATACTTATATGTCCTTTATACTGTGACCTGATAATAAAATTATTTTATTTCATCTTTACTTCCTTTATAAATGGTAGCTAAAAATTATATTATAGTTCAAGAGCAGCCGCTAGAACCACCACTGTAAATATTATATGTCTTATAATAAAATATATTCTTTTGAAAAAACGTCTAAATGTATATATATATATATAATATTAATCTTTAAACTATTTAGATCCCTAGAGATATGATGTATTTTTATCCCCTTAAACTGCAAAGATCGTCACGAAATCCATCATGATAAAACCGCATCAATATATAAACGGACAAACAAACCGTAAACTTTTTTTTACCCCTCTGTCAAAGCCCATTTATACGTTACGCATATTAATTATTCACCTTTTAGAAAAAGAAAGTTCTGAACTTTGAATGGTAAAACAATTTGGCAAATTTCCGATACACCTTAACTCTTTTTCGTTAGAAAAATAGATTTAGTAAAAATAAAGTATTTATTTATTTATTTATTTATTTTAATACATAACATTTTACATTATACATAAACACTATAGGTAAACAGTGTGAGCACTTCAATAATACGTTTTTCGTTAGAAATAAAAATAATAATAATAATGCTTTAAAGAGGAACGTGCGCAATAAATTTCAAAGTCAAAAAAACGTTTTTAATAGCTAAAATCAATGGAGTTATCAATAATTGAAAAACAATAAAGTATTACAATAATAATTTATTTTTTTGAAATATTATGATATTTTTGGGTACAAAACACTCCTAAAGTGCATATTTGTACAAGAAATAACAAAATAAAATAATATTTATAATAGGTATGTTTGTTTTATTTATAAGACGATAAAAATAGGCATTTATTTATCTTATTAGCTTTGGAAAACAACGGAGAACATATTTCCATAATAATAATTATCATACGGTTATGCCACGAAGACAAAAGATTACCGCATCACCTAAAGGTTGATAAATCCTACCAAACAAGTAGTATAGTTTAGTGCTAAACATTTGTACTGCACTATATCGTTAATGTTAAGAATATGTTAATAATAATTTCTCACAAAAGTAAGATGAACCAAAAAGTTAAAAATAAAAATATTTAAGAATAGTAAAATATATAACGAAAAATTCAATAACTAATATTATATAGGTACACACCGGATATTGGAAGAAAAAATCTATAACTTTTTTATAAAATATTTATAACACTATATGCTTTAATTTTCAATTATATGCTAATATGCTTTTTTTTATTTTGGGGAGGATCGCCAAGTCTCTATTATAGACCGTCAAATACACTATCTGACAGGATCAGATTATAGCCGATCTTCTAAAATTGACACTCGTGACATGCCAACAAGTTAAACGAAAAACACAATAATTTTTATTAAATATATAAGTATATGTATTACGATATAAATAGCCACCAATTTACATGAATTTCATATCTATAATTTTTCTGAATATACAAATTTTACAGACAAAAATAATAATATAGTTGCACGAAATGTTCCATACGCTAAGATTTGTTTTAACCGAATAAATATTTTAGCATTCTACTAATATTAACAATATAAACCTATTTCATAAATACAGTCATATATGAACAGAAAATACGTCAGAAAATTTAAAATATCAACTTAAGACAATATCGGAGAATCACACCTTTAAAATAAAATCTACACATGAAAAATGTATGCTAAGTGCATTCGTTTTTTCGACCTAAATCCGTCGTTATTACTATTTTATGCAAGGCAGTAAACTAAAGACGTGCAGCTTCGTCACTATAGAGTTGAATTTTTTCTCGCCTATTTTGTACTAAAGAAATAATATTCTTTAGAAAACAACAAATAACTGAATAATATTTATTTATATCTGTATTATTTATTTTGCACCGAATAAAATAAAATAAAATATGTACACCTATTGTATATACTACATACATACATATTTTCGATAATCGCAAAAAAAAAAAATATTAAAAATTAACGTCTAATTACTTTTCATTTGATCGACGTACCACCTACTCTTTTGGTTGGTGAATTATTGTTAACGACGTTTAACGGTTAACATTTCGGCGGTCATTTCGTAGATTGTTCGCCTATAACTGTACTACAGCAAGGTTCGGAACACACAATGGAAAAATATAAACATTTCATTTTGGCGCCTTCAAGAGGGACAAACTATAACATCATCGATTTACCACACAGCACAAAAAGGATCAGCATTTCTACATACCTATACGACTATACATATGTATTTAATATATATATACACACACACACACACACACATTATTCGGGCTTTTTGTCAACCTTATTTCTTTTCCACCAATGCCACTATAAATTTCCCGGTTACGCACCAGAACAGATGTGGGTCGTTTTTCTTTCTCCCTTAAATAATTTTACATACACAACCTCAATTGTGTAACATAATGTTTGAGATTCTCAAATAGTTTTGCTTTATTTACATGGAATATAGTCAAAACGGTTTTTTTAAAAATATAATAATAATAAATATACATATTATACTCGAAGCGTTCTGTCATTCGTAAAACGCGCAACTAAATTAAAATTCCGTAGTAATATTATTATTATGGCTGTTATCAGAATAATATACAGGATTCATAATATTATATTTTTTTAGATTATCGGGAAATTAAAAGCTACTTAAAAGAATTCGATATTGATTTTCAATCGTAATTTATCCAACGTGCGTAATAATAATAAGTCATCAAAGGGCCGAGTAATTATTATTTATTGTTTGTTCTGTAACGATACCTAGTTAATTATTAAATATATACATCAGAAATAAGTTTTAAAAAACACGTGATGTCTGTTGGCCAAAAAAAAAAAATAAAAACTGTAAATATAATATACAACTCCTGGTAGAAATTTTGGTACATTTCGTCACTATGAATTGCATTTAATTTCGCCCGACCTTTTCAAAGAAGTCTTTTCGCTACGGCGAATATGTTGACATTCGAGTTTACCACGGAAATATTTATCAGATGGATATCGATCCTATTTTGCCGCATTAAAGAGAGGTTTTTAGACCGTAGGTATAGTGCAACACTATTCCCAACATCTGTTACTACGTTCCCGATTGAATATGCATAGTATTACTTCGCATAACGAAAATATTATTATTATTATTGTTATCATTTATTCGTACGAATAGAATTAAAAATTAAAATTTTTTTTTTTACTTTTACAATATTACATCCATGTATTAAATTAAAATACCCGAATAATATAAATATATTATTTTATAAAGTATTTTTATTGCAAGAATAATGAAATTTAGTTAATATAAAATATATTTGGACATTTTAAAAACTAGATATTTAAAATATCGTTTGATTTATTTTTTTTATGACAAAATCGATTCATCAATTACCGCAGTACTGGAGGATTTGAGTGGTTTATCAATTGTATAAGAGAAATAATATGAACTTTCAGTTAAAGTTTTTTGAATCATTAGATATTAGCAAAATAAATAATCAAACTGAAAAACCATGTTGACGAAAAATAATTGAATTGCGTTAGTTATTATTATAGTACTAAAAATAAATTTATCTGTTCGCGTAATTCAATTTAAAATCTCTTAGTCACTGTTTTCATCTTAAATTGTTACGAATAAATAGACAAAAATCGAACGAAAATTCCTTCCAAAAAATGATTTTGGAAATACATTTTATAATATTCGATTTAAAATGCATACGAAAAGAGTTATCGACCTTTTTGTTGTTGTTTTTTTCTAATTATAAATATGGATACAAAACTGACAATCGTTTAACAAATTTATTTAAAATGTGCTATTCATATATATATACATATATATATAAACATATAAAATATATAGTCAAGTACCGGAGTTTTAACATAGACGTTGTGTGCAAATTGTGATATCTCAAGGTGATACGGAAACTTGGCAATGCAACCCCATTATATAGAAATCAATATAATATAGCGTTCCTCCGATTTTGGTCAAGCGTTAAATTTTCAACCCCTTCCAAACATAAGAAACCGTTTTATAAAATGTTCTAAACGCATTCCTTTCTCAATTTTGAAAAGCAGCACTTTTTCGAAAATAACCATATATGCATTAAGTTCATTTTTTTTTTTATTTACCTACTATTGGTGTTAAAAAATCCGTATTTATTATACCAACACAAGTATAGGTATAGGTACATCATAATTCATAATCTTTATCTCCTCTAGTCATATAGTTTATGATAACTGAAAATGAACGGCTTTTGTTTATGATGACGTAATTTTGTACTGCATAATTCGTCTTCGGTTATTCTAAAACTATTGGAAAACTTATCGTATCTTTTAAATTTAACACATTTAAAACTAACAACATAATATAGATATAATTTACAATAGAAAACATTTAAAATCGTAATATTTAAATAATACCGATCGCCGATCAATAGTGATTTGATTTGAAAAAATAGCGTATTGATGTTGAACGAAATCCGTATTCTAATATTACCCGGGGCAAAAGTGTGTTTAAAGATAAAACCGCTAATGAAAACTAATTCAAATCAAATGAAATACTAATTTTTAAACGGCTAAAAATTGATTAGAAGTATTAACTTACAAATATTCAAAGACTTGATATACTATACGACCTGGTCTCTTTTTTATAGCAGAGAAAAGTCGTCAAAATTAAACTTTACGACAGATGAAACGAATGCTATTCAATTTAATTTACCCAAATCTAATCTACACACAAAACATAAAATATACTGAATTTAAGAACACAATAAAAACAAATTTAAAAACAATTACTTCAGCAGTATGTTATGTAACAATTGTGAATAGATACTTAAATGTCAATTGAATTCATTAAAATCTGTAAATATAATATTGATTTCATATACGCACAGTCATAGTGGAAAAATAATAACTATCATAAGAAAATTCAATAAAAGCTTTCGTTGGACAAAACATCCGAGATGAGAAAAACAAGGACGGTTTTAAATTTTACTGTCGAGTTTTTAGAAACTGAACACTTCGATTTTGGCTTGTTTTACGTCATTTCTAAAATACCTTTATTTACTTTCATTGTCGGCTTAATGTATTAATATAATTTAAATGTTTAGGAAAATTAAAATTTCCACAATTAACACTTATAATAACAACACCACTGTTATATTAACTATAATCAGTGACATATATAGAAATTAATTTGGGCCCCCTCCAAATTAATTACTGAAATTACCAAATTAAATACATTAATTTTATAAGCCCCTCCTTCGGATTATAAAAAAAGCTTTTGGGTTTTAGTTAATAAATAAATAAAATAAATTAAAAAATACGCACGTGTGCCGTACCAACCATAAATTTCGAGGGGGAGTTGAACCCCCAAAACCCTTTCCTATTTACGCCACTGCTTATAATAGACAAAAGTATACAAATTTTATAGCAAAAATAAGCTTGAAAGTATAAATGTTCAACTGTTCAAGACAAAAAGCAATACCGAACTTTCTAACTATAAAACGAAAAAGATAAAAATATGTAAAACAATATATTTATATATATATATAAGGTTGACCTAATTCCGAGAGCACCATTTTCTCTTCGTCTATGTAGTGTATATAAAAGCAAGGACGGTCACAATAACTCTTTCGTGTCCGGAACAGCTATCTAAAAACTTTTTACTTGGCGCATACGCAGCTGCGGTTATAATACAAGTGCATGTATATATATTAATAATAAGTACAAAAAAAAACCACACATACTTATGCTGTGAATTTACAAACAAGGTAAGGGAAATGTACACATAGGTGTACAATCCCTCCTATAATCGCCTTTATTTGTTTGAATTGGTAGAATAATTTAAAACAAACATGCTGAATAGTTACCATTTATTGAAAATATCTGTAAAGAATATATTGTAACTATTAGAATTTATAGATAGGTTATAGTTATAATAAAGAAATATTATATAATACATAGTACGTATTCAATAAGATAAAGCAAAAAGCCAAAAAAAAAGACGGACATACTTCCCAAGGTGGGTGAGCCACTGTTGTATATAAGAAGTTGAGAAGGTAAGATATAGAGAAGAATTTAATATGTATCTATACGAGACGATAAACCACTGTTAACAAAAAACGATTCTAAGTTCGGTTATACATGTTTTGAAAGGCTGTTATATTTACTATTTAATAGTACTAATAATATAATAATACATCTTATAAATTTTCCCAGTTTTTCCCAATTATTATGAAAACTGCTTGGAAAATCAAAACATGATCTCTGTGTAGTACCACCTAGATAAAATTTTCTTTAAGAAAAGGAGCTACACTTGAAAATCGAAGTAAAATTCCTGGTAGAGAAATTGTTCACAGAAAAAAGAATAAACATCATTGTAAAACCAATACATTCCTCGCTTCGCTCAGAATCTAAAACCACTGTATAGGTATTAGAATAATAAAAATGTAAAATTACTTCATTACACTTGAAAAAATTAAACGATTATACTGAAAATAGTTCATATGCATTTTATAAATATATTTACTTGTAATTATAATTACTCGGACCACTAGAATGTAATTTTAAAAATATTACCCTATTTTTATAAGTATAAGTAACCAACAATAATAATCTTTTATTAAATTACATTGGGTTTCTATTATAATAGTTGCCTATACATTTTTGAAACTCATTTAAATTGTTACCATAAAATAAATTTGACAAGTTAAATTTTAACTTATAATCATACTAACATTTGTTTTTCCTTGGATATACAACGAGAACAAGAGAAAAATGATTCATAAATTTTAGATGTAAGAGATAAAGTCCTAGTAGATTTCCCATGATAATTGACGTTAAGTCCCTTAGCGGTAGCTTGTAATGTGTCACTGACGCGACCGTTAGAACTATATGGCCCCCTGCGTTGGTACACACGTAATCGCAGTTTTCATTAAAACATGGAAGTGGGGGGGGGCAGAGGGGCAGTCGGTAGATATGACCGACAAACCTCATGAATGCTTGATTAGCTTCATCGTATGTTACATGTTTGCTTTATTAATTAGTTTTCAAAAGGGTCTACCAGCGATATGGTGACCTAGAAAGGAATTTCGACATGACGATGGTCTCTTACTTGTCTATTGCTGGAAACTTTATCATATTAATTAGAACAGACTATTAGAACAAGGATTTGCCATTATCGAAAGTATAAACTTTAAACCATTTCAACTAGAAAACTTCCCGTAAAAACTCTCAAAAGTTAAACCGTAAATCCGAAACTTACCTAAAATAATAATACAATTTTAATATTTTTTTCTGTAAAATTGTCAAAAAATATTAACAAATAATACATATATTTCTTTAATTTAATATTACCCAACTTATAATAGCAATATACGAGTGATTATGTATTACGGATAATACTGAAATATGTAAAAAAAGAAAACTGTTTATACAAATACTATATTTATTATTTGAAAAAAAAATTAACTTCAATACATTTTTGGTACCCATCTCATAACATTCCAAAAGATTCTTATAATAAAATGTATAAAAATAAAGAGTTGATTTAACGCAGCATACTTCAAGGACGATTACTGCACACTTGTGCAATACTTAATGTGCTGCAGTACACCGGGTGAAAACACTAAGATAGAACATTAGTAGTATAGATTGTTACATACATAAAGATTAGTTTAAAAAGTTAGAAAGTCTATTGTATTATAAAAATAATTTTATTCGCCTCGGTATGTTTAAACACTCATCATGTTAATAGACATTGCTCACCGTTTAGTTGTTACTAGATATACATATTTATATCTGGTTGAAACTTTGCAATATTAATGATTTTAGTTTCTAAAATATTCAAACTTCTATATTCAAAATATATTTCTTTATCACATATACATTTTAAAAGTTACTCCATTGTATATTCGTATGCGTAACCGATTAAACATTGCTTGCCAGTATTCAGTAGGTAGTAGGGGTACAGTAATTTTTAATAAAATATAGTCCCAAATGTCTCAAACTAAAAATGATTTAGATCAAAATACAAAATATCTTTTAGTATTCACAGGAGAGAAATAAAAACAAACTTAAGTCAAAATGTGTCTTAGTTTCTTACTAACTATGAAATAATAATGTAATGCTGTATTTTATTTCTACCGTAGACACCATTCTGGTGTTTATGTAACATATTGCAGGACTCATTAAGCTTAAAACTCGCAGACTTTTTATTAAATGAAAATTATTAAAAATACCTACTTATATTAAAAGAATTTTTTTTTTTTTTTTTTTTTTGATATTTTACAATATTTTTAAATAAAATACTTCATTATAAAATATGATAAATTTAAAAAATAATTGTAAAAATCATTTCCTGTTTTAGACTTTTAACTTATGTATCAAACTAATATAGATACCTACTCTACAAAAATTCTTAATGTAAAACAAAAATAACTTTTTAGCACAAATATTTATTAAACTCTTTAACTTTATGTCATGAAATCTAGTCAAACACGGAAGGATTAAAAATTATAATGATGTTCAATCAAAAATATTAAAACTGAGTTGAATTGAAGAGAAAACCGTAAAGAAAATATAAAAATTCCCAATGTATCACGGTCAACTTTAAGTAATAAGTATCAAGTTTGTAAAAATACATATGATACCCATTTCTTTAACAAATATAATGCAATAAAAATAATTATATTTCTAATTTATGAATGAAGGTTACATAAAATCTTACCTTTAAAAATGGTCTTGTTAAGATGTCTCTAAGCTGGCTACCATCATAAGCTGTTTGAGAATGATTCGGTAATGTGTTCAGTATGTCCAAAACATTATGAACTAAACTAATTAAGTCCTCAGAAATAGGTAAAGGTGGTTTTTTTTCTGAATCCGTTCGGCTAGAGTTTATGAAATGGTACAGCTAAAAAATAAATAATAAATAATTTAGTCTTATCTAATCAATTTATTGAATTTTGTAAAAATAAGTTTTTACAATAAAATATTTAAATTTTAGAACTCACTCAAATATATATTTATCATGTTCAGATCTATATAAGCATATCAATGTAGTATTGATTATATGCAATATTTTAAGTAAGAACCAGAATAATTTTTAAAAACAATATAAAAATATTTTGAACAATTTACAATAAATTGTAACTCATCAATTTAATAAAATATACATTTTTTTTTAAAATACTTTTAAATATATCACAACATAAACATAGTTCTTTTAATTTTACAATAGTCAATACAAAAATTATTTAAAAATAAAGTAATACTTTTTATAAATGTATTTATTTTTAATTTGTATACAAATTAAATTAAATCAGTTGTATAAAATGTTTAGTTATTTAATAAATATAGGTATACTTTGAAAAAAAAATGAATGCATACTAGGAATCTACTTAATAAACCATAAACCTATTCTAAAAAATTATATTATTTGCTTTAGAAAAAGATGTGTAACTATTAATTGTAATACTATTTCACTACTTTAAAATAAATAAATGTTATTAGTACATAATAAAAATACTAACCTCTAATAATTTACACAATTGTTCATCTTCTAGTAAAGGTAAAACAGTTATTGGAGTATCGGGAAGTGCTTCTTGTATACATTGAATATCATCCAATGAACTCAGAATAACACCAACAGCTTAACAGAGTATAAAATATATATACATATATATATATATTAATAATTACACAATTAACACCACTAGAAGTTCTTTTTCAAATAATAGAAACTATAAATGTAGAATATATCTTTGGAAATATATTATATAGACATAATTTGTGTATGCATTAATCTATTACTGGTATCTTGTGGTTATTTATACCAAAAATCATTTAACTTTAAACTTATCATATTTTACTGTGATAATGTTCTCATTAATTGTGATTCAACCTAACCTCATACCTAACAACCTAACCTAACATTATTAACATAATTTAATATTGCATTTGAATAGAAATATTAATTTATCATCAGTGGATAAAGAATAACTGACAATTTGTTTAAAACAGTTTTGGAAATTATCATAAAAATACACAAGTAAACAGCATTTTACACAATTTTTGAGTATCCTCTACACCATATTATAAGAAATATAGTCTTTTATTGTTTTTAGGGAACTTGCAAATTATTTGAATAATTTAATATAATTATGATTCAACGATAGTAGTGCAATTGATGGCGTTGAGAATTTTTTTTAGCAAAGATAAAATTAAATAAAATTCGGAAAACCCACCACCTATAATACAAAATTTGTTTTTTTAAGAGGTTTTAAGGAGCCCAGCCTCTACTTTTTCATATATAATATTTTGATCAAATGATAAAGAAGTTTTCTTCACAAAGCATAGGTCAACTTGGTAAAATGTGACAAGATAACAATTTATTCCAATAAATGGGAAAAACCAGAAAAAACATGGGAAAACCGTATGAAAAACGGGAAAATATATACAATATTAAACAAGTAGTATTAAAGAAAATATATAATGCATATGTAATTATTTTAATAATATGACATATATATTGTTGACAAAGCAGCACTATCAACCAAATTTCGATTAGAATCATTTTTTCATTAGCAACGGTCTATCATTAGGTACTTACAGATATACATTCAATTTCCACTCTACTAACTTCTCACCTATAACAGTGGCTGCACCCATCCCCATTATCCTAAAAAAGCTTTTTATCTATTTATTTTTTAAATCATGGCCAAATATACCCAAGTCTTTAAGTGTGTTATTTTGTTGTTATTCCTATTACCATAAAATGTAACAAATTACTTCCAGTGTGATATATACTAATAAAATAATCAATTAGCATAATAGTGTTGCTATCTTAACCAATTTCTGCCAAAAAACATAATTCACACACCAATGTAATCAGATAAAATATAATCACCCGAATTACTAATATCATCATCACCAAAGTCTGAAAACTGTTCAATAGCATTTGAATTTGAATCAAGAGAAGATTGATAAGTCCAACGAGGTGATGATACTGCTGCCATTACAGCTCCGCGTAAACGTCGACGACTATTATATATTTTCAATTGTTCAACTGTGTCTACTAAATGTATTTTGGATGCATTCTTATCTCGTTCCTAGTATTAAATTAATATATCATTGTAAATAAATAAAATGTTTTAATGTATTTATATATTATGCAATATATACCCTTAACCATCTATGATTCAAAACTTCCTGAATAGTCAAACGTTTTTTTGGATCTAAGCATAACATCTTACATATAAGATCCTTAGCTGCTTCACTAATAGGTTCCCATTGTGGTCTGTTAAACTATAAAAATAATTATTTATTTATTCACAACAAAAATACACCAAAAATAAATTTAAAACATACGTTCAATCTAGCATCACATATATTATGATAGAGGCGGTCACCAGTTCCGAGAAATGGTGTCAGGCCAGATAATAGTATGTGTAATATGACTCCAGCTGACCAAACGTCTCCAGGTTTACCATATTGCTGTCTTTCCACAACTTCTGGCGCCATAAAATGAGGAGTTCCTATGCGACCTACAAAGCAAAATAATAATTTCTTTAGATTAATTTTGTATCATTTTTGATTTACATATTTTCAAATTATACAGTAAATATTTCTAAAATAATCTAAAATAAATAAAAACCAGATGTATAATGGATCTGCTTTATTAATAGGTATATTGCATAATACCCACCATGAGTTTCACATTCTGCATTTTTACAGTTAAAACTCTCTGATTCAGTTTATCATTTAAGATTAAAATATTATTATATATTCTAATACCAAAATATATTTGCTTTAGATTGTTTCAATATTTTACATATTCTAATAAGTTATGTCAATGTGTTGTTTGGTTACCTATAGAATCTCATTTTTTAATTTATAATTAACATTTCAATCACAATAATATAAAAAAAAAAACTTTAAAAAATGAACAAACTTGTTAAATAACATATTAACAATAAGCTCAGAATTGTGTATACGTAGCAAATATAATTGAATAATGAAAATAATAATACATATACCTATGTAAATTATATTTCAAAAAAAAAAACTATTATTAATTTAAATAATATTTCATAATTATAATTATTCATTTGAATGCCTCAAAAATTGTAAAAAAATCTAAAAAAAACATATTATATGTGTTGATGCGAACAAAGTAAGACAAGTGCTCTTATAACACCCAATTATATTTTTTAATCACTTTTTAATTTTAATATTTTAACCATACAATATTCCATTAGGTTTATACATAACAAGCCCATATAAAATTTGTATTAAAAGTTCATTAAAAGTATTGTTCCCACTAAACCGTGTTGTGAATAGTTGGAATAATATACTCAACTATTAAGTACCTTACATGCTAACAAATATCAAGAAACTGAATACATGCAAAGTAGAACATGGTGTAAAAAAAATTCATACTTTATTAAAACAAATGTTTTTTTCTATTCAATGAAAAAAAGTATTTGAATTTGTGGACGCCATAGTATTATTTTAATATAGGTACCTAAAACTGAGATGTTATAGTAAGTAAGTACATGATATTTTGTTATAGATATATATTTTACAAAATGGTTTACAAGTGCTTTTGGAAAGATATTCTCTTTTAGATTTAGTCAATAGAATTAACACTGACCCGACACAACCAACCTAATAAGAAAAAGAAATATTCAATTAATTTATACGGGTGTATTGTGCAACAGAATAGAATAAAGAAATCAAAGAGATTCCAGTGTTTCCATCTAATCAGGTTCGGTACTACTATTTATACCAACACGTCTTACATTTTATCACCTTTCATATTAATCTACCTTGTGTTTACTTAAATGTTGTGATAAGGTTTTTTGTTTAAAAGTACTTAATATGAATGGTTAATTCATAGGTTTTTTCACTCCATAGGAATAATTTTTAAAAGCCTATATAATAAAAGACCTTGATCAAAGCATTCTACTATATAGTATATACAACCATAGGGATAGGGTTCATTTATAAAGGTCGAAAAACACTCAAAACTATTGAATATTGACCATATAATTACAAATTATAATTAAAATCCAAAGCCAACAGGCTTAATGTAAAATATTTTTTTAGTATTTACCAAGTAAATACCAATGAATTGGGTACATTTTTTTTAAAAAACGAAGACCAATTCATGATCACCACAATACTCCATTATGATTGTTTCCTAACTTTTCCATGATTTTTTTGGGTTGGATTAACAGAGTAAATATTTATAAATTTTTGTTAGTTTCATTGATTAAAGATTTTGAATTCAATACGTCCTTTAAGAGAAAATATAGTAACATGAAAACTAAACCTTTATTAATAAAAACAAGCCTAACTTTTTTTACAAAACAACTTAGAATTTAAATACAAATATAATAGATACTACATTACCAAAAAACGTATTTATTACAATAAATTTCCCTTTGTTTTTTATTGAAAAGTCATGTCTAGACCAGATTAAAGTATTTACTCAAATTTCGGGTAGGTAAATATACTTAATATTCCTACAGATAAATACCCAAAATATTTACCTACCCATCGACACACAAAACTGGATGCCTAACCTATACGATTGTAGTTTCATTCGCCACAGCAATGTAACATGGACACATGGTAATTAAAAGGAAAGGAATATATATATTTTTCTTTTATGATTTTCTTGAAACACCGTGAGTATAATGTTTATTCCAAATAGGTACATATTAAGAATTTTTAAACAGAACTCACCGCTGAGACCTGGTAACAACGGACATTTGAATAATTCACCACGGTATAATAATTCATAACACGCGATCAGTTAATACCGATGCAAGAGCTGGGCGGACTACCACTCCGATTGTCAAGCTCGGGTGAATCCCTCCTGCCTACAGGAAAAATGAACCGCCCCGTGAGTGAATGGAATAAAAGTGATCTAATAGCCACGGGTAGGATAACGAGCCAAAAGGGTTTACCACCACTATTGTTAAACTTTTGAACATATACGTTTTCACATTTACCGCTTTGTTAGATTTTATTCAACAATAATTACAACATTTTAATAAATTTAAAAAAAAATTTAATTACAAAATATCAAATACTGATATTTGTGTAAATGTTTTACGAATAGAAAGTTGGGAAATTAGAATACATATAATAGGTAATTTACTTTAAATCTGAGCGACAATTTCTTAAAAAAAAAAAAAAACGATTCTGAAGTTTGATAAAAACCTGTTTTGGAATATGATTTTTATGACACTCATTGAAATTTGAACTTTTAACAGAAATAAAAAAATTACTACACAGCTTAATTTAATTTTTTTTTTTATCACTAAGAATAACTCACAATGAACCTTGTAAAAATATGCACATCTTTAGAAAAAACCAAAAAAATTGTATACACATAAAACAAAATAAAAACTAAGAAAAACTGGATAATTTTTGATCATAAATAATTCAAAAATCACCAAAATATTTTGGAATTTGAATCACACTAGAATATACTTTAATCAGTGATCAGTGAAAATGACATGACCTGTAACAATTTCTAACCAAATGTTGAATTACAACAACAATACAATTTGAATATAACTAAAACTGTTAATGAATACTTTTTTCTGTTTTACCCAATGCACCAACTATATAATGTACATACAATCAGAAACTACCTCTTAAGGTTTTTGGAATATTTCAAGTACAAGTATTTATATAGAAAAAATAAAAACACATCATCGTAAAATACATCCCTCACTCTGCTCAGAATCAATAGCACTAAATAATTTTTGAAATAATCTGGTTAAGTCATAAACTCACCGTAGTACTAACCACCATCAACCTATTAAGATATAATCAGGATAACCGTGGGAACACTTTATCCTATATTATAACAGGTTTTTAATGGCAACAGATATGTAGTAAATAGTAAATAGATATTAGATATTGAATTAACTAATTTAAACAAGTGTTGTAATAATAACCACTACAATTATAAACACCTTCATATTTTTTCTTTTAATTTGATGATCTAGATTTTAACTTACTAGGCATAGTGCTAGTTACACCTAGCTGACACATCATAATATTTAAATCCACTTGCAAATCAAAACATTTCATTTTTATATAGAAACAGTTTTTTCTTTTTCAATTGGTTCCTAATGCAATCATATTTTGTCTATATACCATTAATGCACAATATTTAATAAGCCATGAACTTGTAACCAATTAAAAGCAATGCCGTTTTTTTTTTCTATCTATTACCAAATGGCATAAACTATCTATATGATTCCAATAAAAGAAATACAAAAGTCAGTAAAATAATTTAACTAGATTTATATTTAATATTATAAATGAACAACTAAAGACTGTGTAATAAAAGCATATACACATTGTACAATCTGAAATTATAAGTAAAACAATCAGTTATTTAAAATATTTAAATAATTTCTAAAATTAAACACTGAACAAACTTCAAAAACATGCTTTATGTTACTGTTCACTAATTTAAAAATGTTTGAAATTAATAAAATTATTAGTATAAAGCAGGCTCTAGTAACTAAATACTGTGGCTGATACTAAATATATTAACTACTTTCTAAAGTATAATTTTAACAAAATTAATATCTATTATGAAATGTTTAGTGCTTTAATAGCTACATACATTATGTAATAGGATTAAAAAATAAAAATAAAAACAACTAGCTCTAAACACGAATAACAAATATAAAAATAATTAGGTTAAAATATTATGTTGAGTTTATAATTTCATGACAATAACAACAATTTAATATAATTTAATATTTATAAATAATTTATACTTCAGTACCATTCTCATATTCAGTCAGCAACTAGGTATCAATATCTACTAATTGAAAACTATTATAAAATAAACCGCAATTACTAAATTTTCTTATCTTTATCAAAGAAAATATTTAAAACAAAGGATTATAATTTTATATTTATGATACCTGTAAACCAGCTTATTTTTAGGTATTATTTACAAATTAAAAAGGTTTAAATTACTACCTTGCAATATATAATACTAATAATAAAAGGATTATAATAATATAAAAATACTATTTTTAACAAACTAGTCAGAGTGCTTAAACAGTTATTTCCATTAAAAATTGAAAAAGCATCAATAATCTAAATTCTAAATTAAAACTTAATGGTGTCCGGAATATAAATATCAAACCTAACTCATGTTTGAAATTTAAATTTGAATAAATGCCATTTTTCTAGAGACCATTATATAAATTAATGTAATAGACTAATGATAATCGGCCTAATAATAATATATAGACTTTAATAAGACTAAATGAAGTCTATAAATTATAATTATTTAATTTTTTTTTTTAGTAAAATTAAATAAAAGTTTAGTAACAGTTTGAAGAAATATAGAATAATCTCAAAATAGATTTAAAAAACATAAAATACTCTTTCCTTGTCTTCCAAACTGTAAAATATTGCAATTTAAAATCGGGTTCTAGTATTTAAATCTTTTTAATATGTAAACTGTACATATTTCATAAAAGTTATAGAAGTTAGACATCTGAAAAATTAAAATAGATTAATTTAAAACAAAGTTTTATGCTTTTGCATATACAATGAATATTTTAGATTTTATTTCATCAAAAAACACATTTTCATATTTGTGTAAAAATATTACTTGCTACATGATCTATTGCAGGAATTATATTATTAAAATATAAAAATGTTAACATGAAGAAAAAAACACAATAATGAAATTATCTTTTTTTTTTATTATTCTAATTCTAATTTTTAAATAAAGAAAGATAATTAAGGAGAGAAAATTGGATAATTTTCTGATAATTTAGGCACCAAAAATGTATGAAAATTTGTCATAAGTGATTCGAGTTCATCTCTTTCATTTTAGAGTGGTTAAAGGTCTTTATTTCAATAGTTCATTGTTTTCTTCATTCCAATCGGGATATGTACTCTCTCCAATATTAAAAAAATTGCATAATGTGTGATCTTCAATCACACTCATGTTCTCTTTGCAAGATATTTTTTTGATTACACTAAGCTGTATATTAGTACAGTGTACCGGTAGTTGTTGATACAATTCCTCGCTTCAAAAACATATTTTGCCCCTCAATGACATTGATTGTATTTATCTATATTGTGTTAGTACAGCCTGAATATTGTTTTTCTTGATCAGATTACATCATAGAAGTTGCAGAATTCATATATTCTTTTATATAAGATCACAAATAAGGTTAAATTTGTCTATCTACTTTAAAACAAATAACTGTCCTCGAGATCTAATAACTTATTCCTTCTTACAATAAATTCTCAAAACAACAATTGGCATTTGGCCTCTCAGCCAACCATCATAGTATTTCCTTTTTGTAACAAAGGTTTCATAAATTTGCGCCATTTTCTCGTTGCCACCAACCTGACCAACATAAAGTGGACTCATAATTTCTGCAATTTCACGAAAATAAGAATAGTAATCCACTATACTGTCTCAATGGACTTTAGGCCCATTGAGATGACACTAAGAGGCCACTTATGTAAATTTTCGATGATTTCTTTAACACTTTGTTTCTATGAAAACGTATTATGAATTGGAAATAAATCTTACAGCATGATTTAGTACCTTTTTCTTCACTGATTTCCTCGAATAAGGCTATATCCAACTCAACTTTGTTGTTTTCATTAATTCAAATTTCATTTCCAAATCACATCAAGTTGGACGATTACTGTTACCAGTAGGTATTACTCCAATATTTTCAAAAAATATGCGTGCAGTACCATTGCTTTTTGGATGAAGATATTGATGAATTTTTCTGCTCATTGTAGCAATATACAAATGACTTCAACATATACACACGAAAAATAAATGATGATAATCCAAAGTCACAAAGACCAAAACACAGGTTCACACTATAAGTATTATACACAGTTAAGGAAAAATCACTAGAACACAGTGAATAACACAAACATTTATGTATTTATTTATAATATCAAATTTAATAATATAAACAAATTACATATGTTATCTTTTTCAAATAAAATATTATCAATACTCAAAAAAAAATTGATATATTGATTTATCGTCTCGAATTGATGAGCTGCTTAATATAAATCCATCATAAATGTTTGACTTAAATTCATCTGAATCTTGCCAAAAATTGTGAATATAAAATTAAATTTTGAATTCTTTAAAATATACTTTATACATACAACAATATAAATATGATTTTTTTAATTTGACTTATTAATATGAACCATTTAGATACTTTCCCCTTACCTAATATTTCATGCCATAATTCTATTTTGATTCTATACTGAAATTAAGTGCTACTACTAGTAGTGATAATTAAGGTTTTGGAAAAAACCGGAATTAGAAATTCTTACACAAAGAAAGCTGATATCATACACTAATCATTGTCCAACTAAGATCTTAAGTGTTCATAATTACTCATATAGGTATACTGCATGATATAGCACTGTAGTTGATTTTTAGTTTTGGCTAATGTTGACTGGGGAGAAAGAAAAAATTCAAGTATTTATGTAATAATAATTTTTACAATATTACTTTTAAATAAATCACTATTATAAACAAATATGTTAACTATTATAGTTCAAATATGTACAAAGTATGTCTTCCAAGTGGTAAGGCGTTGTGACATGACCAATCCTTAAAATATAGCCACCTAACATGTAAAAACTAAAAATGTATCTAATAGACAGATATAAAAGTGGATTAAAATGATTTAGGTTTCCATTCCACTCTGATCTCAGATGCATTATACCTTTATTAACTACATCTAGTCTTTTCTTATTTATGTTGTTCACAAATACTGTTTTAACTATACTATTTTCTACTTTCCAAATGTGGCCTGCCTACTCTAGTCTTCCAATTCTTATTAATAAGACTATATTTCCTTTCTTGTACAGTTGTTTCAGTTGTTTATTTTTCCATCACTCCCAAACTTGAGTATCGTGGTTATACATAGGTCCATACATTTTTCATAATAAATTTAAATTGTAAATAATAATTTCTATAATTGTAACAAAAAAAATAATTATTTCCTTTGTAAATTAAGTTTTTTTCTTTATTAGGTACCTAATACTACTGTATTAGTATTAATACACAATGAAGGAAGCCTACAAAGACCACAAAATAAAATATACATTTCAAATTTATAACTAAACAATTTTCACTTCTTACAGTGCTAATCACAAATAATTAGGTTCAGAGAAGAAATATACAGGGTTATTCAGCATTGTATACCAAATGAACACAACAACAAAACATATGAGACTTTAATGGAAATTAAAATAAATATTTATTTTAATCTAAATTTTTCATTAAAAGCCAGTTCAACCCAAAATTTGGTTTACTGAATTTATCTTAAACAAAAAAGTAAATGACTAAAATGGCTGGAAAAGGTAAGATGTACAGATTTAAAAGATCAAATGAAAGAAGCAAATGTTCAATAAATCCAATCAGCATTTCAAGTCCAAAGATCACAAGTCAAAGAGTATATGTCAGTTTACATCATCAAAAAGATTATTGTATTGTATGTAACTCCTAATAATACCTAAAATTTTAATTTTGCACATTTCAATATTTAACTGCACATTTTACAGGTATTTGCAGCACAAAAATAGAATCTTAAGTTATAAATAATACATATATATTAATAAACCATTAATCCATTATTTTGTTAATGTACATCAAACTTTCTAAAAAAATTCTATTACAATAAAAAAAAAAATGTCTGGTTTTGTTCAAAAGTTGGCAGAAAATACACAACACAAAAACAGGAGTAAATTCCACATCTACAACAATGTTAAGTTGGTCTTTTTAAAATCATGTTTAGGGGTACGAAATCAAAAGTGTGATTGGATTTCTTTCATAAGAAAAAAGAATCCCCTGAAAATGTTAAACATATTTTACCTTTGATTAAGAGCTTTTACTTTTTGTAACTAAATATAAATATTTAGAAAATTCAACAGAATACTGTTTTTTTAAAGAATGTTAGGTGTTTTTAGTTCATTTTATGAATACATAAATTATATAACTAAATAGCTTAGCTTTTAAAAATATTTATGTTAATAACATGTTTGATATTTAAATTTAAAAAATTAAAAAATTAAAACTAGTGTCCCAACACCATGTTACTATATTTTGTAACCCACTTAAGTGCTCTTACCCTGTCTGTCTGATTGTAAATAAACTTGGCCGTTAGCACTCAAATTGGGACGGGACAAATCATCAAAACTTTTTGCTTCAAAAAATAAAAATGAAACAGAACAAAAAAAAAAAAAAAAAACAAAAACCAAAATAAAACAAAACAAAAACAATTTATGTTTAATATGCATAGAAGGCTAAGAATACCTCCATTAATAGAACTTCCATCATGCAATTGAATCGCAACACCAAATCCTCCAAGTTTAACTGGAGCTGAATTTTCTTTTGTGGCTAATAAAACACAGTGTGGCTTAATATCTCTATGAATAATGTCATTATCATGACAATATCTAATTGCTTCAAGTGTTTGCCTCATGTAATGGCTAAGCAAAATAAACATATAAGATTTTTTTTATAAATATAGTACAATAATTATAATATTTACCTTGCTACAGCTTCACTATAAACAAAACCAGCTGTAGCTCTACGGACAATTTCAAAACAAATATCTGATCCATCCATACTGAAAATAAAAAACATGTATAAGTAATTAAAATGAAACTAGAATTAGATTAAAAATCCATTAAATTGAAAACATTTCAGAATATTTTTTTTCAAATAAACAATTGGAATTTAATTTATATTAAAAATCTTACTATTCAAAAACCATATAAAGCATTCCTTCAGAACTGTATGTTTCTAAGAGTTCAACAATATGAGGATGCTTTAGCATATGACATATTGTTGCTTCTCTTTTTAGATCTGCAATCAATTTATTATTAATCAAAAAATTAGATTTATTGTAGCTCTAAAAAATGAACCTATATAACTACCTGATGTGCTTAAACCAGGGCTTGATGTAAAACTTGCAACATCCACAATTTTAACAGCAAATTGTTGTGCAGTTTGACGATGAACACATCGTTTAACCAAACTAAATGGCCCTCTGAAATAAAAAATAAAAAAACATTTAGTAATCATTAGTTACAAAAACATGGTTATAATATAATATCATTAACTTAATTATTTTTGTTTTCTAAAATGTAATTACAGACATAAGAGAACTAATTTTTACTACTATTAGATAAACTGAAAAAATAGATTGTTTCAAAAACTGGAATTAATAATTGTATGAACTTCAACTTTAATAATATAGGTTAAAGGGTCATAGATGGTATTCTATTTGCATGTTCACCACATAAATTTAAAATGTTACCAGATTAAAAAAAAAAAAACTAATTTGTACACTGCATGTTTGAAAAAATAAAGTGTTATGGTTGTGTGTATGGTTGCATTACTTATATGTTAAAATAGAGGGTAATGTTATTCAAAAAAAAGCTTATGGAAAATCACCTACAATAATCCAACGGGTATACAAACCCATAATTATACACTAAATTAGAAACGTCAAATGTTTAAACACTAAATATTGGATAATATGAATATAAGAGAAACTGAACAATTATAAACAACAAAGTAACAGTAAGAAAAATTTTGATTTGCCCAAGTACAAAATTCCGGATTTTTGGAATTCAATACCAAAAATATATTTAAAATTTTTTTGACGAGTATACAATCTGATGAAGACTGTAAAAACAAACAAAAAACTTTTGTACCATACATTTTGAATCACAAAATAAATAAAAATAATTGTTAAGTTTAAAAAAAATTTGTTTGAGGATCTGAAATTAAATAAGCATTTCATTTTTAACATTGTAAACCAAGAAATATGAATTAGTAATAATCTATATAATTAAACTAAGTTAAATAAATAATTTTGAAAATGAAAATGGTTTGTAACACAACTAAAAAATCAAAAAACAAAATGTTATGACTGCAACTGCAAATTGATATGTGAGATCCAGTACACAATGAATTAGAACAAATAACAAAATTTGCCAAGTAAAAAATTTATAATCAGTTGATAATCATTGAAAATAAATATACTAATTAGTATTTATAAACAATTATTATAAATTGAATAGAACCATGCTACCACTACTTAAAATTTGTTTTATAAGATATGATGGTAATACCATGGTCTACCAATTTTTAATGACTTTATCAAATACACATTGATGAAGGAAGATGAACTCAAACAATTAAAAAATATGGAGAAATAAATAAAATAAACAAAAAGAGAAATAGACTCAATGTGATAGTAAAAAAAAAACAAGTTCATAAATCAAGTTTATAGGATCAGATCTAACATACTTTTAGAAAAAAACATATTTAAATGATTGAAATATGAAACAATTAACAATAATGGTGAATACACTTTTAGATATCTCTTAGTTCTAGTTATAAAATGTTAATTTTTTTAATTTAATTTTATAAATTAATCAATCAAATAAGGTTGAATACATTGAATAAACTTTTTAAAATATATAATATATACCTACCCAAAAAATTGGCCAACAGATGACTAGTTTTACAAAAATTGTCCTAAAGAAATAAGTACTTGGTAGAAATATAATAACAATTAATTTGAGAGACTTTGTTGTATAATAGGTACCTACTACAATGTTCCCTGTCCCGATTTAGAACAAATATTGCACCTATTATCATGAATTATTTAAAGTTAATGACATTGGAGGTTAAATAATTACACCAAACAGTTATGAAAAACAAAATTATGGTTTGAAAATAAATGAAGTCAATAGCTTGAAAAACTAAATGGTTACTGTGTTGCATGTATCAAGATCAAAATAGATTCAATTAGAGTGCTATGCTTTTAGAATTTTTCAGAGATAAACAATCATAGAAAAGCTTAGTAAAATCATTTGTTTTGATTTTTGATCAAATCCCATATAATTTAAAAACTAAACAAAACTCAAATGTCAAATATAAAAAATAGAAATTCACATTGAAGATAACATGAATAATGATATTCATTCTTCTAATTTACCTAATGAAGAGTTCATTTTTTTTAAAAACTCTTATGACAATATTCAGAAAATTTAAATATGTAGATTGATAGGAAGAAAAAACGTTTGGAAAAATTAGTATTTCATAACTAGTCAAATTGAAAATATTCAAGCTAAACAAAAAAGAAAAACTATGATAATTTATTTATTTCAAAATTATGTAATGAAATATAATTTAAATAGCTATAAAATATTAAACAAATAAAATTAAAAGTATAACATTCATCAAACGTGTTACTCTATATTCATAGCATAGGTATTCATAGAATTTTATAGACTTAGGTAAGTATAAAATGAACATACAAATGGCTATTATTGGGTGAATTCAGAATTACTGATACTAAATTTTAAAATTATAGTTTTAATCATGACAAATATATTTAAAATTCTATAATTTATTTATTTTTCTACATTGAGGGTGAAAATGAAAAATTGGCAATTCCCAATTTGAAAATAATATTTATTAATCAGACACTTGTCTTACCTAATATTCAATTATGAATTATTCACGTCCTATGGTTTATTACCTAATTAATCTTAACAAATTAACCTATTAGGATAAAGAATTAAATGTCTGAAAATACATTTTACTAAAATGTAACTATTTAGATCAAGGCTATAAAATTAAAAAATAAAAAGTCACCCTTGCCAACGCTTGTATTTACCTACTCTATTAAATGTACAAAAAAAAAAAAATTAATCTGTTTAAAATGTATACATTTTATTCATATGGCAAGTATATTGTAATCCCATATATTAGATTAACTTCACATCTATAAATAAAAGGGTCCAACAACATAATAACAAGAAACAAATGCATAAATAATTTATACATCTAAAACTCATACACAATTCATCTCACACAGCCACAAAGGTGAATTTATGTACCTGCCCGACTCAATTTATAATTGTTCTTTTTTTTTAAAACAGTTAAGTAGTATCCCTCGCTACTTAAATTGAATGAAAAATTCAATACCTAATTAAATTGTTGCAATATAAATTTAAATGTATCAACCCTGTACCGACCCTATTCAAATATTTATGGCTACAAATTTATTTTATTTTTATTATTATTATTTAAGTAGGTAGATAATAGTAGATTGTAAAATGTTGAAACTAGGCCAGTCAGGTAGGAATATTTTATTTGGTAGATACCTATCTATACGGAGTAACACACAGTAAATATTTACAAGAGATGCATCTCTCTTATTGATCTTATTTTAGTACCTAATATTTTATGACTACCAATTTTTAAATTCGAATTTCTTTACCTTTTAGTCAGAAAAATCAACAATTTAATGTCTTAATATCTATAGTTATTATTTCAAAAAAAACCTACTTATACTTTTTCTTGTTTAAAATGAAATCGAAATCAGAACATAATAATATGAAACAGTCAGGGATTGGTACCCAAATAATAATAGATGTCAATGACAAAGATTTAAATATAATTCCGATTGTAATATAAATTACTTCTAAAAAAAATCTATTTTTTTTTTGCCAGGCTAAACATTATGCAATATGACACAGGTCAATTTTCAATGGCGAAATTCTAAATACGCTACTGGCCAGGTAGATATACTTAACGAGATAGTAAAATAGGTGGTTGTTAAAATTGTACTTTAAGTAACGACGGAGGTCGGAATAAATATTTAATATTATTTCGTTATGATGGTCGATGGAAATCGTTAAATGGATGAATAGAATAGGGGAGGACACTCACTTTCCGATGGTCTCGAGCAGTTCGTAGACATCGTCGAAAAGTACTTCCTCGTCGGCCATGGTGGATCGCCTCTACGATCGGCCGACAGTCATAACAACAAACACAATAATAACAACAGCCGTTGACCGGACAAACGTTACCGGTAACTGCTGGTACGGTGAGCACGACGCATCGGGAGTGGGACACGAGTGAACGAGCGGGTTGTCACGGAAGTGTCGCCGAGATAGAAGACGAAAAAGGAAACGGGACGATGAGTAACACGAAGCGCACACAACGTACGTCCGGCGCCGTTATCGTGTTGACGCCGACGGCCTTATGAGTTACAGGCTCATACACGCCTGGTGATGGGCAGTGGGCCACCGAGTGCCGATGCCGAATGTTGCAGCTGGTTCGCGCTGCCGTCGGTCTATCGTGACCGGTGGTGGTACGTCCCCGCCCAGTCGATGCTACAACTGATTCCTGAACTTTGGTCGCCGTACGGGGCTACCGCACGAACCGCGGTATCTCGCGTTTACGTTCCGATACGCAGTTAACTTCAGCCGATACAGCCGTAGATAATAATTCTTTATTATCGGGTATAGCGACTGCTGCCTGTTGATAACATATTATAGTGATAACACTTTTTGTTAATGGTGATAATTTATTTGATAGTGCAATTTTTATTGTTTTTGTTATTAAATAAGAAAAAAAAAACAGTATTTTGTTTAAATAACTTACTAGTAAATTAAATTTTTTTTTTTTTGTTTTCATCGTATAATTCACATACACAATAATAAAGCATATATTATAAACACAATTCTAGACAGTTTTTAATCGTTAGAAAAATAATTTAAAACAATAACAACAAATACTATAATGCTATACGTGATAAGCCATATATGTGTAGGAAAAATCGAATCAGTTGAACATAATTTATTTATTATCTAAAGTACGATGTATCTCGTCGAGCAGGCGACTTCATGACAGTATTGATGACCCGCAAGTTTTGTATTTTTAAAAATTTTAAATCACGCAACCAGTAACCACCGTTAAGGTGTATTTAAATAGTAGGCGTCTTATTTGATTTATAATGATTTTTTTAAGATATTTTGACTCGTTGGTCGTTTTTACCAGGTGATGCCAATGGTACAGATCTCAGACAAAATAATTTACCTACTACGATTCAACAATCTGTTAACAAACTTTCGACCAGACTACAATACTATTTTGATGTTAGATAGCTCCTGTTATTAATTATACACACTGCTAATTGTACTTATTCAGTTGACCAACAATTTGTAACTATGCCGTCCGCAGATATATTTGAACTATATAACAGTCCACTAACACAAAACAACGAGAAAAAATAGTAAGTAAACCAATTTTAAATAACTGATATTAAATGCCAACATAAAATTACAGTAAGTCGCATTTAAAATAATACCATAGTTACCTACAAAAATATCTTTAAATTAAAATTTTAGTGAATTTTTTTATTGGTAGTAGTAGGTACGTTTTAAAAGTACAAAACAGTTATATTTACAAACTAATAATTTTTTCTATGAATATTTCAAATATATTTTATAAGTATTATGATTTTTTAAACATAAAATTTATGCAAAAACACCCTTTGTGAACATATTGTATTGTTAATGATATTGTGATTTTATTGTTAAAATATTCCTGTTGTAGTTATATTTTATTTTAGCAATTAAATAATAATAATAATAATAATAAAATTTAATATATCCATGTAATATTACATTTTATAACTAGGCGGATTGTCCCATCTCAAATGTGCATGGAGAAAACAGGTGAGAGGCTCTGTACCATGGTCCATGGATCCATTGCAGATGTTATAGCTTTCATAAGAGAAAATCTGAAATAAGTTAAAATTAAACTTGAGGAATGGAGATTAGCCCTTAAAAGAAAGAACCAAGGATAAGTAAAAGAAAAACAGAGTATGAATTTGGAGGAGCAAGACAAGACAACTAATGACAATAAGTGTTTATAGACAAAATTGAGAGTTAAGTACCTAGGATTTTTTGTACAAAAGAATTTTGGTTATCATTAAAACGTGGATTAAGTGTGGTTGAATAAATTGAAGAAAAGGATCAGGTGTTTTATGTGATAAGAGAATTCCAAAAAGACTTAAAGTTAAGTTCTACAAAATTGTGGTGAGATTATGTTGTATGGTTCAGAGTTTAGGCAGAAAAATAGAACATAGAATTAGTATAACAGAGATGAAATTGCTTAGATGGATGATTTGAGTGATAAAGATGGCAAAGATTAGTTTAGAGATGATGATCAGTTGGAATAAAGCAAAGAAAAAGAAGCATTAAATAATAATTTAAAAACCTAAGTTGCTGTAAAATTATTCAAATCGGTTTATAAAATATTTAACATCTTTTTATGTATTTTTTTTCTGTATTATTATATTATAACATTTTTATCAGTATAACTAAATCAACAATGCTATACAGATATTATGTTAGAAATCAAATATTTTTTTTTTTTAAACAATCTATAATCTATACAACAATATGCACATTAATTAGATGATATAAAAGAATACCAAAAAAAAAAAATGAACAATGAATATTTTGATTTTGGGCAAATACCCAGCACGTGATATTAATTATTTAATGTCTGTTAATATGTTTTTTTTTTTTTATGCTAGGACAAAAGGTTTCTGCACCATTTTCTTTTTAGTCTTCATTGAGGGTTATCTTATAGAGTTTTTGTTGATAGTTTAATAATCAAGTGGTTTGTATGTGACTGAATTTTATTGTGGAATCTAGTATAGTACATTTTGGCGGTTTGATTTAAGGTTTGTACTTTAAAATCTTTGTGAAGATTATTGTTTGTTATGTACCAGGGTTGCAAAAGAAAGTAGACAAAGGCAGATGGATTGAAATGCTTGAATTTTATTGGTGTTGGGGTTTTGCCGTTCCCCATAGCTGGATACCGTATGTTCATAGTGGTTTAAGTAGGGACTTATAAATTAATAATTTATTATTTATGTTCATTTTAGATCGTAGGAGAGGCCTTAGTAAATGAAGACGGGTGTTTAGGGCTTTACGTTTGTTTTTAATTTGGGAATTCCAAGTTAGTTTAATATCTAATATAAGACCTAAGTATTTTATTTCGGAGCAAACAGGGATTGGAATATTTTTCATTGTAACTTATGGGCATGTTTCTCTTTTTAACGTAAATGTAATGAATGAGGACTTAGATTCATTTATTTTGATTTTCCACCGCTTTGTCCATAGATGGATTATATTAAGGTGTCTTTGTATCATTTTGGAAGCTATAGCAGGATTTTCATGAGAAGCCACGATTGCAGTGTCATCAGCGTGTAAGTACCGAGTTCGGTAAATTAAGTTTTTGGTATGTTGTGTGTAAATACGTTGCTGCCTTGGGAAACTCCGGCTAGAATATTGAAATAGTAAGAGTAGCTCGAATTCTGGCGTACAACAAAGGTTCGGTCACTCAGATAGGATTTAATTAGATCATATCTTAAAATTAGAAGATAAAAGATCTTATATTTTTTTTTAAAAAAAGTGCTAAGGACTCTTCCAAGTGAGAGAAGTTGAAAAGATAGGATACATTAATTTTTTTTAATTTTTATCCGTCAGGAACGATAAACCATTGCTAACAAAAAACGATTCTGAACAAGTTCAGTTATACATGTTTTGAAACGCCATAATATAATACCAACAATTTTAGTCAAAATTTGTCATTAAAATTCTTATTAAAAAAATTTCTGCGTTACGCTAATTCTTTATTTTCTTATCACAACATACGATTTATAATTTTATCACGTTTCTAGAAAATGCGAACCAATATAAGTTTTCTGTTAAAATTTAAAGTCTCCACGAATATTTTTTAAATTGAATCACAATAGAAAAAAAATTGCGTAATTCGCAATTTACGACTAGCTCTTTTGGTCTGGCCTATTTTAAATTTAGTAAATTATATTATCATTTTATTACATTTTAGTTTTGACTATGGATTTAATATTGCATGTTTTTAACTATAGGTACAATGTATAAATAATAAATCATTCCCTAACACATTGACGGACGCTTGTAATGTAATGTTCGCCGTTATATTAACAGCGCTAGACCTACATCCGAAATCTACGTAAATCATTGTGGACTCGTGGCAGTCCGCCGTCTTCTATGATTCGATAAGATTACCGTTGAAAAGATTACTGCTTCAGCCGTATTGTCGTAATATGACATTTTACGTATTGCTGGTATAATAGCAGTAATAGCATAGTAATGTCCGTCAATGCGTTAACAGGGATCGGTCGTAATACATATTCTAACACGGTCCGGTCTCGGTCTCATTTAGTCGAGAGAAAAATAAATAAACGGTCCAGTCCGGTCCCGCGGTTTGTTCCATCAGTCCGGTTCGGTTCCGGTCTTAATTCAACTTCACCGGTCCGGTCCGGTATTTAAAAAATCGCGCCGCATAGCGGACTAATAGATTGGTTATTATAATATTACTTTTCATCGCCATCCATAATATTGTTAATGTCGATGGTACTTTTCGGATTTTATTTTATTTACGCGGTTGTAAATACCTGCGTATAAATGTATAAGTAAATAAATTAAAGTCCCGCAACTATATAAAAGTAGACCATCTGGTGATTGTATTGGAAATAACGAAACATCTTTGTATTTTAAAAACGATTCTGAGTAGAAATTCGATCTTTGTTTCTTATCCGCATTTTCCCCCGCTTTTTAACATTCGTTTTTTTTTTTTTTTTATAGCATCGAGTCAAGGCTATATTATTTTACTTACCCTTCGTCTTTAATTTAGGTACTTAATCAAAAATATGTTTGGAATATTTTGACCTTTGGTACATTCTTATAGCGCTAAAAAGTGTTTATATAAAAAAAAAAAAAAAAGATTTCTAATATTTTTCTCGTGATTTGAAACTGAAAATTTGAATTTTAAACCTCTATACAAGACCTAACTGGCAAATCTCAAACTAATATAATCTGTTAATTTAGAATAAAAATAGTACTAAATCCCCCTCCCCTTCTCCGTTATACGATTTAAACCTTAAAACTTATACATTTTACACGAAAAACCAACCAGGAATCTTTGGTTAATATTGTTTTTTTTATTTATTTATTATACAATTTTAGATTTGGAGCGTAGCGAGAAATGCATTAGTTTTACAATGATATTTTTTTTTCCTCTGCAAAACTTTTCTACCAGAAATCTTGCGAATTGTAGTACATTTTCTGAGAAAAAGTTTTAAATGGGTAATACTCTAAGGATGTCGCTTTTTGATTTTTCTACCGATTTTCGTGATAATAAGAAAAAACGGAAAAATGTACGTACATGTATAATAGAAACTTCGCTCCGAATCGTTTTTCGTTATCAATGGTTTTTACAGATATAAATTTAAATCCCCTCTGTATCCTACATTCTCGACTTCCCACCAACAACAATGACCTAACCGATGGTGTGAAATATAGGTATGTCCGTCTTTTTTTTATGTTTTTAATAAATACTTGACTACTATTATATTATATTCACCGGACAAATGTTAGTTTTGTTGTAAGTACTGATATCTATAAATGCGTACTAATATTATTATATAAATATACCACACGCTCTTGTGATATTAGTGCGGAGGGAAGTCGTAAGTGAAAAAAAAGTCTTGGTTTTTTATTTATAATAAAATATCAATTTTAAATACGAGCAACAATAATAACGGTACTGAATAAAATACAAAATAATTATGGATAGTTTAAATGAGTTTAATCAATTAAAAACAGAAATGGACCGGTAGACATTAAACGTGTCTCGACGGCTCGTTTTTCGAGTAATAAATTGGGGAATATGAAAGTACGCAGGTATGCGGGTACGTAACATAATATGGGGGCGTTTATATTAGGCGTTCGTGTGTTATGTATTCGAATTAAATTCTCCGTCAGGCTGCGGCGATACCCATACGAAAAATTTTTACCAAAGCGAATGCGAAAATCATTTTTTCGATCGCGTTTTATGGACATTCTTCACACTACCTATGTGTCCATCGTGAAAAATG